AGGTGCGTGCGGCGTAGGTGCACCTAAACCGTTAAGCATTAATTTTGTACATGGCTGCGTATACAGGTAATCACGGGCGTGGGTTGGGTGCACGGGTGGCCTTTTGGGATCCCCATGGGTGATTTCTACGGGCACGGGATTTCTCCTCGGGCGTCAGCTGCGTGCACGACTAATTTATTTATTTTCGTTATTTCTGTCTTTTATTTTTTGTCCTTATTTTTCATTGTTTTTTCTACGTAGTTCAAAAAGACTTCTACGGGTACAGTACTATAATAATCCTAAATACATTGTACATACCGTAGTAGTAACAGTACAGAGTACTACCTACTGCTCGTACATAGCATTACTTTTTGAACTAACGCAGTGCCGCTCTACAGTAGTATAGGCTTCTGGCGAAGCTATACGAAGGAAAGGCTTCTGGCGAAGCTTCGCCAGAAGCCTATACTACTGTAAAGCGGCACTGACTAACGACAAGTAACCGGAGGCTCCGAGGAAGAACGCCAAACTGTGTACGACGCGTTTCTTCATGCGTACCCAGACCTGCTTTGTCCCCAGCTGAAGGATCTGCATTACCTCGGTGCGCCACTCCACGATGATGCGGTTGCAGGCGCACTCGTCAGTGCTACGGAGGTAATCGCCCGAATGACGGAGCGGCTAAATCTAATACCGGCCCACCAGGCTCTGTACTTGTTAAGATGCAGCATGGGCACAGTAAAGCTGATCTATAAACTGCGCGCCAGCCGATGCTACCAGCAGAAAGCCCTGTTAAAAGCATTTGACGATATCATTCGCCAAAGCTTGACTAGCATTACCAATGTCAACATTACTGAAGACATATGGATGCAGGCATCTCTCCCGATAATAGAAGGCGGTCTCGGAATTCGAAGCGTCGAAAAGCTTGCCCTTCCGGCCTTTCTGGCCTCTGCTTATTCGGTGGCTCCATTAACATCGGAAATTATCGAGTTCCAACCACAGATCTACTGTCGTGATGCTGCTGCAGAATGGCAAGAAGTAACCCAACAAGACCTCCCACACCATGACGCGCGACCGGTCCAGAAGGTATGGGACAATCCTATTGTCCAAAACACCGTTGAACGATTACGAACGGCAGCTGGGAACGACATCTCCGAACAGGCAAGATTGAACGGTGTTAGCACGAAAGAAAACGGCGCATGGTTGGGTGCGCTTCCGGCTGCCTCCCTTGGCAATCTCCTTACAGACTCAGCAGTACGGATTGCCGTTGGTTTACGGCTTGGAGCACCGATCATCACCCCACACCGCTGTGTATGCGGTGAGTGGGCGGATGCCCGCGGTTACCACGGCTTAAGCTGCAAGAAAAGCCGCGGACGAATCCCTACGCATAAATGCCTGAACGCCATTGTGAAGCGCAGCCTCGCATCGGCCGGCTTTGAAAGCGAACTAGAGCCACAAGGTATCTTCCCTACAGACAGCAAGCGCCCAGACGGCGTTACCTTGACACCATGGGAGAGAGGACGGATGTTGGCATGGGACGCAACGTGCGTCAATACAATGGCCATATCGCACATCGTCGCGACATCCGCACGAGCGGGAGCAGCAGCAGCACAGGCCGAGCAGGGCAAGATCGAGAAATATCGCGATATCGGCCAGGACTACCTATTCCGTGCTCTGGGCTTTGAGACGCTCGGACCACCCGGACCGGAAGCTGTCCGAACAATAACGGAATTCGGACAGAAAATACGTCAGGAAACCGGCGAAAAACGAGCCACGGAATATCTTCGCCAACGGATCAGTATCGAAATACAGCGAGGAAATGCTGCATCGATCATGGGGACGGCGCCGATGGGAGCGAATTTAGACCAAATTTTCTCTGTGATTAGGCCGCCGCTGTCGATTGATGCTTGATGAGTGATAGTTTCCGAAGCTTTTGTTAAAAGTGCTCGTGTTGTAATTTGTAATAGTAATCATTGTGATTAGTAACCGTGTTCATGTGGTACGTAATACCATGTACTTGAGTACGTAGACTTGAAAGCCATAGTACATAGAACGGAAGAAGTTAGAAAAGTTTCTGCAGTGTCTGTGTAGTACATAATTACGTTCACTATTCCAGGATTTTGGCACTCTATAAAATATTGGGAAAAAACGGTAGGAAAACGTTGTGGTTCAATTAAACGTAAGAAGGTGCGAAATGCTGTTACGATTAAAGTTCAAACAGCGTACAAAAATTTAAGCAAAATCAAGTCTAAAATGCCGTTCACATTGACAACCCCCTTGCCACTTTCCCGTGTACATGTACATAGACTACACCCGTGCCCCAACTCCGTGAACGCAGCCACAACCAGTGTGAACGCTGGACACCCGTGCAAGCAGCCAACGCGCGTATTTTCCCGTGCATGAGCTTCGACCTTAATTTTAGCAACTTGCGCAAACTGCAAAGAAGCGGCTTGTTTCAAAAACTACCATATCAACAACGACAATGATCGTCACAGACACAAGTATGTAATACGTTTTGTACAAACCCGCCTAGGTGCTCGGTATTAATACAAATCGCGGTACACTAGCCGAAATTTCTCGAAAAAATACAGTGAACTCTGATAACTGCTCCGCTGCTCGAGTGACTCTGTGTTTTGCTTTCGCTCGTAGCACAGTATTTTTGCTTGTTTTCCGTATTTAAAACAACTTTACCTTTGTGAATGTTGACAGCGTGTATGCTGAAATGCAACCTTCCCCATTCTGACTAACTACAAATCTGGTAATTCCTACCGCCGGATTACCCACGGGAGTTATCTCCCTTTATTTACTGTATCAGTAGAAAACGGCCGTTGCACGGGACCGATATATTACTGTGCCGCAAGTCCGACAACTCGAAGCCCGGTCTCTGATACTGCAGAATCTTGGTCTATTACTTTGGTCTCGAATATTCGTAATACGTGTGGCGGTATGGGAATCGTTGCTTTATTTTTCATCTGCTATGCATAGGTATACCATAATGTTAACTTTGTTAAAATTAATATGCTTTTATTGTTGTCAGAGAGCTGCAAATTGCATGATTTCAAGATTATTGATTGTGTATTGTCTGAAGCCTAAAGAGAGTGGAAGCCCTGTTGCAAAGTACATTAAACTTAAAAAAATCTGCACACTATCTGTACAGTGTACACATATTGTTCAAAACAGATATTGCCCAAAATAAGATGAGTTCTGCTCCACGTGTACCCATTTATGATTGTGTTCACATTAATAAGGTGCTGCTATGGGCGTCTAGATCTCACCTTCCACGGTGCCTCGATGAACGAAGTAGTAGATGATGAAGTGTATGGCTAGAATGTAAGGTCATCAAAACAGGTACGTGTGATAGCTTTTAAGGGATGCGACCCGGTACAGAGCACTAAATTTGTATACAGTACCTCCACGGGAACGTCATGTTGCGCTAATGGTAAGCTTAGCTAATGGTAAGCATAGCAATAAGGGGAAACCTTTCATTACTTAATTTCCCAGCGACACGGTAACCGCTTCGTAGGTGGGTGGCGAGATACCCGTGTTATGGGGAAGAGCACCGCTAAATTTTTTGGGTTCCTCCGATACTTTTCTAAACCACAAAAATTTGATGATTATGTTGCTTTATTAGATTTGTTTTAAAAACAATAGCTGCCACGGAACCGGTTCTACGTATGCTCGTCCACACTCGCCGAAATAGCACGACTGCCATTCAATGCAGAGATTGCAAGGAAAAATTTAACCAATCTCGTAGGTGACCAACGCGAGTACACAAATAACGGCCTGACCCAGTGGGGTTGGATTCTTGGTACCATACGACGTCAGCAACGCTTTTGGTGGAGTGTTTCGAGCCTGCTTATTAGCTTAATTAAGAAATAATTAAAAACGTTAACACTGCAGGCTGCAGCAGATCACGAGAAGGAAGCGATTTGGAAAGCTCTGGATGACATGGCCAAAATGATGTACATATATTACTACGTTTCTCAGGCGCGGTTTGAAGATCTGCAGCCCGGATGCATTTATATGAATTCGGAGCGGATCGGAGATGTATGATACAACTGTCTTCAACGGATCAGCGCACTGTCCATATTTCGCCAGCATGGCCATCCAAAACCCGCTGAATCCCGATCGGCGTCCAGTTGTCACCCCGGCACTGGCAGTACTACAGCGACCAAATGCTTCCTGAAACAAAATAATGGTCCGCACACCACGACACAAGCGTCCAGTTTGACTGGATGGGTATTTCAAAAATTCAGGAATCCCACCAAGGACAAGCCAAGGAGTTTGTCTGTGGTGTGCTTGTACAGAACGATTAAACAAAGAACCCAGGGAACGAAAAAATGAGGCAATGAAGTGGTCGATTACAGGGTCTCTTGTCCTGCTTTAACATCATTTTAACTTCAGCGTCAATTCTTATTGGATTTAAGGTTAGATAGGCCTTTAGTTACGTTTTTAAGTGTGACCACTGGGGATAATACAACGTCATTCCATTAGCAGGGTAGGGCCGCCTTGAGTACTTTGACCCTGACACTTCTTCTCACACACCCTGACACTTCGTCTTATTTCCTTCTTATTAAAAGCAACCTCTGAGTTACGGGAAAAAATAAAAAGCAAGATAAATTAAGAAAAAGAGGCGTCAAAGTCAAAGTAAATAAACGCCGTCAAAGAAACTGTAAAATAAATCGTCGATCGCATCATTTCCGGTCAATATCATATCGCTTTACTTTTCACAACAGCTAAATCGTGCTAAAGGCTCACCCCAATTGGCCCATTCTACTAAGATAGCAGACGGATGTTGCAACAATAGTTTTATCTGTCCATACATAAAGCCTGTCAGCGAGATTGTCCAAATTGTTCTCGGTAAATATATCTCCGAAAATGTCCGTCATACTCTAAATAGGATTTCGTGTTTTGCAGATCCGATAGCTGCAATTCGAGACATTCAGTCTTTAAAGAGTGGTTTATGGGTGGGTTTATCTTATCTACTGCTCCAGAAACGAACTAATAGAATGTCAGGTGCTTTACACGGGGGGTTTATTTATGAAGCAGCAAAACTTCTGCACGCTTTTATGGCATCATGTGATATCATCTGATCATGTAAAAGTACGAGTACCCTACAGGTATCATAATATCTGTTCCCTACAAGTACGAGTATCATATCTGTTCCCTAAAAGTATATCTCAAAGCTGCAAAGCGATGTACGTGTGGGGACGCGCTTAACTACGATTTTAAAATACTTCTTTTCCATTTCAATACGAGAAGGGAAGTAATACGGGAATTTTGCAATGGAATCTGAGTCGTTCGGTAGCAGTTGCCAATATCGCTACGAAGGAGCTGACTACATTGGTAAAGGCACGTATGGTATAGTATATAAAGCGCAGATTACCGATTCGGGTGATTTTGGTGGAGAGCAGATTGTTGCCGTAAAAGTTGTCCATTTGCACCGAAGAGCAGATTCAGCAAGCAACCCGGTTTTGGCCGATTGGAACAAACGACGAGCGAGATTAAATACGCTTCTTACCTTGCGGCACGAAAACCTTGTGCTATACCATAAAGTAACCATTTTTAACGCGCCAGGAGGAGAGTATGTCGAGCTTATGATGGATTTTTATCGTGGTACACCTCGATTTACAATTGAATTATTTTGACGTTAGTCTGCTAACTGCTTTGTAGCATGATGTTTTATTATTTTAGATGGAGATTTAGCATCGTCGATTAAAAAAGGTGAAAGAGAATGGGAAACCGCTTGAATACAGGCTAGCTCTTCGCTACATGATCGAAATCGCCTGCGGACTCGAATATCTACATAAGAATAACATAATCCACGGTGACCTCAAGCCAGAAAATGTGCTTGTAAAGAAAACAGAGCATAACCGAGATACATTGCAAATCGGCGATTTGGATGATCTTGTTGAAATGCAGCGCAGTGTTACCTGTTCGGTCGATGTTACGCATCTGCGAGGCACCACACAGTACATGTCACCGGAAATGGTCAAGAAATTTGCTGGCGTGTCGAATGAAATACCGGGCAGAAAAACAGATATTTGGAGTCTCGGCTGCATTATGCTGGAGCTGGCTAATTGTGCTATGAATCTACAGGACGTATGGATTCAGAAGGATGGGCAGGCCGTCGAAGTTTCCAATACTCGTATGCCAACCACCCGCTTTTTGACAATGGTTATCGATGGAGGCGTGCCGTTTCTAGACATTTCGCTTCCTTTGGATTTGGCATCTTGCATTCAGTACTGTCTATGCACAAACGTTGAGGAGAGGATATCCGCCGATGAATTAGTCTTATACTTATCCGCAGCGAGATACCATGGTAGGCGACTGGATCAAACGTCAAGTGTGGACATCACTTCTGGGAAACATGTAATTTTTTTCCATATGATCGCGGATCCCGGTCGGTGTTGTTGGCATAGGTGTTCGAATGTGCCACTGGTGCACCGAAACTTGGTATTTGTACAGCTGTTTAATGTTTCGGCCAACACTATAAGCAAAGGGTTGCTGCCTGACGATATCCACGGCGAATTCTTGTATCCCTTTATTGCCATTGGAAAACAAGGAACGATCTGTCAAACTATTGATGTCCATCAGGATGACAGCAGCGTTAATACGTTTGTGTGGAATATAGCGAGCCAAACCTCACGTCCTCTCTATATTTCCGATTCCTCCCTTTTGTTTTATCGCCCGATAATGGTTGGGAATATGATTTACTTCTGGGATCAACGAGCAACGTTTGCTGAATTTAAAAAGGCTAACACTTTAGACGGAAGCGTAGAGTCCATAGCGGGACCCGAAATTACAGTACGGTGAGTGTACAGTTCCGCTTACGTAAGCCATCTCTTTTCGTACCTATATTCGTCACTCTGAAACCGCGCTCTAATTTTGACCTTTCTTATCAAACAGGGTAAACCGCATATTGTGTGGAGCCATTGTGGATCATCAATTAATCTACATTGCACTGGTATCAGGTGGGTTTAACAAGGATTCTACACGGATGTATTGTTACGATACAATAACTGGCGAATGGAGGTGCATCCAGGGACTAGTTAACGATCGAGTGGGCTTTGAGCTGGTAGCGCTCCATGGAAAACTCTATCTGTTAGGGGGAATTGTTGCTGGTATCGGACAAATCGGTCATCGTGCCTTAAAAACATGTTATCGCCTTGATCTAGAATCGCTGCGACGGACAAAAATTAGTCCCCTACTTCAAGCACGGGGCTGCCACTGCGCATTCGTGATGAATGATGAAATCTACGTTTTTGGCGGTCGAGGCCGGAAAGGTACACTATTAAAGACGATGGAAAGATATGATGTCCAAAATGATTGCTGGTCAGAAGTGAACTTACACGCGTCGGAGAGTAGCCCCTGGTCAAAGATGATAGCTTCTGACATTTTTGCATTCGCGCCTAGATATCTGCGCACAAGAAGCGCCGTATTGTAGAAAGTGGTTCAGACTCTAAAACTACTGAATTCTTTGGATTAGGCAGTGGAAAAATGTTCACATCAAATTTTTTGGCTTAAGATAAAAAATAAAGCTTGGGAACCGGAATGAACCTTTTGTAACCTTTTGTTAACAATGCTCTTACACTTACAGATTTTGCTGTTACCATATGCCCGCATCGTTCAATGTGATCCACAGTGTTGCGTTATTCTGTAAGAACACGGATGTTTAAATTGTTATTCATGTAGGCACACATGCAGAAAGTTTACTTAATTACTAAGTACCGTAACAATAATTGCGAGCGTGGGTGGTGGTTGGAGTCTTTGAGATCAAGAGTGGTGGTTTGAGAAGCAGAATACTAAGTAGCAGTTTAAGTTCGAAAAACGATAGTGCTCGTCTTTCTTCTGGCGAGTTGCATGCTTCTACGAATCTTCTGGCGCCTTCTCAGTTTTGTGCCATCAAAGGTGGAATTGAAAAGAAATACTATGCAGGGGTCAAATATGAAGGACGATAGAACATTGTGTGAAGTACTCGTATTGTGATTCCCAGATGTTTCTTAAAACCCGACACTGCCTGGCCGCATTTTAGAGCATGGGCTTTCCAATTACAGCAGTGGTTTCCGTTCATTCTGCCCGGGATACCGGCATTGATGTATGCAGTTTCTTTTGATCGAGGCAACAAAGATCTAGAAATCTAGATACAGGTCGTGGTATCTAGAAATCTATATGTCTGTGTCTCAGGCTTTATTGTCCTGTAGGTGGTACAATTCAAAGATCGTCAATACATGTAGTTCACAATTTCACGAAAATAATCAAACAAAGTGCTACGTAATTGACAACAAGGCAACATTTTGGCGCCGCAAAAAGGGCAAGCCGACCTGCACATCACAAAGGGGCCTAAAAAGAATGAAGTAGCAAAAGCTGATTGGACGCTTCTGTTACCTCAGTTACCAACTCAGGAGCCGTTGATACGCCTCAGTTACCAATTTTGTATAACTGCATGGCTGGTCTTTGCGCACTAAAATAGGACAATATGTATGCCAGCAACAGAAAGGGGAGGCAACTGTATCTACAACAATTGTATCTATCTACCTGCTCAAAGTATCTCAGCCGCAGTGTCTCCGATAATATTTAACAAGCCCTCACCGATTCGATGCTCTTGAAGTCTGATTAACTGTGAATATTTGACGTCATTCTTTGAATGCCCTGTCAGCGGCTTGTAAAGGATTACCTTATCTTATCTTAACTGTGGAAACCAACTGAAAGGATGTCAGGTGGAGTTTACGAACTAAGTGTTTACCAGTTTGCTTGTGGGTTTTACTTTTACTTAGTTTGATTAGAAATGTGAATTACATAACAGATAAGGGCGAAATTAACAGATAAGGGCGAAATTGTAGCGAAACTCCGATATAAGGACTTTTGTCGTTGCTAGTTATAACATCGGTTTTATGATTTTATGGTGCCACCGCCACGTAATTTTATTTTTACATTCTTTCTGTCTTATTAAGTTTGGAAGAAGTAAAGCAAAGGATTCAGCACATGTAAGCTATAAATGCGTTGCAAAGTTGAGTTGTGTTTTATAATTTTTATTGTATTTTGATACGGTAGTTCGGGAAATTTGCCATGGAGTCAGAGGCATTCGGTAGCAGTTGCCGGTATCACTACGAAGGCGCTGACTACATTGGAAAAGGCACGTACGGAATAGTCTACAAAGCAGTGGTTACAGATGCGGGAGATTTCACTGGAGATACGATCGTGGCCGTAAAGGTGGTCCATTTGTACCGAAGAACAGATTCAGCAGGTCAGTCGGTTTTTTCCGACTGGATCAAGCGGCGTGGGAGATTAAATACCCTTCTTACCTTGCGACACGCAAACCTTGTGTCATACCATAAAGTAACTTTTTTCAACGCACCAGGAGGAGATTATGTCGAGCTACTGATGGATTACTACCAAGGTGCGTCGATTTGTGCAATTTCATGCTACAGTAGGAATATTTCATAATTTACATTTACATAGTTACTTAGCTGTGTGTTTCAGATACTTACTGTAAACAGTCTTATTAATTTAGATGGTGACCTGGCGTCATCCATAAAAAAACTAAAGGAGAACGAGCAAGTCCTGGAATACAGACTGGCTCTGCGCTATATGACAGAAATCGCTAGTGGACTCGACTATCTGCACCACAATAATATTATCCACAGTGATTTAAAGCCAGAGAATGTTCTTATCAAGAAAGCGGAGCATGGCCGCGGCCCGCAGCATATTGCGAATCGGCGATCTGGATGACCTAGTGGAAATGCAGCGTAGTGTCACATGTTCGGTAGACGTAACGCATCTGCGAGGCACCACACAATACATGTCACCGGAAATGGTCAAGAAATTTGCGGGTGTGTCGAATGAAATCCCGGGAAGGAAAACGGATATTTGGAGTCTCGGTTGCATTATGCTCGAGCTAGCCAACTGTGCAATGAAATTACAGGACCTATGGATCCAAAAGAATGGGAAAGTAGTCGAACCTGGAAATATGTTAAATACGCGTTTCTTTACAATGGTCATTGATGGAGGTGTGCCATTTATAGACAGTTCTTTGTCCGTTGATTTGGCATCTTGTATTCAGGACTGCCTACGTCCGAAAAGTGAGAAGAGGATATCCGCCAATGAACTAGTCTCCTACCTATCTGCAACAAGGTTCCATGGTGGAGTGAGACGACTGGAACAGGCGCTCAATGTGGACACTCTTTCCGCAAAGCATGTAGCTTTCTTTCATTTTACCGCCGATCCTGATCGGTCGTGGCATGTACGTTGCAACGTACCACTCGTGCACAGAGACTTGGTATCGATGCAGTGCTATAATGTATGGACCAGCACTTTGAGTAAAACTTTGCTGCCTAGCCATATCCATGGGAACTTCCTGTATCCCTATGTTGCCATAGGTAAACAAGGAGTTATCTGCCAAACTACCGATTCTCACCTGGAAGGTGGCAGCGTTAATACATTTGTGTGGAATACCGCAAAACAGACCTCACGGACTCTTTATATCTCGGATTCTTCTAGTTTGTTCTACCATCCGATAACAGTGGAGAATATGCTTTATTTCTGGGACCAACGAGCAGTAGACATGGATTTCAAAAGAGTCAACATCTTGAACGGGAGAGTCGAGTCCATAGCTGGACCAGAAGATAAGCGACAGTAAGAGCTACATTTGTACATTGTATGTTTTAACTTGTACAAGACATACCGGTAATTGTATAGGTGCAAAACGTGACCGATATATTACTGAGATTCGAAGTACATAGTTATGTTTTAGCGTGGCTAACTGACCTTTTTATAATGAACAGGATGGATAGCATAGTGTGTGGAGCACTGCTGGATCATAGAATAATCTATATAGCAGCATCAGTAGCGTGGCCAACAAGGGATTCAACACAATTCCATTGTTATGATACGTCAACGGGGGAGTGGAAATGTTTGTATGGGCTTCCTAACGATCGAATTGGGTGTGAATTGATAGCACTCCAAGGCAAAATCTACATGTTGGGTGGGGTTGCTGCCGGTACCCGCCAAAGAATCTTAAAAACGTGCTATAGAGTATAGACTTGACATGGATACTCGTCGCTGGAAAAAAATAGGTCCTCTACTGCAAGCGCGATGCTTTCACTGTGCGTTCGCAATGGATGGCCATATATACGTTTTTGGCGGTCGCGGCTGGGGAGGTACAGTGGTTAAAACAATGGAAAGATACGATATTGACAGTGATCGATGGTCGGAAGTGGACCTTCGAGTAGCAGATTCTGATCTCTGGCCGTTCCCGATATTTTCCGGCGCTTCTAGATTTTCGCCAAAATATTTTCGCACAAGAAGCGCAATACTGTAAACTGTTTCAAAGTAATTTGATCTATTGTAGCAACTGCTCTGTGAGTTGATTACAGTTAGCAAAGTACGTATTTCCGAGGCAGGACACTATTGTACGTATGTTAGTTAATGCATATTCTCATCATTCTGGCACAGAGATTACATAGTACATGTGATACTCGTATATGTATATGCTAATGAGTGTGGAACAGTGTGACACTGTCACTGCAAAAGTGCGACAATAATTTCTCCAAGAATACTGGGTAATATTAAGTACTTCAAGCTCAAGGTGCAGTTACCAGTAGTAAAAACGAATTATACCATCTGGAAAAAAATGAGGCTCTTCTGTAGGAGGACTTGCTAACCCAGGAATTAAAAAGCGAACTGAACATCTTGAATGTAGGTAGCAAACATTAAAATGCATAAAAGTGTGTGGGAGCATTACAGCCTACAACAGGAAATACTGACAGCCGCCGTTCCGAAATTTGAGAATGTCGTTCAAGATAAAACGAAGATGTTTGTGGCCCAGAAAGCTGTTGAGTGTTAAAAGCGCAAAGCAAAGCATAGAGAACTGAAAAAAGTAACCCATAACTTATACTGTGTTCTGTGGAAGTAACACTGCGAGGCACCACACAATACATGTCACCAGAAATGGTCAAGAAATTTGCTGGAGTGTCAGATAAAATACCAGGAAGAAAGACAGACATCTGGAGTCTTGGCTGTATTATGCTGGAGCTAGCTAACTTTGTTATGGATCTGCAAAATGTATGGCTCCAAGAGGGTGGGCATGTGGTCGACATCTATAACATGCCAAATACACGCTTCGTGACAACGGTGATCGACGGAGGTCTGCCATTTCTAGAGAGTTCGCTGCCGTTAGATCTCACATCCTGCATTCAGCACTGCTTGTGCACGAATACCGCGGAAAGGATATGCGCCAGTGAATTACTCATACACTTATCCACAACGAGATGCCATGGTGGAGGACTGGAGCAAACGACCAATGTCAAAACGGTTTCCGAGACCCAAGTACTCTTTTTCATATGATCGCGGATCCCGAACGGTCGTGGCACATCCGTTGTAACGTACCACTAGTGCATAGAAATTTGGTATCCATTCAACTCTTCAATGCAGCGACCACCACACAAAGCAAAAGTATGCTGCCTGATGAAATCCACGGTAAATTCTTGTATCGTTTTATTGCCATAAGGAAGTATGGAATAATTTGTCAGACAACCGATTCTCACGTAGATGGCGCCTCCGTTAATGCTTTCGTATGGAATTATAATATTATTCAAGACAAGCCTCGCGCCCTCTTTATATTTCCGATTCATCCGTTTTATTTTATCGCCCGATAACGGTGGCAAATACAATTTATTTCTGGGACCATCGAACAACAACTGTAGAATTTAAGAGAATCAATATTTTTGGCGGAAAGAACGAGTCTTTATCTGGACCGGGAGATAAAGAACCGGTAAGCATAATCTAGTAATTTGAACGATTTCTTTTCGTAGATATCTGTATGTGCGCTAGGCCGCTAGTGAAACTTTACCTTTCAGAATGCACAGGATAATCGAAGTAGTTGTGCGGAACCATGCTAGACCAGATAATAATTTATTTATATGACTTCCTCAGGTTTGCCAGAGAGCCGTTCTCTACCAGTACAAGTGCAGTGTTTGGACATGATAACCGGCAAATGCAGCTATGTATTATCAAGGACTTCCTAGCAATCGAATGGGGTGCGAGATCAATTTTAGCTTCTCCCGTCTGGTCTAGAACTTCCAAGCATGCATTGATACCTTCTCGGAATACACTGTCCACAAAGCAGTTGAAGCTCTTCTTTCTTCTTGAGCTACCTTCGTAGAACTGTCTGCACATTACCAACCAGGCAGATACTGTATATCGGCGGTGTATATCTTGCAGCGGGCATTCGTAGCTGTCCAGGTTTCGTTTCGGCTCTCGGTTGTACAACCGGCCGAATTCGGGTGCAATAAACCAGCAGGATTTGTTGAAACCTGAAAAAAGCACAACCTGGAAGCTTCGGGTCAATTTAAAGTAGTATTATTTTAAAATTTTTGATGGTTAAGAACAGTCACACTTTGCGAAAGCAGTGGTAGAAGTCGCGTTTTTACCAAGACTTATTAAAAGTTCGTATAGGTATGCTATAAGATACCCCTAAATAAATTCGCCGGCTGCTCGTACATCGGTACTTGCAGGTCCATTTATTCATACTGCCTGCACAAGGTGGGCCTGTAAGTGCCGATGTGCGAGCGCCGGCGAATATCTTCGCTGATAGAAAACAAGGGGCAAGAGCTGCAAAACGTATTGGTTAGTTTTGTATCACGAGTAATTACACGGAAGAATTATTTCGCTGCTCAGTTCGTTACCTGTACTGGCGATATTGTTTTTGAAAACACTGCACCAACATGAAACAGAAGTGTCGCGAAAGAGAAAAGTAATACAACTTGTGTATTAGTCAACCGAATCATCTTCACAAAACAGTAACTAATACAGTTTCAAGTAAGCCGTTCGGGATATTGTGTAATTATACGATGTGGAAGAATGTAGTTTTCGTGCGCATGTACACGAATTTGGTACTGTACCATGTACAGTACAGTAACAGGTCAAATCTCCTGAAAGTTAAAAACTTGCGGTTGGATATGCCGGTTAAAGCGTTATATTTATACATATACGGTTTACCCTGATCAGATTGAAGTTCTGAAAAGACGTAAGTGCACTTTCGGTGCGGGACTGGGCAGGGCTGCTTGGCAGCATAATTAATTTGACTACTGATCTAATCGATCCGATAAAACATTTGCGATGTACAGTTTTAATATAAATACTCTCAAACATTGATTTCGAGAAAAATTAATTAGCTGCTTGTAAATATTTGGAGTGGCAGACGCTGAAGCAAATCACGCCTAAAACTTTTTCACGCAGTTGCATAACCGAATACTAGTTTTTTTTGCTACAGTACTTGTATAGTTGTATTTACAAGTTGTCAGGAAACTGTAAGAGCTCTAAATTAATATCTGTAGTTTGAGTAATTTAAATTACACATATGGAATCTGCCCAGTCGAAGTTATACTAAATTTATTTTGTCAAATTCGATACCAGCCAAACCATTTTGATTCATTTCTGTCATCCCATTTTTTCTATAATGCTTTCATCCCACCGTGTGCAGTCCACTTCGAGTATTGCAAATTTTGTAATTTTACGAAGTGCATTATTCTCGTTTGTAAATTGAATTGTTTTGATTTCTTTATGTACATTTTGGCGATAATTTGCAAAACTTGTTTTTTCGACTGGCATTTTTAAGAAATCTCGTGCCCTACACATTAGTCATTGTCAGTTTTTTTCCTAGCGCGTTTTTGGGCTGAGAGAAAAGTATACTAGCAAAACAGTGAGCTCTGCCGGAAATGATGTGGAGTACAGTGGATAATCAAAGCCAAAATTAGGCGTTAATTCTCTGTACGAGTGCATCATGTTCATCACTGTACCAGTTTTGTATTTAGAATGTACAAGCTTCTCGTCACTCCAGTACACCGGTAGGAACCGTATGTCGAATGCTGTTTATTCTGAAACGCCATGATTCACCACAGTTACAGCTGTAGCAAGTACGTATCAGCGGGATACTCAACGCAAGCCGGATGAATGGAATAAACGACAAATGTCAAATGTGTACACATCAACATGTATACATTTTGTCGTTCATTCTAGTTATCGAACCTGTGACCTAAAACTACCGCTAGGAGCTTGATATTCCAAAAACTTAATTATCAAAATAATTAGTAATACCGCAAGAACATCATAAACATGGCGTTAATATTGATCTGCTCGTAGTTCTTTGTCGTCGCAACACGCAGACGTACAGTATGTAACGTATAATAGGGGCTTTGCGTTGCAACTTGTATGTCACACAAGTTAGCACCCATCCATATAAGTAAGACTTCCGGCCGTCGAAATTGGTTTGTGCGTATGGCTTAAAACGAGCTGGTGTGCGACACGCGTGTAGATGTGACCAGCTCGCTCATAAACATGCAAGTAGCCGACCTGACTGCCAGTCAATCCCCAAAACTTGCAGCACGCTTCTTTCGTTTGCCTCTCAACAGAACTTCCCAATCGATATACCAAAAGATAGAGAATTAATTTTCAAACTTTTTGGAATATAGCAAGTGAAAATCTATGGCAAATCAAGAAAGTTATGGCTGTTTTGGTTTCTCGTAAACAAAGCATAGGCCCGTGTGAGGAGGCGTTGCTTTCATCCTATGCTAAGTCTATGAGAAACTAAAACAGCCATAACTTCTTCGTTTGCCATAGATTTCCACTTGCTATATACCAAAAAGTTTGAAAATTAATTCTCTATCTTTTGATATGTCGATTGGGAAGTTCTGTTGAGAAGTAAACGAAAGACGAGCGTTTGAAATTTCGAGATCCACTGGCAGTTCGATCAGTTTCGTTTATGTATGCATGCTAGGGGGTGGAGTTACATACATACGCGTAAGGCTCTTACGAGTATGCATTTTTGGCACCGCCCTCACACAAGCACACATCTAATTTGCGCGGCAGCGAATCGCCGCATTGTGGGTTCGGCCATGGCGTAACTTGTATTGATGGGTCCTTAGTTGTGTAGCATACAAGTAGCAACGCAAAGCCCGGAATAATTATACTATATAGATGCAGTAAAAGTATCCAGTGTATCTGTTCATTCTGTTGTCTAATTCAAACAGTCACAACCGGCATAGTGTTTGCCAGCCGGTGCACTTGACGAGAAAAACTTGTCAGCGCAGCGTGGTGCAGCAATAACCCGCACGGCTCCGGTGTCCAAGTTCGCACAATAATACTGTAAACTGGCAAAATGTGTACGAGTACACACACAACAACAATACCCAGCGATTTGCTAGCTTTATTGACTGCAGACGGACCCCTTCCGGCTGCCATAATCTCCCTAACGGCTAACGTGCCACCGATCCAGGGACCGCTGCGCAGCGGCGGCGTTTACGCTGTTACCAGAGCGCCGGGGTGCTTAGTGGTACAAAGTGTGGCAGCCGGCTTGTCGTCCAGCTAAATGGCAACATCAGTAGAAGCCATCGATCTTGTTGAGAGTTTGGGATAATGTTGTGATTGCCGATTACCCGGTCCCCTTTTAACTCAATCAATTTTACACGGTTCGATATGCTGTCTGTTTGCTCTCCATTCAGCCATGGTGTGGATTAGCATTGAGTAGAGTCGGGGGCTTTTTTGTCCGTGTAATGCGTATAGACCGCAAACAGTTACGCCAAATTTAAGGAATGCATTGTGCAACAAACTAAGGGCTATTACTGTACAGTACAATTGCTGAAATACCACAAATTTACTAATGTGAGTAAAACAAGAATCCAGGCTTTTTTGGTGGGATTACTTGTCATTGCATGTGCGTAAAAGTCACACATGATTATAATCACCATCGGTTCTTTCTTTATTTGAAGTAAGAGGAAAACGAAACTGCTGAAATCATAATTGTGCCCTGGCTAAATTTATACATTTATACATGTGAAACTGAAAGCACTGGCCACCAGAGTAAAAAGAAACTACAGAAGCGTTGATCTGTCTGTCCCAAACAATGCTTCGTAAAATTTAATTGTAGACATTAAAAAAACTGCCAACTCTTTGTACTGAAAATGTCTCCACTTGTCTTTATTAAATGAGGCCTTGTGAAAATACTTTTCTATTAGTAAGTTAAGGAACAAATAACAAATATTTGCGATTTATGTGTTTAGCTTTTAACGGCATGTGCTTTGAACATAACGTTTTTTATGTATACCTCAAATATATAAAATGGTTATTAAAGCCAGCTGCCACGTGATATCGTATTATTAATAACATAGTATTGATTTACAGATATATAATTATTAAGATACATTTTGTGCTAATACTCCACGAACACGCTAAAATAACAATTACTGTTCGCGTATCTGGGATTTGTTTTTACTCCGTAATTCACGTCATTCCCAGCCACAATATAAAACCGCTACAAAGCGAAACTGCGTACGCGCAAGTTTCAACAGCTGAAGGAGCACCACAGGAACGGAATCGGTGTGAATTTGTTATTCTGGGAATTTATTTGAAATTGCCGCAGTAACAAAACTATTAAGAAGCGCGGGGTCTGCGGCCACACTTCCGGTAGGTGAATTAGATTACTCCTCATCGGGCAGCACTTGTTATACCGCCGGGCTGCTGTTCAGGTTGGTGATTAATTTCGACTGCGGTACAATAAAAGCGCCCTGTTTGCCAATAATATGATCCGCAAACTGTGTAAATAATATCCGATAGTCACCACTCTCGGTTATAATGTGCGTGCTCCATAAATATGCATACACGATAACAGAAGCGCGTATATAAACATGCAGTATCGCTGCGGGGCAGTATAATATCCATGCCCATTTAATTAAGTAATCGATGGCAGCGTGTTACTATTTCATTCGCGTGCTATATGGACATACACTATCGGGGTTGGTAAAGTTAAAAACATCCACGATACACAGTAGTGATATCGTGATCTGACCTCTAACAGCAACAAACAAAATCAGCGAAATGACCCTTGGGTGTGAAAACGCGGTTGAGTTTCGATAGTTTTTGAAAAATTTTTTTTGTATGTTTGTAAATAATCATGTCTATCTTTAGATTTTAATACTACCGTAAATAAGCCGGCAACGGGATTAACCGGGACATCACTCAGAAAAAAGATTTTATGAGTGAACTATAGCAGAATATAAGCGTGCCAGCTTTGTTCTTGTGATTTGTTGTTGTAGGAAGTTTTTTGCAGTGAAATGGCCATATTAATTCAATGCGACTGTTCCCATAATTATTAAATTGATATAGTGGAAAATGGGTCTATTCTATTATTTTATTTTTCGGCCTGTTCTGTGGTATTGTTTTCCTTAGGATTTTTTTTCATCGATTACATCGCCCATTTTCTTCACCGATTTCAACGCCCACATATATAAGTTGTATCGCCACAATTATATAATACTGTATCAGTGTATCATAAATACTGGTTCAAAAGCCGCACTCACAATCAGAAAGTCGAGCTGGATAAATCTCCAGTCCAGTATTCTAAAATATTACATTATTTTATTTTTTCGTTTATGCGTTTTCCTTCTTCGTTTCCTTATTTTTTGCTTGACGCCGTAGGTGTTTGAAATTTTCTCCATGTTTTTTTTATTATTGTGATTATTGTACCGGTTATTCATCCTCGGAAGTGACGAAATAGATGCAAAAAACATCTGCTATATAGTAACACCATAATTCCGGAAAACGGCACAACTGACAAGCAAGTTCAAGGTTAATCCCCCCGATTCATCGATAGTTCATCCAGATCGGTTATCCTGCTCACTGTGTTCCTTATCGTAAACTACGGGCACCGCTACTGCGTACAAAGTACAGTCCACGGCCCGAACGTCCGGTTGGCATAATTTCCCCGGCTGCCGACAGGGCGCACGCCACACCGCAAGAGTCTGTTATCACACGGAACCACATTCGTAGTATGTCGCGCCAAATGACGTACTGGTGCGACCACGTACGTCGGATGTGTATCGCTCTACCTTAACGGCTGAAACATCCGCCGATGGCACTGTGCGATATACACATGCCGGCATACGGTACCTTGATACACTGCTGTGTTGATGCCTGTTAGCGATATATACCGCCGAGTAAATTTTTGCACAGCAAAACTCTCAGCCGTGTGTTTACCGTAGCTGAACAGCTGCCGGTTGTAGCATTATTACATACTTGATAAAAGCGCTTCGTTCAGCAGCCGTGTGTGCTGTCCAATGATGTTTTGTTGAATACATTCCGCCGCAGCGCAAACATTATTCTCATACTGCCAGCAACCTGTTTGTACGGAATACACATATTATCCGCATAATCAACACACCGCGTGTTAGCGTTATTATCTGCCTGAATAATTGCAACAAATCAGCGGCCATTTGCGTAGTAACTGATTCCCGGCGCGGAGAGAGGTTAGAGGGAGAAAAAATTGCCCATTATTGGTATAATTGTGTTTTATTGTTGTGGGAATTGATTTGTCGGTGAAACGCTTCCGTGGTCATGGGGGAAATGAAGGACGACTCCAGTCTTACCATCCATCTACAGTGCGGATTAACCCGCGAACAGATCAACTGCCGCTACAGTGATCTGAGCCTGCGTTTCCTGAAGGAGACGGCATGTCTCTTCATCGAGCGCAAATTTCCCACCCATGGGCTAACCAACGTCCAGGACAGTATTATGCTATTCCGGCATGATTATAATGCCAAGAATATTCTGGTACATTTGGAGACGGTGTCGGAGGTGACGGATGGGATTCTGCTGGAGATCTTCGTCTCCGGGCGGCCGATCGCCAATGGCGCCGGTGCGGCCGACTGCCGGCCGCATTCCTATGTGATCCACAGCTATAAGAGTCCGACCTTCTGTGATCACTGCGGGGGACTCCTCATGGGGCTGGTGCGGCAGGGACTGCATTGTGAATACTGCGGGCTGAATTGTCATAAAAAGTGCGCATACAATATTCCCAACTACTGCTCCTATGCGCTGGCCCGCCCGGTGATGCATACACAGGAGTCACGTGATTCCACCATGTCGGGTGTATCGGGGCATTTGGAGGTAAGGGATGCGGGGAGGGGTCATTCATTATTCACGCTTGTCTTGCTGGGTTAATTGCGCGTTCCATTTGTATTATTGGTTTTTCTTGGAGAAAATGGCAGATTGGTAACTAATCTGTAGGTTGTTTATATGCCCGGCATTTGGCGACTTTATAAAAACGCCATTGGAAATGCCATCAAGGTTGTGCTAGATTAATAACTAATCATAGACCTGTAATCTGTTTACACGTTAACAGTAATTATCGTACATTACTCCATGCCATTTAACTGCGATCGTACATTCGTACATACATGTACCGATATGCATGTCCCTATAATGTCTTATTGTTAACTCTTTTTCTGTTCGGTTAGTTTATTATTTATTTTTCTTAATAATTATAAGTGCTTGAAAAATAATTGCCGATGGTCGAGGTATCAAGGGTGATTTGCGTACCATTGATTTGAACTTATTGTTTTCGATATTGGTTTGAAGCGCACTGCGTCAATTTTGGGTCCCATATATATTCAAACCAACCAGGTCCGGGTATTTTTGTATATAAATTTAAAGTCAACGGTTTATGTAGTCCTGAGAATCCGGAAATGCTGTGTTAAAGTCGGTCCAGACACGCTGTATCACTTATCTTTACATGAGCAAAATTTTATGTGATACAATGAAATTTTGTTCTAATTTTTCTTGCCAGAACAAAAATTTGTAAAAAATGCCGTGTATTCTCTGTTCTCAAGTTTTTTACCAGAATAATTTTATGACCATGCAGTACGTGAAGAACTGCGTTTCTGTTGACAAAGGCACAGGTGACAGCCACTTGTAGATAAACTTCTAAATAAATAAAAATAGCTTCTGGCACAATTATTAACACGCCGAAGTTGAAAGGTAGCCATAAATCAGTCAAAATTTTTATTGGCCGCGGCTTCCTTTCCGGAATGATTCATGTTGTATTGTGTTTTCAAACAAGGACTGCAGCTGGCAAACACAACACAAAATACTATCCACATCAAATAATACGACACAATTTCTTAGAAACCAACTATGACGGGCTTCCTGAATTTTTATCACGATCCAAAAAAATATTTATTAAATCACCGTAATAACGGAAACCGGCGCTAATATATGCCATTTAAATAGACGAAAGGTAAAAGAAATCACAATTTTTCGACCAAAATAGAGTAATATTATTAGTATTTATAGTTTTCAGCCGGTTCGATTGAAATATAATTAGTAGAAATTATTATATTTCAACCGCATTATGTAACGTGTTACTTGTGCAGGTACCGGCCAGTCAGAAAGATCATGTCCGCCTCCGCTCCCCATCACGCTCCTCCACATCCATCCGTCCACCGATCATCGACGAGATAATGACCAATCGCGTGAAAGTGCCGCACACCTTCATCATCAAATCCTACAATAAGCCCACCGTGTGCAAATACTGCAATAAGCTGCTGAAGGGCCTCTTCCGGCAGGGACTGCAGTGCAAGGACTGCAAGACCAACTGCCATGAGAAGTGCGCCCAGAGCGCCCCGGCCGACTGTGCCGGCGAACCGCCGTCCATGGCCTCGCCCACCGCCGTCGGCCAGACGGACTCCACGTCGGATAGCGGTTCCACGCATAACTTCGATATGACCGATATGGAACAGGAAGTGCCCAGTCAACATCAGAACACACCGCCGGCTCCGCACCGTAAGTGTAGTGCAGTGCGGTGTTCACCTATGCACCTTCGACTGTCTGAATGCAACGGCGCGGGGCCTATAGAAATTTTACAATAATTAAAAGCAGCAAACTCTATAGGATTTTACAAAAATTAAAAGATCTTTAGATTTTAATAACCGGTCTCCATACAAAATACGTATAAAATACGGTACGTGGACTTTATAAAGGGCAATCCTGGATACCTATACTATATATCAATCCATTTTACATACATACATAAGATTTAGGTAGTTGTTTAGCTTATTAACATGCTGTAAAATAAAGCAAGTGCGGTCATGCTAATCATAGCTAAAAGTTTAAGGATTAAAATAAGCAACCGCAATTTGATCTACTGAAATAAATAATTATAAATTGATCAACGGTTCAGTGGCAGATGGAAGTAGCTAATTTTGTGATGGTTTTTAATGGAATGGAAAAACGGCTGTTTGAGTTTTTCTGACTATTTTTTTGTTACTATTTACGGTAATATGCCGTAGCTGTCATGCAGAAAACGCCAGTTTTCAAAAGATAAAGTCAGAATTTTCGGTCTGCAGAAACAGCATCACGGAAATTAAATACTCCTTTTTGTTTAACTGGAAGATCATAATTTTTTTGATAGTAATAATTATTCTTTCATGAGCGAGTTATTCAAATTTCATGGTCAAAGAAGGCACCCTGAAGATCATGTTGTTGTACCGTGCCGGAGCATAACACCGGCAGCGGAGGGATTCTGCAGCGGTGGAAAATTGGCGGGTGTAGGCGTTGTTGGTCGTTTATGGGAACGCCGGCAGATGGGGTTGATAGGGGTGCTCTCGATAATTGATAAGTGCTATTTAGGTAATGCGCTCAGCCCATCAAGAGCATCCATACTCCGCGCAATATTACTTCCATAACGCTTTTCTAATCATTTCACATGTAATAATGTATACCTCACACACACGTTAGCCAGTGCGTTTCGTGCGGCAAAAATTAAAATCCCCTTTTATACACGTATAATAAGAGTTTTGAATTACCCGCTCTCACCGAATCATCCAAAACCTATGCAAATTCTCTGCAGGCGCTGGCAACAATAATATTCTTAATTTTCGGCATATGCCGTATTTAACCGTTAATTCATGATGAATTATTATGATTTATTTTTCTCAATGTGGATTATAGCAAAGAAATTCTTCGGTCGGTGATATTGAATTAATTTTAAAATCTGTACAGGTAGTACTCAAGTTTACAAGTGCCGGGTAAAAGCATAGAAGCTTCAATTTCGAATATTTGTTTCCTGTCTGAATTCAATGATGTTTGTCGCAGCTTCCCCTTACAGTTGACGCAACCTGCCGGCATACATGTCACACGCGCGACACAGAAAAAAAATTAGTTTTTCTGCCGTCAGTGTATACCTGATGCCGACGCACAGCAGTAACATACCGGCACCTATGCAACAATATCTTCCGGCCAAATTCATAAAACCTCTTTCGTGAAAAAGCAGTTTTTACCAATGCGGCGATTATTTCCGTTGGGCAACCGTCAGAGACATTAGACTATAGAGCTCAACGAGAACGAGATGATCTCGCTGTAATTTAACAGGATTGCCACAATGTGAATTAATTTAATCATACTCATAGCGTCATTGAAAAAGGTTTCCTGGAGGGCAAAGAGAACAGGGATTTAGGCCTTACGGGGACATGGAAGTAATTACTTGATTAAAAGCCGCTGATCGGCACGCACTTAGTCGCTCTGTGTGAGAAAGCCTGTCTGTAGAATCTGTGCAAGTTTACATGACACTGCTGCAGGGATAAGAAATACATTCATGCTCATGTGACAATTATCCAGATTATTCGCCATTCTAATGTTCGCCGGGGCAAGAAAGTTAATGACAGGAATAACGTCATCCAGGAATTGGGGGATAAGAAAAATTAGTTTCTCTCGGGGATGATTGTGCGCGGCGTGTCACGCGATCCCGACCTGATATATGTGATGAGTGGATAAAGAATACAAGAACACAATCCAGTTGCAACTTGCAAGCCCTATAATTAAATTGAGTAATGCTGCGAATTCCTCTACATTATTGATTTGTAGCCCAAAACACGAACGCTTCACTAACAGGAAAACTGGTTAATAAACGGTTTAAGGTGGTGCTTTGACAGCATAACTTAGCAAATGATGCAGATGCTGTTACATATATCAGACAAATATTTCTTTGTAATTATTATTATCTACACAACTGCATAATTTTCCACTATTAATACCAGCAACATAATCCTCCTGATATATTTTTCCGCAGAAATGGAGCACCTTGTAACATACAACATACATATAGATATACGTAAATACATACAAATGATACAGTCATGTAAATACATACGCACATACGTAAAATATTTGAGTTTTGATGTACCTACAGATACTAGCTGGTTTTTGCGTGTTATTGGCAGTTTCCTTGATGCATTTATGAATCATAAATTATGATTACAAAAGTAGATGTGCCATTAGTATTGACACGTACAGCAGTTAAGTGATGTATTATTCGTAATTATGTTGGCATGAAAATATGGCCCTTACGTACCTTAGAGTTTGCGTATTGACACATCGTCACTAGTTACGTACATATAATGGCACTTGCTTTACGTTGCTAATGCGTGGTCGATTTTTAATTAGACGAAACCCGGGGCGATCAGATAACCGTCCGCCGTATCCACCAGACAATGAAAACCGGCCCCAAGGAAGTATTACCCTCGTTGAAGGAAGGCTGGGTGGTGCACTTCACCAGCAAGAATCCGACCCGGCTGAATCACTACTGGAAACTGACCTCCAAATATATTGTCATGTATCAGTCCAACATTGACCAGTCCGTGTACAATAAAATCTACCTGGACAAAATCTTCACCATCGATCCGGGTGTGCAGTACCCGGCACCGCATACCTTCCAGCTGCGCACCAACAACATGGTGTTCTACATCGGCGACAAGCCGCAGTCATCGGCGGCGGAAGAATGGGCCATCCGCATTAAAAAATCGCTGATGCCCATCGGGCGGGCCGAAGGTGTGGAGCGACGGGATAAGCTGTTTGCCGCACTGGAAGACGTGTTCGCCTACTATCAAATCTTTCCCGACGGGGTGCTTGGTGCCGGACAGTTTGGTGTAGTGTACGAAGCCACGTCGCGACCTACTGGAAAGCAGGTAAAATTTTTTACCTTTTCTAATCGGCAAACATTTAATCTTTAAAGCAGCATTAGTAGGCCTTCCGCACATATTACTGCTTAAAGCGGATCAAGAGATTCTTCAAATATTTTTTATTCGGCGATGGCCATAATTATTATAGCAACAATGAGCAGCAATCATTGTCACACCACTTAAAGAAAACGCTGAAAAAAATTACGGAATGTGAGTAGGATATTACTTTATCGAATTTTTTTATTAGAAAGTCATCGAATTTTTCGCCTTTACGTCAAAGCCTGAAATCAAGCCCTTTTACTACGTTTCTCACACGTTTGTCTATGATTCTGTGAGCGTATAAAACTCTCGCCTGTGAAAGTCAGCGACACATGTGGCACACTGGCACGTAAAAACGTTTTTTTTAAATGGAGTCTGACGAGTAACGATTTTATTCTATGACAAATACATGTCGGCTTTCTATATAAATTTTAGTCCGGTGGTTTCTATTCTGGCGGTCTGACGGAAGTAGAAATAGTCCATGCATTATGCAGCACTTTTTTCGCGTTGCAGCCGCAAGAGTCGTTAACGATTAATGAGGAACACTGTGTTTTTGGTTATTAGGTTGCCATTAAGGTCACAGATAAGCCACGCCTCTCCGAGAAGGAAGCCATCCGCATGAAACAGGAAATCGAAATACTCCGTTCCCTCAATCATCCGGGCGTCGTCAATGTGGACGGGTTCTTCGAGAACCAACAGCACGTGTTCATTGTGATGGAGAAACTCTGCAGCGACATGTTGAAATTCATCCTGGCCACGGAGAAGAAACGCCTCCCCGAGCGCATGGCTAAATTCTTCACCTACCAGATCCTCACAGCCCTCGGCTACCTACACGCGAAAAAGATCGCCCACTGCGATCTGAAACCGGAGAACATTCTCCTCACCTCTGAGAGCGATTTCCCACAGATTAAACTGTGTGACTTCGGTTTCGCCAAGATCATCGGCGAGCAGAGTTTCCGCAAGTCCCTGGTCGGGACACCGGCCTACTTGGCGCCGGAAGCCCTGACCCGCAATAAACGCTACAACCGGCTGATCGATATGTGGTCCGTGGGGATTATCATCTACGTGTCGCTGGCCGGGGTGTTCCCCTTCAACGAGAACGAAGACATCTCCGATCAGATTAAGAATGCCGCCTTCCTCTTTCCACCCAATCCCTGGTCGGAGATCAGTGAGACGGCCATCGATCTGATCAAGCATGTCGTGGTGGTGGAGATTAAGAATCGTTTCACGGTGTACAAGGCCATTCAGCATCGGTGGTTCCTGGACTACCAGATGTATGCCGATCTCCGGAAACTGGAGAGCGATGTCGGAGTGCGCTATCTGACGCATGAAGTGGACGATGCACGCTGGGAAGAGTACCGTCGCAGTCGCAATCTGCCGGGTTTCGCGCCGGCTCAGCCGGATTATGCGTCGGTTAATTATGAGGACAGTGATAATGAGGGATCAGATATGGATGAAGATATGAATCTTTAAGCTGCGGGTTGGATTTTATTCGTTTTATAATCATCCCACTATACTGGATTGCATTAGATTATTCTATAACGCGATAAAAAATGAAGAAGTTTCGGCTAATTTTTGTTCATTAATTGTTGCCTAATATTACCTAGTATGAGTATGAACGCAAAGAGTTTTGGTACAGATTTTTCGTAACTTATGTATAAAATTTTTCACTTAAGCATGTTGGTTATGTACTGCACCATTTCAAGTGCACGCACATGGATGACTTATGACAAGATTAAAATTAATAAAATTGTTGCAGATGTGCCGACGTAGCGTAGCTGTACGCGCATCACTGTACCTATCTGTACATACGGTATGGATCTGTAAATACTTTAATGTACCGTATCTGTACATTGTATCATAGTAATTGTACATTTGCACTGTACATAATAATTATTGTTAGCATCTTATTGCCAGTATCTGTCTTTTGAAAAAAGCTATGCGGACAAAGCTATGGCCGCGCAAATATGTTTTCACTGCAGTAGCTTTTAAGTACATGGAGTAATTTCATTTCCTACAGTCAAATCATGAAATCGGCGTGTGACATATCCCGTCTCTGTAGTGTCTATGCACTACAATTTATGGTGCTAGCCTCTCAACTGCAAGACTTTTAATTCTGCTTACTACTGTGATGTGCCAGTCCGCACGATTATGCGACACTTTCCGTCAATCAAAACTTGAAAACTGATATGCTAACAACATTTTAAAAAGACAGAAAATGGACTAAAGCATACCAGAGTGTAGGACGACCTTGTAAAATCAGCGCAAGATGCACTCCACAATCCAAATCCGTAGAGCATCCTGCCTTGGCGTTTCAAAGCATACACCACGTCCATGGCGGTGAAGGTCTTGCGTTTGGCATGGTCAGAATAGGTGACGACTTCGCCGATAACATTCCCCAGGAAGAGCGTCACTACGCCGCGCGTCTCCTCGTATATCAAACCAGAAATACGCTTCATTCTGCCACGATTCTCCAGACAGTGGATGGCTAGTTTGGTGACGCCTTGGATACTGTCACGGAGGACTTTACGGTGACGCTTGGCACCTCCTTTTCCGAGACCTTTACCAACATTTCCACGACAGTCATTGTGAATGTAACTTTGCCAAAGCGATAAAATCAAAAAACGTATTTCAACGTCTACAGCACGCAACCCAACCACACAAAGAATCCTGCAACAGAAATATACATGTAATTCCCGGTTGAGCAATGAGAGTATGACGGTTGCCGATTGATGACACATTATCCCACATAGGTAAGCACACCACAAATAGAAAAGGATTCGAAAAGAAATTTCGAAATTTCTGCCAGTAAAGCCGGATCTAACAATTTCTACATGTACCCGCATAAGTACCTTGTATTTATGCTTATAATAATTGTATTGCGTAAAAGCATTGTTTGCAAAATCTTTTCCCACTCTCTTTCTCCTTTTGTCTCAATAATACTGGGGCGTAACAATTCGGCATAAATGCATGTTTTTAGTTTCTTTTATGAACTTATTGTGTTGTTTTATATGACGTTTTGTTTTATTTTATAGAAGATGTTTTTCGTCTAATTGTGTGAATTTTTCTGTCCGCTACCCTTTGCACACGTAGAGCGGAAGCACCAGTTATTCATTCAAGTGTAAGCGTACGGTTAAAGAGCATCCCTAAGATAAGACATCATTGTTTGCTTTTGTAAAGCCAGACATCGTTGCAAACTTTGAATTACCGCGGTACAAACTGCATTTTCAGGTTTGCGGTGATGTGCGCGATATTATTATACAAGGTTGCGTAGTAAACAAAAGTCTATCTAATCGAACTGCAGTTCACTCAAGGTACTGTTGTAAGTAACATAATATGGAACCAACACGAAATTGGAACTGCAGAGTTAGTTGCAATTGAGTTGGACACTAATAATTTTTCTGCTTTTATCGGTTGTTGGTTTCTGTGTGCATTAAGCTTTTTCAATGTAGCAGAAATATCTAACAGACAATACAGGGATAACGATTAACTACTCACGCGAATTGCAGCGTTAAAATCCGAACACTGTTGAGTCATTCACAATGACGGAATACTGGACACTGGCCGATTGGATGTGGTGGTTCATCCGTTTTGCGATGGACTTCGTGTCCAGTCTGGTCTTCAGTATATTCACGTGGATCTTCGGTACGAGACAACGTCTGCCACCAATTCGATCGCAATTGCTACTTCAAAGCGCCATTTCCACGGCTAAACGAATCCGCGCCGGCGAAATCTCCAGTTTGGACGTAACTGAAGCGTACATCCAACGCATGAAGGATGTCAATCCTATCGTCAACGGAATGGTTGCCGACAGATTCGAAGCAGCCAGACGGGAAGCTAGCGAACTGGACCGACGCTTACGCAGCACCGGTTTTGACAATCTGGACCAATCAGAATTTTCCGAAGAACGTCAACCGTTTCTCGGCGTCCCCATATCGGTGAAGGAGAGCTGGATGGTTAAAGGGATGCCGTTCACGGCTGGTACACCGGCAAGGAAAGGGATCGTGGCGGAGGAGGACTGTGAGGCTGTACGACGACTTCGCGATGCCGGTAAACAGAGCGATTATAACTGATTCAGCAGTACTAAATTTTATAAAAAGTTATAAATTTACAGATCTGCAATTTTTTTACCTTGCAAGTTGGATTGTAAATGTAGAGCTAAATCTTGACGAAACGGGTACGCGTAGATCACAAATGACGAGCCACAACACTACGTATTCAGTAAAATACTTCACTCTGATTGGCACAACTACATACTTGAACATTATTCACGATAAAAACTATTATAAGTATTTTTATTACCAACGCAGATCAGAGTACTCAAAGAGTAAAAAGACAAAACATTTGCAAATTAAACTAGTTTTGTCAGAATTCATTTAATTTAAATCGCATTGTTTCTCTTTTCAATTTACGTTGCAATTGTCTGTGAGTCGCGAAGATACTTAAAGAGTCGCGAAGATTGGCTGTTCATGCGTAATTCGTGTTGCAAACCATGCATTTCCAACTGAGAATTATTCTTCGAAACTATTCCTAATTTTTAAGTTTTTTTCTAAATTGGAAAAAAGTAACTTTTACGAAGTACGACGAAAATTTAAAAGAAAGAATGGGAACTAAGAATGGAAAATTTCTAGATACAAATCCCATTGCGTTGTACATGTTATCCCGGGTAGTCGCAATCGTGAATTTCCTTTTTTAAAAGTTTTAAATTGAAATTTTTTGTGAAATAATAATGACGTTTTCATAGACACTAGTATGTTCGCCTTCCGAGCAACCTAATGCAAAGCAACATCGTAGGTGCCATAATTTTGGGTGTGACCAATATCCCAGAGATCTGCATGTGGTGGGAGACTAATAACAAGTTGTACGGGCGCAGCAACAACCCTTACGATCCCAACCGGGCAACTGGCGGTTCGTCGGGCGGCGAGGGCGTCATTGTCGGGGCAGCCGGATCACCGTGCGGATTGGGTTCGGATATCGGTGGCAGTATTCGGATGCCGGCCTTTTTCTGTGGGGTCTTCGGCCACAAACCCACCCGCGGACTGACGCCTCTGGAAGGCAAGTATCCGCCGGCCACAGATGAGTCAGCGCGGTTTGCGACTGTTGGACCGTTGTGTCGTTACGCGGAGGACCTGGCGCCATTCTGTAAAGTAACCAATGCGCTTCGTTTTATACAAAGTTTTTCGGACATTTTCGATGTAAATTCTCGATACAGGTTTTATTGGGACCGAATGCGACGGCCTTATCTCTGGACACGGAAGTCGATTTGTCGAAACTGCGCGTCCACTATCTACTGCAGATCGAAAATCCCTTCGTCACACCCGTGGAGCAGTGCATCAAAGATGCCGTACTGAAGGCGGTCTCGCATCTGACCGGACAGTTCAAAGCTCAGCTAGTCCCGGAAAAAGATTTTAAGAGTCGAATGGCAGATCTTCGTTATGCTTCGGATATCTGGAAAGCCGAGATCATCCACAACCCGACCCACAGTTATGCTGCCGATATGGTTAACGGAAAGGGAAAACTGGATCCCGTTCGGGAGTTCGGCCGCCTCCTTTGTGGACGGTCCGAACACACTCTGATTGCTCTGTATCTGGCTTGGGTGGAACAGCACAAACCGGATCCAGCTTTCCGGTACGTTGATGGTCTTCTTTTGCGAAAGTGTTTCCCCTTGTTCATTTTCCCTATATTACACGAACTGGAAAACCGAGCTCCTATGTTAGCTGATTGCAGTTGTGTTTACAGAAGCTATTATTGTGAAATGAGAAACAGGCTGGAAAGTGAATTTAGGAAAATTCTTGGCGATGACGGTATACTAATCCTTCCCACACATCCTCACACTGCACCCTACCACAACAGAGCCCTGGCCATGCATATGAATTTTATCTATACGTGTAAGGATACTTTTCTAGCTAAAAAGCGTTGGTAGATATGTGTAACTAGATAAAATATATCTAAAAAAGAAACAAAAATCAGATAAAATAAAATAAAATTATAAAAAGACAGTTTAAAAATATAAATTAAAAAGTAAAATAGAATTAGTTAATTATATTTTGCAAATATTCGGTGAAGCCAATCCGGGTTATTTTTTTAGCTGTTTTTAATGCCATTGGACTGCCCAGTACCCACGTCCCAATGGGATTGGACAAACATGGACTACCGTATGGTATCCAGGTGGTCAGCAATTTCCAACAGGATCGTTTGTCCCTAGCAGTCGCACGGCAATTAGAAAAGGCGTTTGGCGGATGGAGATCACCTTAGAGCTCAAGGATCACTGGGATAACTGCTTACATTGTTTCTAAGTATTACTTATTACTTCATAATGGGCGAAGAAAGGACCTGCTAAAACAACACAATCTGCATCGTTTTTTATGCGTTAGATCTTGACTATATGGCCACTTCTTTATTCTTATCTTCAGAATGGGTTTGGGTAAATAGGCGGATGCGCTTTATTCAATGAAAATGTTAAAAAAATATGAGCTATGGAATTTCCCAGTACCTAAAAGCCGTTGACCATCATTGCTTTTTATGCCGTACGGCTAACAAAAGACTTCGTAATCGCCATAAATTGTACTAGTAGACTGAATTCAAGCAAGCCTGCTTTTACACGTGGACCGAAATTTGCACTTTGACAGGACTACAAAGGCTTTCCGAAATAACGATAACATATCGCAATAGGCGCAGTACTACTGCTCACTGACCTTGGCTAAACTTCTATATCTGTACAAAAAAGTCGCGCTCGTCCACTTTCTATCTTGCGGTACTGCTACAATCATATCGAGCTGTGATTGTATTCTATCCGTTACGTTGTTGCTGCTTGTTTAATGTAAATTCTTTACCGTAATAGTAAAGCCACAGTAATCAGTATGCAGATATGTGCACGAAGTATCTGTACTCGTAATCTGTATCCTGACAGCGTAATATTGTAAGTTTCATTCGCAGCTTCATGCGCGGTTAACTACTGCAAATTCGGCAACAACACTATTATTTTATACTATTTTAAAGCGTTCGGAATGACATGGCCGACGTTCCGGGGGGATACTCATGTTCGCTCGGTGTGTTACTAGCAACAGGTGCTGCACTATTGGGTGCGCTATGGTTCTTCGTGTGGTCCAAGTGCTCGAAAGCCCTTCCAAGTAAGCACCAGTTTTTGCTGTGCAGTTAGACTACTACAATGATGTTATGTTATGTTATTCCTGTACCTGTATTTACACCAGTAGTTACGTATTTCCAGTAGTACTGTGGTAAGTTAGTGTCCAAAATTGTGCTCAAAGTTGGCTTCCAACGAATGTTAGTCAGTGCACCTACAGATACACATAGCGTTAAGTTTGGCTTTCAGTTTTTTTATACATATACTGTAGATGGCGGTGACCCGGCTGCGGCAAAAGCGTCTAAAGCGGCTAATAAACTGACCAAAATTGTGGATAGTCTGCAAAAACCAGCTGTTCTTCCACCCGTTGGCGAAGATCCGGTACGAAGTAACTCACAAAATTTTGACCGTTTTCTGCCTGGATTTTTCATTTTCTGTAGATTTCGAAAAAATGGGTGGCGCAAAAGGTGGTAGCGACAAGGCAAGCTGTGGGCACCCAGATGGCTCGTATCACTCGTCATATTGACCAGATAGTTGACTTAACCGCGCCGTCCGTACGGAAGCGAGAAGGTGTCGCTATTGAAGGATCGGTGAACACCATGTAAGCTGCTGAATATGCTTTCTCAGCTAATTATCCAGAACGATTCCGCATGTGCATATTCGTTAGTATCGATAATTTGGAAGAGATGGTGGACAGCGTTAAGTTTATTGCGGCTGTTCTGGAAGATGATAAGAAAGGAGATGAACTCTACAAAACAACACATAAATTAGTCGAAGCCGTTCGTAATCTGCTGGATACAGCAAGATTTGACGATGCTGTATGTAAATTTTTGCACGCTGGTCGTTTACATGGCGCTGTAGAATTAAAGAAAATTATTGCTTAACAGTCACGCCGTCAACTTCTGATGGAAGCTATCCGGGTGGGCGAAGCGGGCAAAGAGATCGTGCACTGCGTGAATAGTGCGGAATATCAAGATTCTTTGATCAACACTGTGGCTGATTCGACACCTAATCTTGAGGCATCGGTTGGAGCTATCACCCTGAGCACTTCACAATTGTGCAAGGCCCCGGAGCCGGCTGAAATGATTCGACAAGCGAAGGTAACTAGCATTATTATTAAAAATTGATGATACAGAAGACTTGGATCATCTGAGACTGTATATTCAGATTTTGTTGCAAGCTACTGCAGAGCTTGTAAAAGGACTGAAGTCAGAAGGGGAAGCTGTTACAGGAAAAGGTCTGCAGCAACATCCTTTGGCTGCTGCCAAACAACTGGAGGATGCAACCACCCGTCTCCTTGAAGCAGCTAAGGTGTAGAACACTTTGAAGTAATTCGGCGTACGTTCTAATCGCGGTTTCTATTGTTTTAATCAGTTATGTGCTGCTGCACCACATGATCAAGATCGACGCCAAGCAATGCGTGATGCAGCCGTTAATATTCGCGACTTGGCCCAGCAGACTTCAGTAGAAGTTGGTCCCACGTGTAGCTGTTCAAGCATAATGTTGATTACCTATCTTGTTTCTTACTTTCAGACATCGAGTAAACGCATGGCACAAGCTAGCACTGAAACCATGGAGGCATCTCAGGGTGAAGCAAACGATTTAAGGCGTAAATATGAAGAAGAACTAGACAAACTGCAGAAACATGTATGTGGCAGAACATTTAACCGACAGTACAAAATACAGAATACAGACGAAATGCATCGTAACTACTGCATCTGTAAGTAGACGAATTGCATCGTTTAAACGCTAGCACTACTGAATAATTTAAGACGACGGAATACTGGACACTGGCCGATTGGATGTGGTGGTTCATCCGTTTTGCGATGGACTTAGTGTCTAATCTGGTATTCAGTATATTCACCTGGATCTTCGGTACGAAACAACGGCTGCCACCCATTCGATCGGAATTGCTACTTCAAAGTGCCACTTCCACGGCTAGACGAATCCGCGCCGGCGAGATCTCCAGTTATGATGTAACTGAAGCGTACATCCAACGCCTGAAGCATGTCAATCCTATCGTCAACGGAATGGTGGCCGAGCGATTCGAGGCAGCCAGACGGGAAGCCAGCGAGCTGGACCGACGCTTACGCAGCATCGGATTCGACAATCTGGACCAGTCAGAGTTCTCCGAAGAACGTCAACCGTTTCTCGGCGTCCCCATATCGGTGAAGGAGAGCTGGATGGTTAAAGGGATGCCGTTTACGGCTGGTACACCGGCGAGGAAAGGGATCTTGGCGGAGGAAGACTGCGAGGCCGTACGACGACTGCGCGATGCCGGTAAACAGAGCGATTACCAAGTTTTTTACACTTTTAAAAAATTGTAAGTTTACAGACCTGCAATAGTTTTGTCTTGCAAGTTCGATTGTAAATGCAAATTTATATCTTAATGATACGAGAATCATCATAAACCTCGAGCCACACACTACGTAAATTAGTAAAATACATCACTCTGATTGGCACAACCACTAAAAATTATTCACAAGAAAAAAATCAAAAAACAGAAGAATTTTTACTGCCCTCGTAAAGGAGAGCACTCAGATAGTAAATGTTAGATAAAGCAACTGAAAATTAAATTAAATTTTGTCAATTTGATTTTCACTTACATCGCATTGTTTCTCTTTTGATTTACCTTTCCCTTGTCTGTGAATCATGAAGTTTAAAAAGTTTAAAATCCCATGCTAGACTGTCAACCTAGCCGGAAGTTCTAGTACAAGTTCTAGTACATACAGTACTGCATTACAGATTGGAGATTTCCAGATAAAAACCGCCAATTCGCTGTCACACCGGGTGGTCGTAAATCGTGATCCTTTAAAAATATGTCCTTCTTCAAAAGTTCTAGCTTAAATCTTTTTCTGAAATTTCAGTGAAGTTTTAATACGAAAACAATTTCCACCGGTATGGAAGAAGCAATCGTGCATGACATTGTCATTACAGGCTGTGCGCCCCGACCAAGTCTATGCGCCTTCCTGACAGTAAAAATATTGCGAAAAGCCTAATAAAATACACAGCATCGTAGGTGCTATAATTTTGGGCGTGACCAATATCCCGGAAATCTGCATGTGGTGGGAGACCAGCAACAAGTTGTACGGGCGCAGCAACAATCCCTACGATCCCAACCGGGCAACTGGCGGTTCATCGGGCGGCGAAGGCGTGATTGTCGGGGCGGCGGGATCACCGTGCGGATTGGGTTCGGATATCGGTGGCAGTATACGGATGCCGGCATTTTTCTGCGGGGTCTTTGGCCACAAACCAACGCGCGGGCTGACACCCCTGGAGGGCAAGTATCCGCCGGCCACCGATGAGTCAGCACGCTTTGCGACGGTGGGGCCGTTGTGTCGTTACGCGGAGGACCTGGCGCCATTCTGTAAAGTAATGCGCTTCTTGCTATACATATTCTGTCGTTCATTTTAGTCGTGATGTTTTGCTACAGGTTTTATTGGGACCAAATGCCAAAGCCTTATCTCTGGACACGGAAGTCGATCTGTCGAAGTTGCGTGTTCATTATTTACTGCAGATCGAAAATCCCTTCATCACGCCCGTGGAGAGGTGCATTAAAGATGCTGTACTGAAGGCGGTCATGCATCTGACCGGACAGTTCAAGGCTCAACTGGTTCCAGAGAAAGATTTTAAGAGTCGAATGGTAGACCTTCGCTATGCATCGGATATCTGGAAAGCCGAGGTCATCCACAACCCGACCCACAGTTATGCTGCCGATATGGTGAACGGAAAGGGCAAATTGGATCCCGTTCACGAGTTCGGCCGGCTTCTTTGTGGACGGTCCGAGCACACTCTGATTGCTCTGTATCTGGCTTGGGTGGAACAGCACAAACCGGATCCAGCTTTTCGGTATGTTAATCTGGTTTTGCGAAAGTAGTGCCGCCGCTCCCCTTTCTCAGTATCCATTCGAACTGGAAAAGGATCTATTACAGGAGCTGATTGTAGTTTTACAGAAGCTGTTATTGTGAAATGAGAAACAGGCTAGAAAGTGAATTTGTGAAGATCCTTGGGGATGATGGCATACTGATACTCCCCACACATCCTCACACGGCACCCTACCACAACCGAGCCTTGGCCATGCATATGAATTTCATCTATACTTGTAAGGATGTTTTTCTATACTCGTAACAGATGAGACTTTAATAATCAATAAACGTATTCAGTAAAATATGTGTGTAGTCTTCTATTTCATAATTAACTGATTATGCCTGACAATCTATTCTGTTAATATTTATCCGCTAATTTTTCCAGCTGTTTTTAATGCCATTGGACTGCCAAGTACCCACGTCCCAATGGGTCTCGATAAAAATGGGCTACCCTACGGTATCCAGGTGGTCAGTAATTTCCAGCAAGATCGCTTGTCACTGGCAGTCGCACGGCAGCTGGAGAAGGCGTTTGGCGGATGGAGATCACCGTAGAGCTCAGTCATTTAGCATATCTTTTGAAACGGCTTATAATGTTGTCATCCTTATACCTCTTATATTTATTCCCGGATGCTGATTTGTTTTGCGCAAGTGTCATGCCGTCGTGCGCAGTTGCATATAGACATGCACAATTTCCATTCCCGAAAAGCTTTTACAGTAATCAAAAGCCATCATGTAAATGCGATAAGGTTAACAATACCGCGGTGATTGACAAGTTATCGGGCTAAGTTTACGATTGCTGGCTTCCGCTTTTCGTGTTATCCATTCACCGATACATAATGCAATCCGTCGAATCATTTGCATGCGCATGATGTTCGCGGTGTTCGTTATCGTGGCGTAAGCTTTTTAAGACCGAAGGTTTCTCCGCTCCCTTCAGTTTCTTCACGGGAGTGAATCACGATGGTTCTAAAGACGAAATTACACCGGCATCGAAATATCCTTTGCATGATCCTTCCCAGGGCAGCGCGGTACTCATGATTGAGACCGAAAAAGAACACCTGCAAAACCAAACCAGCTACGCGTAAAAACTGTCGCAAGTAAAATGTATCAGTATCCAGTATCGTACCGGTGTCAAAATGTATCCGCACAAATAAAGCGTCCGCAACCACAATTGCATAAACACCAGTTTCCCATCAACACGCAGCGATCCGGCGATGTTCTGCGGATAGAAACAGGCGCAGTACCATAACGACGTAAAGCACAAAATCTTCGCCATCATAACACGCCGACGAAATCGGCTGCGTCTCCTATCCAGACTGGTCGAGCTGCTCTCCACCGTAATTCTCCGCATGCGACCGATTCGGGCAAAAATGACCAAGTACAACAACATCATAACAATGGTGGGGATGTAGATATTAATTGCCACGTAAAACTGAATGAACAGTCCCGGACGGTTGATCCAGTATCCACAGTTGCGCCACGTCTGGGAGAATCCGTAACTGCCATCCACGCTAAGTGCCTCCGGTATATTATTAGCTATAGTCAAGAGCCAATCAAAAGCCACCATACAGACCAGAGCCACCGGTGACACCCAGTACTTGTACGAGTGTGGATAGAGGGTGGCCACAAACCGGTTGACGGCCAGTGTCGTCTGTGACCAGTTGGAGACTCCGAGGGTCGTCATGAAAATAAAGTGCATTGCCGCGCAGTCCCGATAGCCGAATAAATTGTACTGGCCCAGATAGACGTTAAGGATGTTGCTGGGGATGAGAATGGCCACCATGACAACGTCCACGAAGATTTGGTGGAGAATCAGGATCTCGCATCCGGAGCGGTAGGCTTTTCGCTGGATGATGACGGTTAATAACAGAGCGTAAAGAATTATCCCGACGACGGATATGCTTAATGTCGCAAAACACCAAATGACCAGAGGCTTTTTGTATACGACCCATGCTGGTATCGTTAAATTGGATGCCGTTGAAGAATTCATAATTCTCAGGATTTCACCGTAGGAAAGCATTAAGCACTTCGGGTATGTTTTGGCGCTCTATTGTCCCAATACGCCGTGTTTAAAAAAATCAAATAATGACCGGTGACCTTGTCGGTCTCTAGAGCTGATATAAAGCGGATACGCGTATATAAGATTTAGTACTGCACTTAACAGTAAACATCAGCAACAAGAATACAGTCTTACAACAAGACAGGAAGGCCACTGCAGAAAAATAACCATAAAACGATGAAAAGTCTCGCTGACTATTAAATTCGGTTAAGGGAGACCAGAAATGAACACTGCGCAGTCATAGCCGACTCAATGCAATGCTTAATACTCTGCGAAAGAATTTGAAAAAATGTGAACATGTAGAGTAGATCAGACTGATCTGATGTTTCTGGTGTGGGCAACTGTGAGGTATACTGTTTTCATAGGAAAGGAAATTCGAAGCATAAAGCATTCATGTCTCATGATTCCGGAAGTTACTGTATAATTACTGGCACAAACTTCAAGCCAGGGCAGCGTTTCTGTTCAGTAACAGGTACAGCACTTTCTTAGGTTTTTTAATCAACGGTAACGTGAACGCAGAATTCTCAGGAGATTATCTACTTTACTTTGAACAAGAGACAACACCCAAGCCGAACGCCATCTTTCCAAGTTTGACAATCTCTCGCATAAGCCTGACTGTGAGCGGACCGCTCGAGGAAATGATTTGTTCCGAATTACCACTTCAGTTGATCCATCGTGTGATTACCTCCCTCGCATTGGTTGACTTTCGGTCACTTTCCTATGGCAAGGGACAAACGCATGTGACAAACTTTGCGCAAGTTTTAAAAAAATACTCGACAAAGTATCGAGTACCGATTCCAGCAACCCAATCTACAGATTGCATACTTTGTACATATAACAATAATTTTTATTGAAAGCCGATTTTAACTAATATTTTATGCTGCGTGACCGTTGATGTTACACAATCTCCGTCTTTGAGTGGCATAAATACGAGTACTGTACAATATACATTTTGAATTATTACTTCTGTCTTGTAATAATTATGCGCGCTACGCGTACTTCACAGTCAACCTAAACACGGTTTACGCACAAATACAGTAGTTCTAGAATTCAATAATATTTGCGTTTTGATGCGCCGCTACGTTCGGAGCAGTTTTCAGTTATACCTAATTTCACAAAATATGTGTGGAAATCGATTTTTCTGAGTAAAGGCAGAAAGGTTTTTATACAAATATTTACAGCGCATGCAAGTGAAGTCATGAAAGCAAGTATTTTAGGCTCCCTTCTTTTTTTCCAGTCGCCAGGTGGATAACCTATTTTGGGATTATTTACGCGCTACCAGCACGTGACTGGGTTTAGCGCGATCATGCTTAATTAACTTTACACTTTCCAAAAACGGAATTTGCTTTTCCGTTGGGGCCATTTGTACAGAATATATCTGCGTAAGCACATGTTTCAGACCGAGGAGATAATTTTTACTAGCGATTGTAGTAACCGGCTGGCGACAGAACAATTTTGTCGTTAATATTATTATGTAAAAGTTCAAAGGAGAAAACATATGACTACATCGCTGTCGTTGCATGACGGCTGCAGTTTGCGCTCATCTTGAAAAGTCCTGCGCATTCTACAAATCTTGTAACACACAAACAAAATTAAAGAAGCACCAGCTATCCAAAATCGATGTCTAATTTTTCGGAATCGCACTGCACAACCGGAAATCAGCAAGTACATGACATGGACAAATTACCGGAACCAATTGGACCAATATACTGCACCTAGATTAATCATCTCTTTATACCGCCGAATGCGACATCCGACTTAACCTGGTTGTTGTGCGTTTCCCTGCGCATCTCTCGCATTTCCACGATGCAAGAGCGAATATCATCCCTATGTTGTCCTACAGGATAAAAGCGGCTATTGTTAGGCGAAACGAACAGACGTCAACGGGGGGTACCAGCATCGTCTAATCATCCGCATGGGCATCCATAGCAAGTCGCCCGACTAATTAGTCTGACGTAATTGACACTATGTGTTTACGGGCCCTACCATCCGGCTATTAAAATCGCCCGCCGCACGGCATATTACTCCATCCTTATCCTGTGCAGCATTTTATCATCCCCTTTCCCTGCATCCCCGGCTCTATTCCCTCATAAAATGGGTCTTTTCAAAATGTCACCTTTTCTATATTTTTTCGCTGTCCTCATCGTGGCTGTCCAGTGTACGGACACAGCCGCTACCGCTGACCTTTCCTCACAGGACCTCTCGGCGAATTATCAGAAGGGCTGCATGCTGGTATGTACCATGTATCCCACCAGTGTCAAGTGTTTCCGCTGTAAGAATCGCATACCCATGCGGTTTGGCAAGCGGAGTGGACTGTTGGAGGAGCATGCACCGCGCCTGCTGTCGCCCATGTTTATGTGGGAGATCCGCGATCCGGATACGGATGAGAAGGCGCTCCTTTTTACCTTTGCCAATGCCGGACAGCGCTCCAGTCCGGCTGCTGCTATGAACGCTGGGCAGAGATAACCACGGATCAACGGTTTTATGCATGCATATTAGACGCAGTATTTAATGTAGTTGTTCAGACTGTGAGCCAATCGGGATTACAGCTTTAATCTTACTCTCCAATTTGTTTTATATTTTATGAGTAAATGCCGACGGATTGCAGGTTTTAAATTAGTAGAATTTGGATGCCGATATAATTATATGCTGCTTGCGATCAAAGGACGAGCGTTGCTCATAGCGCGATTTTACTGGCCGGTATTATGTCTAGTTTTTTGGTTTTGTTTCGTTTCTGCTGAAAAATGTATGAGTTAATTTAAAGGTGCATGCATGCACTCTACTCTGCGATGCATTTTTTCTAAATCATGAGAAAATGTGAATCATGAGAATGTTTTAATAGAAATTAGTGTAAATCATGAGAATGTCATGATAATCATGAGAATGTTTTGATAGAAATTAGTGAGTCTCAGCTGCGAAGACTTGGAATTAGCATGATGCAGCTGTTCTTTCATAGTTATATGTACAGAGTAGCTGTAGAGCGTACTCAGTTACTGAGAGGGAACAAAAATCGGCCCTAATAAAACTACCGTGATGACGGAAGATGGCTCAAAACCATAAATTTGTGTTACTGGGTATGAAAAATTTGCTGACTACGAAGTATTGCATATACTGTGCTCCCGTGATGCAGAGTTACGAGTACCTCGTAAGGCTCTTGTTACGGGTGTTGACGCTGCTAAAATGGTACTTATTGATTTTTACGGACTTTTGTTCGTTCATGCAGACACATTTCGTCTCTAATAACATTTCGTCTATAAGAATAGTCAATCTTCTGCATAGCTTAAGGTACGTACTCGAATATCAGATTTAGATTTTATTCAATCAAAAGAGGCAACCAAAAATACACTGTTGTGGTATAAATATTACCATAATATTTTTTAATTGTTAGATAATTGTTACATAATTGGGTAAGCAATTTAGATTAAGAAACGATGGAACCGATACGAAACAAAATATAGTTAATCCAAAGAGCAATGCAGAGAATGAAGGGTCTTGGTCCCATCCACCAGGGCGTGAAGCATGCCTTCGTTTCCACATCTCTGCACCAACTCGGTTCTCAATGTGCCGTTAACGTTAAAGCTCGATTCAGTCAGCTGAAAAAACCTGCATCACGGTGCACATTGATCACTTTACGGGTCCTATATCGCATCGTAAAGTTATGACACTTGTTGTTATTACCAATGATAACAAAAATTATATACGAGTAATATAAGATTTCCTTGTATGTCTGCATAAAAATTTTGTACTTGTAATAGTAAAAAACGTCCCCAGGGTTACAGAGTATGGCATTGTTTGTGCATACCTGCATAAAAGGTGGTGTGCCATTGTAGCATTGAGTGAGAGGTGCTGGTCACTCAAATCCGATTCCAAGACCCTTCGCGCAAGATAATCAATAAAGGGAAATTCTTTCCGGGTGCAGGCATCCATGGCTCGATAAAACGGTAGGGAACCACGGGGCTGCTGGCATAACGCGCTAATGGCAATTAGGAATTCGGCTAGAAGCCATACATTCGGGGCCTTGGCATTAGAACAACGGGAAAGCACATCTCGCAAGCACTGTCCTGTTTCATTGGAGGCTCTACAACATCACTGTTCTAAATAACACATACTAAGTAGGTAATTTTATCGAAAACGAAGAAAAGGTCAGCTCTTGAGACCAAAACGATCAAGACGTCAGAAACTTTTAATTATATTAATGATTTTTATTACCGGCACAAGCGCTCGGCGTCTGAACGGTGAGAGTCTAAGTACTCATCTGTCATCGGCCACGGAGCGGAATCGAAATGGAATGCAGGCTCGCTGGCCGCCGGACCTGTATAGCACCGGTATGCTGTAGCTGGACTTTCACAGCCTTCATCGCGGCTCTGTGCAGAACAAAAAACGTTATAGGATACGTAGATTACAAGCACAACGTTAACCACACCGGAAAGACCCTGCATGTTTGCAGCTGCTGGCGTTATCGGTTATATTACAGTGGTTAAAGTTTTTTGGTACTAAGCGGCAACGTAACGAAGAAGCAACGGAACTTACTTAATTGAACGTTTGTTGGAATACTGTGCTGATTTCCACAATATAACCTAACAGCATAGATCAAATACCAAAACTTTTAACTGTACTAGTGCCCGAGTCTCAGTTAGGCCACCCTCAAGGTTATGACTATGGTGATCCGAAATCCAAATCACAAGAATTTCTTACTCTTGTGCAATGATTAAAATCAATAAATCATTATCGCTACCATTTGGTTCCGTTGTAGCATTTTAATACCGCTATCGATTTGTGTAATCGCTTTTAACGTTTATTTAATAGGCAATTTATCCGCTATAAAGCCAGGCAATCTGGTATTTGGCGGAAGTGAAACAGTACAGTAGATACTAGTAGCAACGGTAGCATATCGACCTTGAACATCACGATATATGTAAAATACATGTACAGTAAACGGTATGTTATATGCATCAATTAAGAAATGTATTACACATAACAATTGAAACTTCAATAGAACGCCGTACCCTCGTGAAAATGTATTAGTTTTTTTGTAACTTTATTTGAACAGCGGCTATATCTTTTTGTGCCGCAAAAGTTAGCGTAGAACTTATAATTCCCAACTTAATTTGGCAGTCGTTTTTAGAAGTTTTATGGTACTGCATTCACAACTTTTGCTTTATCGTTGTCAGACGTTTTATTGCAACTTTTGCCGCACATTACTCGTAATCATACACAAACTTCAGTCCAGAACGCACAAAAAATGACACTAACATTACAGCAAAAACTAGCAATTAAACAGCAAATTATCGTCTGTGACACTTTTTAAATACAGAAATTCACACCGGTAGAATTTACGACAATAGCCAAAAACTAAACAAGAACAAGCCTGCTTCGCTTCCGGAGTCGACCCCAGTTCGTCAAATGGGCAAATCCGTTACAGTTTCCTGAGGAACGGGAAAACACTTATTTTACCATATCAACAATTTTGAACTACACGCACAATACACAAATGACAAATTTACAGTGTGGAGCTCACCTTTTTTTAAACACGCATTGTGCTTCCCTCCTCCATCCAAAGGACCACTGTGCGTTCTCGAACGCTACAAAGATGGCGCCAGGAATTAATAAAACGCCTAATGAAGGTGAAAGATCGTTCCACGGAGTCGACTCCAAAAATAACCAAAGAACCTGAGACAAATACACCAAAATTTAACTTTGCCGCCTTTAAAACTGACAAGTAGTACCGTCAATGTTGTTTGAAGGGATTTTCAAAAGGATGTGAGGAAATTAGAGCCCAACAGACAGACAGCCCGTATAGCAAAAAAATAAAGATAAAAATCAAGATCGCTCAGTCTTAGGACTTGTCACTTATACGCACTTTTCATGATTTCCAATTTTGTACGCTTACTAGAACGGAGTCGACTCGCGAATCTTATGGCTGCCTCATAATTATAACGTTTTAGAACCAGGCATCATACCTTTTGTAAATAGAACAACAGCGAATCATTGCAGTTTCGTCCAACAATCCAGCTGCAGGCTCCTCATTCAGCAGAGACGCTCTCAACAGTCACCAGTGATTCTGCTCGTGAACCCGTGGTGAAGTAATTTTAACATGGTACTGCTTTCTGACTCAGTTTTTCAAAATTCCATACAGAAAGCTACAGATCACGTCTGGTTTCAGATCTTAATCATTTTCTACTAAACTCTTCAAATCAAAACAAAGTGTAACAAAAGTAAAAAGTCACAAAGTGAAACAAAGTGATGTGCTCAAGCCTCAAAGCAGCTAGGGCAAGTCAGCAAGTGCGTTGAAATTCATTTCAACGGCTCGACAGCTAAGATTCCTCGGGAATCTACCTATTATTGGTCGAAGAGGTGACGGCTACTCCCACACTGTCTGACCAGCGCCCGTTTCCCTTGCCGGGTTGTATATAAAGCGGGAGCGCGGTCAAGACCATCGCATTAGACCATTTGCAAGCTGACGTTAAGGAAATTTTTGTTTTGAACTGCTGCCACAATCAAATAGTCCACGGACACTTTGATTCCGCAGCGTTATATTTGTGATCTTGTTAGTGCAGTGTACGCACTGTGTGACCTTTAACGTTTTCCCGTTCTCCGTACAACTTTTTGAATAACTCCTATTATCGTTCTCTTGTACTATCTTATAGATAGTTAGAGACAGATAAGTTTTTGGTTTCATCAATTAGTTGAATTGATATAAATTTTGACGCACTGTCATAAGCTTTTGCTTACACAGTAGTTATTTTTTGCTTGCATTTGTTTTTAATTTGGTTGATTAATATCGCCATGGCCCCCAGCAAGACTGCCCTTAAGAAACTCACTAAAGAAGAGCTGATGGACCATTGTCGCGGCCAAGAAGTGGATGACTCCGGCACCAAGAATGATATGCTGATTCGACTGTACGATCATTACGGTATGGAGAATTCACAGGGCTCTCACGACCGGTCTCCTTCAGTGGTGGAAGAACCAACTCCCGATCCTGATTCCGTTACCATCCTCGGGGAAACACTGCAGCTTGCTGAACAATCGGTCAACGAAATCCTCAATGCCGGATTTGCCACCGTCAAAAAATTGCGTCGACTGGCCCTGTGTCAGGATTTCCCGTCTAATCTGAAGTTCATCACCATGGACGCCGACCGCATGGAAGTGCAGTTGTTTATTGGGCCACGGCAGCAGCGCGCCAACACCGGCGATCTGCGTAGTGTCATCGACCAACGCAAGGCCAACAACACCGACCGGGCGGCCAGCAACTCATCGCGCAACAGTTCCCGTCGACGCTACCGTCCCAGCCGCAATCAACAACGCAGCGAATCCAACACCAGTGGAGGTAGGTCAAACAGTAACCTATCTCGTAGTTCAAAGTCATCCGTTCGTTCCCGCTCACAGTCAGTAGCCAAGCTTGCTAGTGTGGCTCGAAAACTTCCTCTGCCACACAAGCAAGCGGCGAAAATTTTAAATGAGAAGGGCAAACGTGTAAAACCGGATGCAACACAGTTGACTTTTGATGACTTCTTGATATACAGCCTTAGAACCGCCGTGCGCCTAGCGCAAACGGTAACGGGCAAATATCAGAATGCGCTTGAAGTTTACCTTGAATACATTGAATTTCTTGTCGTGCGCCATCGGGACTACACCGACGAATCAGTTTTGGCTTTTGACGACGAATTTCGATTTAACGCGAATTATGAGAAATTCGATTTATGCGATACTCATAAACGCGCACTGTTATGTGATAAGCATTTTTACGCACGCAACCGCCGGCCTGCTCTAACTGTCATTAAAACAGGCAAAAAAGCGCAGCTTTTTCGCGGGTACGGCAACAGTAACAAAAGCCAGCAAAACGGGCAGCGGCGCTATCGCTTTTCCTGTTGTTTCTTCTGGCAAGAGAATAAATGTAACGCCAATATCTGCACCGGGTTTGCACATATCTGTGGGCACTGTGGCAGCGAAGGCCACCCAGCAAGCAGTTGCACTGCCGGCAATCAGCGAAACCGCGGGAACGTTTCACACTAAAGCCTCACCGCAAACACCTGCGCCTAATTATGTTGTTTTTGATAACGTTTCCCTATCTCTTGACGCCGATCTGATTTTGCGCTCCTCTCTTACTCGCAGCATTGAAAACTGGTCAAGAGAGCTTGAAGCAGACCACCCAGATAGCCTATTTTTGCTAACTGGACTCGCTCAGGGTTTCTCTCTCGTGCCGGATATTCACTCAGTGCCGCCGGCGGACTGTACAAATTACAAGAGCGCCTTATCTCCTGAGGCAAAACCCTTTCTAGACCGTCTTTTCTCCGAAGAATTGGCAACGGGTAGACTATCAAAACAAAGTTATAAACCGTTGCGAATTAATGCCATCGGTGCGGTTTCAAAGAAAGGCAACACAGCCTTGCGCCCTATCACAGATTGCAGTCGCCCTCTTCACTGCAGCGTTAACTCCTTTATTGATGCCGAAGCATTCTCATTTCAGTCTCTCGAAGATGTAATTAGGCTAAGCAGTTCTGGTTGTTTTTACGCGGTGATAGACATCAAGTCTGCATACCGCTGGGTTCCAGTCAAACCGGAGCATCGTCAACTCCAAGGTTTCCGCTGGCAGTTCCCAAACGAATCGGAGAGTTTTTATGTAGATAACTTTCTTTGTTTTGGGCTTTCAAACGCCCCATCAATTTTTCAAAAAATTTCAACGGCCATCTGCCGCATGATGCGGCGCCGTAAATTCGCTATCGTCGCTTATTTAGACGATTTTATAGTAATTGGGGAAACTTATGAAATTTGCTTATGCGCCCAAAACGAATTAATTTCTCTTTTATGTTCTCTGGGTTTCATGGTATGGTAACGGCTCGACTGTGTTATTAACTTATTAGCCAGCTGAGCTACGCGGTCGACCGCGCGGCCTTATCGCGACCGCCACCTCGTGGGGTAACATGCATACCTTTCACGTAGCTGCTCTTTTGACTTTGAGGTGAGGTTATATTGCCATAAAAAATTATTGTTATTTGTGTAATTTGTTTTTATAGAATTTTATTACAGTACAACGTCTTAATTATTTAGTAGTTTAGTAGTTAAATTAATCACATAAGTTAATTTTGTTTAACGTTTCTTTTACGAATACTTACTTGATTGTTTATTGTCTGAATGAACTAGAGAAATATACGAGAGTATAAATTGAATTTTTGGAATACGTTTACATGTGCAATTACAAACAAAAATATTTTAAAACTACGGGATATTCAAACCTTTTTTGTAAAATTGCGTTGTACTTATAAAGTGGCAATGCAGTTATGCAGGGATGCAACTTGGTGCAGCTGCTTATTAAAAACACAGCCTGTAGTACTTTGCGATTGCTTTATGCGGCTAGTTGTTTCGAAAACGGCTCGGTTTACATGTTTACTATTACAAACAGTGCCGTGACTGTGCGTCAGTGCCGTATAGTACGACTGCACGAGTAAAACTAACTTTTTGACCAACTTGAAGTATTCCGTAAGTTATATGAAAGGTCCAAGTTATAATCGGCTGCCATTAAAACATTTTTGTAAGTTTAGAATAACTTTACATGTACTTCTTTTCGTAACTAGATGTTTTTAGTAACTTTCATTTTCACGAGGGGTAGGTTATGTGCAAACTTCTTTATACATTTTGTACTAACAATTATTAGTAACAAAAACAGCTCCTCATACGAAGGTAGCGCTTGTTGCTACATTTGTACTAGCTTTCTGGGCGCAAGAGTTATTCAAGATCAGTGCGCTGGGAAATCATTGATTCCAGCGACGCTTTTCTTCCCGCACAAAATCGATCCTCCAGCATGCTTTGTATTTCCAGAAACGATTTTCCTTTCGTTTCTACAAGCACCGTCGACAAAAACACGGCTAGAATAAATGTAATTCCGGTGAAGATCGTAAATGTCCACTCCATTAAATATGCTTGCATGGCGGGGAAGACCGCTGTAATCACCGTCGCTAGTGAGACGTTGACGAGATAGCCCAACGCGGAAGCTGATTGCCTGGAGGACATGCCGAACATTTCCGCCGTAAAAAGAAACGGTGCACTGGCCGGTCCCACCGCATAGCACACCATGAAGAGGGTCATGGCCACCAGGTTGCCGTACTGACACGTATTGCATGCCGCATATTTCGTCAACACCGTGAAAACCACCATGACCGCAGTGCACAGCGCACATCCGAAAAGACCACCAAGCAGCATTGGCCGTCGCCCAAAAATATCCTGCAACGGTGAACCAAGCAGGGCCACCACGGCGGACAGTGCAGTTAGAATAATGGTTCCGTAAGACGCTAGGGCCTGCGTTATTCCGCACTGACGGAATATCTCCGTGGAATAGACAAACACCGCCGAAAAGCCGGTCAAACGTTGCGCGGCCATTACCAGCAAGCATATGCCAGTGATTTTCCGCAGAAACCTATCGCGAAACAGGTCAGGAATTGACAGCTTTTGACTGCTTAATTTCTGGGCGGCTTCTAGTTCATCTTGTATTGCGCAGATGTCGGCGTCCACATTCTGCCGGCCCCGAAGGAGCTGCAGTACGGCTGCCAGTTTGCCGGTGTCCTGTTGTTTCCTGCAGAGCCAGCGAGGGCTTTCGGGCAGGAAACGATATGCAGCGATTAAAATGAGACTGGGTACGAGGCAGATCCAACACGTATGCTGCCAGTTATCGGGAGTGCCAAGTAATTGCGGTAGTCCAACGACATTCGCCAACAATATTCCGACACTGAACGATGCTGTGGCAAGAACATTCAACGATCCGCGATGGTTGTTCGTGCTGATTTCCGCTACGTATACACCGCACACTACCACACAAGCGTTTCCCACTCCAAAGATGAATCGGCCTGTACATATATAAAAATTGTATTGTATAGTTTAGCGTAACACAAATGTAATCGAAGGAATTAAACCGAGAAAATATGAGATATATTTTCAAAATTACCCAAACAAATCTTTCAATGGCCCAGTAAAAAATCTTCATTTAAAAATAGAGTATGATAATAATAATAAGGTTTCTCGAAAATGTAAGTAATAAGCCCATCAGTTATCAAATAGTTTATTTGCAAAATTCCAGTTTTTCGTATTTGTTCTTATTACCAATGATAAACAACTCGTATGATCTAGCAGTCACGCCACATCCCGCTGCGATGCTCCCCATCATTTCTAGCACGTTAAACACCAGAAGCGTCTTCCGGAATCCTAACCACTCCACCAAATGATTCGCGACCAAGAATCCCACCGACACACCCAACATGACCCCACATCCGATCATGCTCCAGATGGCCCCCAAACGACCGTTGTTGCGCAGGTGTAAGGATGTTTCGTTTTCGGCGATAACGGAGCACCACAAAACTACATCGGTGTGGGTACCGTTCAGACTGACACCGGCTGGTGCCAAATGATCCGTTATGCGCGCGCACTGGATCTGGCGAATCCATTGGATGATCAGGTTCTGTGGAACGTTGATCTGCGCAGAACTGTAGCCTCCTGTGAACCACGAGGAGAACGCCACAATTAAGCAGGCAAAGGAAGTTGTTGCTGTGAGAGGGTCACGAACGCTGCCGGTACTAGCTGCTTTTCCCATATTGCAATTACTGCATTAAGAAGCCAAGTAAGTAATCTGTTTAACGTACTCTGTATAAAATTGCAGTTTATGTAGAGAAGTAGCTTAATCGAGATACAATATCAATACCCACTAACTTAACGGCGCATTACAGTGGTAACAGTCTTAAACTGATCATTTATATACGCACAAGCTTATCACTCAGCAGCTTCTTGCGAACTGGACGTAATTGGTTATAGTCGCAATTACGTCCAGTTCGTGTCGAACACGCCACTAGCTGTTGTGGACAAATTGTGCATCTATAGGCTACGTACGTTAGCGTTTAACTCTGAATCGTTACCCTGCACATATAATTTCTTCTCAGGATAGCGGTGCTTTGAAGGCTGGACTGTGCAATTAAGTTTTTACGAGCAATTAAGCAAAGGTAAAGCGCGTGCCTGGTCTGTTTTTATCGGCAAATTATGCATTGTCACTACACAATGCACTACATGGTAAGCGATGCAATAACTAGTATAACTAGTATCGGTTATTAGCAAACGTAAATTCTTGGAATTAAGCGACTAATTAAAGAATACTTTATGGTTTTTCAACGAAGTCTAATCGTTAACGCACTTCTAATCGGAAACGTCACGAGACTGAGCTTTATTACATCCTTGTCCGGCTAATTAACGATAAAATGATAATACTTATACTCTATCAGAAAATATTCAAAAGTTTAGACTGTGTCATTTTTAGGTGCATTTGCAGGTTCAAATGTTGCAGTCTACTCTGCAGGACTAATAATTAGTGTTCCTAAAGGCCGCTCAAGTTTAATGCTCAATGTCTAAGCAAAAAGGTGAGCCGTGAGACCCTCCACTATACAGATACAGTGTTTGCTCACCGAGCAGGCGTCGCAAAGAACCTTTGTGACCTCTAGTAAAATCGTACAGCTAAGGAAAATGAAAACTTGTGGAAGTGAATGAAATATGTACAAACTTTCTAATCACTCCACTACAGCATTAAAGTACGGTCTCTTTTTTGCATCTTTTATACATCTTTGTCGCATTTCTAAATGGTCATTATTCAGGCGTTTAGCTCGAACGGTGAGTCCCGATGTTGGTAGGAGGTTGCTCTTACAATGACAACTAACACATGCAACCTTACGCTAACCTCATGGCATCTGATTTTTTGGCAATGACGTGATAACCTTTCTGGCAAGGCAAACGTGGCAAGTTTGGCTTATCTCAGCTGCGAAAGCTCGGAATTCACAGCTTGTCGCAGCTGTACAGATACCTTCATAGTTTTATGTGCGTAGTTGTAGTCTGTACTTTATGTGGAGCCTGCTCAGTTGATGGGAGTATTGCAGAAATACCTATTCAATTCCACAATATAATCTAACATCCCAGTAATAAACACAAGAGTCGTGCCTCGAGTCTTACTATAGAAGTACTACGAGTAGTGCCCGAGTCTCAGTTAGGTCAGCCGCAGGAATAAGAGTACCCTGTATGCTGCACAACCGCTATCACAGGAGTTTCTTACCCGTGTGCAGTAATTACAATCAATAAATCTATCGCTAGCATTTGGTTCGGATGTACCATTTTGATACCGCTGTCGAGCCGTGTATGCTCTTTATGTTTATGTTTAATATTTTTCTATGTTGATAACCACTATTATACCAGACAACTTGGTACTGGAACAAAGTCAAAAACAATTGATAGCACTTCCACTTGACCTTTAGCATCAACGCATCACGATTTAAACAGTGTATAGATCAGTACATACTACATATAGTAACAATCATTAAGAAGAAACTATGCCACATGCAAACACTGTTACAAGAAACCATGCCACAATCTTTGAAGCTGCCGCAGTAGGCTGAGTACAGGTGCAATAGTAGTCAGCAATACCACCGTAGTACAATAACACTTTCTCAGAAGGCATGCTTACCCAGTACTACTCCTATGAATGTGTATACAACTAATACAAGTGCGCAGTAGTATACAGTATGTTTTGTATGTCCTGTACTAATACTTAGTAGGGAACAATAACCACTGTTCGGGCGAACGTGTAGATTGTTAGATATTAGCACCCTGGGGTCAAGTGTTTTCAAGTGTTTTGCACTGTTTTTCAAGGTCCTTTCCCTGGGGAGTTATAGGTTCTCGTGGCTCTTTTCTTCCCGCACAAAATCGATCCTCTAATGTTTTCTGTGTTTCCAAAAACGATTTTCCTTTTGTTTCTACCAGCAAAACCGACAGAAATATGGCCAGAATGACTGTAATACCGGCAAAGATCGTGAACGTCCATTCCATAAAATACGCCTGCATAGTGGGGAACACCGCAGTAATTACCGTAGCTAACGATACACTGCCGAGAAACCCGAACGCGGAAGCTGATTGTCTGGAGGTCATACCGAACATCTCCGCCGTAATGAGAAACGGTGCACTGGCCGGTCCCATCGCATAGCACACCACGAAGAAAGCCATGGCCACCAGGTTGCCGTACTGACACGTGGAGCACACCGCATATTTCGTCAACACCGTGAAAACCACCATGGCCGCGGTAGACAGTGCACAACCGAAAAGGCCACCTAACAGCATCGGTCGGCGTCCCACAAGGTCCTGCAACGGCGAACTAAGAAGGGCCACCACGGCTGACAGCGCCGTCAAAATGATGGTTCCATAGGATGCTAATGCCTGAGTAATTCCGCACTGGCGTAGCATTTCCGTTGAATAAACTAACACCACCGAATAGCCGGTTAAGCGCTGCGCCGCCATAGTTAGCAAGCATATACCCAAGATTTTCCGCAAGAACCCATCACGAAAAAGATCAAGAATCGACAGCTTCTGACTGCGTAATTTCTGGGCTGACTCCACTTCGTTTTGTAGGACGCAGATGTCGGCGTCCACATTCTGCCGGCCTCGCAGACGCCGCAGTACGGTTTCCAATTTGCCGGTGTCGCGTACTTTCCTGCACAGCCAACGAGGACTTTCTGGCAGGAAATGGTATGAAGCGATGAAAATTAGGTTGGGCAAGAGGCAGATCCAATACATATGATGCCAATTATCGTGAGTGCCGAGCAGTTGCGGTAGTCCAATAACATTCGCCAACAGTATTCCTGCACTGAGCGATACTGTTCCAAGAACATTCAACGCGCCCCGATGGTTGTTCGTGCTGATTTCCGCTACGTATACGCCGCAAACCACCACGCAAGCGTTTCCCACTCCAAAGATGACTCGTCCTGTACATGAAAAAAAATTGTTTGACTTAGCTTAACACAAACGTGCCAGAAAGGTCATCTGCATATTTGTAAAGCCGCTACTGTTACGAGTTTTCCATACATTTTTTATTGTTTTAATTTTTGGGGTTTCGCTAGAACGTAATTTTATTTTGGCTGGCTGGAAAATTATTATACAGGCAACAGTAAATAATTTTTGAAGAGTACAAAAAAAACATAAGATTCTTTTAGAATTTCTGTCCATAATTAGCCTTCATAAAATAAAAATCGTGTGAAATTGAATCAAGAACATATAATATATTCAGAATTAACCAAAAAAAATTTGAAAGCCCGTTAAGAAAATCTTTTACAAATCTTGGCAACTTTAGGACGGTACTAGCCTCTAGGGGCAACTTTAGGACGGTACTACCCTCACTAAACGATCAAATTGTAAAATTTCGTTTTCCAGTCTTTTTCTTACCAATGATAAACAGTTCGTACGATCTGGCAATTACGCTACAGCCTGCGGCGATGCTTCCTATTAATTCCAACGCGTTGAACACCAGAAGCGCCTTCCGGAATCCTAACCACTCCACCAAATGATTCGTCACCAATAATCCCACCGATACGCCCAACATGACCCCACATCCGATCATGCTCCAGATGGCCCCCAAACGTCCGCTACCTCGCAGGTGCAGGGATGTTTCGTTTTCGGGGACATCGGAGCACCACAAAACTGCATCTCTGTGCGTACCGTTCAGACTGGAAGTGGTGGGCGCTAAATCATCCGTTATGCGTGCGCACTGGACCTGGCGAATCCATTGGATGATCAGGTTCTGTGGAACGTTGATCTGCGCTGAACTGTAGCCTCCTGTGAACCACGCAGAGAGCGCCACAATAAAGCAGGCAAAGAAAGTTGTTGCTGTGAGAGGGTCACGAACGCTGCCGGTACTAGCTGATTCTCCCATATTGCAGTTATTGCATTAAAAAACCAAGTATTAACCACCTGCTTCACTCACTAAACAGCAGTTTATGTATGGCTTAATCTGCTTACCAGAGCATTGCAATGGTAATATTGCCCATTTGATCATTTATATACACATTTGCTCATCAGTAGCTGCTTAAGAATTATAGTCGCAATTACGTCCAGTGCGTGTCAAACACGCCACTATCCGCTGTGGGCAAATTGGGTATCTATCTGTACAGGGTAACGCTATTCAGGGGTATATGCCAGGGTAGCACTTAACTCTGAATCGACACCTTGCACAAATAATTCTTTCTCAGTATTCTCAGTACAGTACTGTTTTAACGGCGTTCTGAAATTGGACTTTGGAATTAAGTTTTTTATGAGCAATTAAAGCACGTGCCTGGTCTACACGTGCCTGTATATGTACCGTCAAATGATGCATTGCGACTACACAATGCAATGCATAGTAAGCGATGTAATAACTTTCTAGTATCGCTTATTAGTAATCATAAATTTTTGGAATTAAGCGACTAAAGCCTACTTTATGGTTTTTTAACGATGTCTAATCGTTAACGCACTTATAATCGGAAACGTCACGAGACTGAGCCTTATTACATCCTTGTCCGGTTGTTAACGATAAAATGATAATACTTGCACTCTATCAGAAAAATAATCAAAAGTTTAGACTGTGTCACATTTAGGTGCATTTGCATTTCAAATGGCATTTTGCAGATTACTGTGCAAGACCAATAATTAGTGTTCGTAAGGGTATTGCTCAATTAAATGCTCATGTCTATGCAAAAAGGTGAGTAAAAGTATAATCACCACTCTATTTTGGGACAGTGGTGATTATACTTTATACGCTGATTATTGACTGTTGTTAAACTTTTCGTAATTCTGACTGTACGAGTATAAAGAAAACACTTCCACTTATTTGAAAAGGAATTTTATTGTTTTATATACAGATAAGTAAACTTTTGTTGTAATATAAGCAATAAGCATCTAGCGGTTCGATATACAATTCGAAAACCCCCTAGTAAAACTAAATTTCTTGCTGCTAGTCCTTTTTTGTGAAATTAGTGAGTTAAAATTTTAAACGTATGTTAGGCGAATCGATCTGTACATACAAGTACCGTCTACAGACTAACTTTGGTGTCGTCCATTTTATCATCAGTTGCCTGTGTGAGAATCCTTGTGGTATTCGCTTTTCTTCCTTTGCTTGGTTGTTGATACTGGGCTGTTAGAAGACGGCTCCTCGTTCTGCCGTTTCGGCAACAGTTTATTTTTGAAGCCTCTTGGATCCTGCAGATCCTAGTCCTTCTTACCCTTTCTGGCAAAAATGGAGCGTCAGAACAGCGTCAGCACAACGAAGTGGTCTCGCAAAGACACTATTGTGACCATTAGTAATTCATACAGCTAAGCAAAATGAAATGGACCATGTAAAAACTTCCTAATCAGCCAAATGCAGCATCACGGTTTCTTTCTTGCATCTTTATATACATCTTTATCGCATTTCTGAATGTTCATTATTCAGGCGTACAGAGTCTGTATAGCCCAAAAGGTGTTAGTGAGTCACGATGTTTTAGCAGGTTTCTCTTAAATGACAACCAACGCATTATGCAAACAGTCACGCACACGTTTTTCGAAATGTTAGTGGCTATCCAGCGAAATCAAACAAAGAAAGTACCTTACGGTAACTGCACGGGTTCGCACTCTATTCTAACATGCGTCGGTTAACAGCAAAATAATAATACTCTATAAGAAAAATCATCCAGAGTACGACTCGTATAGATTATGTCATACGTGTTTATGGGAACTGCGCATCACACGTTGCAAAGACTCTGCGAAACCATTGTTCTAAAAAGAAATTAGTGTTCCTAAAGGCTGCTCAGGTTCAGTTCTCAGTTTCTAATCAAACAAATCAGACAACTATTTTCGGACAGTGTTAATTAAATACATTACTGTTATCATGACGATGATTACAATTAGAAGTATAATAACAGCCGTGGGTATTTATGACTGTATAAAAGTAAATTCTCCTAGTTATTCAAAAGTGAATTTTATTGTTTTATATACAGATAAGCAATTGAACTGGTGTCATAATGTAAACCTCAATCGGTTCGATATACAGTACAATCCGAATACCGCACAGCAAAATTAAATCTTCTTGCTAATAGCCACTGCTAGCGAGATCAGTGTGTATGATTTCAAATTATATCGGTAAGGCTGTTCGATCTGCACAAGTACCGCCTCTAGATTAATTTATGTAATTGTCCAGTATGTTTATCAGTTGCCTCTGTGAGCATCCTTGTGATACTCGTATTTGCCTTCTTCTTTGGCTTGGTCGGCGATGCTGGGTTGTTTAGGCAACCGCTTTTCTTTCGGTAGGTTCGGCAGCGGTTTGTTCGTGGGGTCTTTCGGATTCTGCAGATCCTTGTCGTTCTTTCCCTTTCCGGCCTCAGTGACCCCGGCAAAAATGACGAAGCACAGCGTCAGTACAACGAATAGGAAACGCAGAGAAGCCATTGTGACCTATAGTCCTACAGGTTTCCTAAAGCGTATAGCTGAAGAAAACGAAAACCTTTTAAAGTTAATGGACCATGTACAAAGTTTATCAGCCAACTGCGGTATCACTACGCGGTTTTTCAACATCTTTATACGTATACACATTTGTTGTATTTCTAAATATTTATTATTTAAGCGTTTAGTTCGAAAGATGTTATTGAGTCACGATATATGTATGTCGCAGGTCTCTTTGCAAAGACAAAACACACAAAAACCTTACGGCAACCTCATGGTATCTGGCACTAGACCTGGTAAGCATTTGTTGTAAATATCCGGAGACTGTTTCCGGTCGATTTCTGTGGGAAGCGTGCAGAAATTATGACTAATCGTGCAGCTTTCCACTGCTTAAATTTCTTGGATCTGGTCCACAATAAAAAACAATGATTCCGTCATTTTCTTGGAGGAAGCACAGACAACAACGGATGTTGTGCCAATTAGAAAAGTTTCGGTTTCTGTCAGTTTACTGAGTCGGTTGAATAACAATTAACATTTAAAAAACGTGAGCGGGACCGTTGCACGATGCATCACCGTACGCACCAGCATACAGACCAGAACAGCCTCCGGAATTATAAAGAACAACATGGGCTATCAGTTTTATATACAGATAAGCAATTGAACTGGTGTCATAATGTAAACCTCAATCGGTTCGATATACAGTACAATCCGAATACCGCACAGCAAAATTAAATCTTCTTGCTAATAGCCACTGCTAGCGAGATCAGTGTGTATGATTTCAAATTATATCGGTAAGGCTGTTCGATCTGCACAAGTACCGCCTCTAGATTAATTTATGTAATTGTCCAGTATGTTTATCAGTTGCCTCTGTGAGCATCCTTGTGATACTCGTATTTGCCTTCTTCTTTGGCTTGGTCGGCGATGCTGGGTTGTTTAGGCAACCGCTTTTCTTTCGGTAGGTTCGGCAGCGGTTTGTTCGTGGGGTCTTTCGGATTCTGCAGATCCTTGTCGTTCTTTCCCTTTCCGGCCTCAATGACCCCGGCAAAATGACGAAGCACAGCGTCAGTACAACGAATAGGAAACGCAGAGAAGCCATTGTGACCTATAGTCCTACAGGTTTCCTAAAGCGTATAGCTGAAGAAAACGAAAACCTTTTAAAGTTAATGGACCATGTACAAAGTTTATCAGCCAACTGCGGTATCACTACGCGGTTTTTCAACATCTTTATACGTATACACATTTGTTGTATTTCTAAATATTTATTATTTAAGCGTTTAGTTCGAAAGATGTTATTGAGTCACGATATATGTATGTCGCAGGTCTCTTTTGCAAAGACAAAACACACAAAAACCTTACGGCAACCTCATGGTATCTGGCACTAGACCTGGTAAGCATTTGTTGTAAATATCCGGAGACTGTTTCCGGTCGATTTCTGTGGGAAGCGTGCAGAAATTATGACTAATCGTGCAGCTTTCCACTGCTTAAATTTCTTGGATCTGGTCCACAATAAAAAACAATGATTCCGTCATTTTCTTGGAGGAAGCACAGACAACAACGGATGTTGTGCCAATTAGAAAAGTTTCGGTTTCTGTCAGTTTACTGAGTCGGTTGAATAACAATTAACATTTAAAAAACGTGAGCGGGACCGTTGCACGATGCATCACCGTACGCACCAGCATACAGACCAGAACAGCCTCCGGAATTATAAAGAACAACATGGGCTATCAGTTTTATATACAGATAAGCAATTGAACTGGTGTCATAATGTAAACCTCAATCGGTTCGATATACAGTACAATCCGAATACCGCACAGCAAAATTAAATCTTCTTGCTAATAGCCACTGCTAGCGAGATCAGTGTGTATGATTTCAAATTATATCGGTAAGGCTGTTCGATCTGCACAAGTACCGCCTCTAGATTAATTTATGTAATTGTCCAGTATGTTTATCAGTTGCCTCTGTGAGCATCCTTGTGATACTCGTATTTGCCTTCTTCTTTGGCTTGGTCGGCGATGCTGGGTTGTTTAGGCAACCGCTTTTCTTTCGGTAGGTTCGGCAGCGGTTTGTTCGTGGGGTCTTTCGGATTCTGCAGATCCTTGTCGTTCTTTCCCTTTCCGGCCTCAGTGACCCCGGCAAAAATGACGAAGCACAGCGTCAGTACAACGAATAGGAAACGCAGAGAAGCCATTGTGACCTATAGTCCTACAGGTTTCCTAAAGCGTATAGCTGAAGAAAACGAAAACCTTTTAAAGTTAATGGACCATGTACAAAGTTTATCAGCCAACTGCGGTATCACTACGCGGTTTTTCAACATCTTTATACGTATACACATTTGTTGTATTTCTAAATATTTATTATTTAAGCGTTTAGTTCGAAAGATGTTATTGAGTCACGATATATGTATGTCGCAGGTCTCTTTTGCAAAGACAAAACACACAAAAAACCTTACGGCAACCTCATGGTATCTGGCACTAGACCTGGTAAGCATTTGTTGTAAATATCCGGAGACTGTTTCCGGTCGATTTCTGTGGGAAGCGTGCAGAAATTATGACTAATCGTGCAGCTTTCCACTGCTTAAATTTCTTGGATCTGGTCCACAATAAAAAACAATGATTCCGTCATTTTCTTGGAGGAAGCACAGACAACAACGGATGTTGTGCCAATTAGAAAAGTTTCGGTTTCTGTCAGTTTACTGAGTCGGTTGAATAACAATTAACATTTAAAAAACGTGAGCGGGACCGTTGCACGATGCATCACCGTACGCACCAGCATACAGACCAGAACAGCCTCCGGAATTATAAAGAACAACATGGGCTATCAGTTGCTATACAAAACGCAACTGTAGAAAACCTACAGTACGTCAAGGTTTCTCAAGAGTGTAATGTTTTGATTGGGAAACCCGGTAACAGACAACATGAATCACCAACATCTTTCAGCCTCTAAGTCCGAATAATAAGCATTCCGTAGTGCGGTAGATTACGTGTATAAAGTGCAAGAAAAAAACCGTAGAGTACTTCTGCAATTAGCTGATTACAAAGTTTCTATATTTTCCACTGAGTCGGAAACGTCTTCAATTTCTTTAGCTGTGCGGTTTCTATTAAAGGTCAAAATGGTTTTGCTTGGACGCCTCCTCGTTGTGCGGACGCTGTGCTTCGCCATTTTCGCCGGGGTCATTGATGCAGGAAAGGGCAAGAAGGACAAGGATCTGCCAGATCCAAACGACCCCAAGAACAAACCACTGCCGAAACTGCCCAACGAGAAGCCGTTGCCTAAGCATCCCGATATCATCGACCAAGCCAAGAACGATGGCAAATACCACAAGGATGCCCATCGAGGCAACTGATGACGTTGCTGGCACACTAATCCAAAAATCGGTTAAATGGGACATTTGTACATATGTACCAAGAAACCTTATATAGATTGCTAATACGTAGATACTCGTATTTCGCAGTCGTGTGCATTGATTTCAATGGCCATTAATCAGTAGCTTTATCCTTTGATATTTGGATAAGATATTGAACCAATTGAGGTTTATTACCGTTCACGTTTTAATGTGTTTTAAGTTTTACCGATCTCGATTGGCAGTAAATAAAATCCAGTAACATAACTGACTATATATTTGTATGCAAAATGATTTATAGTTCATACTGTGCTTTGCACATGTCATGACGATGTCGTTGAATTTTGGGTATGTTTCTCACATATACAGCAAGAACTAAACAGCATCATTACGATATATGCAGGGTTCGGGTCCTCATTTTATTCACCACTTTATGTTTCAATAGTTTCGTTCCTCTCTCGTCTGACTGCGGGCATAACGTAAAAACTACAAACACAGAGAATATCGTAATTCAAGAAAATTATAACGTCGTATTCACTAAATCTCCCGTACTATTCTCCACTTTGCGATGCCGATCAAACGCTTTATGCTCGCCGGTGTCGCCGCGCGGCCGCGACACCAGCCAGTCAATCTGGAAATCACACTTTTTCGCTCCCATTTTCTGGTACGCTCGTACAGCGGCTTCATTATCTTCCCGCACGTACGTCCATGCGACTTTGTGGCCGAGCGCAAAAAGTTTCCGGGCCAGTTCGTAGTTGACGATCTGGAACAGGCCCTTGTTGCGGTAATTGGGACTGACCCAGCCCATGCCCATGGCCCCGTCGCACGTGTATAGGAGGAAAGCACACGGTAGCCCCGTGTCCATATCGAAGATGGCCGCGTTGGGAAAATCGGAGGCTGTTGCTAGTAAATAGTGGACATACGGACGGGTCTCCGGCTCGGTAAAGTCCCAGCGGTCCAGGACGTAGTCAGCGTGGTGGCTCTCACGGAGTTCGCCCAAATGTAGTCCCGGAGGAAGAGTGCTGTATTGAAAACTATGTTATTTACGGAAACTAGTAGCTACACTGTTTGATATGAAATGTCAGATACAAACCACAATGTTTTAGATCATCATAAAGGTCACGACTTATACATGGCACTGTGGTGTCTTTAGTTATATCTTTGAAACAAAATGTGACCTTTTTAACTCGCCTCTAAAACTATACTCTAGAAAATACACAGGTCAAATATAGGTGAGATTTGGGTCACGTTTTGCTGTGGCTTAGAATTAGCTTAAGTTGCTACCAGAAGTGTTGTCGCCCACTTTCAAGAGTGATAACAATTCCTCGTAAGCGGATTCGCCAGGCTACTGGATTATTCAGCAAATGGAAAAACTTACTGTAAAGTAACCTGATGAACTGTGACGCAAGAGCTTACGTGGTTTTAATTTGGTCCGGTGATAAAAGGAATACATGACAATGTTCATTTCCATCCCACAGTAAATCGGGATTAACAGAAAGACATTTTCGGCGAATGATGTCAAATATTTCCGTCCGTGGTATAGCTGCAATGCAACGCCCATAGTGTAAGTCCGCTGTTAGTAATTTAATTATAGCAAGGTTAGCATAATTCATTTTACCGGAAATACGATTAATTTTGTCCTAGTAATTTGCTAATTTACTCAGCAGTTTTATAGTGCTTAGCTGCAAAGTACCAACCATGGAAATTGACCGGCATGTCCCAATCTATAGCATCCGGATTATCCAAAAAGTTTTCCAAGGATTCGGTATTTTTACAAAAAATGGATACACCATATTTTGTCTGCCGATTCACATAATCCTGTTAACAAATTAATACAATCATCCCCTTCTGAAAAGTAAGGTCTGTTAGACATATTACTTTATGTACAAAATTGTATTTTATTTTGTTAATAAAACTCACTACGGTAGATATCATGATCACATGTAGCTTTAAAAAGGGAATTTTGTTATTATTCAGGTAAATGCTTTTTGTCTATGAGTTAGGACGAAATTTGACGTAACAATTACGACGTTATGACCTATATAATTATGACGTAATTTTTATTGCAGGCAGTACGATCTGACTGCTGTCCATAGGAAGTGGGAACAAGACAGCAATATACAGATATGTAGATATACTCATATCTGTTCAGTAAATGTACACAGATATGTTTATTCAGTAAATGTACGCAGAATAGTTCTACATTTCCTCAATGGTTCTACGTTTTATCATTACCGTCACTCACTTCAGAATTCTTAATTGGTCGGTACAAGCAGACGTTCCACTGGGGATAATCATCCACAATAAACTCCATACCCGGCCATTCGCATGTTTTGGCGATAGCATTATTGATCAAAACTTCCATCTGCAAACAGTTTCCATGCAGCTGTTAAACGTTTCTTGCGTACTTTGATACTGACGACCTTCATAACTAAATATGTAATTCATAACTGCTTAACATAGCAATAATAAGTCATTTATTCGAAATGATTATTTTTGAATTGGGCGATTGCATTGTTTCCCTAATTAATACCGAATGACGCAGATCGCAACGCGAAATGATAGCACAATATTTCAGTTCCGGTACTATTAATTCTTGCATTAATTCTAGTACCTGCAGCTACTTTTATCTACTTCCGGCAGTTCGAAAGCAAAAGTTGGTGCAGTAACACCTTTCCGCACGTGCGTGATCAACAAAATTATTTTGTAGTACTCGTATAACCTGGTGTTTGTGTCGTCACATGTGGTAAATTCACGGCCGTTTTATCATTAAATTTGGTGAAAATATTTAACATATTTATTCTGCAATTTGTTTTGCGTTTTGCAAGAGTGCAACGCTAACATTAGCAATCAGACTGTTGCGCACAGCACCGCAGATAAACATTTCATATAGGGGGCAAAAGTAAACGTCTTCCACCGTTCCCCTGTACTGTTGCCGTCACCCGACTGGAGTTGGACGTTGTGGCTGAACATGGCGCTTACGTACCGCGCCAGATTTAACCACATGTATTGCCGTAACGTCACACTCCAGGCGGATGACGGCAGCAGTACAGGGGAACGGTGGAACGCGTTTACTTTCGCCTCTTATATAAGAATACTAAATGGATCACAGTACACGCAATCGGGCATATGATGTTTCTGCCACACGTGAAATATTAATGTCATATAAAAAACCAAGTTATATCTATATTTGTCTGCGTAAGTTCTGCGTAGCATTAAATGTGTCTTATCGTTTTTACATTCGCTTGTGGTACGGAAAATGAAAATCACGCAAGTCATCAAGACCGTTCAGATACGATATTACCCATTCCCAAAATTAATGAATTTATTTACGTATTATGCAGTATCAGTAACTACAAAAAAGTACTGCACACAGTAGCGATGTCTGGAATGCACGTAAATTAACGAAAACTACCACTAATCTCGAGTGGTTAGACTACCGGAAATAAATCAATCATCAACCGCATACACGTCTGACGGACAACTAAAAACTTTTAACATTGCTGCAGTATATGAACAGATAAAGATCATAATGCCATCTTGGAGAGCAGCGTCAGTTATGTTCCATCACGCAAACGTAAATTAAATGCAGTTGTACAGGGATCACAATTCACAATAATATGTGGGCACGAGGGATATGCGTCGTTAATTCGTCTAACGTGAGTCGTTATTCAAAACCATCGTAAAATGTACATTTTTTGTCGTTGCATATGTGCGAGCAATAGGACTGTGTGCTGATTGACAGACTGCGGCAACAAAAGGCCGGGCGTAACCAGAACACTCACTCGACTTCCGGTGGTATTTTAACCAACCGGAAGTAGATATTTTGTGCCCAGTATACTGAAAGATACTGTCTACGTCTCTGCACATTGTCAATGGTGTTTCCTGCTGGCTTTACCGTGTTTGGCTGGATCTCCGCCTGGATGAGTAGAGGAAAGGAATACTTCTATGCATGTGCAGCGCATCCAAATACAATATAATCAAAGACCTCTAACAGCTCGAAATTTACTACAACTTCAATCAAACTTAACGATTACGTTTAAATATTTTAATGAGTACATTACAGTAAATTTTTAAAAATTTTGTTCTGTTGTAATTAATCGTGGAAAAATAATGCAAAAACATAATGGACTTTGTTCGGAAATATGTCGTCAAACGTTAAAAATCTGCATTGACTGGTTGAAAATCGAACAAACAAAAATTGAATGCAAAGTTGCGATTTGGTTTTTAAACTTTAGAATATGACGCATTGACTGACGGAGGGCGGCGAACTGTAGAAAACAAATCTTGCCATAATTTTTTGTCTGCAAATAGTTGAAATGTGGTGAATGCGAGCTTATCTTTTTCGTAGATAATCGAGGCAATCACACCGCATTTTTATGGCACCAGTACGCACTCGGGAAAATACCGCATTTTTATGGGAGAAGTACAGATACGTGAGTTTTAGAGTGTTGCATTTGAAATTACGAGTAGATCAACAAAATGACTATTATAAACACGTTGTAGGCAACAAAATATTAGTACTAGCGCGTTAAATCGTACGCACTACTGCATATCGCCGCAGCCGCACGTTCTGTTGCCGGCGCAAATGCATTCGGATTTCGAATGCTAGGCAATTAAATTTTCAAGTAAGAGAAACTAGTCCCAGATAGATATCTGTAGCTTTTCACGGTTGACTAACAATGCAGCTTCAATACTGAGCGATGCCTGCGGGATAATTATGACATGACGCTCTGTTTATAATTAGCAAATAACAAGACCAACAGCTGTTTCCAGTTCAAGTGCCGCCATATCGACTTCTCCTTGCAGTAAAACTGTATGCCTGTTAGGTTGCATATACAGTACATAGTCTCCAATGTGCAGGAATTTGCAAAGCGATCAGCACTTTTTTACTGACCGTCGGAAATATAAAATCGCCTGTCTGTTATTTTACTGCTTGCTAAATTACTAATTTGTAGCAAACCTTTTTGATTTAGAGAAACTTCAGCAATGTGCGCGATAAAATAAATTTATTTGCAATGCTTTTCGGTTACTGTTTTATCCTTTTGATTTGGACTGCAATTTATAATAGAATTAATTTTTATAAAAGTAATTTATAATCTGTAAGTTGTAATTTACAGAAGTAACAAAGTAATTTATAGAAGGATCATACTACGTACTAAATTCTTCTCAGACTGTAAGCTTTGTATGCAAGAAAAATTATAATTTGCACAAGTACACAATATTTAAATCAACACAAATGTATCTGTCTAAATATACAGTACAAAAATGCGTGCCTGCTGCAATCGTAATTCGCGTATTTTTTCACGCGGGAGTATGCATTCTTTACACGCTAGTTGTCATAATTTCGTAAGAATAATTTTTCGTTGTACCGCATTATAGCTTGTATACACCGGAAACGCAGAGAGTGAGAACATTATTAGTACTTACAGGATGCGACTTGGGATAAAACGCAGGCAAATCCTGCAAGACCACCTTCAAGTCTTCTGCAGTTCGTAAGATTTTCACCATGGTTTTAGCTAATAAAAAATCATCAGGGTAAATAATAACAGGCACGAATTAACGAGCCATGACGCCACCGCAAATTAATCGGAATTTTCACCCACACCCCGGAAGTGCTTCTTCACACACCCATCAATTGTTCAGAATCCAGACAGCCAAACAAAATTGCCACTTTCCCATAAACACCGTACAGTCTGTACGGTACAGAATGTAAACACTTTAGGACAACAAAATATTACACGATCCTTTCTGATACCGAATTACACAGATACACTACATACGACACTGTGTGCAGCGTGCTAAATAAACAAGAACATTATATTTTTGTTTTCATGACTGCTGCTCGGTGCAATCGGATCATACTCGTATCTGTAGTGCGCCCACGCATGTACCGGCATTTGATGGGCCGCTGTACAGATGGTGCGTGGTAGGGTTGTGTAATAACGTTGGGACGCCGGTATGAACTCACGCAACACATTAACGCTACGGCCGTTATTGCCGTTAGGTACGCATATTAACTAATGTTGCAGATACGGTCGAGGATGCTCCAATCGTGTCTCCCGGGACATGCCAATCCTGTTGAAGAAACGGCCCTCAGTATTCCTCCGTGTTGGAGTGTCGTTACGCCGCGCGACTGATAGGTACAATTAGGAAAACATATATGCATTAGTTACTGCTGGAGGGAAAAACGGGCTTTTGCGTGTTGTTTTTATGGACCTTGTTTATACATATTGGTAACCCAGTGGGTAGCTCGATTAAGCGAATCAGGTTTTTGTCCGCCGTGACCTTAAGCACTCTTTCGGTAGCCGAGTCTTCTGTTCAATAAAAAAATATCAAAGAAATATTTTTTATAATTTGTTTGTTTATTTGGACGTACGAACGAAACGTTCGCGAAACTGACTTCGTATTTTCTTTTTTCGTTCTCGTATTTGTTGATAAAAACATCCATTTACAGTAAACAAGAGCTGTGCGATTTACTAAGAAAACGTGTGATCTGTTGATTGCAGCGACAGGGTTAAAATAATCAAAACTAATCTTGCTTCTGAGCATTTATTTCACCGAAAGTAAATAATGCATGTGGCTAATGGTGTCCAGTAATTTGTTGCCCGGGAGCAGAAGAACGGAGTCGGTACGTACAGTATTCGCTGCTCAGCATGCAGCGGACTCTTCCGTCAAATGCAGTCTGCTCGTATCCAGTTTGGACTTAAAGCCGACAAGCCAAAACGTCAACATGTTGCCCTTTCCCTGCGTAATACACAAGTCAAACAACATCTGAAATTGTATGCTAATAATTTCTGTTTCCTGCACGTCATTTGGGTGCAGCAGAAAGAAAAAACAAATTAAAAAAGAAAAGTCTGATTACAAGTGACGCGACGCGTGAAGAAGAATTGGTTTTACCTTCACAAAAATTTCTCCCCGTGGTAAAAACAAGAGGTCAGACGTTTCCGGAATGAGCGCCACGGAGAAAGAACTAGCTTGAATCCTGTCACCTGCGATTAATTTTAGTAGTATTTTTAATCAGACTTTAATGTGTCTGTCGTTTGAAAAATGGAAGTCTCGCTTAATCCATTACCGGCATAAATAGAACTTAAGATTATGTTCAGACCACTATCAGTAACTTTGCCGGCTCTACATAAACATCATCTCTACATTTCCGCATTCTCATTTATATATTGTATACACTGGTGTAATATTATAGCTTTTTGGATTTGGTTGTTTTTGATTTTGTAATCCGTAGTAAGAACATTGCCGGTATGCCGTACACGAAAGAAAGTTAACAAAAACTAGTATACGTAGAGTAATGAATATAGCTGCACCTTCAGAAGTTGATTCCATCCGGCTGGCTGTGTTAATTGTGTCACCGAATCTAGGCAATTCAGAGTTCAAATAAAACTTTTATCCAGGATGCAGTTATTGCTGCATTAATGCAGCTGGATGCGGTTTAGGTAGGCTTCCAGTGCGCAACAACTTAAGGAATTTTGCAAGACTGAACGTAGAAATATATGGAGAATAGCTTACAAACAGTATCTTGGCAAACGATCGCCCGCAACGGCCGTCACAATTGGTCCTGCACAGGTAAACAGCAGATCATATTACAGTGCTGACGGACTTAATTTATGAATTACTTGTTATCATATTTATTATCTGGAGCCTTGTTATGAATTTTAATGAACTTCTTACAATTAAAACGGACGATTATCTGCCTGTCGTCTCTAACAACAAAGTTCTAAGTAATTAGCTGAATATAAGCGGAGTATATACCGGTGTGAAATCCGGTCACAAATTTGAGCTGCAGCTCACTGGATTGTCTGTTGACCTTTCGAGCAGCATTCCCTAAAGACAGCGCACAGGCTGCTATTTCCGTTACGTGCTTCGTCCCGTTGCGTTTTGGTAGACCGCTTGCTATCTGCACATTATACAGAAAAATCACATACGAAGCATGTACATATACAGTAGAATATACACTATCCAATAAATATTCTCAATTCACCTAAACATGTAATTCACCAAGTTTACATGTAATAATCAAAAAAGGCTACCAAATAAACGTCATTTGTCGTTTCCACTTTGTACACATCGAAGGCGGATATCTCATTATCGATGGCCAGATACAGTGAATGCATGATGGCAATCAGCTGTATGGGTGAGCATGTGGATGCAATCTGTGAGAATCCTTCCACGGCGTTAAATAAAATGGTCACCGACTCAAACTGTTCCGGTTGTATAGTTTTTCCAGCTATCAGATCCAACGCCACCGGCCTGCAGGTATTTAAAAACATCCGTCAGAAAGTCATAAATAATATTTCTATTGCGATCTACACTTCCCGGTCACATTATGTTTAAATAACTTATTTGCAATACCTGGGAAGAATTTCGAACAGCAGTTTCTGAATTTTTCCTTTTTCTTCCAGTAATTCCGCGGTCCGACCGGCAACCGTGTGCTCCAGCTCATCAGCATAGGATTGCATACGCTTCATAAGGTCATCCATCATTGTGCCGGCATTCTTTCCGCGCATTCGCTGAAACATCTTGTCCACTTCGGCCATGGTAGGCCGCTCCGTTGGATTCTCTTTCCAGCATGCTTCCGCTAAATTACGAAGTCCTTCAGCTTTTACCGGGTCCATGGAGATTTTCTCCAAGTTGGGGCGCTTTACTGGTGGCTTTCCTTCTTTTAAAGTATCTATGATTTCTGTAATGAAACCTTACACTAACTTTCTTCAAAACTTTCACCCTGAAAAAGACTAAAAGAAACCCACTAAAAACTTTTGATATTACAGTAAATCATCTGTTGTTTCTAACATTTTTTAAGAGTCAATGTGGTTGACGGTGATTAAGTTCTTAGGGAAAAGGTAAAATTTCTTGTGTTTTTATTTATGTATGTGCTTAAGACCTACCAGTGTATTTGTCGTAATCTTGAGCATTGTTGTAAGGGTCACCGAGGAGGCAGACTTCGCTTAAAATTATAGAGAAGCTAAACACATCCGCTCGCCGCTTCCCGCTGGCCGATGCAAAATTAGCCGTGCGCAGCAATTCCGGCGCCATCCACTTTTGATCTCCCGTCGCTAAATGGTCTTCCACATTTAAATCTTGTAATGCATAATCGGTGATTTTTACCATAAACCGCGAGTTGATTAGACATTTGGAACTGCGCAGCCGTCCATGACAATAGATCCACGAATTGTGAATAAAATTTAATCCCTGTAAGAAATGAAAAAAGGGAAAAATTCGGTCCATTTTATTTGATCTCCATGCGTAGATGGTTAAAATACATAGAAAGTTAAAAACCCTTGTGAACTTCCGCGAAAGTACTGACTCCAAGACTTTTTTAACATTTTCCCAATCACTGGAGCCTTGTATGACCTCACCTCGATAATGTCACTGAGCATGGACAATCGGAATGATGTATCCTGCATAAACATATCGCCGCTGCGTGTCGCTTGATAAATCGAACCTTTTGGACATGCCTCGTATAAGACGATTCCACGGTCTTCTTTCAGCAAAATGCCGAATATTCTCACCAACTTATCAGATTTTGTCGTTCGTAGCTGTATAATACACAGTTTTGTATAAATCATTAGTAGGAGAAAGTTATTCTATAATTAATTTTAAGTAAATGTCAAATTTCCGATGACAAGTCCTACACGTTTCAATTCCGAAAGCGTTCGATCAGACAGTTTTGCTGGGAGAAAGTGCTGCATCGTTACCGGATTGGATTGTATCATGGCTTGTTCTCCTGTTTGTTCCGGATCCTATGGTAAAAAAATCACTGGAAGCTGCATCATGGAAACTACATAATAACCCATCGGAGATTTGAGTACTCTCGGTCAGCGACGATATGAAGTACTAATGCAGGCATTTGTATGTAAGCATGATTGCATGAATATGATTGAAAATGGCACTAACGTTTCAAACCGGCGCTAAGGCGACATTTTCATATTACGATATTGGCACAAGTACAGCACGAGGTCTTTAAAGCTGCGATATTTTATTATTGACAGTTACAAAGTAGAACGTAGCACGCTTAATGTGAATCTTTTATTTTAATATTTCATTACTAATTGACTAAATGATAATGATATATATTCATTGTGATACAGAATGCGGATGCCAAATTTCAAAATACATGTAGAGTTTTGTATATAGAGTTTTCGTTGCTTACCGGTAGTAGCATTTCTAGAGTACAAAGTTTCGGTTATACAGTATAAGTACCTGGAACTGGTCAGGTGCGATCTTCCACCATTCAGTATCGGCTGTTCGGCGCCTGATAAGCCTGCAATAAAAAACTCGAGCTGCCAGTTTATAAATTAGTCAGACAATATTAGACAACGCAGCAGCACAAGTGTTTATTCGAACAAGGTTTGGGCAAACAAAACAGATGCAACTGGTTATTTATCAGCCAGCGTACATGATAGTGCCAGCTGTCGCTGCAACCAGGATTAATATGCCCGCGGCGGCAGATCCAACAGCAATGTACAAAGTCAAACTTTCTACAAGGATATAAAGAAATCAGCGATGTGCTACTGTAATTGTTCTCCGTCAAGTAAATACTGTAGCAATGCATTGATTATGATTACATGCAAGTGTCTTAGAAGCTTGTATCTGTACTGCCTGGAAAAAACATTTTATAAAAAGCCCCGCGCATTGCATATATGATGAACATACGAGCCGGGTCGCATTTAGGATTATTTCCGGCAAACCCGCAGAATGGTTCATTGGGTGGAGGTCCGTCTGAATACGGCCACTCAATATCCGTGATAGTCTGCGCCACCGTAGCCGTCTCAGGAAAATCAATTACCTTCTGTTAAACGGTAAAATGAATAGAACAAAAACTAAAACCAGCATTTCTTTTTCGAAAAGTTACTAACGAATACAAGGCATTTATCTTACTACAGTGTTGATTTCATGCCCAGTGACAGCGTGCTATTAACGTTGACAATTCATACCACAAAAATGCCGGCATTGTAGCGGAAATGGTGCAGTTCAAAATTGCCAACAAGGTTGTTTTGCGCATCCAGTGTGATTTCCCCTCGTATTCCGTAAAACGTACGGTTGGTGAACCGTTTCGCCATTTTGCGGCCATCAAAACTATCTTCGCCAGCCGCCAGCGTTTCATTGGCCACTTGGCCGAACGTCAAGATCGCGTCATGGAAGCCAATAGCGTGAATGTTCACCTAAACCAGGTTAACGTCAGCGTCGGAAAGCCTGTCTTGGAAAAAGTGAACCTGAGGAATGGTTTCTGATGAATACTTTGTCGTATATTTTTAGCTTGATGTTAAACTACAAAAATTATTGTTAGAAAGGTTCAAAGTTCATGGAAAAACGAGAAATTGATGGCAGATATTGGCCTATACACCTGCCAGCAGTTTCTCGTTTTTCCATGACCTTTGTACCTCGTCATATGGTGCTATCGATTGGTTGTAATCGCGGATAGCCATTTCTTGCACCGTTTGATTAAACTCTCGGAATTCCGGGGAAGACGGTATGCGTTGTTTAATCAGGAAAAGGCTGCGAAATGCCTCTCGCGTATCCTACAACCCATAAGCACCCACAATATTATTATGCTCTATGTTGATCATAGCAACGACAGATCGTCTCAGACCGGTCGACCGTGGAACAAATCAATATTAAATCTAAATACAAATTATCAACTAAGGAAACTACTCGGAGAACACATGCTGTTATATATGCGATACCTGTTATGGGATAACAAGTTATGTAATACTGCTACTCATACTAATACATACCACATTGCAACACCAGGAAGGCGCAAAACGGTTTCTAGACAGATTACCTACTGGTACGCCGTATCGAATAGACCACTTAACCAGTTTACGCGGTGGTGGGTCACGACGTCTACTTGGTACTTACTACTTACATTGTCACTTTCTAATCCCATATCCCACTTCGGTGTGCCAAAGTAATTCTTAGTTTTGAAATAAGCTCCGGCAATGAAAATCTACAATTCCATAATAAGTATGTTTCTAACTTTATGAATGTGTACCAAGCTGGTTATATCAATTTTAGTGCGCATATTACATGATCACCCTTTGTGTATCCCAACGAGAAAGCAGCCAACTGCAAAAAAATCACCACTGAAAAACTTGGTAGCTACTGTTGTCCCAAAATAATACTGAAGCCGTCGGTTTCTTCCCCAAAATAGCGTACCATCACCAGCCGGATTGTCTTTGGGTCGCCCAAAATAAAAATAACTGCAATAAGAACCCATAGATACAGTATTATGTGCAGCACATTACTAACCATGGTATGTACGCGTACTTCGTGACCTTCGATGAGCTTCTTGCACGGCGCGCAGAATATCCGCGTACGCGTTATTCTTGTTTTTGGTTAAGAAGTACGGTCGTGCTTCAAATCGGACATCCGTCTTGCCCGTCAAGTACTCGGTTAACGTAAACATGGCCCTCCATACGGCGTCATCCACGTCGTAGATTCCAGTAACATCCGTCCAGTTGAATAGTTTAAGCACTTGGTACAAGAATGTACCAGCACGAGACTGAGTGTAGGAGAAGCCGAGGATGTTGGGAAAGCGGACGCGGTCGGTAAGGAATGTTGCGATGCCAGTGCCGTCGATAAGTAACATGTTCCAGTCTGAAAAACCGCTGCGTAAAAATTACTTGCGTAAAGCGAAGTACAATATTTGACCTAGAATTAATCAGCAATCCGTCATCAGAATTCTCCTGAATTCGTTTTCAGAGTTATTTCTAACAAAACCCCGCAGCATTTGGAAACTGTAGTTTGGGAAAACAGAATACCGCTCATCGGATAAAATGCGAAAGTAGATTTTATGAGAATAATCTGTTCGATCATTACCGGTCTTATGTTAACACACTAGACCACTTGAAATGAGTCCCAGTCAACCCACAATTTTGCATTGCTCTGCAGTTCATGCAGTAGATGATACTAAGTCTTGAAGCATTCGCTAAATGTGCAAATATTGTGCGAATTATTTTTTGTACGATATCTGCATAAATGGTTTACAACTTCCAAAACGCTTTAATTAACAAAACAATATGAGAAACCCTCCGCCACGTAAATTCGCCGCATTTTACTCGTATAAATAACAAAAAGTGATCAAAAAAGACTTATAAGACCACTCGCTGACTTTACACAGTCACACTCCACGCAAAATAAAATACTACCATTAAAGGGCGTTTCTTTCGAACCCTTCTACTGGCTTTTCTATGTAAACTTGTCCTTTGTAAACTTGGTTTTTCTGAGTCAACTTGAGACGCAGGCAGGCTTTGATGGGCACGGCATGCCACGGGTTGACTACTAAAAGTTATAATGCTGACAGGTTTCACGGAAAATGCAGTGTATGCCCTTGTTTAGTGACCCATCAATTTAGTTGTGGTGCTCAACTTTGCCGCACATACTGCACTGGGTTTCCAGAAGCCAGCGCTAAGCCATTTTCCGGCTACAGCTAATTTAGGTTAGCCTACACTGCTCCGACGTTCAATCTTTCTGATGTGACACATCATGTGTTGGGTCGGCCCGGCCCGGCCCAGCGCCGCCCGGCCCGAGCAATAGGGCCGGGCCGTCGTTTACACGGCCCGGGCCGCGGGCCGATCCGGGCTGCGGCCCGACATATCCCCGGGCCGCGGCCCGGGCCGTCTTGCAGCACAGTGATATTTTTTCCCGGATGTCATTATGTAAGCGGCTACAGCGTGTATGTCAACGGAAAAATAGACGGATTTTCGCCTAGAAACGTTTCTTGCTGTGAAAATTAAGAAAAACTCATTGAAAACTACTAAATTTCAGTAAATCGCAATGAAATTTTTTGTTTTTCTACGTCTTTTTCAATATTTAACGTCCACAACGGGCCACGACCCGGGCCGCGGCCCGGGCCATGGCCCTTCTCCCCGGGCCGAGGGCCGCGGCCCGGCGCGGCCCTCACAAAAGGGCCAGGCCGACCTCGGCCCGGGCCGTTCGGGCCGCGGCCCTGGGCCGGGCCGGCCCAACACTAGGTCACACATGTCTTTGTGTTGGCAGACACGCGTCAAACATGGTCAACGACTTTATGTATGCAAGTGCAAGGTCACCATTGAGCCTAAATTCCTTTCACTTGCGTTTACGTGTGTGTTATGCTGGCAAACAGATTTCGTAGAACGGACACGTTTCGAAAGCGTACCTTCGATCATCGATACTTACGGTTACATTATTTTTTCCTGTAGTAATCAAATTTAGTGAGATATTTAGACCACATGCTTCCAGTAATGAGCAAACTATTATACACAAAATCTTATATAAAAACATTTAAAACTCGGTACATAATTCTTTGGCCTAGCTGCAATACAGTTTCGCCTTGCATGGTTGTTTAACGATTTGGCTTGCGCAAGTGATATCACCGAGTGAGACGGTAATAAAATCAAATTAGCACCATACTTTTCAGTACGTCAGCCACAATGCGAATGCCAAACGTGCAGGTAGGCCCAAACACCACAGCCAATGGATGCGTTCCGTTGAGATTAGCATAGTAAATGTGGGAAATGTAGTCCGCGGCAGCGTCCTCAATTTCGTCACAATTGACTTGCCAAGGTTCTTTGGGAACATATGTCCGAATGCTGCAACCAGGCAATACCTTATCCTGTAGTTTCTGTAGAGCGATATTGATAGCTGGGCCAACGATATGATGATCGGAATAAATTGGCGACCGAAACGGAGTAATGGCCACCACCGACATATTGCATGATAAAGCCGGCGTACACAGGAATAAGAGCAATAAAAAGGTCATTGTACAAGAGTTTCAGCCAACGTGCATCGTATAGATTACTAGTTCATCCAAAAATGAAAAAAACGAAAAACACGTTAAGGGGTGAAACTTTGCTCTTTTATACAGTAATCATTCCGTAACACTTGGATTCCGAAATCAGTAATTTCACTAAATGGAATGATGGGAATCAAGAAACCCAAAAACGGCCTGCGCAATGACTTGCATGCTTCAGTCGCTAGAGGGCGAATACCATTGAAGTCGACGCCCACTCGCCGTTGCCCCTGTATGTCGTCTCTCTAAAAAGAAATTTCCAAAATATGGAAAAGGGTTTTTTTGAAATTAACTTATTGAACGACATTACAGCATGATTTAGAAAAAATCATCCGGCCACGCCTTTCAAGTGTTAAGGAATCGGACTCGATAATCAACCACTCCCACGTTACTGTTAGGACACATGGTTGTCCTTAACAAAAACCCGACCAAATTGATTAAAAAACACGACGAGGGACTTGAACCACAGCAGAACATTTATCGGTAGTTTACTTGATGATGGGCTCGGCAGGCCTATCGCTACCCCGTGTTGCCTCCCTTTAGCGAAATGGATAGATCAGTACATTAGCGTAGCGTTTGGTTATCTACACCTGCTACGCAAGGGCAGTCGAGAACGCATACGATGTAAGTACTGTGGATATAAATGAGCCATCGTCGCACCCGGTGAGTGTCCATTAACACCCGATAATGAATGCGCCATTAATCGATTGCTCTTTTCGAGCAAAGCAACGTTTCCGCCCTACTCTGTATTCTGCTGGTGCTGTGCACCGTTACCGTAATGGGCACTTTACGCGATTTCTCTTAAGGGAAGTGGCCCGGTACATGGTACCAAATTTGTGTGAATGCACGGAAACTTTCACTTTCGCGCACTCCCAAACACATTTTGGTTTCGGTTTATGACATTCTGTAGCCAAATGATTTATATGCACAGGCGAGAAAACCGTTTGTGCGCGCAACATCCGGTTCAGTTATGGCTGTTAGAAAATTCCCAAAAGTTTAAATGCATTAAGGTGTACCAAAAGTCTCATTATGGACCGATCTCCTTCAAATTTTGCACGTAAAGCGCATAACCATGAAGATCGTTTTTACACCGATCCAGACTTCCATGATATTTTTTCAAATTTTAAAATGAATATTAAAATTTTTGAAATTCATTTTAACATTTGAAAAACATGCTAGAACAGTGGATCGGTGTAAAAACGATCTTCATGGCCATGTGCATTTACGTGCAAAATTTGAAGGAGATCGGTCCATAATGAGACTTTTGGTACACCTGAATGCATTTAAACTTTTGGGAATTTTCTAAAAGCCATAACTCCCGAACCGGATGTTGCGCGCACAAACGGTTTTCTCGCCTGTGCATATAAATCATTTGGCTACAGAATGTCATAAAGCAAAAGAACAAACGGTTTGGGAATGCGCGAAAGTGAAAGATTTCGTGCATGTACACGACTTTGGTACCAAGTACCGGCCCACTTCCCTTAAGGTCCATATCATGCAATACTTCCAGTTCCAGGAAATCTATGTACGGGTCGCGTAGGATGGTGTAAGTTTAACTTAGTCCAGATATGCATTGCGTTAGAATCAGTTTGTGTCCGCTAATTGCATCAGCATGCCAACACAAGCAAACATACTGTACATATGATTGTTAAATCAAATGTCACGCATACAAATAAATGTCTGACGAAAAAGTGGTGATCGGCCACTCGAGGTCCACAGCTCAATAGATAATTTAAAATTTCAAACTAACGACAGTGTCGACTTGACCACGTCTACCCAGCACCGGGTTCGAACAGAAAAGCGCTTGCCTGCGCAAAATACCAGTAACAATAATAATCTCATTTTTTAATTCGTCGTATAATCCTATATATTAATAAAATAAGCCTTAGCGAATTCCATTTCTGTCACCCTTTTTTGAGCGATCCACTGAACCAAACTTTGATGTCTATATGTCATTCAATAGCCGCGAGTTTGCAGATTTGCAGAAACCAGTTAGTTTTTTGAAAGTATGTGAAGTTTTAGAGAAAATCTTAAAAGAACTTAACATACAAAGTCTACGGGAAAAGTGCAGAACCCACCACTGCAAACCCACCCAAGCCACCACTGGCACGAACAGCACAGGAAAAGACATCTACACTTGATGGAACTTTGGTGTCCGTTAGTTATCGGACTGCCTTTAGTTCATAAGATTTTATTAAGAGTTAGTTTTAAAATATGTAGGCTCGGAAAGTGATGTTTCTTAAAGACTGAACATGCAGAATCTCCTGGAAAGTGGGAGCGACCCAAATTCCAAAGATAAAGTAGTTGCCTTTCGCAACGGGTTGATTAGATGTATTAATTAAAATTTAAAACTGCTTCCAAAGGGCGGTTGGCTTTTGCTGCCGTGCCAATAAAGTGGAATATTTTATCCTTTTTTCAAATCTCAAATAAACATCATTTTGTGAGAGACTGAAAGTCGATTTTGAGAATTTTGGTGTTCGACTGGAAATGATGTGGACTACTCGAGCAAAACAGCGAGTCCCAGTCCCACCGGGCGTACGCACTAGGATTCGAGTCTAACCGCCCGGGGAGAAAGCGGCCCAAGGCAAATCTTTTCACGGCGACCTAAATGAGGAGCGCGAGCCTCCAGCAGGGGGAAGGTAGAGAAGGTAAAATATTTTTCAGAAGGGATATTTTTCCGCTAAGGAACGTAGACAAAAACGGTTTTATGAAAACAAAACCGCATTTTTAGCATTCAACAATTTAACATAAACAGAAAATTTAAAAGCGAAGCTTATCCGCATTCTAATCTATCTTTCCGCCAGCTATAAAGCATTCCGTCAGATCAGCTCCCATCAAAGGTCAGAACAAAAAAACTAGGGAATACCTCTCCGGTGCGCCTGGGTGCGACAAGCTACATTAATGAACCATCTGTGAGGACGTAAGCGTGAAGCGACAATGCGTTTAATGGGTTGGGGATGTTGTTGGCGTTAAATGGGTTGGGTTTGGGATGGGTTGGGGTTGGGATTGGGGAGGCGACAACGCGTTGGGGATGTACTATACAAATGCATAGATTTTTGCCAAACTTGAAACAAATTTTATAAGCACGTAACAGAAAGCGGAATCATAGGCGGCGCCTATCTGCAGCGGGGGTCGCAAGCAAGACACTGTGCTTAAGTTGTCGACGTTAATCAATAAAAAGTTCACCAAAGAACACAACGAAATTTTGAAGTCTTCATCAGGTTTAAATTGTGTGTAAACAGTTGGAGGAAACTGGAAAGTATTTTTATTCTAAGTGGTCTAAAGGTTGACATCGGTGGTCGTACGGTCGCATCACTGGATTGTTTTGTCGGGACGCACTAACTAAAATATTCTTATACGCTCCGCTCAATAAAACTAAATTTGCAGTCATGGGTTTGTGCTTTGTAGCTTTCCATAAATAACAATTTATCGCCGATTTATTCCGCGCAGTTTGCGCGGGGTCTACTAGTATAATAATAATTACCCGGTAAGTGACACATTTTGATTTCAGATTTTCAATTATTCTTTGTCGCTTTAGAGTGTGTTTCTTTATAGATAGAAGTACACATGTTTTTCCACCGGCATGTTTTTCCGCTTCTACCGTTCCATGGCTTCTAGACTGCTACTGTGTACCAGTACTTAAACTGCTTTTCTTGCATACACTTTTGCAAAATTTGTACTGCGCCGAAGTGCGCACTCTTGTACACGCATACGATGTTATACCATTTACCGATACGTACTGGTGAAGCGTCCTCAACTGGAGGAAGACCTGAAGGTTCGAGGCTCGAACAAAAGTGGTGCTCAGTCATTTAATTCCTTTAAAAAGCACTGAACATTGTTCATTATTTTTTTATATTAAATTTATCTGTACTGCGATGATGCAGCACTGCTGCACCCTTACCTATATGAATGTGATTAATTTGAGAACAGTAAAAGGTCATGCAACTTTACCGTAATCTAAGGAGTGTTATCAGTGTACAGAGTAAAATGTACATAAATTTAATATTCCAACGCCTACTGTTGTGCATAATGTAAAGGTAGAGAACTTGATGAAAATAATAATTACTGCTTTAAGAAAATAATTGCCAGTAGTACAAGTACATGCACATACGGATTGTACATGGAGAATATTATTATCTCCCTAGCCGTACCAGTTATCTGAATAACTACAGACTACAGTAAATACCGTGGCATAAACAGTTTTTCTAATTAATTTCATCATCGTCGGAAAACGCAAGCTGCATAATATGTAAGGAAACGGCATCGTGTGTTTTGTTGCCAACTTGCCATCCATATACAGTAGCACGCTTCGATTCTGTTTAAAATACCGGTAATCTGGCTTATGTCTCACAGCTTGCATACGTAGCTGGTCAGCCGATATACCGATTCAATAATAAACGCTCCACACCAAAAAACCAGGATCGAAAAAACGCGCTAAAACCACGCCACCGTATTTTGGACTTTATAGCTTTTGTAACAGTCTGTTCACTGTCGGCTGACACGTGACCCGATCTTGCAAGCAGTCGAATGTGTACCAGCCCAGGCACCTGAGAAAATTTTCGAACACATCTGGAGGACATATATACAACGCCACCATAATTCGGTGCTCCTAACAATCACACCACTCTGTTATATTTGTTACACAATACTATGGGCGCTTTTTCGGCAACAAGGATAGATATTGTTGGCTTTATTGCTGTTATCATACAAGCGTAGTATAACTGGAGCCACTTCATGATTATTTAGATTAGAAATGCATTGTGCGGTTTTTCCGCGGAAAAGCGATGCATCACTGCACGTGCAAACGATGATGCCTGACTGTTTTAGGAAAGCGCTTTTGTTTAAAGTTCAGCGTTGCTCTGCCGATGTAGACCGTTTCCAGTTCGCAACAGCAATGTTTTTGCGTTTTTTGCATTGTCATAAGTTTTCCATAATATTACTGCTTATAACTAAAAAATTATTTAATCGCCCAAATGACTGGTTTTCCTACAAATTAATTAATAGTACAGTAGCAATCAACGTATAAAAATGTGTGCATAAATAACATTAAGAATGTAATAAATTTTTTTCATAAGATTTTGTGTTTCCGCGGTTCATTTGTATGAAGTCTTCATTACGTGCACGGTGCAATCAATTCTGGTTGCGGTACTCAGGAAGTTACTTGCTAGAATGTGTTTATAAATGAATTATTATTTTTTCAAATCGCAGTATATGGTCATTTGCCAGCCGTATTCGTCATCGCCATGGATCGATCGACAAAAAACCACAAACAGTTAAGCGACACTTCTTTGAATTATGAAATGCTAAACGCGTGAATCAGGCGGCAGTCTTGCATGTAATTTCCATAAGAAGACTCCCAACAACAGGATGGTCACGCTTCTGCAGTAGCGGCTAAATAGTCGGCTTCTGAGTATAAACGCTTATCCACGCTTGCCTGTCGCTTCCGGCTGTTTTTCTCACCATGCAAAAAACAACCCTTTTCTCCAAGTGTGCATGGCGTTAAGCATGCGAGTGGCCTTGAACAAAGCGATGCGTTTATCTGGCGTTGGTCCGACCGCCTATATAAAACACCGGCATCAAATAACACATCCAGCGCCAGTAATCCCACTTCAAGAATTTTATTTTTATCAACGCATATATACGTTACTTTAACCATGAAGGTCATCGTGTTCCTTGGTCTACTATCGGCCGTATACTGCGCACCCCGAGCCAATCCGGGCGCGGTGGGACCGCCCTACGTCTGGGATCTGCAGAAGCCGCGCATGGATGCCGCTTCGGTGGCCGCCATGCTGACGCAGAAGGCCGACGGTCAGTATCCGACGTATGTACCCATTCCGCAGGGCGGCTTCGACTGCAACTCCAAGAAGATGCCGGGTTACTATGCCGATACGGAGTTCCAGTGCCAAGTGTACCATCGGTGTGATATCAACGGGAATATGACCAGCTACATCTGCGACAATACCACAGTATTCGACCAGGTCACCTTGATCTGTGATTACTGGTTCAACGTCGACTGCTCGCGGTAAGGGAACAATTACAGGTGGTAGCTATTCACCCGGGCATCGGGGCCGCATTCGCATTTTTCGCGCCCTGATGTCCGGGCGTACAGCCATTGGGCTTCGCGCCCCAATGTCCGGGCGAATAGCTTTTTTGAAAATTATATGCCACAGATGCCGCATTGACCCATTCCTGATTAGTAGTGAACTGAGCGCACCACAAAATTAAAACGATGTATGAACTATATCGTAGTGCAGTGGCGTGCAATGTGGCGTGCACACAGGATTACATGCCATAATAATTCCATAAAATTTTTTCGCGGCTTTTAATAAAAGCTTTTTTGGTTAATTTTATAAAACAAATAAAGCTATGCAGGTGATGATACAGTCTTTTCAGTAATAATTATGTGTAAGATAAACCTAACAGGCGTTTATGCAGAGTTTAAATAATTTTTTAAAAGATTAAGCATAAAGTATAATATTTTACTGAAAGGAAAAAGAAAGCGTTTCCATAGGACAAAGAAAGCAAAATTTAAATAATGGGGTCAATCAACGAAAAACGAATATGTTTTTCTAGGATCTGGGCATGCAGTCTGCGCACCTTCTCGCTCCGTATAAACATAATGTACTAGTAAAAAATATTGTTTTGTAGATCGCAAGAATTCGAGGAATTCGCCAACCGTCGTCTCTACCAAGAAGAACTGCCGCTCTTCGACACCCCACCTGCCGACTACGTGGCACCACAGGCCCAGGGCTCCGCCGGCGCAGCTGCCGGTCAAGGATCGAAGACCCGTACTGGAGGCGCTCAGCAGAAGAGCGGAGGCGGACAAGTCGCTGCTAAGGCCAAGGCAGCGGGCGGACAGGGCGGAGCGAGTGCCCAGTCCTCGGGACGCAAAGCGCAGGCCAGTGGTCAAGCCGGTGCCGGGAGCCGTACAGCGGCCGGCCGCAGTAATACCGGCAGCTACGGAAATGCCCAAGCTAGCAATGCGCAGGGGAGCGCCCAAGACCAGGCTGAGAGCGCCGAATAAAAGCAGATTCAGTAATGGTTTCCGCAAGTGCATTTGTTGTTCGTTAACCTTAAATACCAGCGTGTATGCATGTTAATGCAAAATTAACTGAATTGACCACATTTATTCAGACTACTATGGATACTTGTATTTACCTTGCGGTTGCTTTTAGCAAAGGTCTCGGGGTTACGGAAAGAGTTTTTATTTGTTTGGCAGTGATTAATAAAAATTGCGAAGGTGATACTGTATTTTACGAATCAGAAGAAATTCTGCATAAATTTCATGCCTACGCAAAATTTTGATGCAGAAGAATTAAAGTTGCGGCCTTTGTCAGAGGAAATATCGGCATGAAACTGGCAAAAAAAATCCTGTCATAGATTTTCAAAAATATTGTAGCGAACACGTGTGTTAAGGCCAAATAAAGAAATTTACGTGCCACAAAGCCAATGCATGATAGTGCATTTTATACTAATTTGCAATAGTAATATAAATGAGCTGGTGATACACACATTAAAAGAGACAATATGGTCCGCTTATGACGGTTTGCAATTAAATCATGGGCACGCAAATTGTTTCTAAGACTTCTTTTCTTTTGAACTGCATAACAAAATTATATGTAATATTCGAGTTCGTTTTAATTAGTGCTTATTGGAAAACTGCTGCGTAGTGTTGTTACTGTTGTATACGTAACAAATTGCGGGTGCCGGTGGAGTCCGCGTTTGGGCTTCGAAAATGGTGCTACCACAGTCAGTAGAAGTAGTGCTAATTTATTCGAAGATTCTGCGTGCCAAGGTTGTATCAAGTGCGGGGTACGTATGCTTTCATTAACGCGCAAGTATCTATGCGTCACCTCAAATATACTCTAAAATCCGATATTAACGAGCCCCCCCGAAATTATCGCCCCGGGGCGTCTAATAATTTGCGGCGCCGCCCTTTTTTAGTGTGTTGTCGGTACGGTCTTAGTGGTACATCTTGCTAATTTAGCTAATGCATACCCTTAAACCATGATTTTTTAATTAATGTCTTGGTTTATGAATTATTCCTTTGATGTTCATACATAATAACCTCGTTAAAACTGACACATCATGAGCGTGTTATTCATTTGAAAAATTAGACGCCCCCCGTAATAAACGCCCCCTGCGGTTTTAAACGCCCCCTCCCGAGCCTCTCGAAAAAATAAACGCCCAGGGCGTTAACATCGGACTTTACGGTAGATATTGTATTCAGCCTTTATAAGCACAGTACTAATTGCTCGTACGTTGTAGTATTATATCCTTGTAAGTTGTAGGCATTATTCATGAACGCATTTTTTAGGCTGATTTGCCATCATTTGTCAACTGAACCTGGGGGGAATATAATAATGTATGAATACTGTATTGTTTTGGGGAAGGTGACGTGAGAAGACAGGCCGTTGGGATATCGCCATTTGTAATTTACATAGATAGGGAAATTTTCGGTTTTTATTTTCAGGCGCAGGTGCGAAAACAGGAAGTTCGTGCTAGTGATTCTAGAAATATGAATACCGCAAGCGCAATAAAAAGTGGTCACTTAAAAAGCTACATTTGTAGCAACCGAAATTGCTGCTAAGCTGACAATTGACCAAGGACCTGGACAAGTAAACTGGTGACCGAATGATATCTTTTTCGCAATGAAGCGTTTACATCACTACGATCATCATGTACTCTAAACTGTAGTATTTTTTCATACAGTTTAACTGAATAATTATGTCCAGATTAATTATCGTTTTCTACGGCCGGAAAATTTGACTGGCTGGAGTAATTAATTAATTACGCCTTTCAGCTTATGAGTTTATGACGCACCGAGACAAGCAAACCTTCCGTATCCAGTGCTATAATAATATGTACTCGTACGTAAGTATCCTTCATACCCGCCCTCAGACCCGGGCAATGGAATTAATTAATCGCGGAATTACTGCAGTGCGCCGTCGGGCGAAGCCATTGGTCCGATTATGCCGGCAAATTTGGGCTCGAGAAGGCAATTTTTTACTAGGGTAGAGATCATAATTAATCTGCTAAACAGGAACTTGTTAAAAATTTTATAGGTACTTCTGAACCAATAATTACTGCACTACTATTTGAATTTGCACAACTTGTACAACTAGGTCATTTTAATACTGAAGACTTTTTGTACTGTGACCTCTCTATCGCACGTGCACTGCCCTACAGATCAACAATTAGTATTCCTTACAGTACAAAATTACGAAGGACGCGCCTTCTTTGCGAGCGGCAGAACAATAGCTGTCAAAAACTTTCAAAACTATTAAAGAGATCATTATCAAAATTTTGAAGTATTTGACAGCAGCGCACGCAGTAATTCTTAAGTGGCTATGTTCAGTACTCGTAGTTTTGCTTTTGCCGAACATTTTGTGCTGTTCGTCTGCTCGTTGCTCTTGCCTGCCTTACGGCAAGATATAAGTGTAATGGCGTGTGCAATAATAAAATCTCTACAAGGTCGATGACAAAGCTGTTAATAATCAGATCTTGTCGACACAATCATCGCTAATCAAATGGAAAATTGCCGGTTACAGGTAGACGGATATGTTCGTAAATTCATGTTATGCTGCAGAGTTTTGTGCCGGTCAACTATTTTCACGCGATCGGATGTTACAGAAGAGTGTGTCATCACATCCGATAATTGCTGTTGTCCAGCACATACAACCCATAATTTGTTGTGTTCTTGTGGCAGATAAACAACACAATATGGCATTAACGTGCGATTAATATCTTGGTGATTGTTTATTTATGAAAACGAAAACGTGTCGTAACGAACAAACCTACAACACAATAATTCTGGCAGGTGCCAAGTAAGATCGTACATAAAGTAGTCAATTATCATTTATCGGCACATTTATTACAACATTATAAATATTTACACAGTGGCAATGTTTAATTAATTAAGTATGTTTATGTACGAGTATATATAATTATGACGACTGGCTAACTAATTAGTTAGCCAGTCGTCATAATTATATATACTCGTACATAAACATACTTAATTAATTAAACATACTTAATTACTTAAACTTACTTAAACATACTTAATTACTTAATTAGTTATAACTAATGTTTTATTAGAAAACAGTCCTAGAGCAACTTAAAAAGAGAAACAAAGAGTACGTACATAGTGTACAATTAATTTTGTCGCCAAAACGTTCGTTACTCAATGTAATGCAAATCTGCAGAATTATGATAAAGGTCATCAACAAAATCTTTCGAAGTGTGTATACAGGCGTGTGAACTTGCGCGAATTTAACGTAAAGTTTTTTAATTATTTGTGTGACTGCCATCTTCTGTCCCGCAGTAATCTTTCCGCATTCCACAAACCATCAAAAGCGAATCACCATCAGATTTAAAATTAACAACTTGCATGCATGGACATATTTCGTACAGTGTGAACATAAACAAAATCGGCATCACCTTCCAAACAGTTAGTATAAAATTAATTATATTAACGTCGGATGGTCAGTTTAAGCAGCCGCTGCCGCCGTGGTATCTTCAGCTGCTGCCGTTGTCTCTTCACCACCGGCAGCCGCGGCGGTTGTCGCTTCAGCAGCCGCGGACGTCTCCTCAGCAGCAGCAGCAGCCGCGCTGGTTTCCTCAGCAGCCGCGGCAGTCGTCGCTTCCGCAGCCGCGGACGTCTCCTCGGCAGCCGCGGCGGTTGTCGCTTCGGCAGCCGCGCTGGTCTCCTCAGCAGCGGCGGCGGTTGTCGCTTCCGCAGCGGCGGTGGTTTCCTCGGCAGCCGTCGCGGTCGTCTCTTCCGCGGGCGCCGCACTGGTGACCTCTACATTGGAAGCGGCGGCGTTAGCGTTGGCTGAGGCGCTGTTCTCCTCGTCCTGTCGGCTCTGGGCGGAGACGGAAGCGGATCCGCCGACTTTAATACCACCACTACCGGCCGGTTTCTGCGCAGCGGGTTTACTGGGGGTCGGCTGGGAGGGTTTGGCAACTGGCTTGACAGCGGGCTTGCTGGGGGATGGGAGATTCTTGCTGACGGACGCAGCGGCGGCAGCGTTGCCGGCAGATTGCGGGGCCACATAGTCATCGGGGGGAGAGTCGAAGAGGGGCTGGTCAGTGTACAAGCGGGAGTTAGCAAAGTCTTCGAATTCACTGGCTCTGCAAAGCAACAAACAGGCGTATTTAAACAATTCGGATCAATATATATTTCCATGGTTGAAATTTTTATTTGGGTACAGAACCCAGTTGCACCCTCGGTACACTCTTAATACTTCAAATAACATCACCCACAAAGACTTTTTGTAATCATCGATTAAAGTAACTTGTGACATGACGTAAAATCATAACATACAGATAAAGTACAATATTAATACAGATCCTTGTACCGTACAGTGTATCTGTGTATGTAAGAATTTCAAAATTTTTTAGGCTCAACCGCTGAAAAAAATATCAGCCTATGGTTAAAAATTTATTACGCTATCAGGATAGTTAGGCTGAAAATTTATTTCGATTTTTCTAAGTTCGAGCACCGCGAAATTACTATAGTATTGTTAAAATGCTTCTTAGTATAATTTTTTTCTTTCATTAAATTTCATTCTTTCAACATTTTTGAATATTTTGATCGTAGTACGGCAAGGAAAAACCGAAATCTTTATGATCCAGGAAGACTCTTGCAAACGGAAATTTTACGACAAAGCAAAAATGTGCCGGCAGATAGTCATAAACCGGCACAGTATACCACGAATACTTTTCCTCTATACTGTATCAACTGTAATAATGAGCATAGGCCATAACTGTACGATTAAATCGATTGTGTAACCATATCAACGCGCACTTCCTGTTTTCGAGCTGGAAACGCCAAGGTTTCCATTTTTTCGAGACGACAAAAACCACTTTCACCCCTCGACAGAACTTCAAGCTGTATCTGCTAAGTTTGAAAGAGGCTAGACAAAATATTAATTACCTTCGAGAATGAATATTACGTTTTTTGCGCAATACCGGTTTCGGCACTTCAGCAGGTGCGAAATTAATATTAGCTTTTAAGTGGAAATACCACGGTTCGATGATTATGCAATTTCAGCGATTGCTGTTTAAACCAGTTTAGAATTTAGAGCAAGCCGTACAGCAATCAAATTTTTTTCTAAAAGTCTGAAATAGGCTGATTAATAATTCTGGTTTTAATACTTCGTGACAATTATTGCAATCAAAGTTCCAGGTTGATTTGCTTTGTTCATGAATAAATTATATTAATCATATATTTTGCTAAATCGAAATCTATTACAATTATGCAATTTGAATTGAAACGGCAAAAAACCGGCAGAGGTTATTTTAAAATTATTTATTTATTTACTATTTTTAAAAATTAAAAATGTTTATTCACAATTACGATGTTAGTAATGTTGTTCACGTACCGGCTGCACTCCACGTTGAACCAGTAATCGCACACCAGCGTGATTTGATTGAACACGGTGGTGTTAACGCACAGATAACTTGTCAAGTTGCCATTGACATCACATCGGTGGAAAACTTGACACTGGTACTTCTGATCGGCATAGAAACCCGGCTGCTTCTTGGACGCACAATCAAAGCTGAGATCAGCGGGCAGCTGGTCCAGTGTCGGCCACTGGGATTCGCCTTTCTGCGCCAGAAGAGCCTGCACTTCGGCAGCATTCAGGGCAGGCTTCAGGAGATCCCAGACGAATTTGCCAGCTATATAACAAAGGTCAATCTATGATAAAGCCTGACTATCAGTGAAAAAAATCAAAGCAAATTCTTTAATATTAATTTAATACGGAATATATTCTTTAATATAAGGCTGATCAGTTAATAAAAATACATAACGTGTGCGGTTAGGCTATTAATGACGAGTTTGGCGTTAAGAATTAAACATCACGGTAATGCTTACAAAAAACCTTTGTAGCGGATTTACTGTACTTCGTATTCAAATAAGTGCAAAGCTAGTCGGAACCGGTTTGCAACGATATTAAATTTTGTGTCAGTAATTTCTGATCAAAGAAATTAGTGTTCTTTTAATGTCTAAATACGTAAAAATATTTGTAAAATGTTAAAAGAGAATATTTTGTAGCAATACTTTTATACTTATAAAAACTGTTAATAAGTAAAATTTATTTCTTACCGGCTACACTGGAGGACTTTGCCTTGGCTTTGCCCTTTTGGGCAGAAGCCGCTGCCACGCATAATAAAAGAACCACAAAAAACTTCATCCTGTAACAAGTATGATTAATTGGATCGAGAAATTAATATCCGTTCAATGTGAGTTCGAACAAGAAGAATTATATAAAACTAAAAAGACCAACTGCACTGGATCGCTGGATATCGTGTATACCGTATTCTACGGGGTTTTATAAGACTCCTTTGTTCATTAATTGCTCGTATTACCAGCATTTTCCGCCGTAAACTGCCCGCGGGCGGCAAGCTAGATTAAAACGTATGCTTTGCAACCTTCCGAATTAAATTCCGTTGCTCTGAATATGGTTGCGCATATTGTACAACCGAATAATTGCTTACCATAATATTTTATTACATAACACTTTTAGGACATGCTTAATCGGTCTAGCGATGGTTTTTTTTATAATAAGTTAAAGCCGATCACAATGTACGGTATTGTGCGTTTAATAACAGGAAAGTAACACCCATAAGGAAATTAAGATTGTTCGAGAGTGATGAAACTGTCGTTGTTGTACATTGTCATGAAAATAATTGTATCCTTCAACGTGCGGAAATGACACTAACCAGCCCAACAATAAATTAAAATGTGATCAGGATTAGACAATGTAGACAAACAAACAAAGCAACTGCAACATACCTAATTTTCGTATATGCTGTTTGTCTTACAGATTGTATTGCCTTTGATGCCGCTGATGGCGGTTAATTAATATCGTACTTATAAATTGTAATTCTGTATATCTGCACATTATATGCATGCACTAAATAAATAGTTTATCAGGTGCACTTGAGCCTTGATACGTAATTTCTAGGCTTTATTAATTTACATGCATCAATTACCAACAACGTTAACGTTGGTTTCAAAATTATGAAACATAAAAGTGCATAATAATTATTATAATCTGGTTGTGATGACCGACTAGTTAAGAGCGAAACAGTATTTAATAAGTAGAATTTAATTTTGTTGTGCATTCGTTGCATTCATTGCGATGACGTGTCTTGCCATTCACCAGTGCGTTTGATTCATTAATATAAAACATATTTTGTACACTCTATGCAACTCAACTGCAGTATACGAGTACTTCGTGCATGCATGGCGCATATATTACAAATATGTGTGTAGTTAAATTTTGTGAGTTTATTAAATCGATGCAAGCTGACCCTGAAGCGGATTATCAAAATGCGCATACTGTTTGTATTCTCCGTAGTGGTTGAGCGACAGAACGAACATGAATAATATTATTAGTGGTAGTAAACTACCTTTAGTATTTCATTTCTGTGGATACCGTGAACCATTAACATTGAATGCATTTATGCACGCAAGGTCGCCGCACCAAACACCCTTGTAAGTTTTACGTGTTCGGGACGCGCAAACGCTTGAACAATACATAAACAAACAAACCACTAAATTAATTTTGAATTAATCTGTGACAGTGCATAGTTTATCTATTTGCTTTTTGCTTGTTGTTGTTCAATAAGATACAACTTGTCGCGCAACTGGGTATAAGCTGATTAAGTACAGCACATTCATTATTACTATTTTCATGTCAGATAGTAAAGCTTAATAAGTTCCTTTCGTGCGTTTCAGTTAAGCATGCATGCTGCGATGCACCTGAAAAATTTGATTTTACTTATCATATACTTGATTGATTTACGACACAAAATAAGAAAAAACGCATAGGTACAACCGTATGTCCAAATAGTATAGTATTGTCTTGTACTCTGTATGATGTTTCTATGCATAATGCAGGTAGGAATTAAGAGGATGTGGAAAAATTTTAGTTTTCCTTCGAACTATGTAGTCGCCACTACAAAACGGTTATCGCGGCCACAGTATAATTAATATTAATTATCATAGTGCTTATTATACCGGAAAGGACGAAGGTAAAAGTTAAAACTGGTAAAATACTGTGTTGTCGAGTACATAGATCATGTGCCGGTGCCGGTGCCGGTGACAGCCGGTCCACCCAGCGATATCGTTAATATTTTTTGCTCTAAATTCATTTGTCCGATTGGAAATTAATGTAATTAATTTAAAGATTCGAATTTAATTTTTAGTTCCATCACTAAACTTCGTTTCCAAATTAATTGAAACGCTGTTGTTGCTAACTTTAATTTTGTATGTATACGTACTGTATAAACGATGAATTGAATTACTGATGGATGCCGTTCACAACTCACTTGTCAGCCCACTCGGAGAGCATGGTCACCTGTATTTTCGAAAGTCAAATACTTCGTATAAAAGATTTACGCCAAGTAAATTGGACCAATCGAATTGCACAATATGCTCTATTTGCTTTCCTATTGGTTTATGCGGTAACGTTTTACCATTTAGCGACCGCGTCTTTCCTGCAAAATACTCGATGCAGTATGCTCCGTTATCGTCTCCATCCGATATTCACAAACAGCACGTTTCTTCGTGTTTTTTCGTTGTGGAATGTGGATTCGCGTGTGGAACTTCGTTAAAACACCATAGGTTTCTGCGGTTTTTTTGTTTCGCTTACTGGCTTACATATTTTAAGCGTTTGACCATAGAATGGATATTGCCATGAATATTTAAGAAAAATTTAAGTACCAGCCAGTAACACTGCCTGTTTTCTGTTAATTTTCAATTAGGAGGTGTTGGTGCGGGTAGTAATTTCCATTTGTCACTTTGTGGGCCTCTGGCGTTGAAGTGCTCTTTTTGCCATTTTGATTTGTGGGCACTGGTGGGTTTCTGGTCTGCGACAAACCTACTTAGCTCGTTGAATTATCTGGAATCTTTAAAGGATTTTCAGGAGTTTATGGTGGGATTTTTTGCTACAAAGTCCTCCCGAAGAAATGAACGCCTCCAAAGCTAAGAGCAAGAAACAGCGCCGAGGTACGAATACCGTGCTTGATTTACTTTGCGTCAGTTTGCGGTAAAGCGTTAACTGCTGCCTGTATGAACACGATTCGACGAAATTAACATAGCTAGACTCTAGAGCAGGTACAATACGAAGGAAGAGAGGCTCGTAGTGGATGGTTCGTAATACCTATAAATAATAACCAGCAGCGACTGTACAGTGTTCCAGTACTGAGTACAACCAAGTTTTGTGAAAAAACATTGTTTACAGTTTACACTACTACCAGAAACTGCATGGGTTTCGATGAGTTGTCGATGTGTGATGCGTGTTGTGAAGGTTATTTTGAATTTTTTGATTTGCAGACGATAGTGAAGACACTGTAGCGACTGCAGCGAAGCCTCCCCGACCCACCGCACCCAAACCTTCAAAGACCAAAGGTTGGTCCGTGGTTGAATAGATTTCTTTCCGAATGCGCCGAGATATTATGCGGAATGTTGGGTTGTAGGACAGAAGGTGGTTCCTGAGGTGGAGGCGCGCCGTCAGATGGGCGAAGAAGAACACGCCAGTGATATGGGCATCGCCGGGATCCTGACGCTGTACGGCGCCGACGAGGACGAGGAGGATCTGGTCTTCTACGACTACGTCAACCGCCTCGGGGATGCCGAGCTGATGCCGTCGTACATGGTGCCCAGTCAGCAGATGGAGGAAATGTATCCGGATCCCGTGACGAACTTGAAGGAAATTCTTGCGAAGAGAAAGGAGAAAGGAAAGGAGAAAAAGTAGGTGTTTTTAGTGTTTACAGTGGTAAGCCAACAATTGTCGTCTGTTAGACATAATTTCAAGTCGTGGACTCTGGTTTTTCGTGGTTATTCGTTATCTCTCTGTTAACTTGTAAGAAGAGCTGAAATCACAGTTTTTAGCTTTGAATCGAAGCATTTTAAAATCAAACCGTCCTTCGGGCACTTAAAACGTTTTGAAATGAAAAACATAATTTTTTTATTTGACTAAATGGAGGAACTGATCAAATTAAACGTCGATTTAATAAAATACAATGTGAAAATGGCGGTAATCTATGATTAACTAATATTAATTGATTTTATTTCTTTGTAAAGTCAGAATATAAATTCTTTTTTTTTAATTTTAAATTTCATTTCCTCAAGCTGTGTGAATTTCAACCACAGGTTTGCGTAATTTGATGGATTGGTTTTATTTTCATTAGAGACGTTATTCTTCTTTTGTTCATTTTCATATCCCCGTTAATGTCTGCAACTGTGTCCGACAACCAATTTTTTTGAAAAAGTAAACCATTGTCAGTGGATTTGTAAAGGACGAACCTTTTCGGTAAATAGTGGTACCTGAACTGTACTTCCAGAAAGATATGCATTCATATTGTACACAACGAGTTTTCGGCGTCTGTTTTCTGGTTCATTTCAATGCCTGATTTTTGTGTTCTTTTATATTGATGGCTACTATACAATACCTGGTTTTTAATGTTACGCAGGATTTGTACAACAAGTCTTGAAATCATACTAATTAACTTTTGCTTAATTTGCTATAAATTCCAAATGAAATTTTGAACCTGTTGCAGAGCGGCTGGCACACGTCAGGGAGAGGAGGCTGGAATTGAAAATGGCGTGAAAAATCCAGACGTCGATATGGGCAGCGATAATGAAAATGCGGAAACGAGCTTTGAAGAAGAAAGCGGACTTGTCCACCGGACGGCGTGATGATGATTGTGTGAATTCTCTTGAGTTTTTAGGTTATTTTTGGACAGATCTCCTTTTCGAATGCGTCTGGTAATGGCAGCCATTAATGTTTGTGGGTGTAATGTATAGATAGTGATTTTTTTATATTTTACCGCCCGTGATCGGAAATGATCCTTTTTCTGCCGTTTTCTTGCCACGATGGTTAGTTTTGCCTAATAGTAAGAATTCCGTGTCTTTAATCTTAATCCTGGTTGATCTGTCAGATGAGAGAGACTTTTGTAGTTGGATAACCAATGTACGAGTACTCATACAATAGAAAATCGGAATTGTGGCTAAATAAAAGTGGTTCATTATAAAAGTGGTTCATTTTTAACTGTATGTACACTTGACGCAGTTGTTTACAGCTCAAACTGTAGTACAAGCTGACATGAAATCTGTTCAATAGATATTATTAGATATAAAAAGCTACAGTAGTTTAAATCGCTGCAATTTGCAATGAAATTAGTATGTCAAATATGAAGCTGATGGGGTAAAAAAACGGTAAATAGGAATATGCCGCTAATAAAAAAAGCGAGAGCGATGAATACACTCAATGCAGTAAGAAAATGAAATGAAACATAATCCAGTGTAAAACGCCACGGTAATAATTTAACAAAATTAACCTTGAATCGTAAAAAAGTCAAAGAATCATGTGCCAGTATGATTTATAGTTTATATGAATTATGGATAATACGAAGTTTTTATTACGTATTGATTTCTTAGGCTCAAAAATTAGTACTTAGACTTCGGGCTTTCCTTTACGTGGTGTGTGCCACCCTCAAGAATATACCACAGCTCGCTACATGCTCTCTGCCGTTGCTATTGTGCGTTGAAAACTTGAAATTTGCAGGCTGCAGCAGTGGCACTGGCATCGTGCAATCAAACGCGAAAGTTTCGCAACTTTTTGATTTTTTTTGGAGTACCGACAATTTCACCTGAAGTATTCGTTAGTATTTTATTTTGTGCAGTATTGAATAAACTTCTTCAAACTTTCATTGCGAATCTGGTGTACGGGTTTCCGAATCGTATTTTGGGAATTCATTGAATTCATTATTGCGCTGGTGTGGACATCAGGATTACGATGGCAAACTCTTCAGACATGACGGCTGAAGTACGCAGCTCTTGTTGCTGCTGATGTTTATCCACTTACCAAAGGATTTGTTTTTTTATAGAAGCTGCTTCAGCTTGCCGTCGAGCGGAGAGAACAGTTGGAGAAATTCAAAGCCCGAATGGCGCAGAAAGGTGAGAAGTTGAGAACATGCTGCGACATGGAATTATACTGCGCAAATTTATGTGTGCTCTGTGCTGATCGTATGTTATTAAGCCGTGATACAGAATCTTTTGCCTTGCGTCTGAAGCATTTTTGGAGCATTTCATGGCTTTTGTTTTATTTTAACGGACGGACTCTGTTTCGTGACTTTAGTGATGCTTCGACGTTAAATTCTTACCTTGCAGAAAATCAGCTAAAGCAGGTGACTGTGGCTTCCAAGGGACTTATTGATGAAACGGACGGCTTAAGATCTAATTCTGCCACACCAACAACAACAACCGTTATAAGTAAGCTACAGTAATGAATATTTTAAAGTTTATTAGTTTGAATGTTAACAGTGGACAAGTCTCTGTTTGACTTGTTCAACGGCTTTATGGCAGGCCGTTTTAATTTTGATCTAGATTATTAAATTTAATTTTAAATAATTATAGTTAATTTTATTATGATAAAATTTTTTGCTAGGATTATTGAATAGCCCTAAGCCCCTAATTGACTAATATTGATTTAAGTAATTATTAATAGAATTTTTCAAGCTTGTCTGCACCGTGCAGATATTCGTTAGAAAAGACATTATTCTGCAAAGTTATTTTAATTAATTAAAATATTCTTAGTCAGTATTGTTTTATTTATTGACGAAGCACAGTAAATTTTGTTGTTTCAAGTTGTAAAAATGTGGTTTTTGGAATCTTCGGATTCTCGGTAAATAAACTAAACTCAAAACTGCCAAATAAATAAGTGAAAAAATTAGTAATCGCATAGCCGTCAGTTTGTGTTGGTTTAATGCAGTGAAAATTAAAGAGATTTTGAAATTGTTATATTCCGTAGGCGTTATAGTTTTTCATTGTTTTTAATATTGGCTGTTGATGCTTTATTATTTTTGTTATTGTTTTTTGTTCATGCTTTTTGATAATTATTGTTTTTTTTTAAATTAAGTACTGTTTATGCTTTAATTTCGAAAATGGTTCGAAATCGTGACGTGGTAAATGATTGCGTCATAGTTTCCGCTTTCGCTTGTACGGCACTTATTTTTTCTTCTCTGTTTAGAAACAGTTGCGGAGCAGGAAGATGGCTCCTTATCCGTCCAAACAAAAAGGCGCTGGCCAAAATGGCCGATGCCTACGAGTCGATCGACGAAGAGGATGCGCACAGCGATCAGAGCACCGGCACCCACAAACTGCAGCATCCCTCCCATGACCCGAAAGCCCGTAACCCGCCCAAACCCTCCCGTTCCTCCGGCAACATCGCCCCGCACTTCCCGGAGAAACGCGAACACGTCCCCACCGGGCAGTCGCCTTACAGCAGCCTGAAAATCCCCAAAACCAACACCACCCCCAAGAAATCCCTGGATCCGGCGGAGCTGCCGTTGCAGCAGCGCAAAGCCATCTTTGAGAAGGCCCAGCCGGAAAAGGCCGAGCTGTCACTGATGGAAAACGGATGCTGTTTGAAAAACCCGCGGCCATGGCGTCTCCCGAGAAAAAAGCCCATGGTAGTCGCGTCACCCGAGAAGCCTACCGCGTCGCCGCGGAAGAATGTCTCCTTCAGCGATGTGCCGTCGCGGAAGATTGTGTATTATGAATCCTCACCGACGAAGGATATCGAAGCGCGTAAACATATTTTCGAGACGGTGGCTGCGAAGGCGCAGGATCCTAATGCGTTGAAGAAGGTGGATACCAGGGAAAAGAAGAGTCCCCTTCGGTCGAGCGGAGATTTTGATATGCGGGCGGTGGATGGTCCCGTGGAGGTGGGGCCGCATACCAAGAAGCTGCAGGATAAATTGTTGCAGCAGACTAAAGCCTGGAAGCATAACGATCTCAGCAAGAAGATTGAAGGGGAGAAGCAGGAAGATATGGAAGTGCTAAAGCATCGGCATGAGCTCATGTTGGCCGAAGAGCAGAGGGCTGCAGAGAGGAAAAAGTTGATCGAACAGGTTTGGCGCACCACTAAAAATTCTTTAAATTTGCTGTCAGGATTCTGCTTTTCTTTTCACGCAAATTTTTCATTACTGTACTACAGCTGAACAATGTGGGATTTTTAAAAAAATATAATTCTACTCGTATTTTTTAAAAAATGCATGAAACACTAATTTGAATATTTCGATCTCTTAATTGTTAGTTTTCGTAACTAACTCGCGCAGTCAAAATGAAAATTGGAAAAATACTGTTATCGAAATGCTGCAGTTAAATAATTGTTTCAAAAGAAATGTTTAGTGAATTACTACAGAATTTATAGAATTACTACAGAAGTATAAATTTTAAAAAATTAAAGCTTGCTACATTTGTGATATCAAATTATGTAATTAAATGTAAACGGGTACGACTTTTTGTTGTTTTCCAATGCACATATTTTGACTTAGAATGATTTTTCCCATTCTTTTCACAATTTTCAAGGTGTAATCAGTAGTTTGGATTTTGCTTTGCGTCTGCTTGGTGCACGTGCCAAGTTGGCAGTTTTATGCATGAGCGGTTCAGTTTTCGTTTGTTGACAATTATGAAGTGCGATCGTAATCTTCCTCTTTTTTTTATGGCGGTCATCTGTGTTGACCGTGTGGCGTGTTATTATCAGATGGCACTGGAGAAGAAAAAGAACCAGAAGACCAAACAAGGAAGTGACTCAAACACGCCGCCACCATTACCCATTCGGGCATGTCCTCTCTGAACGACATGCAGGAGGTCAAACGCGCCGACCCATACGATTTTCCTCCACCCATGTTTTCGCCGCCGTCCTCGCAGACGGGTCGTCCCGTTGCCGATGCTGTGGCCCGCTTTAACAATCCGGCTTTGCGCCGGAATGTGTTCGATGATGAAATGTTACCGCCACCACCTCCTCCATTGGACGACGTGGCCATGCACTCAAAATCCGCTAAACATGTGCGTCTACCGGAGGAAGACGGTATTGCTGACCACAGTTCAGAAGGTATGTGCTTGTTGACGGAAGGCTGTGAAGCAGAATGCATAATTCTAAAATTTTGAAAATTTGATGCACATTCACGGATCTTGGCATTTTATTCTCTCCGTAGATTGTATCTCAATTTGTAATCGTACCAAGCATTTCGGTGATTGTGCTAGATGTTGGTTTTCCTTAATTTTGTAATGTTTTTTTATTGAATTTGTTTCCTCCGCGTATTTTATAAAGTGGTACCCAGATTAATAATATAGTTGCCAGTAGAAAATTAATTAAAATATGAAGCCAAACACAGCAGAAAATAAAAAAATAAGAATCAATTAAACGAAAAGAAGTATTTAAATAGGCAATTAAACAGAATAGTAAAATAGTGGAAGTAGGTTGCGAGACGTAATTCTGTGTGCTAGTAATTTTGTGTTTTCCTTAACGCTGCAAATTCTTTGTTTTTTGGTAAGTGTTTTTCTTAGATTAGTTATGAGCTTATGATTGATGTTGCTTTGCAGAAGATTATAATGCACCTGAGACCGATGACATTTACACCAAGAAACCCACTTCGTACCACGACGTGCGGAATAGTTCCGCTTCGAAGAACAACTACATGGACTTTTCCGACGATGACAGCCCACAGAAGGCATACGGCGGGATGCCCAATCGCGCGCCGAAAGTAAGCACTGCATTTGTTGGACAGCGAGCAGTTGTCTGTATATGTTACTCACTTTACACTTTCACTGGGTTGTTTGGAACAGTCGCCGCGTGATCAGCATTCGGAAAACAGTTCCGATGGGTGCTCCTCTTCAGTGTCCTCCATTACAACACCGACAATCTCACTAAGTTTCTACCGGAAGACGCAGCGGGATGCGGTTGTATCGCCTCGAAAACGCATTGTTATCCAGGATGACCAGCAGAGTAATGCGTCGTCCGAGGATATGGAAATGCAGAAAGTGCGAACAGTTGCGATTCTGCAAAAGAAAATCGAGGTATTATGAATGATGAATATTTTGAGTTTCGAACTTTATACTTATACTTTCATACTTGCAGTCTTATATTTTATTCCTTAAAACACACCCCTTAATACTGTTTCTTTCACCGGCTTATTTGGGATCTACTCTTTCTTCATAACTGAAGAATTCGCAATTTTTACCATGTATAATTTCGTTTAAAATAAAAAATGAAGGCACAGTAAATTTGATTAATTAATATGTCGACTTTTGCTACTCGTATTTCTGTTTTCTTAAGATTTTTTTATGTACCTAGTACATCTTTACTTTTTCCTTGTACCATTGTACCTACTTCTTTATTTGCGTTTGTTAGTTGTGTTGTTGTGGTTGTGTTTGTTAGTTGCTTTTTTAACAGCGATAAGTTTTTTTTGTGGCAGATAGATTTCCGTCAGCTTTGATCAACTAGGTATTCTTCGTTATTGAATAATTTCCAGTTTTGCGGTGAATGAATTTTTCAGCTGGCAGTATAATTTGTATAAGTTAATGTACTTGTGCTCATACATCGTTTTTATTGCAGGCTTTGCATACGTCGGCCAGTCATCAGCACTGCATGCTGGTCCAGACGACAGCGGCATTGAACCTGTGCCGGTCGACTCCCGAATTTCAGGGCAGCGTGGAACGCGCGGAATGTGAACGTCTGCTGTTGCTAGCCTGTAAGGCTACCTTTGATTATTCTATAAAAATTTTGACGAAAAGGCTGTTATGATTTGCAGCCAAGAAAAGGGAAGCGTGCCATAATGAGATTGTCCGCTTGAAAAATATGGTGCTGGAGGTGAAGACCAACAATTACATCCCGGACAACACCGTACGCGGGAAGATTGTCATCAACCATATCATTCTGCCGACGAAGGAAGGATTTGCCGAGTGCATGGCATCGCAGTGTAAATTTCCCAGTTCTTAAAAAAACTGCCATAATTGTTGCTACTATTATAAATTTTTATTTTGGTTACAGCGGAAGTGCTGCATTATTTCCTTGTCCTGTTCCGTCAGAGGGAAATCGTGCTGGGCACGCAGATGGTCAGCACTCTGCAGCATCTCCAGCAGGATGGAACGTTTCACTTTACCGGGCCGTTGGTTTTTGAAGATCTGGAAAATGATTTCACCATGAGCGTGGAAGTTTATGCTGTGGTATGTTTGCTAATGCACTGCACTGTTATACTGGTCAATTGGATGATTAATCAAAGTTCTCCTTTATACCGATTTTGGGGCTTTTCACTCTAATGTTTAATCCATTGTTGGGTCTCCTAATTTAGTTCATATTGTATCTGAAATCTTATAACGCATTTTTATACGCCGGATAATTTGGTATTGCAAATTGTATTTTTTGTTAACATATCGATTATTTGGTTTTTTATTTGCATAATCGTACTTGAAAAATTGAAGCCCACTTTTTCTACTCAGAACGTTGGATAGCTAGGAAACCAAGGTTTTTTTCACGGATGAACTGACTGTTGGATTTCTTTAATTTAATTCATACCTGAAACATTGAAGTGCGTTTTCATGCTCTGGATAATTCAGTGATTACTTTTTTATCTATTTTCTTATACTCGTACTGAATTTGGATTTTTACAAAAATTATAACATGATTGAAATTTGAAAGTGTTTGGCTGTTTATAGCAAGCTAATCAGGAGCAGTATTCCCATGCGGAGAAGTATCATCTCAACGGGAAAGCATCGGGTAAGAAGCAGAAAGGCGGTACACTGAAGAAACTGCTGCCGTCGTTGCGCGAGGGATCCGCCAGTCATGTGGTCACTGGGACGCCGACCAAGCAGGAAATACGCCAGTCGAGTTTCGGTTGTGTGGGAGCCACTACGCTCACTCTCCAGAATCTCCATGAAAAAGTTCTTGAACTACATAAGGTATACGGTGTACATAGTAAAGGCTTAGATGATCAGTTATGTTTTTTGGTTTTCTTGCAATTTTAGTTTTCGCTCGCTGACACATGGCACTTTTATGCGTTAGGTGCCAGCGGATTCGGCCGTTGAGGGGTCACTCGTAATGGAAATGAAATGCGGGGTGTCGCTGGAAAATCGAGAAGAAGGCTTCTTGGTAAAATTCTGCTAATCTGCCCAACCAAATTTTGTTATTTAACTATTCTGTAGTTATAATATAATTAATTTAGACCGTGGCCGATGAATCCAATCCGTCGGCGGACTGGTTCCGGCTGTACTGCGTTCTGAACGATACCGGACTGTATTTCTGGCGCTACCCGGAAGAGCGCGATCATGATGTGGTGAGCAGAATTAGATTTCACTCATACCGTGTACTTTGGCATTGATGTACAGTACCTTTGGCTTTAACACCGAATTGTCTGCAGGATCCGCTGCAGTTTAGCTTGCGCTACTGCAAGGGCGGTGTCCAGACGGTTAGCTCAACAGTGTGCCCGCGGCCCCACGTTTTCCAGCTGACCTCACTTCGTCCCTTCAAACTGTTTGGCGAGCCGCAAACTTCCGGTCCATACAAGTAAGCCGAACATCATAAAATTGAAGTAGTAATTCCATTTGTTATTCGATTTTGGATATGTTTGCATTGCTGTTTCCGCTGCTGCGTTTGATTGATTGATTTGTATGAATTTTCCATTGTATCCCATTTTTTTATTTGAGAATTTTTTTTGCTATAAATTAGTAAATGGACTTCGTACTGTTCTTGGTTGTTGATATTATTTTGTATAAATTTCCCATTGCTTTCATGTCCCATTACATCACGTTGTTTGATCTGAGAGTTTGATTTTCTACTATAAATTAGTGAAATGGAACTGCCTGGAGTTCGTGATGTTCTCATTTTCAGGTATTATTTTGCCGCTGACGGGAAAGAAGAGCGTTTCGTGTGGATGGAGAAACTGACGAAAGCGCTGGCCGCGGTGGAAGCCTGGATTCCGCCGACCTTGAACCGCTCCGTCTCCACGAGCCGCTACTGAACTGCCTCCCGAACCCTGGCATTGGCGGTTCTTTTTATCTTTATCGATATTTGGATATTTAAGCTTTGCAAGGGCGTTGTTGTACAGCAGTGGTGAGAGTTTCATTAATGTGTGTGTGTGTACGTTTGTGTACTGGTGAGTTGTTTCTCCGTGGTCATAACGGTCAAATTTTCTACTTTTTTTTATGCCGCTTGTGCCAACTGTTTCTGTGCTTCTTTGTGACTTCGTTATCTTTTCTGACTTGTAAGTATTTTTTCGCGTAACACAAGAGCCTTTGTTTTCTTTTTGCGGGTTTACGGCTCCGCCGCGTGTGTGAGCAATCATGGTTAAACGTCCCGTAAGCAGAAATAAACAGCGCATGCCGAAAAAGTTCGGGAGATATTGTATAATCGGGTGTTTACTGACACATTTGTGTACAGATACGAGATGTCTGATATGGGAACGTATGCACGTATGTACTTGTTTCAACTTACCGTAAATCTCATAAATTGTTTTGCAAGGCGCAGTGACTGAGAAAGTCTTAACCAGCAATGTACTTAACAAGACTATCAAGACGTAATTTTCCAGGGCAACTGATTTTCATAATTTGTAAAAGATTAAATTTACAAAATTTAGAATGTCTGATTCGTGGAGGTCACTCAGGCATTGCAGTGTTTTTTGCAAGAAAATTAGCGGGAATGACAAATCGTCTTCGACGCCGCGATGTCCCGAAAAATGCAATAAAAATTCATTGATGTTATGGCGCGAGTTGATGGCGCGACGATGCACTGGCGCCGGCAAAAAAGCGCGTTCCCACAGTGCAGACCGCAGCGGTGTCTGGTGGGGCGGGCTTCCGAGTGTTTCGATTGGCCTCTGCGGTGTGTTCGCCATTTGAAGCGACTTTCGTCATCCAATCAAAAGTGCTTCGCAGCCTCCTTATGCATAATATTGTTTCATTCTGGCACATCTTCGTGTGACATCTAACAAAATCATTTGTTTACTTTTGCGGCGGTGTACTTTTCGATTACTTTATCCGGCTAATTGTCTCGTACATGTATACGTAAAGTATACATTTTAACATTTTTGTTATTTTTATTGTAATTATATTTTCGTAAACCGAGTCACGACTGGGGATCACAATAATTATAAGCCTAATGATGGACACTGCATTGCGCGATCCCCAATACGCAACGCCCAATATGCCCCCACCACTCCCTGTCGACGGTAGTCCCGGCCACCGAGGAGCCGCTGAAACCGGTGACCCCCTATCTCACCGCAAACGCCGACGCCTTGACGGGGACACGGAATCTTACGTCGGTGCAGCGCCGTCCGCCTTCATGCAGCGGGTACAGACTATGGTGCCGGATGTGGACATCCTGTTGGCCAACGCTCAGGAAGAATTGCTGGGAGTGGGCCGCTTGATGAGCCCGGCCGGTGGCGACCTGTTGGCTTGTTCCGCTAAATACACGTTCCAGCCGGTTACGGGTGTGCAGCGTCTGTGGACCAACGATTACGGGAGAGGTACGCTGGAGTGGGTGCGCGTAGCCGGCAGCGAGAAGGATATGTTGCCGTTGCCCGAATGGATGGACAGCCGAGTCGAACTACAGGTTTTTAGTAAGTGCAAGGACGAGTCTGATGGCGGGTATAAGTTAACGGACATGCATGCACTGAATTGTAATTCATAAGGACATCAGTAGCGGGAAACCGGTACCGTCGTCAAGGCAAAATTATGGTGTTTGAGAACTCCGATGGGTTACTGTGCTCTGTATCTGTACAGTGTTAGTGGCTAATTACTAGGTAGTACGTAATAGCTATCGTCCGTTTTATCAAAATTAATACTTTTGGTAGTTGCCGAATATGCATCAATAATCAATTGTATAACGGATTACCTTCTAACGACGGTAACAATGCATAATAAGTTCGATGCTGGTTGCACCGGAAAACACGGGTGTGGGCCGCGAACACGGGTGTTGGACTGTTCGCATGCTCCATGCAGATTGTATCGTTCTTGCCGCACTGTACTTACTGCACTGCCGTTCTTGCCAATCGCGCGATATATTGAACAGTGGTTCTGACCATGAGTTGAAATTATGGTGTCTAGATAACCAAGAATGATCTGATTATCCCGTACCATGGTGCCGCTTTATATGGTCCTACTGTGTGAATAACAACATCATTGAATTGTTTTTATATACAGTAGGGGACACGATGAACATCACACGGCGCCCACACCCCAGCTCATCGACCCGCTTCTTGATCCCCTGGTTCGCCAACATCCGTTTCGGGCGGATACCAGCAGACTGTGAGATGGTGTCCATCATGCTCACTTTCGTCAATCCCGGGGAGGTCACGATAAAGCTAGCACCAAGGAACAACACCGATCTCGGACGGATCAACGCGGCTGTGGTCAATCTCGAAGGTCGTACGGAAACCGACACACCTGACGTTTTCCACAAAGCCTACTGTTTGGTGTGCTTTCGCACACCGCTGCGGCGTTTGCTAAGGGAGCAGTTGCGGCATGTGCGGGGACCGGTACCGGCGGAAGCCAACGAATATGATGCGGCGCACTATGCGGGTGCAGATAACGTCGTGCTGCGCAAGGGATCACACTGGAATATGAATGTGGATCGCCGCACTCTCGTCAACATTTCCAGCACTACCGCACGAATCTTTGGAGAATCACGGCAGGGAAAGGTACTTACATATAGCAATTACCTTTGTTACTGTATTTACCGCGCTTGATAAGCGACACCCAAAATTAATCATCTTCCGTCTAGTAGTGGACGTACTATGTAGTATGTAGCTTATTTTACTGTAGGACAATTACTTAACTGAATAGTCCATGCAACTATGCTAATTAAAGCTATGCATGATCACTTAAAAATAATAATCAAATACTGTAATATGAATAAGCTATTTATAATCACTTAAAAATCTGTTACTTAAGGACACATCGCACAGTTCATACCGCCGAAAGCAATCGCAGCAATGAACTGTGATTTTTATCGTTAATGAGTAATTTTAAAGAAATTGGAGCATTTGGGCTTGAACCAATTTTCAAATGAACTTAAACTGCAATGTTTTAAAATATCTGATACTATTATTCTGTCACTGCGCTGCGCGTACGGCAATGCGTTAATTTAAAAAACCTTTCGTGCATATTAATTCACGACCATATACGTATTTTAAAAAATGGATAGTGAATATCACGCGCACAAACGGTTTTTTGGTCAATGCATACTTATTTTGCTTAGGAATGTAATAAAATAATGCTAAATGCTATGAAATAATGCTATAGAATTTTATCTTGTGCGCGCAAGAAAGCGGATTTTAGTGATGAAGTACAAAGTCGGTGCTGTAAACATGCGCTTAGCGGCATAGCGGGCCATTTCCATTTTATTTGCATAAGTGCGGTGCAGTGTTGCAAACTTGCAGTGTATGCAAACTGCAAAGTGATTGAATACCAGGATCTAATAAAATTTAATTTACTTAAAGGTCAGCGCATACGATCCATGTCTAAGCAAGGAATTGCTGCTGAAATTCATTCATGCCGCAGCAGCCGACTCCCGGTGTGAAGTGTTTCCCTTGGATCCCTCCCGACTGACTCCCACCGGCATACTGGAACTGTTGAAACTAGCCAGCGCCTGGGATTTTGTGCCGTTGAAAGTGTGGCTACAGCTGACTTTAATGGAACGCTTGTGTGAGCCGGACCACGGTTTCAATCTAAGCGCAGTAATGGAGACGGCCAAATGTTTGTGTCGGTGCTGTAAGGACACTACCGAAGAGCTCGGCATCGGACAGAAAATGGTTCTGCGGGGATTGCTGCTGATGCTGCGCGGTGTCCCGCAGTGGACCCAGTTGCCGGTCGCGATGCTGGAGCATCCACTATTAAAGGGCATTGTACAGCCCGACTTTTTACCCGCTGATTCCTACATCTTTGTGGAGACTATGGAAGGACGCAAGCATAATATTAAAGTCAACTTGGCCTACTGGGTTGGGATTGTTAAAGCCAAACTGCACGATGTGCAGGTGGTTCCCGTTGAGCAGCAGGAGTTAGCGCTCGATGGAAAGGTGTTACACGACGCGCGGACGTTGGCGGATTGCAAAGTGAAGGAAGGGAGTGTACTTCAGATGAAGTTTATTCCGCTGTAGCCAGGGGTCGGGAAATATTTCCCGGTGATCAAGCATCACAAGCAGTTGCCGCGTTGGTATACCACCTGTATTATCCGCTTTCTTTTTGGGATACTTCGCATGGGGCCTTTAGTTTTCCCCTCATACAGTACGGGGAATTTTTGTTTTCCCCCGCACATGTGCCGCTTAGTGGCTTACACGAACGCAGGCTAAAGTTGGCTGCAGCTTACAATTGTTAAAAGCGGTTTCTAGCCAACTCGGCATATCCGGTTGCGCAACTGAACAAGAGAGCTATGACAACTCAGATAACGGCAAAGTTGCAAACGTGTTGCCGCAACGCACGCAGTTTTAAACTGCAGTCAGATTTAAGCGTGTAAACGACTAAGCGGCATATGTGCGGGGGAGTTTTCCCCTCAGAGGGGAAAACTTAAGGCCCCATGCGAACTGCGAAGTACATACGTTGCGCGCTTTGGGCTTCTGATGTAACGTGTAAACACTAAACAGTAACGTGACGTTTGGGATTTTATTAATCATTTTAAATGCATTTACGGTTTTACCGTAGATTGTACTGATGCTTAAATGCAGACAGTAAGTATATTTTTACTTCTGCTGTGGTTGGTGGATTCTGAAATCTGCTCTGCGTATGAAATAGCTACGAATCAAAGTTGTTGCTGTGTTAATAAAGATTTTGTGCTAGCAGGGCGTAACTCTGGGCAAATAGGATCAAATAATCAAGAAATTAGATTAATATACAGCACATTCGAATATGACTAATATTTGATAAGGATCTGCAGAATCACTGCAGATGACACCAATCACAACTATCCAGTTCCCTTTTAAACTCTCAATTCTTAAAACGTGCCGGTGAAATCACACCAGGTATAGTAGGTATCTTGCCGTTGTTCTTGTAAAGCACTACCGTAGTTTACTATAATCCAAAATGTTAACCAGTCTCCGTAATACCTTAACTAATAATAAGAAACGTATTTAATCCATCATGATTTTTATGTCTAACAATGGAAAACGATAGATACTGTACTTTCTAATTGGCAATACATATAATGAAACAGGATAAATTATAATTGATATATCTTACAAATTGACATCCAAATGCAGAAGATACAAAATATAAATCAGTATCGATGGACTTGCGCGAAAAACAGAAAAACCTAAGCGTCAGTATTTATACGGCTGACTTATGCATAAATAGCATAAATACATAACAGTAGAAATTACTCGTATTAAAAATATGAGTTGAATAAGTTATACTCCTTGTACTTTTTCAGCAGACTGTGACCTTGCTCTTTTTTGTGACTCACATTTGTTGTGACCGTGTGGCGCGTTGTTATCAGATGGCAGTGCAGAAGGAAAACTAGAAAAAGCAAAACAAGGAGTTGAATCAAGCACACCGCCACCATGACACATTCCTGGCGCGTCCTCGGTGCACGGCGTACAGTCAAGCGCGCCGATTTGGACAGTTTCCCTTCGAAACACTCCAGTCGAGTGTTGTTGTTTCTGTAACTGCAGTTTTCGATGTTATGGTTTTTTTTTACCCTGATGATGGCGTCTTCCACATAATTCGGCTCTTTGTTACTTAGTTAAATTAGCATTCTTATTTCTTTTGGCGTTCCAGCTTCTCAGTTATTGTAGAATTTTAACTATTAAAATTTTTTTATTTGAGCTTATTTTATTTTTTTATTTGAAATTTTTATTTTATTTAATTTGAATTTTTTGTTTTTTTATAACGCGAGTTTTGTGCACCTGAAATTGAGAAGTCATAAGTGCTTGAATTTTTATATACAGCACGAGTCTCATTAGTCTGCACCGAAATTACTGAATACTACTTATTTATTCCTCGTCGTTTCCAGAGGGAAATTATATATGTTGGGCACGCAGAAAGTCAGCGCACTGCAGCATCTCCAGAAGGATGGGAGGTTCCATTTCACCGGGCAGTTAGTAACTGAAGAAGTGAAGCATAATCGTAAGTTCAGCATGAAACATGAGCACCGGAAGTTTATGCTGCCACACTGCTGGGGTGAGCTAGTACTAATATTGATTTATTTTGATGTTGCTTATAATCTTATTGTATGCACTGTAGACTGCTATATTTTTGATTTATTTCATATTTAAAATATTTAAGACATGATATTATTTTTACACTGAATAATGTAATCGAAATTGTTTTAAAAAATGTACCGGCGGATCGGATTTTTAGTTTAATTTATTTATTTAAAATAATTATTTAAATAATAAATAAATAATTATTTAAAAATAATTATTTAAAATGTTGAAATACGAAGGCACACTAAAAATAGAAATGAAAAAACGCAGTTCAGTGCGTCGCTGGAAAATCATAAGGATGGCTTTGAGTGGAAATACGCCCATTATTTATATTAGACACAAGTATCTGTACGCGTACAAACTTTCGCTGATAATTAGTTGTAATTAACTGTGCATTAGAGAATTACTACTTTGACATAGGGCTGTAACTGCATTTTTAAGTTGGTGCGGATGAATTATATGAAGAATGAACTACTGAATCTCCACTGATATAAGTTAGTCGGGAGTTTATGATACAAGTTAGCGGAATATTCATAAAATTAACTGGGCATTTTGGTTATAAAATCGTCGAATTTGGTAATGATATTCTCATTTAAAATAGCAAATATTTCTGCACAATGAAGGAAGTGTCATTTCCCAGTAATGAGTAAAGCTAGCGCTGCACTGTACATATATTTATTAAAAAGGTTAGCGATTTTTATAGAATTATATAATATAAATTGCCTGTAATTTATAAAATTTCGAGTTCCGGTTCGTGTGGAAGGAGGAATGGACAAAAACGTTGGCTGCCGAGGAAGCATCTCTCCGTCTTGAACTTGGCCTTGAACCGCTCTGTCTCCGCGAGCCGTTACTGGACTGACTTCGCTGATCGGCATTGGCGGCTTATCTTTACCTTATCTTTATCACCATTCGGATATTGGAATCAAAGCTGTATTAAATGGGGGTCTGTGTGTCCGTATGCGGTGATACGCAGTGGAGAGTTGTTTTTTCCTCCGTGGTCATAACGATCAAAGTTTCTCCTGGTTTGTTTCGGATGTCCCTTGTACCAACAGTTTATGTGCTTCTTTTTTTGCGGCTTCGTTGCTTTTCTGACTTTTATTTTTTCGTGTAGCAGCTAGCTTTTGTTTTCTTGCAGTAGCACAGCATGTAAACTGTGAACGTAAAGAAACCTTTGAACAAAAGTGAATTGCACTTGCGAAAATCAGATGCGGTATCGAAACGATTCTACAAACAGTTTTGTACTGTACTCGTATACACAGTACTTGCTGATACAAGTACATTCGTATACAGTACAATTGACAGCAGTACGGTATACCTATGCAGATGTGATTAACTCTGCATGATGATTTCAGCTTGAACATCAGATACAAGACGCATTTTCAGAGCAATGATAAGTAGATAAAATTGTTACTTTATTTTCACGTAATAAGTAAGTTGATTTGTTTGTGAAAGGTCGCGGTTTCGATTTTTTATGGAAAGAAACGGTACGTAATGTTAAAACGGTTTTACTGCCACTACTGGTTCCGATTTTCAATATACTTGACCATGAGTAGGCTATACGACGAGTACGAGTACGAGAAATATTATTTTGTTTTAAAGAATCAGCAATTGACGATCACTGCGGCATTTGTTTGTGGCGGTCCGAACTTACCTTATCGCGGGCTAACGTCGAAAAAAAGGGCGCGCTGCCACAACGCACACTATCCGCGCACAATTCGAGAGTGTACTGAGCGGTGTTCGCATGTGCCCTCTGCGCGACCAAAGAATTCTGTCACTCAGCCAAAAGTCATTCGCCGTTCTATTGCGCCTAGTCGAACAATTGAATTGATCCCGCATTCCACACGTCTCAGGATACACTAAGACACTTACACACCTGCCTTTAATTCGATCTGGCACAAACCGCGACTAGTGTCTCACATTTTTCTTGAGTCTGGTTTTCGGTACGACGCTTTTTAAAGCCTGTTTCTCGTACGGATTATAACTTTCCAGTTCGAGTGATGGACACCTCATCCAGCGATCATCAGTACGGAACGATTATTATGCCACCACCACTCGCTGTCAATGGTAGCATTTCCCAGGCAGGAACTGGCGCGGACCCACCGGAGCGCAAACGCCGGCGCCAGAGTGAAGAAACCGCCTCCTCGCACGGCCGCGCCGCAGCCCCGTCGATGACCTTCACGGAACGAGTGCGGGCCATGGAACCGATGATTAGCCGGATGTTGACTGACGCCCATGTGGAGCTGCTGAAGCTGGGAGCAGGGAGCCCGACCGGCGGCGACCTCCTGACCTGTTGCGCCCTGTACACCTACCAGCGGGAGGCGGGCGTGCAGCGGCTGTGGACCAACGATTACGGGATGGGCAAGCTGGAATTTGTCAGTATGGTTGTCAGCGGGGAGACGCTGGTGCCGTTGCCGGGATGGCTCGATAGCCGAGTGGAGCTACAAGTTTTCGGTAAGTGCAGTTATCATCGTGTTATGGATAGTAGGTGTCAGGCTTGTGTGCGGTCACTGCGCTGTCTGTTTGGTTTTTTGCTCTTGTTGTGAGGACGCGTAGTGGAAAAGCAGTATTTACGTAAAATTACGTCATACCGTTTAAGTGCGAGGTACTTTTCATGCAAGCGCTTTCTTGTCTGTGTAGAGTATAACAGTGTTACAGTGACCATTTCATGGTAATACGTGGCTACTAATAATTGTAATAATTTGTGCGATTACTAATAATGCATGCAGTATTGTGCACGTCCGTTGTGGTACAGCCATGCAAATCAAACTGACTAACCGAAGTATTGTACATACTCGTAGTTCATAATGTGAGAAAATTTCGCCTCTAATTTGAATTGTTGGCTAGTGAACTGACGTAAGATTACAGGACTTGGCGGCAAGCCAAGGTATTCGCTTTAATTCAGTGCCTTTTATTGTCAGTGCAGGACGTTGTTATACTATAATAATTTGTCGAAGGAATCCTCGTAGTGAGCAAAGATGCAGAGCATTGTACACTACAGCGTACGTTATCCGTTAAAGTAACTGCAATAATTATGTACTTGTGCTTTGTTTTGTTATATTATTCTTGGATATATTGTATGTGTGCATATCTATATGTGCATACCAACGCATTCACTTAATAACGGTTAAACTGGTTTTACATAAATTAAGTACAGTACTGAATCGGAGAAAAATAGTCGTACTTCTCGAAAATTTTGTATATATATTATGTTACTGTATTAGCTAATAGCTACAACGATTTGTAATTTTACTACTGAGCATTTATACTCATACTATGAACGTACTCTTACATAGAAAACAGTTCTCGCTCTTGCACTGATTTTGCATTCAATCTGCAGTAGAGAAAACGATGGATTCCATGCTACCCCACTCAACCGGATTCCGAATCCCCTGGTGCGCCAACATCCGCTTCGGGCGACTGCCGGCAGACTGCGTGGTCGGGTCTGTCACGCTGGTTTTTGTCAATTCCGACGCGGCGAAGGTTGACCTACCTCAAAAGCATAGCACCGTTCTCGCTCTGCTCAACGAGAAGCTCCTCATGGTCCGAGGTCACACACTCACCAACACCGCCGACGATTTGGGTGTCTTCCAGAAGGCCTGCTGTTACGTGCGCTTCCGCGTGCCCCTGAGGCATCTGCTGCGAGAGCAGTTGCGGCAAGTGCGCGGACCGGTGCCGGTGGAAGCCGGCGAACCGGATGCCGCGCGTTATGTTGCAGCTGATAACGTCGTGTTGCGCAGAGGATCACGCTGGAATATAAAAGTTGACCGCCGGATTCTTAGCAGTATTTCTGAAATTACCTTGCGGATCTTCGGTGAAACGCAACAAGGAAAGGTGAGTATGCAACCGCTTGGAAGACTCTGTATATTATAACGGTTTCCTTGTTTTAAAGGTCAGCGCTTATGACATAAACGTGAGCAGGGAATCGATGTTGGCCTTCATTGATGCCGCGGCGGCAGGCATCCAGTCGGACGTGTTCCCCTTGGACCCGTCCCGACTGAGTCCAGAAGGCATCCTGGAACTGCTGAATTTGGCCTGCGCCTGGGATTTTCAGCCGTTGAAGCTGTGGCTCCAGCTAACCTTATTGGAACGCTTGTGTGAACCGCATCACGGGCTTGATCTGGGCGCCGTAGTGGAGACGGCCAAGGGGTTGTGTCGCGGCTGCAAGGACGCTGCCGAACCGCTGGGCATCGGCCAAAAAATGATGCTGCAGGGATTGCTGCTGCTATTGCGCGGTGTGCCGCAGTGGACCCAGTTGGTCGCCGAGATGCTGGCGCATCCGCTCCTTAAAGAGATTGCGCAGCCTGGTGCGCCGGCATTCCCGGTTAATACCTACGTGCTGATGGAGACAGCAGAGGGACGCAAGTACAATCTGAAGGTCAACCTTGCCTTCTGGGTGGCCGTGGTCAAAGCCATGCTGCAAAGCACCGAGTTGATTCCCATGGAGCAGCAGGAGATTACGCTGGATGGCAAGGTGCTGCCGGATGCGTTGTGCTTGGCAGATTGCAATGTTCAAGAAGGGAGTACACTGCGGATGAAGATGATTCCCTTGTGAGTTGGCCGACATATTGTTTTCCGCTGTTTTGGTGGTTTTTTCTTGATTCTTGCTACTTGTTTATGGTTCGAATTTTGTTGGCCTAATTTGAATCATTTGACTGTTTTGAATGTTTGAATTTACAGAATTTGAATGTTTCGGGCTGCCGTGCGAAACGTAGTATACTGTACTTATTATGTTGTATTAAGGACATAGTCAGAAATTCTGTGGAAGTTCGAGGGAATTTTTTTAAACAGTCAGAATACTGGTGAAACTTTCCCGGCAAGTTTGAAATTTTTGTTGTGGTGGTTTCAGTTACCTAACTGATTTGGTTATCAATAAAATGTACTTAATTCCGCTGCTCACTCATGAAATGAGATACAGTATGTAAAGTTTTGTACGTAATCTTTTTTGATTACAATTCATTAAACAGTGACCACCTGTTGAAAACTAAACTTGACAACCTAGCGTGACAAATTATTGCCTTTGATTACTGAGCTTTTAGGATAGCTTGCTGAGATTACAATAATATATTTTTTAGTAGTCGGTAAAACGATCAAGTAAATCTGACATCATAAAGACACCTGAAATTAAAAGATGGCCTAGCGAAACAACCATTTCGTTTTTCCGTGGTTGTAAGGTATGACGGTAAATTTTCTCCTTTTTCTGTTCGGGATGCTGCAGATGGTGACAAGTTCGAAGTCGCACCATCTCTTGGCTTGGTTGCATTTTCTGACCTTTACTATTTCGTGTGCTACAGAGCCTTTGTTTTCACCGGTGCCGCCGCCTGTAAACATTCCATGTAAAATCACCCGTAAACAAAAAAAATGAGCTGGGCATGTTGCAAGATAATGATCAGAAGGTTCGAAACCGTTGTTTGCTGGTACCATTCGTAGACTTACCTATGCCCAGCAACTGTACCATGGTGATTTCGACCGACTACGAACAAGCCACTTGTCCAGGCAACTAAATTGCACAATTTCAGTTTATTGTACTTGCGAATCCGGAAATGCCGTGCTCTGGCGACGACTGAAGTGCCATTAGCGGCTAGTTTATCCCATTTGTCTCAAATCTCCGACAAGTACAGTGCTAATTTCAGATAAATCGACCAAGTTGTCACTTATAGCGGCAATTTGTTGTGAGTGTGCGAACTACGGTACATTAGCGTGGAGCCTTCTGATTTGTGTCACTGAAGTCGACGTCTGCTTCTGGAGAAAAAGTAATTCGCAGTTCTGTTGCGTGATTTGAATATTCTAAACAATCCCACATCCTGTACCTCGGTAGAGAACGCTAGCTGCTCTGCTTGCTGGTAGGCGCGCTCTTTCGATCTGGCGAAAGCACTCAAAGCAGTCACTCTCATTTTCTTATGTTTGGTGTTTAATATCGCTTTCAGTTTGAGAATTTTGAATTTTCTTTAAGCCGGCAAGAGAATAATGGACACCACACCAAGCGATCCCAATCGCAGCACGGCTAACATGCCACCACCACCACCCGTCGGCGGTAGTGCGCCCCAGGCAGGAGCCGGCGCCTCACCCGAGCGTAAACGCCGGCGCAGCACCGAGGAGACCGCGTCGACATCGCACGCCGCACCACCGGCCCCGTCTACCTTCATGCAGCGTGTGCAGACCATGGAGCCGGAAATCAGCCGGATGCTGGCCAACGTGCACGACGAGCTCTTCAAGGTGACCAGCACAAAGAAGCCGGTCAGCGGCGACCTACTGGCTTGTTGCGCCATGTACACCTTCCAACGGGAGAAGGGTGTGCAGCGTCTGTGGACCAACGATTACGGAAGGGGCAAGCTGGAGTGGGTGCGCCTGATCATCAGCGGGAAGGAGCTGCTGCCGTTGCCCGATTGGCTGGATAACGGAGTAGAGCTGCAGGCGTTTAGTAAGTGCAGTGAAGATATCTATATAAAATTATATGAAAACTAATAAGTTTGCCGGCAATAAGCAACAAGTTCGTGTACCGTGCGCGTAAAAGGAAACATTCGCGCCCGCGCACTTCTTAACAGTTTTTCCCGATGCTCTGTGTATACTGTATTAAAGAAGTTGCAACTACGAGGACTATACAGAGTAAGCGTATCAAAAGTCTGATAAAGTACCGGTATCCCTCGAAGTTTGAAAGTTTGTAGAAAAATGTATTTACATCAATATAAGCAAAAAGAGCTTTTGGGGCGATAAAACGAAACTTCCCGTGCATGTACACAATTTGGTTTAAGTGATACACATGTATCGGCTCGTGCATCCAGTATTTGGTAACATAATATCGTATGTTAATAATAAATACTCCACGGCTTTAATTAAACTGTCAATAAAATATGATAATAACTATTATATGTACGTAAAATCGGGCCGGGATATTTCTATTATAATTTTGTCGGCCAGTGTATAGAATACATCAGGTACTACGAGTAGTGTGGTTACCGTGACATCGTCTAACCGTTATCGGACGAATCGAATTAAGTACACAGTCCAACTTGTTGACATCCGTTTACCTGCCATGGTGAACTGCATGACGGACCGCGATTGACGTGGAGTGCAGATACGTATTATACGCCTTTCAAAGAGAATACCGCCATGTTTTAACGTACGCTGCTACGCACTGCCAGTGGTGATTACTGATTTACTGGTGAACGAAGAAACACTGCCCATACGAATTAACTGTATTTCGTAATCCTTGCCGTCTTGTGTACTGCACGAATTTTATTAACCAAAAAGGTTTTATGATATGTAATCATGCATAGATACCCATACGAAACTGTCGCCCAACCACCAAAATGTTGTTTTACGAAATTCCCCAGAAAGCATTAAAATATCTATAATTATATGATCCAGTACTGAGCATTCTATTAGAATAAACTTTTGCGGCGTTTAAGACTTTTTTATTCGCTTAGCAGTAGAGAAAACGGCGGACACACCACGTTCCAACTCATCCCGCTTCCAGATCCCCTGGCACGCCAACATCCGCTTCGAGCGGCTGCCGGCAGACGCCGAGATAATGTCCGTCTCGCTGGTTTTCGTCAATCCGGAGACGGCCAAAATCGACATAGCTCCAAAGAGTAACACAGATCTCATCACGCTCAACGAATCGCTGGTGAAAGTCAAAGGTCTTACAACCGCCGACACCGCTGACGACCTGCGTGTCTTCCTGAAGGCCTTTTGTTACGTGCGCTTCCGTGTGCCCATGCGGCACATTCTGCGGGAACTGTGGCGGCAAGTGCGCGGACCGGTGCCGGTGGAAGTTGGCGAATCGGATGTCAAGCGATACGCGGGAGTGGATAATGTGCTGCTGCGTAAGGAATTACGCTGGAGTGTGAAGGTGGACCGTCGTATTCTCGTTAACCTGTCCGATACTGCGGCACGGCTCTTTGGGGAAACACAGCAGGGGAAGGTGAGCCGGAAGCTTCCTTGCCTGTTCAGTATTCGATATTCGTAGAGTTATGCGTCATGCAAAAGAAGTGTTTCCAAGTGGTTATGACTAGAAGTATCTGTAACTTTCGGTACATTAACGTAAGAACAAGCATACCTTATACCGGCATACTGCAAGTAAATTGATTTTAAATAAAACTAACAATTTTATAATTGACCGTATCACATAAACACGATATACGTACATAATTCACGATTGAATTATGATCGTCGATCAGTAACGATATTAGGCAGTTGCAGTATGGATAAAAGTTCGTGCATTTGCAAAGCAGTAAACAAGGCAAAAATTTTTACTTGTCGGTTTTAATGGACGTCGAAGAGTGCTATGTTTCAAGGAAGTACTGTATTAAATTTTGCATTATACAAATTGTAATTTTGACAAAAATTATAAGGTACTTCCTACAAGCTGTTCAGATACTTGTACAAGTCGAAGCACTAACTTATATAATCTGCTTAACACATTGCATTAGTATAATATAAAAATTAACTGTGCATCTTTCTTACGAAATATTAGTGTTAAATAAATGCCGGCCATGGTACTGTACGTAAGCCTTTTAATACGAAAAACTTGAAGTGAATACAAAAGCTATGTTCTAAAGGTCACCATGTACGACGCCAACGTGAGCAAGGAAACCATGATGGCGTTCATCGATGCCGCGGCGGCCGGCACGCAGTTCGACGTCTTGCATTTGGATCCGTCCCGACTGACTCCCGAGGGCATAGTGGAACTGTTGAAATTAGCCATCGCCTGGGATTTTCAGCCGTTTAAGCTGTGGCTGCAGCTGACCTTACTGGAGCGCTTGTGTGAACCGAACCACGGATTCGATCTGGACGCGGTGAAGGAGATGACCCAAGGTTTATGTCGCAATTTCTGCGATGGTACCCAACAGCAACTCGGCATCGGTCAAAAAATGGTTTTGCGGGGATTGGGACTGTTACTGCGCGGTGTCCCGCAGTGGACCCAGTTGATGACGGAGATATTGGCGCATCCGTTGTTGAAAGACATCGGCGGGGGCAAAAGTTGATTTCGCAGTGAGTCGAATGGACACACTTTCCGCGTTTACGTATTTTTTCGTAATTTTTGTTAGAAGCTTAGGTACCATTCTGGCAACAGTGCATACAATTTGTTAGTTAGCGCAAAAATTTTAATTCGCATCAATGCATACAGAAATATACAGTATTAGTCTCTATGCTCATAGTGGATCAGATTTCCGAATCACTGAATCAGAATGAATGGATTAGATAGTGTGATATTATATTATTACTCGTCTGATATTAGCACTGTTAACGGTCAAAATTTAGTAAACACTGGTGAATTTTGCTTGACGAGTGAAATGTTCGTTATCAAATTTTGGTTACTAGTTTTACTAATGTACAATATTCGGTAATATGTACTGTATACTGTATAGTTGCGCACCCAAGGTAACACTAACACAAATTTTTGGTCAATTTCGCATTTTTGTTTAAATTTTACAATGCATTTGCAACTCCACCAGTGGAAAATCAAACTTCAACAACGCTTCGCGATAAATTGTAGCCTTAACAACGTCAGCTGAATTATCCTGCAGAGATTATGTCAACAATATATTCCGATAACTCGTAGATTATCCGATAAATCTGGTCTAATAAAGGCACGTCCGGGAATCAAAAAACACCAGTAAAACAAAAAAAAGCTTCCAGCCTATATTCACCGAGGAAAAAAATTGTAAAATTTATTTACCAATCGTCTATCCGGCTTATTTCGCGGCATCCAAATACGCTCTGACCACCCCCAGCAGATTCCCCATCACAGCATCGGGCCGCTTCTCCCCGCGTCCCTCATCGCCCGTCCGATACTTCCCCGTCTGCACCAGCACCCCCATCATCCCGGCCTTCTGCGCCCCGTTCACATCATTCCGCACATCATCCCCCACCATCACCACCGTGTCCGACTCCAGCCCGAGACTGTCCAGGGCCGCCTGGAAGAAACGGGGATCGGGTTTGCCGCAGTATTCCGCCTGGATGCCGCAGGCGTACTCTAGGCCCTTGCAGTAGGCCCCCACGTCCATTTTTAAGCCGTCGGTCTCTTTGTAGTACCGGCCGCAGCCCATGGATATGAGGACCGGCTGTGCGAGGTTGATGAGGACGGAGAAGGCGCGGTTGATGTTCTCGTAGGAGAAGTTGTCCTGCGCGTCGCCCATCACCACGCAGTTGGGGTTCATGGTGTTGAGGCCGGCGAATTCGGGGAGGACGGTGTCTTTTACTAGGAGGAATGGGCGCAGACCGCGTTCGCGCAGAATCTGTTGGAGAAACGCACAATTAGTTGTTTTCTATAGCCTGCTATCTAAATCCTCGCCACACTACGCCCCACTGTTTTCGAAATATTTTTCTGCACACACTACACATATATACATACAATAGATAGCATTTCTGAATTTTCTGTAATATTTCTGAACACGACGAGCTTTCCGGTGCATTAATTAAGTGCAGCAGCAAACCGAAAAATACAGGGAAAAATGCAAGTGATAAAATCACAAAAAAACTATTCACAAATGTATTATCTGTACCCTCGGCACCCCACGCCACGCAATTCAACAATTTTATTTTTAGCAGTTTTTACTTTTTAGGATTTTATTTCTTCCGAGGTTTCTGCCTTTCACTGCAAACTTTCTCTTGCATGCATACAAAATTACAAATACCAAATATTTAACAAAATACAAAAGAGTGGAAAAATGCAGGAGCCGTGAATTTCAACACAACACCAGCGAAGCAAAGTGAAAAAAAGTATTGATGCGAACCAATAAAGTGCGTACCTTGACAACCTGTGGTGCTGGTGCGATGATCTCTTCCGCGCCGATCTCAAAGCCCAGCGTGTTGAGTTTCACGGCCAAGTGCTGGCGGTCGGAGGTGCTTTCGTTGGTGATAAAACGGAAGGGAACATGATGCTGTCGTAGCAGCTGCAGGGCTTCGATGGACCCGGGAATAGCGGTTCCCGTCGCGCCACAACTATCGTACAGCACTCCGGTGATATCCAGCAGAAACCCCTTCCCTTCCAGCCATTTCTTAGACATATCGATATGCATCGAAGACTGTTTTCGCTGCAGCACTCTCCCAATCACAGATGCGGCCAGGTTAAACCTGGAACATGGAGCAAAATAGCTAGAATTCCAACTAGAACAAACAAAAGTATTTTATTTTTATTTCGTCTTTTTGACTTCAAGTTGTTGCAGACTTCTGCAGACTTGCTGTTGCAGCGGCGACTACGTCACAGAACTAGAAAATGAGCTCTTCAGCCGCATTAAGCGAAAACAGTAATACTACATAACGCAAAAACAAAATCATACGAATGCAGTAGTTTTTAAATTAAACTTTGTCGTATTCCTCGGAACAGAAATGATCGTAAATCTTTAAAAATTATAATCCTTCCATTTAAATCAGAATTTTGGGCTCCGGGATAAGTTGATTTGGTTTATAATTGGCATTTCCGGTGGGGATGCTCGGTATGTGGCGCATACCGTTTTTCCTTGTACCACCTTAAACCATCGCATAAAATATGTTCGCTATTTTTTTGGTGTTTGCAGTTTGCACTTTGCTGCTTTGGCAGTTTTCACTTGTCAGTTTGTTTCATGTTTGTACATTTTAGGTTTTAGTTTGTACTTTGTAGTGTGTACAATAATTCTTCGTATTTTTTGTAGCGTCCCCCTATCTTTCAGAGACTTACTGATCTTGGATTTCTGTCTGCCATCATTCACAGTGATCACGACTTCACTTTCGGTTAACAGTGTTGCTTACTCGGGATACCAGTCATACTGTACCATTTTGGACGTTTTGCTGTAGCGTTTAACGAAACCATCGTCCCATTCCCAGCTTGACGAATTCCATGGTATCCCTTTCCACTTTTTCGTTTTGCGTATTCCAGAGGAAGGATGATTTCGCCCGTGTTATGATGTGCTGAATTTCCTTCTACGGCAAGCATGAAGGCGATTCCGGTGTCGCCTTGGGGCTGTGGAATTTCGCTGCTTTTATTATTGAGCATCATTGGATTCTGTTGGACATTTCGCGTTTCCTACGAGCTCGATGACAGGTTGGTCCAGCGATGGGTGTTTTCATCTCAGGCATTCACTGATGCTGTGGATTTGCAGATTTACGGAGTACCGTAAGGATGCGAAATGGCTCGTCATGGTAAGAGTTGTGTAGTATGAGACTATGAGCTGTTTTCAGCGTTAGTGACGGTTTGTACTTTGTCCGCAGTTTTGTCTTCGGAACTACTTTTTGTCAGCGAAGTACCTGCGTATTTATCGTTAAGTGCTATTAATTGTTAAGAGCAACGAAGTTAGTAACTTGATATTATTATTGTGATATATCGAGAAGCAGGAATCAGTTCGTCTGAAATTTCCTTTAAATTCTTCCTGAAATTATCATTATCATTAACTCAGTTAATTTTACTGTTAATGTCATGATGTGCTACTACCCTAGTATTTAGAAAATTATAGAACTTACAGACTTACAGTGCACCGAGGCTTATAAGGTATATTCTTCATTTTTTCTGTAGGATTCAAACACGCACTAATACCGCACTATTGTTTGTACAGAGTACAGTGTGATGATAATATGATTTCTTGTGATTTTTAGTACTTACTCGTACTGTACAATAGATACTTATTTTTCCCAGTTTATTTGAATAACTTTGAACGTTCAACTTTTACAGTAATGATTTTGAAAATTTATTGAAATGCTCTGCTGGAGCTGCCTTTTCTTCTTTTGGAAATTATTATTTGGAAATAATTACGAGTATTTTACAACCGTTATTTGGAAAAGATTAATTTATTATTTTTTAATTTTTTATTTTGTTTTGAGTTTTTGATATACGATCTGCTGCCTCTGCTGTACAAATAACAATCGAGTACGGAGTAGTAGTCAGTTGTTGGCTTTATTGTTATTATGGAACGTATGGCATGCCGACAATGCCTTGCATGGAATTGCGTGCACCATGTTTATGAATTGTCGAACAATTTCTGCGAACTGGATACGTTATTGGTGGTGCTTTTCGCGAAATTAAATTCCTTCAGATTATTGGCATTTGCAGTTTTACGCTCCTTGGTGTCATCACTGCCAGAAAGCGGAGCCCGTGTGGGAGCAGGTAGCGCAGACGTTCAACCAGCAACAAGCCGGCCTGGGACTGCGTGTCGGGAAGATCGATGCGACGAAACAGACGAAGAGCGCCGGCGAATTCAAAATCAAAGGCTTTCCCACCATTAAATAGTCAGTTGCACAGTTTTTCTTCGCTCTTCCATTGTTTTCATCCGTTTTGATCCCTTGTATTTACAGTATCAGTGGGGATCGGACTGTCACATATGATGGTGAGCGGACGCGGGAGGATATCGAGGATTTTGCGATGAAAGTGATCGGGTAAACGTTTTTTTAGCTTGGCAGATAAAAGAATTTGTTGTAATTTTTGACGGTTAATTTTTCAGTCCGGCTGTGCGCAAGATCAGCTCGCTGGGCGATCTGCATGCCGTGGAGAAGAAAGGCGAGGTGTTTTTTATCCTGATTGTGGAGAAAGGCGCGACCGATGGAGCGGAGACTGGTCTGGCCGCGGATTATGCTCAAACGGCGGACCAACTGATGGCTTCGACGTATTTCTACCAGACGGACTCGCTGATAGCATCCGGGGTGAGTTAATTTGGGTTTTGTTATGAAATACTTGGGTTTTTATTTGAATTAGGTTATATAAGCCATTTAATGAACTAAGCCATTCATTTTTGCTGCAGTTACATGTACAGTGTTTTTTTTTTGCAATACTGCTAGTGTTGATATACCTTGTTATCTGTATAAATCATGGGAGCCCTGGGCTCTAATCGTGAATTCGTTGCGAACTTGCAGTACAAACTGTTAGGTCAAACCGTGTCATGCGGGTTAGAAATTACGTAGTGCTGTGGCTTATATAAAGTTATCTTCCACAGGCTGGATTTAAATCAAATTTTGAATAGATGATTTGTGGTTCAGATTAAATTTGTTGCGTCTGATAGTGTACTTTTTTCCGGTTGTGATGTTCATAGTCGTACAATGTTGTGTCTTTATGTAAATAATTTCGTTTTCGGCAATTTTTGCTGCAGTATGTATTGCATACAAGCAGGCCCATATCACTTGTATGATACAAGTGATGCAACGTAACAACTGTAAGTGACACTGCGGCGCTGTTATGCCATTGAGTGCTGTAGAGTACTGCCGTTGTATACGTGCATTTTTGCTGACCTGATAATAAGCGCCTTTGTTTACTAGTATCCAGATTTTCAGAGGTTTAAACAGTTTTTTCAGTTCGAGTGTTTATCGCTGTAGATGTTCCCTGTTTCATTCATCATATCACACATGTGTCTTCTTTAGATTATTTCTGAATAATCGTATTATTCTGGGTTTTCCGGTTTTCAGAATGTGTTCAAATTTTCAGAATATTCCGGTGAAGAATGTGCCGGCTGTGGCTGTCTACAAGAATGGCCATTATGCCCTGTTCAAGGAAGGCGAGGATTTGAAGAAGTGGGTGATGGTGGAACGCCTGCCGACGTTCAGTCGAATATCCGGCGGAAATTTTTACCAGTTCATGGAGCTGCACAAGCCGTTGGTGATGGCCGTGGTGGAAGTGCCCATTTCCAGCAAGAAGCAGATGCCACCCGTACAGCAGCAGGTGCTCGACAGTGTCCGCACAGTGGCGCTCCATGATGGCCAAAAATACCACCAACATTTCAGGTAAATATTTTTACAGATAATCATGCTATGTTCGTTTTATATAACTTTTCTGGCTGGTTTTTCCGTTGTTCTGGTCACGGGATTAGCGGATTTTAATGGTAGCCTGTGTTCTCTGAAAAAGTCGTGAAACCGTGCTAATACCAGTTACTTTCTTTACGGTATAATTTTCGCACTCGTTTTCTACTTTTTAACGGAAAAGTGCATTTCCTAATTTCTCTGTCAGTTATATTGGATTATCCTTCATTCGTTTGTCACTTATGGCTTTCTTTTCCGAATTATGCATTCCTTACGAATTTACCTTTCTTTACAGTTTTGGTTTCCTGGATGGTAACGAGATCGTCAACCAAGTGGTTTCCCAATGGATTACAGTGCCTGCCCTCGTCGTCTATGATTCTCAGTCAGAGGTTTACCACGTCTACTCGGAACCTATTGAAGAGATCACCGAAGAGGCCATACAGAGTTTCCTTGATTCCATCCAGACGGGAGAACTGAAGGTGCAGTAATTCGTTTGCTTTTTTGGAATAAGTATTCACTGGTATGTTGATGGTTACAATAAGTACTCCTACTGTACCGTATGTTTATAGATCTGTAAGCATACTATGATATCGTGGACTTTCCAGTGCTGTGAATTATGTAATATCTATATGTGCAGTGATTCTACCGGTGACGGGTGTAGTATGCAACACTGGTTTATGTAGTGATGGGGCTTATTAAGCACTGGGGGAACATTTTCCCTTATCGATTAGCTTGACAGTAGATTCAGTTCAATTGATTCGATCCAGTTTTACAAATCTACATGATTTTTTACTTATGATTTACGAACGTAATTTTCGTTTGGTTAGTTGCATCCATAATATTTACGTAGGCATGCAGTTATGCAACGCGGAAACGACTTACACCTCTTTTTTATTTTTGAGGTGATGTGTTTAGGCTCTAATTTGGTTGTTTATGAGTTACGGTTATGCTGAGCGCTAGTATGATTGTTGATGTGTTTATTGTGAGCTGTTTAGTAGGTGGATGAATCGCGACGGATATCCAACAACCGCATACGTTAAGTTTTTTGTTTTTCAGGGCTTCGGTGGAAAAGGATGGTTTCGGAAGGCCTACAAATTTTGCTATTCCGTCTGCGCGTACTTTTATGTAAGTAAACCGGCAACGTAATTTTCAAACTACCAAAGCGGCGCCTGAATTGATTCCTTGGAATTATGAGCACATTTGCTTCGGGAAAGCGCCAAATGCTTTTAGTAAAATTATTCTGACACCGAATTACGAAAAGCACTGCGTATGTAAACCAGCTCCTTGGCTGTTTCACAATCAGTCAGATTTTCAAGGTACTGCTATGATTGCTATCATTACATGGCTTAGAGAATGTGGAATGTAGTACGGTGGCTTGTGTCATACATCAGCTTTTGCGTTGTTGTCAGGAATTTTCGGCTTCAAATTAAAATAAAGTTGTATTAAATTATTTTCTTTAATTGTATGTGTTTTTCATGATAAAGTTTTTCTTCTTTTTCTTCAAAACACAAAGGTACATGAACATCTTCTTGGAAACAGTGAAAAATCGACTGGGAGCAGTGGCAAACGGCTTATCATTTTTTTGACCGGAAATGCACTTTTTCTGGCTCTTTATTTTTTCCTGGTTGTTGTCTAAGACTGCATTGCACTCTGGCACGCACTTCCGCACCTTTATTACCGTAACCATTGAACACGCACATCCCACTGAGTTTGTCTGTCTATGTTCTGCTTGTTTTTTTTTGTAGAAAATGTTTTCCACTCAGCCGATTCTGGCGTCCATATTATTCGGATTGCCGCTGGGAATTTTGAGTATAATTGTGGTTATGACCTACACTAATGACTGCACCGATGTCAATAAAGACGAGGACGATAGTGATCATGAAAAAGAGGAGTGATTCGCACATTTGATTCTCAGTGATTCTGTGCAATTGGCGTGGCAGCTAATCAGACGGTGGTTGTCTTTTGACATGTGGTATTTCTTGTTCTTCCCACTAATTGCGTTGTTCCTGTTTGCCCTTGGCTGGTTTTTATGTGATTTTAATGCTTCTAGTCCGTGGTTGTTATTTATTTATTCCGTGGTTTCAGTTTGGTTTTCTGTTGTGATGGTATTACTTTTACCTGCAAATTCGTGCCTGTTATTGTTATGGCATTATTGTGTTGATGCCAGGAATGCAGTCAGGCAAATCGGAAATGTAAATGACGGGCTGCTCTGTTTGCGATATCAGGTTAATGTGTAATTAATAATTATCGTAGATTAGCGGATAGCCAGTTCAAACTTCGCATCTTGCACTGAAAGGCTGGCATTTTTTTTACCAATACAATAACTCGGAAACTCAGTAACTGTAAAATTTTTTAAATCGCGGCGCACAGACCACAGACAGCAAGAGGCTACAATTAATTAAGCAATGAACCAATGAATAACAGGATGACCAGCTTTCGATCAGCACCATTGAGCGCCTAGAATTTTTTTCCTTCGGAATAATGTACTATGTTATGTAGGAAAATACATTACTAATGGTAAAAACATAAACTTATGGCCAAACTTATAACATAAAAAATTCAAGTTTTATGATACTATGGTTGCACTTTGCTGCAGCTTTGTAGCTGCTGAAATACACTAAAGAACCCGGCTAACTTGGTGGAAATTTCCCAAAATGTCTGTCAGAAATAAGAGCTACTTCTCAAAGTTGGGAATTGTCTTTTACAGAAACTGTTCACCACGGAGCCGATAACGGCCTGTTTCATTGTGGGTATACCGGTGGGCATCATAACGCTGATGATCGTTCTCATCTGCAAGATTAGTGACGAGCCGCCCAAAGACAGGAACCCGGCCGACGAGGACGACGACGATTCCCACGAAGACTGAAAGGCCTATTAAAATTAATACAAAAACTGTAGTAGGCCTTGAAATTGGCGCCCGTGTTTATTTTAATAAATTTGGCAAAAAATGAAACTCTCAGTTCGCGTATTGCGTGTCTGTATTTCGTGTCACTCGTTCGTTAGTCGTAACTTTTTCTCTTTATCTCGCCGCTTTATGTTGCGTTTACTCGTACCGTAATTTGTAGCAACAGCCAGTTCATGTCTTTTTACTGATACCATATAAAGTTGCGATTGCACAATAAATAATTCGCACCGGTAAATGCAGTAATACGAAATTATAGCGTTCAGGATAAATATACAAGTTGAAAAGTGTGTATTCTAAAGGTCATGGCTCTCGTGGCTGGCAAAACCAACACTCTTAAGTAAGCATCTATAGATTTTAAAAATTGCTTTTTGTGGCATCTTTGTTATGCTCGTAATATGATCTTACTTGTTGAAATACCGTAATTGTTTACAAAGTGAAATACTCGCATTATTTTTTAAAAAGCCTTTTCTGTCACCGAACCTCTGAATTTAGTAAATTCTATAATTTATTATGATAAATGATTTTACTCCAGATGATATGCCCTAATTATTACTTTTCGCATACAAATCAGCAAATTTAGGTGTTTCCGGGTTGGGAGAAACTTTTCGGCTTTGAAAATAACTGCACAATCAAATCAATCCGCATATACGTATATCGCGTAATGTGAATAGCTAATAGAATGGCTATTTTGGTACCTTATACCTTTGGCAACGTCTGCTCAAGCTTAGCTCTTATTATTTTTTAAGGTGTGCTAAGTATAGAATTCAAATAAAAAAATTAGAGTATGAGAATTTTTTTAACTTATTCCTTTGAAATTTCTTAAATTTTGTGGTAACCGGGCGTTCAATTGGCAAAGTGCCGTTGCTACCCGTTGCACTGCGAAACTCGCAGGACAGTCCTGTCCGCACAAAAGCTGTGGATATCCTAATAACTTGAGTCCAGTTAATAATTCATAAAGCGACAATATATCTGATTCGTTTGCGAGCGTAAATTAGGCTGCGTTAGAAAATTAATTTAGCAATGCTGTTTCTCTGTGCTTTATCGCACCGGAATAAAATTAGTTGTGTGTATGCAGGTATGCTTATAAAGTACGCGTAAACAGGTACAGTACTTGTATGTTTGTGGTTCAAGCTGCTTTCTGGTATTCATACTACAAAGTACATAGATTCTTTCAGTATCCGCTTTCTTGTAATTCGGGAATGTAAAGGTTTTCTACGGAACACCTGGATTAATTTTCTACTCGTACTAATAAGTAGTTGTGATCGATAATTGTGCATTGTGCACCGACAGTACAGTGTGCATTACGAGCATAAAGTACAAGCGCACCGCTGCAGACGTAAATAAAAATACGACGACACAAGTGCAAGCTAAACGGCCGTGCCCTCGTGTGTAGCGGGTAGAATCCGGTAGATCGCTCCAGATGCACATAAGCAGAACCCTAAAATTTGACCCTAAAAATGAGAAAGTCGCACGCAACTGTCTGCAATGCTGTATTTATTGTCGATACAGATGCACAATTGCATAATCGTATTTTACAAATGTATATTATCGTTATATACGTATCCCTCGTATATACGTATCCGATCCGCTCGTCCCATCGGAGCTTCCAGATCAGAACATAATTCTACGAAATTCAGGTACACGTACGAGTATTTGTAAACTTGGACCTACTCATACCTATCATACGAAGCATGTGTAAACCACAGGAAGAGCGGGATGCCGGCTGGCGGGTGCATATGAATGTCGGGGGTTCTATTGATTTTCCTTACCTGTCTATAAAGTTGTATAAACATGTCTGAGAACAGCATCACATCAGTACAGTTTATGGTTAGCGCTAATAGTTCTGTTACAACAGATCTTTTTAGAGTCGATTTATAATTTTGCAGTGATTTTTTCCGAAGCATTTCCACCATGCCAACTTTTAATTACAAAGAGACCATCTTTCTACCCTACAGTGTATCACTGCTGCAGAACAATCTGAGCGTTATCAATACTGATGATAAGCAGTTCGAGTACGCCTTGGTGCATAAGTTCGGTGTTGTCACGGGGAATCAGGAATCATCGGCGGATGTGCTAAAGAAGCCCTGGTCGACCTCCACCGCCGTCCCCACGGGAGCGCTTGTGCTCAGCATCGTCATTTTTCAGGTGAAAGAAATTATTGTACATTATGAACTTCGGGGATTTATTCTATGGTTTTTTGCAGATAAAGATTTTTCCTTATAACGGTAAAACCGTGTTAATTGCCCTATCCACGCACGGACCATATGTAAGCCATTCGACAATAAATGCGTTTACCGTAATTATCGAATTTGAAGCCCCCCCCCCCAAAATACAAGCCCCCCCCGTAATTAGAGCCCACCCCTAAGGTCGTTTGAAAGTTATAAGCCCCCCCCCGAAATAGAGGCCCATGGGCTTAATTAAATACCGTAACTTTGGTAACTTTGTTGCATTTGTATAGATATACCACCCAGTTCCAAAATCTAACTAGATGCGACCTTGGGTTAAAACATTTTTGTTTAATTTGTACGTAACTTTTACATGAACTTAAATGTACATATAAGTTGTAAGCGACAGAGTTAATCGCACTTAAAATTATTATGTTGTTTTTATTGTTCTCTGTTCTTGTTTTTTATTATTTTTTGTATTTTTATTATGTTTTGGATGATTAGTTGCAAAAGAAGCCCATTTCTTTCATCTCCGATTTCCAAGGATGGGAATACTTTATCAGTTAGCACTTTCACAAAAAAGCGAGCAAAGCAAATTTTGGACGTTATTTCTAAAATAATAATCATGGTACAAGCATAATATGTACTCGTACAATTGTTCATCATGTGGATGCGAGTACATTCCAGATTGCGTTCGGGGAAGAACTGGAACCGATACCCAGTTTCACCATCGAGGAAATCCGTCCTAACACAGAATGGTCTATGTATATTTCGGTGGGGATTTTGGGTGAGGATGTGATCTGCATGGGCAACTGTCACGGACAAATCCAGATCCTGCAGATACAGGCCGCCAACAAGGAGAATATTGTGCCGCTGAATGTACTGCAGACCACCAGTCGCAGTAAAATCCTGTTGCTGCGGACTGATCCTGTCGGGCTGGTGGCGGTAGATTCGCTGGGAAAGCTGTGGAGCTGGACCGTTGAGAAGGAACCGGCACTGAAAGGCGTTCCTGTTGGGTACGGCAATATTTTTAAATAAAAGTACTAAAGAAGAGATTAAAAAAGCTCTATATAATTGCTAAATCTGGGAAACTAAAAACTTTATAAAAAAGTGAGTTTATTTAGCCTAGCGGTAGTTAGAGGAAATGTTGCAGCTGTTTTGGGAACAATGAGTGCACGACCTAAGATCGCAAATGATTCTAACGATTTTGGGTGTTTCTTTTTTTTAATGTTTAAAATTTTAGTGAGTGCTTGAACTAACCATAAGTCCATAAGTGATAATAAGAATAAGGGTAATAAAAATTGGGTGTTAAAATAAAGTAATAAAAACGCGCTGCTGTTGTTAAACACGCTGTTAAATGCTGTTATACACTATCGTAACCTTTGTACTTATATACGTAAAAGAAAATTTTGTAGGATAACCGTACTATAATTTTTTAATGAAGTAACGGATACTGCTTTTTGCTCGTTTCTTATATCAGGAAACGTTTGCAGTATATACCAGCATATACAGTGCAGTCACTATGCATTCAATGTCCGGATAGAAAACCTTCCATTAATTTTATTGATTGCACAGGTTAACGGCGTTGACGAACTGTATGGAGTTAACGGAGGCATTCATCGTGCTGGGCTTCTCCAACGGTTCACTGCGCTTATTCTTCCGCGAGTCCGGATGTTTGTACTGTGAAGCGTATGCCCATGCATCCGCCATTACCGCTATGACATTCTGCCCGAAATCCTCGGTTCTGCTGTCGGTGGGCGAGGATTCCTATGTGCGCGTCTGGCAGCTACACGAAGAACTGGACAATTCAAAGGTCAATAGCACGCCGCTTTAGCTTGGTTTAAGTTGGTCTAACAATTATCCAAAATGTATTGTAACTGTGCAGTTGGCTAAACAGTATACGTATCTTGAAGCTGACGATATTTTTTTATTGCTTGCAGTTCCAGCATGTTCAGAATACGGTGGTGGAAGATATGCGCCTTTGTGGAGTGCAGTTTCTAAACGTTGATGGAAGCCACTTCGGTGTAGTGGGATACGATCGCAACGAATTAGTCATTTTTTCCGCAACATAAAATTCCTCCGATTAAAATTATCTGGTTTTCTTTTGCGCTTCTAACTGCCAATATTTTCGATACGTTATGATTTTGATAAGCGTTAAATTTTTTTACAGTATGAAGACATCGATTATTTGTATTTACAACTGAAAATCAAGAACGCTTTCTGGTCAGTAAGAAATGGCAGACTATTATGGCAACAAAATGTCATCAACGTAGTGTATGGCGGAATGTATCGTTGACCTAATTTTTTGAAAATTCCTTATTAGATGAATACCGTAACGAAATAAGGAAGGTTACTGGCAGCAGTTAAATTTAACATGTTTTATTTGTTTAGCCAGCAAATGCGCTGTAAACCATCTTCAAAATTGTTATTTTTGTTACTTATTATCTGTTTTTACATCGGTAGTGGAAGTTATTTATGGCAAAATCCGCATAGGTCACAGCATACGATACAGCAAGACTTCAAAAAATGGTGTTCTCGTTAAGCAGCCAGAATGTTCTGATACTTTTTTCATCGTTGATTTGGACCGCTTCTTCTCGCGATTCCAAGGCAAAACTGGCTACCGGCAACAGCAGATCCTTGCATGATTCGCTAATCTGTATCTTCATGGCTGCAAATTTAACCGTAGTAATTCACTGACACCACACGGTTTAATATAGTTTCACAATCTGGAGCTGACCTTTAGACGTGGCTTCCATTTTATTAGTTATCCGAATGGTCTCTCCGAATCTGCAAACCGTTAGTAATTTAAAGGCAACCGAAGATGGATGCGACAATCTCTGCGAGAACATACAGACAATATCGTGGCATGACAAGGCCAACCACTCCCGCTGCACAAGGTCCTGAAAATAAAAAGGAGCGATACAGTTTGTTTTTGAGTTGATCACGTACTTCGATAACTTGCATAATTAAGACGCACTATTTAAGCGAATGTATAAATATCGGATTATTAAGCTTAATGTTAATACAAGGACTAATCCGAGCACCATAACGAAGCGTAACATGTACAAGCGTAAATGGCAAGCGTAAATGGTAAACAAGCAAAATATGTAAATCAGGCAAAATTTGTGTAAGTGCGGTAATGTGCTGTAAGTACATACCATACCTATTGGCTAGTGCTAATCTGTATTCTATTAGGCTACCACCGCAACATCGACTGACATAAGGACTGTGTCATAAATACTTCTTCTGGTAGATACTTATGTTGATTTACTGTTAACAAATTGCCTTACTTTAGCGCTTGGTAAATTCATCTGATCTGATTGCAGTTATTCTGTAGTGCGTGTACTATGACTTAATTCGATGAATTCATGAGGTAACGAATTAGCGGGAGATTCAACGCAGTAATAATCTTCGCGGCAGTGCGACGATCCTTGAGGCCTTCAAAAAGCCCACCTGACGTTGAAGAGGAATAATTAAGGACTGCACCACTGTAGATTAACGTGCAGCCCATTTGATTTTTGCGTGCGTTGCACTTATGGAACAATTATATTAAACAGCTTACATAAACAGCTTGTATTAATGTGTGTTTGCCATCTGACCACGGGCTACTTACGGCTGCTAGGAATTCAAGAAAAAAAATTAAAAAAGGGTTGATCATCTTGCGTACCTTCGGCAAGAGCTTCCTCCTGTTCTTTTGTAAAATTTTGCTGCCAGTACACTTGACCACCGCCTATTTCGATAATTTATAGGTTTTCGCTTTCGTTCAGAGCGAAACGCTGACATGAAAATCAGCTGCTCAGCCTGCTCATTCACTTTAAGGTGCGGGCGTGCAACCCTATATCACTAGACGGTGTCTTACGATTATGATTGTAACAATTTACGTACTCGTACTCATCGGTACGCACCTTTCGCAGAATGGTTGTGTTAAGTACGTACTTTTATCGTACGGTACCTGTATGAACACCAAGCCGTAACTGCAGCGGCTGCTCTGGGCGGTGAGCAATTTTAAAGACTTTGATTTTATTCAGTAACATCAGCGACAGTCGGCAAACTTCCGTCGCATGGCGGTTACCGTTACGAATCGGCACTCCAGATGCTACCTGCCATCATGCGGTACCATGACTGTAACTGTATAAACGGGAAGAAATGAATCGAATCCTGTTTACCACGTAGCAGTCGCCAATAGTTTCCACCTAAAAGCGACAAATTCGAACATGTTCACTATTCCGTGGGAAGAGCAACCGCGAGCGCGCGCGTACTTTGTGGGTATCGAACAACTGAATACAGTTATCAAACACGGTGAAGAGATCGTTGAGGAGGTTGACAATTTCCGTTGGTGTGCTTTCGGACGATAACGCCGTAAAGGACACAATGTCGTTGTACTGTACGGTTACACTATCAAACGTTTCCGGTGCAACGTGCTGGCCGCGTATTAACTGATCCGCAACGCTCCTGTAATAAGGGCAAGATACTACTCGCGCCTTATAGTAAAACTTAGAGATTAGATTGCCTCATGATAACGTACCGTGGCAGAATGTCGTACAGAAGTTTCTCGCTCTTCTGCATTTCGGCAACAACCTGCAGACTCTTCTCTTCAACGATGTTCTCTAAATCTTTGGTGTAGTGCTCGGTCTTCTCGATTAATTTATCCACTAAGGAACCAGAACCGGATAATGCCTCTCTGAAGCCAATCACCAATGGTGTTTAACCCAAATATCGGCTGAATGTTGGGTGACCTTTGTACCTTCCGATCGTCAACAGTGAGCGTCGGACTTGAGCTAATCGCGGCCGCTCCATGGGATCTTGTGACCAGCACTGCTTGACTAAGATCATCATTTCCGGCGACATTTTACTGGCATCCAGCCTCGGCCGGAAAAGTCCGAGAGCGGTTTTTCTTTTCTGAAGTTTGGCAAGAATCACTACAACGATAAACCTTTACCGGAAAACCGCACGTGAGGTTTTTAATCGAAATGAAATTTTACTTGATGCTGGCATGGCTTTCGTACTGAACGGTGGTTGTTCCATGGCTACTTCGCACATAATAATGGCCAGTGAATAAACATCGCCTTCTTGTGTTCCCTCACCGAAGGTGGCGTGGTGAGGCAACAGTTCCGGCGCCGTCCACAAGAGAGATTCGCAGAAACGCTCATCGTGTTCATCGGGCACGGTGCGCACAAAGAACGACGGCAGACCATAGTCGGCCAGTTTGCAGGTAAAATGTGAATCGACATAGCAGCAGCACGATGTCAACCGACCATGACATTTTATCGTACTTTTCTGGATCATCATCAGGCCTTCGACGACGTCGCGAATTAAGGAAGTCTTGAATATGTCATCCATTTGAAAATCGGAATAACACACTAGTTCCTGGAAAATACCATTTTTCAACGTGACCTTTAGTGAAAACTACAAAATCAGGCAACAGTTTATCGACAAAAATATTACTAACACGAAGACTTCCGCGGGAGCAAAAATCATATAAGATTGTGGCGCGTTCAGGTCCTAGACAGAATTCCCGCATCGGGAGCAAATTCTCATGCAGCAGTTTACGAACATCTTTGACTTCTTTCAAGATCGAGCGGGAAATCGGCAGCTGTACCACTTCGCACACCCGGACAACGACTTGCGCGCCACGAAACTTAGCAGTAATAGTCCGTTTGGATAAATACCCAATGTCGCCAGCTAATGCATCTAAATCCAGGGCAAAATTGGTGTTATTGGAGTCGGGGCGCGCATGATCACCCAGGTTGTTGATGTAAGCGTACACCGATAAGGAATGTCGGCGGTGGCTGCCGCGAGTGTTTAAGCGTTTGTTCAGCTGCAGAAATTGCGGGTCGCTAATGTCTTGCCAGGAAGCCAAAAGGTCAAGCTGGTTTAGTTCGCGGTTACGCTGATGGATGCGCCGCAGGGTGATCAAGCTGACCAGAGCAATAAGGAGGAGGCTGGCTGTTACACCGAGACCGATTCCCATATTCTGCACTACAACAGTGTTGACGAAAAGTGTTTACTATTTGTATATTTATGAGCAAGTTGCTTTTGGAATACAATATAACCTCATCATGAAAGCACAGTAATTCTCAAATATTTGTTATCGGGAATTATTCGTAAGAATTATTGTATTTTTTTAAAAAATTAAATGTAACGTACGTCGCCGGTTGCATTTTGGATCGTTGCCCAAATATCCACACGGCGGCTCATTCAGCGGAGGCGTATTACTTGGATTGCCCCATAAAAATGGACTGACTTGATCGAAAGTATAATTTTGTATCCAGATATCTTTGTATCCATAGAATTCGGCTGCGAGCTGTAAACAACTTAACTTACATTTCAATTACAGAAAGCAGGTTTACATTGACCTTTGGATGCGACGCACATAGAACATCCCATCCGCTGTCATGTCGTACATTGCGTGGTCGTCGTTACGGTCGCCCAGCGGGTTAATGTACACAATTCCCGTTGCGCCTAGATTGAGAAAAGCCGATAATCACGTAAACTTATTATAGCGAATAAGCCCTCTGTGTTTCTTACCAGGAAAGGTGCGATTCCAGAACTTTTGCGATAGTTTAAGTAAATACCTCTTCTCCCAATATGGCTTGTCTTCGTCTATCATTTCTCTGACGGAGAGAGCGTAGAGAAGAATGGAGTCATAGAAACTAGCGGAATAATGTGTGCCGAAAATCAAACGAATTAAGAAACCCGATTTTTAAGGCCCGTATATATGTTATATACAGAATACCTAAACGTACGTATTAATACCGGGGCACTATTTTAAATACAAGTTTTGCAGAAATAGGATATAATTCAGTAACACTTTTCGTCCATTAGCCACATTCTCCACATGTTCAACAAATTCCTTATATCGTGGCTCATTCCTTGTATCCCGCAGCGTCAGCACCAGCAACGACTGGTAAGCGGCAAGTGCCAAAGCATTCTGATTATCATCTGTAAACAAATACTCCAGAAAACTAATGAACAAACTAACTTTGCATGTATTTAATTGTTTACTTTGTTTCCAGCCGTTATTAGCAAGAACATCACTCTGGAATAAATCCAGCGTCAGGAAGACATAATCTCCATCGGTTTGTCCCAACCGCTGCGCGGCAAGCAGGAACTTCCGCAACAACAAACCATCCATTAATAAAACCACCACTGCATAAACCGGTCAATATTAAAGAACATCCACAGCATAAATCATCCATCTGCATTTCTGACAGTTATTACCGCGGGCATTATAACTGGCATTACGCAGCAACATCGCCATATTCCCATCCGTCAGTTTGGCCGCGGAAAAGGACATTTCAAAAGACCGGATCTGATGGTCACGAAGATTCGTCATTAAGCCTACAATATTGGACTTATAGATAAACAATAATTTACGCACGTGCCTCTTCTGAATAAAGGTGAATGTATACTCACTTCTCGCGTTGACACTGCGAGCATTGTTACCGGCGTCATAAATGACTGTAAAGAAAAAAAATACCGAAATATAGAGTGCTGGTGAGAATGTCTCCAGCTGTCGCCAATCGATCAGATCAGTAACGCTGTATGAGTATGTTTGACCGTGATTACCGGCCACATTGCTCCATGCATATTTTATGCACAAGCGTGTAAAAAAGATCCATTGTGTGTATGTATTGTAGGAGCAGCGTGTGATGTACGGGAATTTTGCTGTACTGTCCACCAGATCGCCGGCACCGGTGACACTGGGGACGAGGAAGTACGTCTGCAGCTCCAATGACGACATCATGTCGGCGGTACAAGCAGGTCCTACCACATAGTACAGGCGGTCAAATTACGGCGTTTCGATAAATGTTGTTTAGACACTGCATTGCTGACGTTATGTGTGTTTTTCTGTGCATAGGTACATATCACGCAAGGCAATATTTGCCGGGAAAGGATGCAATGGAAGCGCAGTGCGCGTAGGCCACTGCGGTTCCGGCCGGAAAATGTCGATTATCACTTAACAAAGGTTGACACGCAATTCTCCGAGTGTTGTATTTCGTGTCAAATTAACACGGGAAGTTTTTTCTGATAGGATTTCTGTAAATGCGCGCTACAAAAACCGGCAAGGCCAGTTATGTGTATTGACATAATGTCGTGCCATACCTTTTCCGATAATTAAATTAGCAACGAATAAATCTGTGTATCTTCTATAATTTCAAGCACCATGGAGTTAATTTTACATATTTAACAATACGAAAGAAATAAAGCACTACTGCAAAAGCAGTGATTTAATAATTCTCATCTCTTCTAACAGGTACGAGATACAAGTAGATCACAGTACAGGTATAACGTACAGGTAAGTATAAACAAATGCAATGCTATGTTTTGGTTTGTGGGTTTGTGTTGTAGGTCAATATCAAAATAAATCAGGCAGCCTATTTAAAACAAAATTAAATCAGTTAGAAACCTTCTTAAATGTCAGTGTGTGACATTTCTGCAGAAACGGTATTGCAGCGAATTCTTACCGATAATAACATCTACGGTCTGATTAATGGCCATGAATGTAGCGCCCACGGCACCGGATTCATTACACCCTCCAACGTACAGCGATAACACCGGCTGGAAGAGGACGTTATAATCATTCAGCGCCTTTTCATATGCCGCTTCCAGTGCCGGTGCTAATCCGGAATAATCATAAGGCAGATTAGTGCCGTTGGTTAAAATAATACCAGCTTTCAATATTGCCGGTGCATCTCCTGCCACACGCTCCTCACGTCTTTCCTTTGCTGCTCCGAAAATCCACAGAGAACAAAATATCACCGTACTTGCTGTTCTGAACTTCATGGCGTAAGGCATTTTTCCACAGTTTTTAAGCCAATCAAAAAAGTCTTAAAATGATCCAGAAGTCGTGATTGCGCCGTATATTGGTGTATGTTAATAAAATCGTTTTGGTGAATGCGTCCAGGCATGCGCACCGATACACGTATCCGGGATGGAAACATTACGACAGTGATGACACTTAATGCTTTGATAATGAAGTTGGCAGATATTCCGTTCGTGCGAGACAATCACGTTGAAACACCGGTTGCATTCGCATTAAAAGTAACAATGCCGTGAAAAACGTGTGTGCGATATGTTTAACTGTAAGGGCACTCTCGCAGTGTTCCACAAATTGCCTGTGTCATGGAGCGGTGGAAGATTGCACTGCGCCGGATATACTAACCGGCAAGGTGATAGGATACACGACGGGATGCTCGTTACGAACGTCCATAACCTTACACGGCTATCGATTGCACATTCTTTACGTGGTCACGTGGAGAATCTGTACACTGCACAGTCTGCACAACGTATACGTTGCATATTAGGTAGTAATATAACACCTTGTGAATTATTTTGCGATATTAATCGTAAATGCAGTGCTTTCGCGGTACGACTACTCATACGGTACACTTATTCACGAGCGGTACGTTTTGTTATGTTTGTATGCAAAATTTACCACGACGTTATTACTGTTCTCAAAAGTTTAACCTAAAGCAACCGCGAACTCGGTAATGTCTCAGTGTTCCGAGAGCCTAGAATAATGGAAAAAACAACGGATCGAACGTATTGTAATGTATCCGAGAGTAACGCGCAATTCCACTAACATTAAATTGAATTAGCCATAAAATACGGCAATGCAATCGGCTTTGCACTTTGCAGTATGCGGAATACAGCAAAAGAAATTCCAGGTAATTTCCAGTTTTTGCGTTTAGAGGTGGTCAACAGTGTTTATGCTGTATTCATCCACTACGTGTGCCTTGTGGCTTGCAGTGCCTTGTCCTGTTCATATCCAGCAAAGTTTTGAGCGCACTTCTCATTTAAATTTTTAGCAGCGTCCAGACAAAATGCTGACAGTTGATTTGTTGTAAATGAGTCATGTAATATAATTTGGAGTATCCATTGCTTACCACTATGGTGCATGGAAACACCATCCATCTAATCTTTATAATTATCTATTTTGCATCGATGCTGATCAGTTATAATCAGTGTACGTCATGGAATGCTTCAATGAACGATTCTAACGTCGCATCTCAAACCTCGATTATAAAGAGTACTGGCACCAAAGGTCATGATTTATCGTCCACTCTGCTTTATCCTGTGCCAGCGGATTCCAATCAACAAAATGACACTTGGTCTTCCGTACCAGATTTACGGATCCTCGTACCACCGATCGCCAGTGCATCACCGGCTCCAGTCCCTCCGATTCCGGTACCGTCCGGAGCCGTGGTTAGTGGTCAAGCGTCGTCCCTCATGCTGTACGAATATGGGTACGATATGCACCAAAACGAGTTGTTTTTATATCCGCCGTTCACGGGCATTGTGGGCTCTAAGCGATTCTTCGGCTACCGTAAAGGACCGGTTTACTTTTTTGGGATCTACCTGGATGTCCCGCCATGGTTTGGCTTTGGACTCTTCCGATCCGGAATAGGCGTCAATGTTGTGGCCGACTTGATAGCGGCCGTTGTGCAGACTGAAGGAAGGGGTGTCGCCAACAGCGGATTAAAGAATTTTTCGCCATCGCTCCTGTAGTTTTAAAACCGTACCCGAAAATAGCTATAGTTTTGCACCAGCTCCGGTCAGTGATTTATCTCTGGAAACGCATCGTCAAATATTGCGCCTTCAGCTTGCGGTATTTTGTTGAATTATGTGGTATGGCGTGCACTTGACTTTCAGAGTAACATTTTTGCTTGCGTTTTTGGATAGCAGTAAAATAAAATACGGATTTCGTTCATCAATGCTTTGTTTTTTTTAAAGAGCTTCGTATTTTGCTGGCTTGTAATTTGCTGATGAGAATCTTGACCATACTCTCACCGTAGCCGGAAATGGGCTGACATCCTGTCATTCCAGTTGAAGTTATTATCAGCCGATAAAACTGTTGTACGATGTCTGTACTCGGTACATATCACAATATATTCCTCCGTTATAGTTTGGTGTTGATAAGCTATGTAAGTTTGCATTTTTTCCGGCAGCATTACTGTGTACAATGCACAGTGTCTAACTTTACTCAAACGGTTCAACCTTAAGTTTGCTACGGTACAATGCATAATCTCGGCTTCAGTACTGTACCAGTAGACGCAGTTTAGCGCTACGGGCACTTAAAGGCCATCAATGCTATATCGCCACTCTTCAGGACTGTTACTAAAGTCTATGAAAAATTGTCGTTGCAAATCAAAGTTTAGAATTATATAAGGTGGGAAAAATCACAAGAGAGTGCCGTACAGATAGTGCACCAGGTATAAATGAGGAGAGGCGTTTAATTCAGAACCAGACACACCGTGCACACGTTGCTGCATTTATTTCCGGCTTTAGACAGCGCTAACAAAAACAATTATCGGCTAGTAATTTTTGACCAGTTTAATTTATGAGGTATTATGAGTTTCCCATATATGTAGTTTGATTTACTGTATGTGCCATCGTCAGCAAGCCATGTTGTAGCAAGAAGTATTGTAGGAAAACTGATTTCCGGCCTGAGTGTTTCTCCAGTCAAAAGGTTGAGCGCAGTTAACACTAAGAACCGGCGACCATTCATTTTTGATGACGAGCATACTGACGCTAAAACGGCCCAACTCTTCAGGTGTGAGTGCCGTCACATTAGCGGAACTCCCAGGAGCCCGAATGTCGCTCTCAGGCAGCTTAAAACTGCCTACCGTCATAAGTTCACCTTCTTTCATCGCCGCCGTCAAGTACGGTTTCTTTTTCAAAAAATTTCGGAACCAGGCGAATGAGCAGTCACAGTGCAGCCGGCGAGTGTGCTGGAACACGTGATCGGGTAAGCTACCCCGGGCGTAGCCGTGATCGTTCTCGGCGCGTGAATACATGTCATTAGCAATTTGGGCTTCCAGGGTGAGAATCTGCAGATTATTCAGATCGGTGAAGGTGTATGGCTCCATTTCGGCGATCGTAGTTGATGAGATAAACTGAATGACACGCACTTGCGGCATCCGCGAGAAGTCGGCCTTTCTGATTATCAAACCGTGACAATAAAAACCCAGCTGGAAACGTAAAACGTTTGGCAGCATTCCCATGGCGTGCACTTTCGCCGTGATGTTTTGTGATTCGCAGAAAAGAGCGGACAGCTGAATTACTTGGTTTCGCACCGGTTCGATGACGTCACTATGAATAGCCAGCCATCTCTCATCGGCTTTGTCGTAAAGGGCGATCGTCAGTGCTCGTGTTGGGCTAATTCCACTGATGGCTTTCGTTATTGCTGTCATATGCTCCCGCCCTTGACTAGGACAATTGAAATCAATGTAGGTCTTCTCAATGAAGTGTCCCCAAGGATGCGCTCGAATTTCACTATCGGATGCGTTGTAACAGTTGTCGAATTTGTAAGTTGAACCAAACATAACTTGGCTGCAGCTTGTCTCCTTAGCGAATCGAATACAAAACTCTGCTCTGGTGAGTCCATCCGTGCGGAACGGAAAGGTCACGGTGGGTTCACTGGGTTGTACTTGTTTTGTTTGGGTAGCCGCGGGCTCGCTACATTCGCTTTCAAAGTCATCGACCAAGCCTGCAAGCGCAAATTTGAACCGGAGCTTTATTTCATTTTGATCGGGAGTTTGAAATAAATTTTACAATTCCTTACATTCTGCTGCCGGAGGATTTTGCAGAGTCAGAATTATGATCATCGATAACAAGGTAAGGCGTGACTGCTTCCTGGGGACATAATACTTATCGGTGTGCATTTCGACTGATTATTTAATATTTGATCGTGTTATAGCGTACCTTCTTAATAAACGGTCCAAACTTGTCCACTATGTCTGTAATGTGAAAGCGCTTAATTGAAGAGTTATCACTCATCTGAAAGCGTTAATTTGGAAGATTTCATATCAAGATAACCTACCGGTACACATGCCACCATTCCAAGCGACAACGGTGATTGCATCAGTTTGCAGCGAGTCTATATTATGATATTATACTGCAATTTTTCCCAACTACGAGCAGATGAATTTGTCAGCAAGAAATTTCAGACTAACGAGTACTACTTTTACAAATACTAAAACACCTTCAGCGAATTTTTTATTGCTACCAGCACCAACTGCACTCACACCTCACAGCACTTACTCCGTTACTCGCCAGTATCTAAGCAATTTTTGAACGTACACTAAACGACTTCTACCAACAGTATTTCTTGCACTCACATATCGCATAACTATAGTGAATTATACGCATTTTATTATGGTAAAACGAAAAATAGCCAAGAGGAAATATAACAACGGTCAAGAATATTAACTTCGTGGTCCATTATTTATGTAGCTATGGCATGCCATCCCGTACCTGCTTGTAAGAAATTGATCTATTTTCCTGAAATTTCGTTTACATAAAAAAATGCGTTGAAACTTGAAATCTTTGCAAATGTAGCGGATGTAGCGGACACACAATGTAGCGGATTAATCTTTCCAGCAGTTCATTGTGGTGTTGAACTGCAAAATCAAATGCAAAACTAAAAATGCGTCCTATCACCAAATAACAGAAATTTGGCCGGTTTCGTTCCGGCCAAGATACCGTTGGGTTAAGTTGCTTACAAACGTGCATTTGACTCACCAGGGCAGCGTCACCGGCCCCCCTCTCAGAAAAATTTCATTTTTTGCAGGGTTGCAGAGTAACACTAGGGTATGCTTAAAAAAATAGTTTCATCTGCCATGGTCAGTAGGGCGTGGCCAAACAGAATTTAGAAGTTTAAAATTTGCTATGTTATAGCCTATGGCCAATGCATTGCTTCGTACTTTAAGCACATTTACGATTTGATACAAACCACTTCACGTGGTATCGTACGAGGCTTATGTGCGCTAAATGTTCTCGGCTTCCCGTTTCTGAAACGGGCTAGTAGATGACAGTTAATTATTTTTAAGTTTAGAGATGATCTGTAGGTCCTCATTACCTCGGTTTTCGTGCTAGCGGTATGTGATAAAAACTGATAGCGCGAATGGAAATGGAAGTATTTACACAATTACACCTGCTAATCTAGCTCTTACAAAATATTGTTAAGTACCACGTACAGGCCGCTTCAGAAACAAAACGGTTAACGGGGAATATTGGACACACATAGGCCTCGTACGATTGCGCATTCAAGTGGTTCGTATTAATTCGTAAATGTGCTTAAAGTACGAAGCAATGCATTGGCCATAGGCTATAACATACCAAGTTTGTAACTTCTAAATTCTGTTTGGCCACGCCCTGCTGACCATGGCAGATGAAATTATTTTTTTAAGCATACCCTAGTGTTACTCTGCAATCCTGCAAAAAATGAAGTTTTTCTGAGAGGGGGGCCTGTGACGCTAGCCTGGTCAGTTTACTGCAAAAATTACATTGGGTGCCGTAAATTGCTCATAGTCGACCTTCTGCTTTTCAATACACACTTACTGCAGTTTTAAGCTAAACAGTTCCTTCGAAACTGTTTCCGAAGACTGACACATTGCGTTTCGAAGCGTTAGAATCGTGATGGTGTACTATTGTACAGATAGGCGACGGAGTTTTTTCATGATATTTCACCGCCCTATGTGAAAAGTTGGCAACAAAATAGTTTAATAAAATTTCCTGCTATCGTGCTGCATATTAATGATAGTTCCACTATCCGCCGATAAAAAGTATTCTTTGTCGGGCAATTCTGGCGACTCCATACAGCGAAAAATACAAACTGACAGTTTATGCCAGACTCCAGCGCGCCACGCCACACTGCTTAAACACGCAACATGCATTTGGCTGGCTGGTGGCTTGGTGCACCTTGCCCGCCAGATATTTTAATGAGAACAATCGTGATTGCCTGGCGGAAAGTGGCTAGTAAACTGTTGGTGCCGGGTGCAGTAAGGAACAATTTATCTGGGGAGCGCATTCAGGCAATGTGCTGAACGTAGTGAAGAGGCACCCGTCGTAAACGGCTTCGCGCTCGCTGTTTCTTTACGTAGGAAATTATCGGACAAGCTTGTACATAAGTTGATCGTTACCAGCTTGATACAATTTTCTTTCCATACTTCTGTTGCAGCAAAGGCTCATAGTATGCTTATACAAGTTATACGAAATCTAATTTTGTCTCCTAAATGCAAAAACATTTGTTGCTCACTGTGGTTTGCTTTCTCCTTTGAAAGCTTTCCTTCTAAGTTTTTCGGAATCTTGTGTGTTATCGATTTGTGACGTTTTGGAAACATGATTACCTTGTACTGCACAAGAGTTTGGACAATCAGAAATGCTAAATTCTGATGGCTTCAACTGCGTGTATGAGGAGTAGACAGATGACATTTTACAAAATTACACGGCAGTCGATTTTGTGCTGTCTTCCTTTAGGACAAAAATCAGGAGCTGCAGCACTGCTGTACAGCGGTGGTATGTTACGGCAGCCAGCGCTGACATCAGCGATGTTGACTGCTATGCCGTGATTGTATTAAATACTTCCGTAACGGATAGAAATCAATCGCTGCATTGTCCTGAATCTGGAACCCTAGTTGAGTTGCGCTCCGGAAGAACTGGGCAAGGAGTTATTCGTACAGCGACCGTCAGCCCAGAATATCAGTATGGTATCCTTTTACCGAAAATCACAGACGCATCGTCCGGCTGAATATATGTAACGTAGCATGCCGCTAATTCGTGGCACTCAGGATCATGGTAATCTCATCTGCAGTGCGCTGTACTTGCAGGAAATTTAATCTTCCATTGTATACCCGGCAACTGTGCGGGAGAAAACTTAATAAGCCGTGTTCCGGTATGGGTTTCTGATTACAGTAAAATCTGCATTAGTTTTGTCGCAAACAGCGGCTTGCGCGGCGTTCCAGACAATCGGCACCAATTAGCAGCTGCATGCATATCGAGTTTATATAAGTCAGTCACACGCAGTAGGTGCGGCCTATGGGAGAACGAAAACTCAGGCACACTTTATTGAATCCGTGGATTTATTGTTGGACTGACGACTTTGACACAGTCCGCATTTCCATTATTAACAATTTAACCCCTTCGGAGATAACGATTTATTAGTTACTGCCGCCCGTGATTGAAATACGGTAAGAACTTTTGGAACTTATTTTGAATTCTCTTGGGCTGAAAGATCTTGTTTTTATGGTCTTATTGTTATTTCTTGTTGTTATAGTCTTCTCTAATAGAATACTGCGAAATGACCGAGGAAAAACCTACTTCCCCAAAGATCAGTGTGACACTGGCGGTTCTAATTCTATGCAGGTAAACGTTATCGAAATTCTGCCTTTGCCTCTCTGTGTGTGGCTGTGCCTTCTCGCTTCTCTCGCTAAAGTAACGTTAACTTTAAGAGATTTAATATACCAAGGAGCCTAGGAGGAGTAGTCGCTTTCGAAACAAAAAATATGTGATTGACAACCAAATGACGTTCGTATGCTTCTTCTTGAAGTTTGTTGAATTCCATGGCGTCAGCAGTTTTCTTATTTTTCCAACAAAAATCTATCCAAAGATTTTTTGGTTATTTTACGTTACAGTTTCTTTTTGTAATATAAAGTAAAGGTCGTATTTCTCCATATTGCTACAGTAATGCTGTTTGCTGTCAGAAAAAGATACCATTCCTGTTTTCAGCGTAAAGCTGTGGATAACTTATAAGCAGAAGACGCTGCTGGAACAACGCCTTGCTCTTAAGCTTGAATTATACGCACACTCTACGATCACGAACCAAACTTCCGAACCGGATAGTGGCTTCCAGAGCACGCCGGAGCCGCTGCAGCCAATTACCGATGAGCCAATGACCACACCGGTTCCTGTCAGCAATCGTCCACGCTTACTGGACCGAATCCGGAGCATTGCAGTTACACACGGCACACCGACAGATTCGTCCGTCCGCTGCTGCCCATGTGTTCAACAGGTTGACTGTGCTGGTAGCCGTCCTGGGGGTGAAAGCGATCGGGATGTGCATTAAGCAGTCTGCGATTGTCGCACTGATCATCCTGATTGCCTTGGCGGTGTTCAACTAGTATACCAGGATTATGACACTCAATCCCGGTTACTCGATCTGCTAGACTGCTACTCACATGCTTAATTAGTGAATAACGTATTGTATCAGTTAGTGACCCTTCCCGAATTACACGCCCACCCGAAACGAAGATTTCTTGCCGTACATTTATGACCTTTATGATCTCGTATAATTATACACTCATTATTTTTTAATAATCATACTCTGTACTTAATTTGTTTTTAAGTAAGGAAAAATACTGTCGATAAAAACGTTTTACTTCTTAGAATGGGAATGATTGAATACGAGCTATGCAAAACGCTCGTCCTTTAAGCGTGCGTAAGCAATAAAAACCCCCTCCTGAATAAAAGCCCTACCCGAAATAGAAAAATCATCCGAAATCCTTACCAAAAATAATAACGCTGGGTCAATAACTGATAAATACGTTATTTTACAACCTAGTACTTGTTCGAACAAAAATCAATGATCTTTAGCCGCTATTAAATTTCGCTACTCCTCCTATCAGTTTCCACTTTCAAAGACGGTAAAAATCTGCTGTTTGTTTTGGTCTTGTTTTCTTATAATATTATGCTGAATGAATGATACTGTTAAACGCCCGTTACCTGTATAAGTGTATACTGTATGTATGCCTAATGGTCATTCCTGCTCGCCTATTCGTTATACATGTATCTGTTCCTTCTACTTGCCTCCAGGCACTCGCATACAGCCATCTCACCGCATGCTGACCGATGGTTATTCCACAGCACTTCACTTTTCCTTTCTGCCAGTTGATGAATAAAGTTACAAAAGGGACAGACTGCCGGTCTGCTAAGCGTACGCCTACACATACATTTAGTAGCCACACGCTTCAGTACATCACAATATTATACAGATATACATCACAATATTCCATATAAGTAATAAGTACAGAATACATATAGACCCTGTAAATGCAGATTGTTGTACACATTTACGCCCCTTTTGTGCACCTTATTCACTTCGCAAAACTTTTATCTGTCACGAAATGTCTGCTTTTAAAGAACCGGCCTTGAAACGATTTTCTTACTGTTTGCGATTACCTGTTTTTAGCGAAAACGATAGTTGCATATTTTTTCTGTCAGTTGAAATATTTAGGCTCTCTTCTACCGGTATTTAGGTATTTTTATTGCGTGCAACAGTAGCAGTTTCTGTGGCTACTCACAATACGCGTACAGAAAAGAAGTACTGCGTAGTATGTAACGTACATATCTGAACGCATTTGTAAATACGTTAATAGCGAACAGAAAAAGTTTCAGAATAGTAAGTAATAAGGCTTTTAACCGGTAGCGTTTAACTGGTATGTCTTAAATTTATGACTGCGAATAAAAAACAGTGTAGCATTTTGTCCTAGATACTTTAGACGTGGGAACATAAAAATTTTGCCAGAGGTCAAGGGTCATACTTACCGTCTAATCGCCAATCAGAATTACTACGCATCCTGGCGTACAACAAATTCTCATTTTCTCACACGCCGACATGTGAGTGTGCCAACTCAAGTCGCTAAACGACTTCTGAAACACATTGTGCCGCACTTTCCAGGTTCTTGTGGTAAAACATATGCTGAATAAACTAGGAAAAATACGCTTGCTACTGGTAAAGTCTTGTTTAAGCGCCAAGCCTTTAAAAATGTTCCGCCATAGCTTTGGATATCGATTAAAGAACCAGCCATTCGTTATACTGTTACCCATATTCCTGGCGTCGGAAAGTTTGTTTCTAGCTGATTGTGAGACATGCTACATAAACCGACAGGAAAATTAATTACAGTTGAAGCGTAATCTGTATTTTGGTTAACTTTGGCGTTCTCACAGAATCACACTTCGCAGGTGTGATGGACGACTTGGAAACCGAATGCAGTGAGCCTGCCCGATCCCGAAGTGAAGCGCCACTGCCTGTTACTTCATTCCGCACGGATGGTCTTACACGAGCAGAATTTTGTCTGCGCTTCGCTAAAGAAACAAGCTGCAACCAAGTAATGTTCGGTTCCACATATGAATTCAGTAACTGCAACAACGCCACCGACAACGAGATACGAGCACATGCTTGGGGGCATTTTATTGATAAAACATATATCGATTTCAACTGTCCTTCAAAAGGTCGTGAGCATATGAAAGCAATAACCACCGCAATCAGTGGAATAAGTCAAAAGCGGGCACTAACGCTGGCACTTTACGACAGCACCGATAACAGGGCGACGGCACTTCATTACGAAGTCGTGGAACCGGTGCGCAGTCAGGTGATTCAACTGTCCGCACTTTACTGCAAAACACCAAATACAACAGCCAAAGTGTACGCGATGGGGATTATGCCCAACCTCCTATGCTTCCAGTTAGGCTGGTATTGTCATGGTTTGGTCATCAGAAAGATTGACTTTTCGCGAATGCCGCATGTGCGGGCCATTCAGTTCATCATCTCAACCACCATTGCGGAAATGGAACCATACACGTTCACCGACCTCAGTAACCTCCAGATCCTAACACTGGAAGATCAAATTGCTGGCGACCTGTATTCACGTGGAGAGAACGATCACGGTATGGCCAAGGGTTTCTTGCCAGATCATGTGTTCGAGCACATTCGTCGCTTACATTGTGACTGCTCGTTCAGCTGGCTCCGAAATTTCCTAAAGAAGAAACCGTACCTAATTATGGCAATGAAGAAAAGTCAGTTGATGAAGGTTGGGAGTTTCGAACTACCCGAGGACGACATTCGTGCCCCCGGAAGTTCCGCTAACGTGACATCACTCTCACGTCGTGAGCTGGATAATTTTCATATAACAATGGATATCATCCAAAATAAATGGTCGCCGGTGCTGAGTGTCAACTGTGCTCAAGCATTCAATTGGAAAAATACACAGGCTGGCAGTCAGTTCTCTTACAACACCTCTTGCTACAATTTGAATTGCTAACGTACCCCGTAGCTCAAGTGATCATGCTTGCTGTAAAATTAGCGCGAATTTGAAAAGCAGTTCTTCTGATTATTGCTTTTGTAATACAAAAATGCTTAGTGTTACAGTAATAACTGTCGTTCTGGGAATTATCTGGCGGTTGTTTGCATTAAAGACATAAAACTGCAGCTTGAAGTGATAGAACCGTTTCCGACCGATCGGCGATTTGTCTGACACGAAACAGGAAACTAAATTCACGGGACTTAAGAGGCGGTCATGGATCTTCAGTGCCACACATAACCTTAATGTCCCTGACCGCCTCTTAAGCCTCATTGTTGCTTAATGCAAAGAAATAGGAAGACAATTCAGCTTCTTCGCATCTTTTTATTCTTCCAAATGAATTTCCGGAAAATTCTGTTTAGAAAATACGCTGGTTTCTTCTTCGCTTTCATTCACTGTATCTCTCAGCAGAAAGATGTTGCGTGCACTAACGGTGTACTCGTTATCATACAGATCATTTAGTGATAGAATGCTTTTCCTCAGACAGTTCTTCGTGGAAAACTAATATTTTTGTTTATTTTTAAACCAGTGAAACCAGTTTAGCAACATAGCCTTTAGATATCCCTGAAGCCATTGAAGCAGCTGATAGGTATTAGGTACATTAACTTTAACCGGGAAATCAACAAATCAAATAAAAATTTATACACCGCGTGGACAATCTCTCGATTGTTTAGCGGCAGGTTCGGGATAAGAAAGAGGAATACTGGGATCTAAAATAATTTCGGATTCGTGTATATAAAAGGGATAATAATAGTAGGGAAAAAACTTTTGTGAGTGTATGAAAAACACGAGAGGTTGTGGGTGTTCCTTTACTTCAGTTGAGACCTTAAAAATTGCGCGTTTAGTCTGTAACTTTCCATAGGTTTACACAGTCATTTTGGCAGTAGTAATTTGTGTAGTAGTAATTTGTGTAGTTAAGAAAGTTGATTGCTTAATGGAGCGAACTATTATTTTTTGCACTGAGAGGCTTGGATGTGTAGTAACGGGTGGTTTGTACATGGGATGTAGGCTGGGACGTACATTAAAAGATTAAAAGGTTCTTTGAGAAAATGTTTGGTTTAATTGGTTTGTTGACTGGATTTTTTCAAATTTTTTGAGTTCGATGGGTATATTAAAAGTTGAGGAACGTTGTGTTGGAGTTATTATGGATTTGACGAAGTACATCCAGTGAGGAAAATGTTTTTGTTGGTTATTTTCTGGTGGCCGGTTCAGATTTTCGGAAGCGTACTGATTCAAGTTGTTGCGTTTTGTTTGGCTTTGGTCTTTTTAGGTTGAGTATAGTTTAGTAAGTTTTCTTTCATAGATAGTTTCTTTTAAGTATTGTTTTTTTAATAAAATAATGGAAACTGGTTGTGATCGCAAGAAATACATGCGTGAGTATGTGCGTGATTATAGAAAAAAACGGCAAAATGAACACTGATGGTAATTGTAGCAAGGAAGATGATGAAGTTGAGATGATGTTAGACATAAAAATGTAAAGTTAAAAAACAAAAATGTAAACTTAACAGGGTCAGCAAAACACAACAATTCAGGACAAAATCGTAAAGTACTGCTAAAGAAAAAATCCGGACAACCATTACACATTACCATACTCCGCAAATGTCGTTTAGCACCATTATAATATGCCTTTCTCGTGTAACCTTTCCAATTTTTGGATATAAAAACTTAGCAACACTTTTATTACCTAGTTCTTTCCCTTTACAGAAATTGTCATTTCTCTTTACAAAAATTGTCATTTTTAAGAACATACCTAACTAATCGTCCGTTCTACCTGATCGCGTTGATAATGGTTTAGAGCTCGAAAACGTATGAGCAATCTTTTTGAAACCTATTGTCTGCACTTAAAAGACGCAATTTAAAATATTTTTCAGGTGAAATACTATAAGGCCGATCATCAGTTAAACCACCATAACCAAACGGAAATAGAGTAGGACACGCTTTTTCTTCTAATCCAGTTTGTGATTTTAAGTCCCAGATTAAATTACAAATCGAAAAACACCTTATTAGAAATCAAAAGATCAAGCGCCTTATAGACAATATTAAAATCAACAGAATAAATGACTTTTCGACTACAATTATCAGAATCGTTTTTTTAGCCTGACATACAGCTAATAAACAATCTGTAGTCGGACGTGGTAGCAAACATTCGAAATTTTCACTAGGATCACTAGTTACATGAAAAATTGCCCTACACATTTTGTTAAGCTATTTTTCAAATGCAGTATTGTCAAAAAAGGCTGTACTAAACGCACTGCTTGGACTTCCATGTAACCAAGATTATTTAACCAGTTTTCTCTACCAATATCTAAACTATTCCGCCGTAAATCGTAAACACAAAAATTAAAATTTTTATGCTTATGTAGAGTCATACATCTTGCACATAGTCTAGCATCAGCTTTTAAATCCCAATGTAACATTCCTGAATTATCACCAATCAAATCAGATACAACTAAAATATTGCAACAATCGCACGGCACATAAACAACCATGACCTTTCTCCAATAATTTTTCCGAAACGTACCAGAAAACGCACCACCTTTAGTATTCCGATTACATTTTTGTTTTTAACTTTCACATTTTCATATCTACCACCATCACCACTTCCCACATTATCCTCCGTGCTACAATTACCATCAGTTTCTATTTTGCGTTTCTTTCTATAATCACGCATATACTCACGCATTTATTTCTTACGATCACAACTACCTTCCATTATTTTATTAAAAATAGAATTCTTAAACGAAAATAATGTATGAAAGAAGACTTACTAAACCATACTCAACCAAAAAAACTTACCAAAGCCAAACAAAAGACAGCAACCTGAATCAGTAAGTATCCACAAATCCACACCGGCCACCAAAAAATAACCAACAAGAAAAACATTTTACTCACTCCATATGCTTCGTCCGCTCCATAATAACTCCAACACACGATTCCTCAACTTCTTATATACCCACCGAACTCAAAAAATCCGGTCAACAAACCAGTTAAACTATACATTTTCTCGAACAACCTTTTAATGTACCTACCAACCTACTTCTCATATACAAACCACCTGTTCCTACACATCCAAGACTATCAGAGCAAAACATAATAGTCTGCTCCATTAAGCTAAAACTTTCTCGAAATTTCTTGAATTTTCCACAATAATCCGTCACCATCTACAACCCGCAACACACTCCACTTCCTGTAACACTTCATCAAACACTCAAATACGAACAACCAGAAAGTCAAATATATTTATACCATACTACAGTAAAACTCCCACTACCTTCGCCCTAATTCAATGTAGACCCTTTCTTCCTTACACTGGATTAGTACACCCTTTCTTCATTATCACTTTCGTCAAACATATCACCTTTAATATAATTCACTATATTATTAAATTCCTTATTCAGCACTTTATATTCCTACCCCTTATAATCTCCACATCTTAAGCCACGTTACCACGGCTTAAGCTGCAAGAAAAGCCGCGGACGAATCCCTACGCATAAATGCCTGAACGCCATTGTGAAGCGCAGCCTCGCATCGGCCGGCTTTGAAAGCGAACTAGAGCCACAAGGTATCTTCCTTACAGACAGCAAGCGCCCAGACGGCGTTACCTTGACACCATGGGAGAGAGGACGGATGTTGGCATGGGACGCAACGTGCGTCAATACAATGGCCATATCGCACATCGTCGCGACATCCGCACGAGCGGGAGCAGCAGCAGCACAGGCCGAGCAGGGCAAGATCGAGAAATATCGCGATATCGGCCAGGACTACCTATTCCGTGCTCTGGGCTTTGAGACGCTCGGACCACCCGGACCGGAAGCTGTCCGAACAATAACGGAATTCGGACAGAAAATACGTCAGCAAACCGGCGAAAAACGAGCCACGGAATATCTTCGCCAACGGATCAGTATCGAAATACAGCGAGGAAATGCTGCATCGATCATGGGGACGGCGCCGATGGGAGCGAATTTAGACCAAATTTTCTCTGTGATTAGGCCGCCGCTGTCGATTGATGCTTGATGAGTGATAGTTTCCGAAGCTTTTGTTAAAAGTGCTCGTGTTGTAATTTGTAATAGAAATTTAACAACATAATGATTCATTAATAAGGATATACGGTAGTACTACGGAGAACGAACACAAATTGTAGTAGTAATAATTTGTAGGCTGGTTATTTCGAGTTTCATCTGTGAATCTATGTACTAAAGACGATGCGTACGTTGAAAAAAAAAAAATCTCCACATTCAATGTGCTCCTGCAATGTACTCCTAGATTATGTAGGAGCGTATTGCAATGTGCTCCTACATATGTAGGAGCACATATATGTAGGAGCACATTGCAGGAGCATATTGGATTACGTTTGTTTGGATACTACAATTCCGTTTTCTCCTCCAAGAACCGATGCAAATGTGCTCCTACATAATGTACGAGTACATTGCAATGTGCTCCTACATAATGTAGGAGCACATAATGTAAACTAAAAAAGATGCCGAGCTAACAACGCCATCTACAACTTTCACGCAACGTTACTCGACTCATGTCACATGACTCATTTACATGGCTCATGTCACATGACTGTTTGGCCCCACCGCTTCCTTCAACCGGCCGGACCCTTCCGTACTCTACGGGCGCCAAAAATTACTTTTGTTTACGCACGGATATCGAAGACCAAAACCGAAACTACAGTTTCATATATGCTACGACTGATTCTAGTCGTATACCGCATATGAGAACCTGTCACGGTTCAATGAACCTGCCGCAAAATTAAACAATTAAATGTAATCATGCTCAAGCCGAAACTAAAAACATGCATAGGTTTACATGTATACGTCCACGATGCATATACGCTGTTCGTAAGTTTAATAGTTTAATAGTTTCATCTCGGTAGCAGGTAACCCATTAACCTGCTGTGTTTTGCATACACAGCATGGGAATTTAAACCTGACCGAACACAACACACGCTCATTATCAAACTCCGCTACAGAAGGCATATGATACAACACAGCTCAGAATTGCAAGCATTATTAGACCCATGCACTGGCACACTAGACAATGGCTAAGCATTGACATAAACGTGTATAAAGCACGCAGACTAAACGCTATAGACAACAAGATCCGTATCGTTCGGCCGTATCCGTAGTTGAATGAGGAATGGAGCGCAGGTGCTTTATCCTGATGCGACGAGCAAGTTGAACCATGGAGGATCCGTTTAAGCCCAGGCGTCGAAGAAACGTACACGCCACTCAGTACGGTCAGCGCTGATGCCGACTAACCACGTCGCACACAGCCTTGCGGGCCATACACTCGCAGCCTGAACTCAGAGTGGTCACCCATCCAAATCCAAACCGCGCTCGATGTAGACTATCTTTCAAAATCCGAAGATCCATGAAGTTAGTGCAAATAGTGAAATGCCTTGTTGGCACTTGGCGGCTTCTAGCTGGGAAATATCGACTTTGTCAAGAGCGATGCAATCACCTTCGTCGTTTGTGGTAGATACAGGTGGACCGGAGGCTATCTTGATATAGAATCTTCGCAGTAAACGCTTGCCTTTCATGATAAAACTTCAATCAAGCACGTTTAGTTTACAAATACAGTGGACCAGTGGAAGCGGCTTATTACGAAGGTATTGCTGGTCTCAGTAATACTAATCACTGAAGATGCACCATTATATTAACTATACCGTCTATACGTCAAAAATGCAGCCTCTACTAACATTGCTATCGATGGTTTTATTTCTGGCACTGCAAAATCCCTTGTTCGTACAATGTAAGGAATTTTAAAATTTATCTGAACATGCGATGAAATTCAGGCACGCTCTGGTTCACATTTCCGCTTGTAGGTTTAGTGGATGACTTGGAAAGCGAATGTAGCGAGCCCGCTGCTGCCCAAAACAAGCCGGTACCACCCACTGTGACGTTTCCGTTCCGCACGGATGGTCTTACCAGAGAAGAATTCTGCCTTCGCTTCGCCGAGAAAACCAGCTGCAATCAAGCTATGTTCGGTTCAACGTACAAATTCGACAACTGCAACAACGCAACCGACAGCGAAATTCGAGCGCATCCTTGGGGAGACTTCATTAAGAAGACCTACATTGATTTCAACTGTCCTAGTGAAAGTCGGGAGCACATGACGGCCATAACGAAAGCTATCAGTGGGATAAGCCCAACACGCGCACTAACGATCGCCCTTTACGACAACGCAGATGACCGATGGCTGGCTATTCATAATGACGTCATCGAACCGGTTCGAAACCAAGTTATTCAGCTGTCTGTCTTATTCTGCAAGACACCCAATATCACAGCCAAAGTGTATGCCATGGGACTGTTGCCCAACGTACTCCGTTTCCAGTTGGGTTGGTACTGCCATGGCCTGGTGGTAAGAAAAGTTGATTTCTCGCGGATGCCACAAGTGCGAGTGATTCAGTTTATCGTGTCAACTACCATTGCCGAAATGGAACCGTACACTTTTACCGATCTAAGCAACCTACAGATTTTAACACTGGAAGGCCAAATCGCTGGGGATTTGTATTCACGTGGAGAGAATGACCACGGGATAGCCAAGGGTTTCTTGCCAGATCACGCGTTCGAGCATATTCGTCGACTGCATTGTGACTGCTCGTTCGCTTGGTTCCGAAATTTCTTAAAGAAGAAACCGTACCTGACCGCTGCGATAGGGGAAGGTGAACTGATGACTGTTGGGAGCTTTAAACTTCCTGAGAGCGACATTCGGGATCCTGGAAGTTCCGCTAATGTGACGGCACTCACACGTCATGATCTAGAAAGCTCTAGCCTCCGATATCGCGTTATCGACACTAAGTGGTCGCCGGTACTTAGCGTCAATTGTGCTCAGGATTTCAACTGGCGAAACACCCAGGCCGGAATTCAGTTTTCCTACAACACCACTTGTTACAACATGGACTGCTAATGACACCACTCCCCGTACATCAGTCCGTTAGTCGACATGAGGATAGACTCTAAACGCTGTTCATGAGTTTAGCCTTTCTTTCGAAAAACATTATTTTCATTATACAGTACATGTTCCTGTGCTTTTATAGTCAGTTATGCAATTGGTTTTCCACTTTGCGACGGTCGTGGTTACGGTGCTGTTGTAGATTTTGTTAGAGAAGGACAATATTTCGCGAAACACGAAACAACGTTTCACGTAGGTATTTAACTGTTTTCAGCAGTTACACTTACACCATTAACTTAAATTGCGTACGATATTCCAGCACCGGGCGGTAGTCGTATACCGGTAGCAACTGGAAACACAACGTCGCAACATTGTGCACTCGGCGCGTGGCAATATCTGAGTTTAGTTAGAAAGGTCAAGGGTTAACCGAACTATCTAACCGGAAGATCACAATATTAACTTTTTCGACAAATGTCTCGGCCAGCTGCATACACCGACTCAAATTTTAATTGAGGCATGTCTGTGCTTCTCAATATAATTGTCTTCTCAGTATAATTGCCTAAAACTCCGCTTGCTAAGGTTTCCAGATTTTCCACGAGTATATCGCTAAATTTCTCCAAGGATGTACCGTCGTTGTACTTATCCGCTCGTTTTACTCCTATATGTATTTCTGATACTGGAAATTTTGTTTGCCGTTGAATGTAAAACATACAAAAATATTAAATTGTCGAAATTACGGCTACTCTTTGGTTCATCTTTCGGTTTGTAGGTGTGACGGACGACCTGGAAACCGAATGCAGCCAGACTTCTGACTCTCTTAAAAGTGAATCCGCACCATCCCTCATTCCATTCCGTACAGATGGCCTCACAAGAGCTGAATTCTGTCTTTCCTTTGCTAAACAGACCAGTTGCATTCAAGCGACGTTTGGCTTAACTTATAAAATGGACAACTGCAACAACGCCACCGACAGCGAAGTCTGGGCACATCCATGCAAAGCACTATTTAATAAAACATACATTGATTTAAGCTGTCCTACCAAAGAATGCGAAGACATGAAGACAATAACCACATCTATCAATATGATAAGCCCGACACGAGCAATAGCGCTGAAACTGTACGACAATACCGATGACAGATGGCTGGCCATTCATAAGGACATAACTGCACCGGTGCGGAATCAAGTTATTCAACTGTCAGTTTTCTTTTGCAAATCGCCCAACACCACTGTAAAAGTGTATGCACTGGGAATGCTGCCGAACGTTCTACACTTCCAGTTGGGCTGGTTTTGTCACGGTTTGCGGATCAGAAAAGCAGATTTCTCGCGGATGCCGCAAGTGCGAGTCATTCAGTTTACCATGTCAACGACGATTGCCGAAATGGAACCATACACTTTCACCGATCTGAGCAATCTGCAGATCTTGACACTGGAAGGTGAAATTGCTGGGAACCTATTTTCACGTGCCGAGAATGATCACAGTGAAGCTAGAAGTTCCTTACCAGATCATGTATTCGAGCACATTCGCCGCCTGCACTGTGCCTGCTCGTTCGCGTGGTTCCGAAATTTCCTCAAGAAAAAGCCGCACCTGACTGCTGCGATAAGGAAAGGTCAGTTGCTGAAAGTCGGGAGTTTCGTGCTGCCTGAGGACGACATTCGGGCTCCCGGAAGTTCCGCTAATTTGACAGCTCTCTCCCGTCGTGAGCTAGATAGCTTTAGTATATCGATCGAAATCTTTCAAAATAAATGGTCGCCGGTGCTAAGTGTCAACTGTGATGAAGAACTTAACTGGGAAAACACCCAAGCGGGTGATCTGTTCTCCTACAACACATCTTGCTACAACTTGAATTGCTAGTTTAACCAAACTGGCCTCTTTGTACTGGAGAATAGAGTGAACTTATTTCCTGATGCAGTTTTCCCGACATGTAGTTTTTTGTAATGAGAACAGATCAAAACAATATGTTGTTTAGTTCTACTCCTACCCGTAAAATACTTCCATAATAATACAGTATCACCTCGTTTACGTATTCGTACGTTCGGTGCTTTTCGACTTTTCGCAAAGAAGACAGCCGAGCGTTGGGCTTCTTTGGATACGGCCGAAAAGATAGGATTATTTAACAGATTCCGAACGGCACCATCTTTCTTACAGACCCCCTCATCGCCTTCCACATGCATTTTCGTCTCCCTGTATGGATTATGATTTCCCTAATCAGCTTTTCCTAATTATAATCGATATTTTGCTGTTGAAAAATAATTTTATCTAGTTACCGTTTTTATTTAACGACGGCTGCTGTTATGCGGTGTAGGGAAACGCATATTTCGTTACCATCAAAATTATGTAATTAATTCTACTGTAATTTAATATTGTTCCTTGTTGTAATGCAGTGTGTAGTGTGTACTGTATATAAGTGAATGTCAGCAATGTTTGTGTACCATACAGCCCACAGCACAAGTCACGTAATGAATTACGAGCGGCATGGAAATACCAGCATAAAATTAAGCACACTGATTCAGTGGGCATGTGATTGTCTCAAAGTCATGGGTTGGGCCTCGTTAGTAAAAAAATTTGGCTAAGATCTCAGCAGATGTATAGCCGTTGCCAGTTTTAAATACCAGTAATGTTAAAGGCAAAACCGGTTTTGCCAAACGTTCTGCGTTTTCAGTTGGGCTCGTATTGTCATGGTTTGGTAATCAGAGAAATCGATCTCACGCGGATGTCGCAGATGCGGGTCATTCAGTTCACCATGTCAACTACCATTGCCGAAATGGAACCGTACAAGTTCACCGATTTAAGTAATCTGCAGGTCTTAACACAGGAAGGCCAAATCACCGAAAACCTATTTTCACGTGTAGAGAACGATCACGACTTCGCTAGGGGCAACTTACCAGATCACGTGTTCGAGGACATCCGGCGCTTGCATTGTGACTGCTCGTTCTCATGGTTCCGTAATTTTAAAAAGAAAAGCCGTACCTGACTGGGGCGATAAAGAAGGGTCAACTGTTGAAAGTCGGAAGTTTCTTTCTGCCTAAGGACGATATTGCAGCTCCTGGTAGTTCGGCGAATGCGACTGCATTCACAATCACGGCCAAAAAATCACTTATATCAAAAAGGAAAAAAGGATGAAGTACGCACTACTAGGGTCACAATGCTTATCATTAAAAATGTATGGTCGCCGATGCTCGGCGTTGACTGTGAGCGGAAATTACAGTAACTGGAGAAATACACAGGCCGTCGATCGATTCCTACAATACTTCTTGCTCTAATTTGGATTGTTGAACAACTGTTTATGACGATAAATAAAATGAGATCGCAGATCGCAGAAAGACAGAAACTTAATTTTATTAATATGTTTACCTTGTTTATTGTCGCCACAGTGTTTTCGTAATAAATCATTTATAGCACTACAAAAATATTACTGTTTATTAATATGCGAGTAGAGATCTCCCTGTCAAGGTTGGTGGAGGCTAATTTCTTGAGATATTGTTTTTGCCGCGAGAGCCGTGGTAATTTATGCACCGCGTGCACTTGCACTTGCACTTGTACAGCATTCTTTGACGGGGAATTTTAACTCTTGCGCAACATCAAACGTTGCACGTAACGCTAAGCTCCCGGCACTTGAAATAACACTGTACGTAGTCGGCGGATAACAATAAACATTTGTTAACAGTTTGCTATCTACACTGTACGTAAAAAACTATAGTATAGTGCTAAGCTTCCAGGTTTCCTTGCAAGTTTTTGTTCACATCGACTAATGACAGTGGTTCGTTTTAATTTAATACTTATACAGTAATTGTCTCAAAACACGAGTGACACTCAATATCGCACCAACATACAACACCGCTGCTATTTTTGATTTTGGGATCAACATTACTCACCGGATCATCAAAAGTTTAACGAGCAAACTCAACACTAGTTTTCCAATTCTTTTTCTTCCAAAGATTTCCAATTTTTCACTGATAATACTTTACACTGCACGGTTATTTCGTTCAGGCAGCAGTTTACGTTATAACAAGAAGTGTTGTAGGAAAACTGACTTCCGGCTTGTGTGTTTCTCCAGCTGATTCTTAGGCACAGTTGACACTGAGCACCGGCCACAATTTAGGTCGAATGACGCCTGTTGTCACAATAAAGCTGTCTAATTGCGGGCTTGTGAGTACTGTCATATACGAGGAACTCCCAGGTGGGATAATGTCATCCTCGGAAATTGCGAAACTTCCAATTGTCATTTGTCATCAGCTGTATCTTTCTTCTCGCCAAAGTCAGATAAGGTTTCTTCTTTAGGAAATGCCGGCACCAAGCAAAAGAGCAGTGGCAAATTGGCAATGCAGCCGACGAATGTGTACGAAAACGTGATCTGGCAAGAAACCCTTGGCGACGCCGTGATCGTCTCAGCGCGTGAAAATAGGTCTCCAGTAATTTTGCCTTCCAGGGTTAAGATCTGCAGAGCGCTTAGATCGGTAAACGGTGCGGATGTGTGCGGATGTGTGCGGATGAATCGGATCGGATGTGTGCGGTTTAATTTCGGCAATCGTAGTGGACATGATGAACTGAATGATGCGTAATTGCGGCATTCGCGAGAAATCGGCTTTCTTGATTACCAAACCATGACAGTACCAACCTAACTAAAAATTTAAGAGGTTTGGCAGCATTCCCATAGCGTACCTTTGGCAGTGGTATTCGGCGTCTTGCAATAAAGTGTGGACAGTTCGATCACCTGGTAGCGAACAGGTTCGACATCGCGGTGAATGGCAAGCAACTGGTCTTCGGTGTTGTCGTACAAGGTGAGCGCTGATGCTCTCGTCGGACTTATTCCACTTAAAGCCATCGTTATTGCCTTCATTTCCTCGCGACCTTTATCGGGACAACTGAAATCCATATACGTCTTATCGAAAAAAAAATCCCCATGGATGCGCACGTATTTCACTGTCGGTGGCATTATTGCAGTTTTCAAATTCGTACAATGAACCGAGCATAATTTGACTACAACTAGTTTGTTTAGTGAAACAAAGACAGAATTCTGCTCTGGTGAGACGATCCAAGCGAAATGGGTAATTTATGTGCATGATAGGTGATACTGCTTTGCTTGAACGAGGGACAGTTCACCGCATTCATTTTCCAAGTCATCCGCCATTAAACCTACAAATGCGATTTACATACGATTATGATTGAAGTCTGGAGTTCGAATGTGAATCCACGTGTTTATAAAGTGTCTTACATTTAACGGACATGATTTTTCCAGCCCCGAAAGTACATATATAGAAGTACTTGTACAGATAATTGTGGATACTGACAGCTCCTTTTGTATACGGCGAATCTCACTCGGAATCATTTTTCGCTAATTTCGGACACATATTTCGGAAATGACGAAATGCCTCTCTTTCGAACTCACTTTCTAACTGGTGTACATCCCGAAGAAATATACTTGTATTTTCATCAAAACTGCGCGTCAGTTGCTCTGCACCAACTCTAGAGCAAATTTGCATGCTGCCTAAATACTGATACCTAAGGCCTCGTCTCGAATTCGAAGCGAATCTAGCTTCGGTATAGTTGCTCGACCGTACGAGGTGGCTGTATGCAGTGGCCACGCCTACAGATACGGTACGCGAAGCCACCTCGCGAGGTGGAGTTGCTGTATCGCAACAAGATTCGCTTCGAATTCGGGACAAGGCTTAACTCTCCTACAAAACTGGTTTACGATTTAACGAGTTATCTAAAGTGATTTAACATAATGATAACCTTTCGCGAAGCGCAACGAGATGTGTCCGATAGTATCTGCTTACAAAAGCTCAGTTTGCAAGTCAACTGTAATTGTCGGAAAAGGCCTCCTTACCTTCTGCTTTTCCTTGGTCGATGCTATATCGAAGTCATGGACTATGTGTAGTTCGTAGTAGGTACTGTATAAGTCTTTTATGAAACTTTTATCTTGTGGAATGCAGATGCAGCAGGTGTTATTGCATATTGGGGATACTTGCAACGATAAAGCTGATTTTAAAATCAACTACGTATAAGGCATCAACATGACAGTAACCGATGTCTCTAAATGGTAACTAGAAATTCTGTCGGTTGGACGTGTCGCTTTAAATGCAAGTTAATAATTTAAACGTTTTTAAGTAATTTTCATTGCTCGGTAAATGAGTAACGGGGCCAGTCGCTCCATTTCCGACCTGAACTGACATACAGCTTCGGTTAAAATGTGGAGACTCTGATCGCAGCGGAAAGCAGTTTTCAAAATTAGTATGCTTTGTTTTGCAACACCACGCTTTATATAGGCTTTCAGTAGAGGTTTGTTACATCTGTCATATTTGTAAGTTTTATGTCACCATCTATCCCACAGTCTCTTTATTTATTCTATTCATTTTGGTTTTCCAGCTGCAGATTGTTTTTTATGTAAATATTTCTGATTCATCATACTCGTACAGATACGGTTTATGTGAGCGTATATTGACATATTCATCGAATCACGAAGTGTAACATTAAATTGTTAATTCTTGTAACGCAGTGCGCACTAAATTAATGGAATCAAGCAGTAGTACAGATACAAGTATTTTCTACCTGTAATGCAGAGCAATCACTGCTAGGTATTTATTATTTTGCTGAGAGTTGATAATTGATTGCAGAATATTATTTTTTGTCGGCTGCATTGTACGGTAAATACTGCGCGCAATGTACTCGTATAATGAGTTGTACTGCGCACAATGTACTCGATCGTTTAGAAATTAATAATTATTCTGTTAAATAATCTAATAATCACGCTTGCGATGCCTGGAGGTCGTAGGTTGGGCCTTGCTGGTCTGGAAATTAAAGCTAGTTTCCATTAGATCGTTTGTGTCGGTCGCCATTTATCACTTTTATAAGAAGACAACGTATACACTATACAGTCACTAGACTATTATACAGTGTAGTTGTACACCAGCTAAACTCGCTGACAAGAGCGCGTATAATTTGTATAGGTGCCATCGCCATACAGGTAAGTACAAGTACATACATCTGGAACAGCAACTACAAGTACATTAGGCGTCATAATTGGCAGTATGGCAACATTATTTCAAGAAACACAAATGTCTACGATGCGCCAGGCGGATTACGAGTATAAAGCCAGTGGAAACCTGTTTCCATTGCACGCTAATTTTTTGTTTTCCGATCAGTCAGCTACGTACTTCTCCTGCATTCAGACGCTCCGTCCATATTTCACTGCATCAACGCACCATGCTTTACAAGGCGGACTCTTTGCATCGGTTAGAGATGCACGTTGTTTGTGTATTAGTCTCCGTCCTTTTGGTGCTGGAAGGATCATCATTGGTGGAATGTAAGAAAAGCTATGGTGATATTTTCTTCCTTATCATTTCACTTACGATTTTTTCCGCAGGTTTGGTGGACGAACTGGAAACGGAATGCAGCGAGCCTGCCCGTTTTAAGAGCGAAGCGGCACCACCCACTGTGACCTTCCCATTCCGTACGGATGGTCTCACCAGAGCAGAATTCTGTCTGCGTTTCGCTAAAGAAACAAGCTGCAGTCAAGTGATGTTCAGTTCAACGTATCAGTTTGACAACTGTCTTAATGCCACCGACCAGGAAATTCGTGCGCACCCTTGGGGACATTTTATTGAGAAAACGTACATCGACTTCAACTGTCCGGAAAAGGTTCGGGAGCATATGATAGCAATAACGAAAGCCATTAGTGGAATAAGCCCAACGCGAGCGATAACGATCGCTTTGTACGATAACACCGACGATCGATGGCTTGCAATTCATAATGACGTCATCGAACCGGTACGAAACCAGGTTATTCAGCTGTCTGCCTTATTCTGCAAGTCACCCAATATCACAGCCAAAGTGTTTGCCATGGGATGCTGCCAAACGTTCTACGTTTCCAGCTGGGTTGGTACTGCCATGGTCTGGTAATCAGAAAAGCCGACTTCTCGCGTATGCCGCAAGTGCGCGCTGTTCAGTTTATAACGTCGACAACGATCGCCGAAATGGAGCCATATACCTTCACCGATTTGAGCAATCTACAAATCCTCACCCTGGAAGGCGCAATTGCTGGGGATCTGTATTCACGTGCAGAGAACGATCACCCTGAAGCTAGGGGTTTCTTGCCTAATGACCAGTTTGAAAACATTCGCCGTCTGCATTGTGACTGCTCCTTCGCCTGGTTCCGGAATTTCCTAAAGAAAAAACCATACCTTACTGCTGCGATAAAGAAAGGTGAACTCCTGAAGGTTGGGAGTTTTGTGCTACCTGAGGACGATATTCGAGCTCCGGGTAGCTCGGCTAATGCAACTGCACTCACTGCTGACGATTTACGCAGCTTTAAGGTCTCGATGAGCGTCATCCACAACGAATGGTCACCGGTGCTTAGCGTTGATTGTGCGCGGAAATTTACCTGGAGAAACACGCAGATCGGCGATCAGTTTTCCTACAACACTTCCTGCTTTAATTTTGATTGCTGAATCGTTGGTGGTTTGCAAAACAAAATGTACGAGTATGCAAAGAGACCACATACCCGTAGACAGTGCCCTAGACCTGTAATAAAAACTGGCAGAGCACGTAAGCATATTGATGACGCATATTATCATCCCGCGAGAGGACTTGTTAACAATTCAACTTCCAAATTTTCCAGATAATTTAAGCAGCGATATTCAGAAATGCAGCACAAGTTTTGTTTTGCTCAATACCATATCAGACATCAGAATGTTGACTAAATGCTTCTTTTTAGAAGACTGACAAAAGTCTGACATCTGATGTAAGCGTGTGGCAACGCATGTCGGCGACCAAAATATTTTCTTTACAGACACGTTTGGTACGTTTTATCGATGATTAGTGCGAATAGTTACACCATGACCGGCTGGAACTGAATGTATTTGATAACTACCCCATCAACAGATGAATAGCGATTTAAAATAACTCAAAATCCACGTGATAGTTTTTACTTTCGCAAAAGGAAATGCAACTTTACCGCTTTTGCAGGGCAAAATAATTTACTGATTTTGTATAGAAAGTTCTACTAGGGTAAATTGTCATTAAATTCTGTATAAACGATTACTACTTTCTTAAATACCTTAGGAAACGCTTAAGCAGATCGCTTTGAACCAAGCTAGCTCGTAACTTATATGTGCTGAACTTTAAAAAAAATGCATTAATGCTAAAATTTTATTCTAATAATTTTAATTTATCGACACTTGATTTTTTGGTTTTAACACTTCAATATTGTATGTATATTTTAATTTCCGTATTATTATTTGTTTTAATATTTAATGTTTTAATGTTTATTTCTTTCTGTTTTTAGAAAAGTAGTGCACAATGATTTAATTTATCACTTTCAAATGCACGTTTTTATTTTTGGTATGTTTGGCGTCGGATATACGGAAATCTCCACCAGCTTGTTAAGCGTTAAGATTGTGTTTCGGGTTTAATTCTCGCGAGAGTTTGTAGTCTGTACGCCTTTATCTACTTGGCTTAGCGTTATTAGTCAGCGAACGATCAGGAATCGAGGAGAACAAACTCGCAAAGGGGAAACATTTCACAATGGATATTAACATGTTAAGACGTAAGGGATCCATTTCTTCCATTAGCTCCTTCTTTACAGCGTAATATGCACGGCATGAGTTCCATTCAGCCAGTTCCGGTTTACAGAGTATTCGGCACATTGCTATACCGGCTGAGCGCTAAAATAAGCGCTAAATAATGCAATCCTACAACACGTCTGTAATATCTGTAATACAGGATCTTCAACTTCTGACGGAAGACGGAAAGGATAGCTCCTTATTCACTAAGACTCAATCAGAGTAAAGTGTACTACGAATACTACTACGAAAGCTTAGTGTTCTAACGAAGCGTGCAGACGCGTTGTTTTTTTGGCAACTGAAGGATCAGTGCCACTTAAGATAAATATTTGTAAATTAGGACAACATACCTATATCGAATTCTATATTGAAAACTGGAAATGTTTCTCGAAATCACTCGACAAAACCTCTCTGTAAATGTATCTACTTTTTTAATTTTCACTGGGAATCAGCATCCAAATAATACAACCGCTGGATTTTTTACCAGCATTTCGGTGACCTCTTCCATCTTGAACGGCTTTCTGGGATTCTCCATCATCGCCACAATTATCTCTAACGGATTAATCATTGCGGCTTACTGCAAAGAGCCCACACTGCGCAGCAGTTTCAACGCCCTCATCTTCAATTTATCCGTCGCCGAAGTCTTGTTTGCCGCTACCGGGATGCCCTTTAATTTTATCCGTGGTAGCTACGGTTATTTCCCTTACAGCGCGTCTGTCTGCACCTTTTCTTTATACTGTATCAACATCTTCGGGACAGCGGTGCGGTATGGCCACGTTCTGATCAGTGTCAACCGGCTGTGGGCGGTGACGCATCCCGTGCACTACCGGCGCCATCTTAGTTTGCGTTTTACCTATTTTACCATTATGGTGATGTGGATGGCGGTCAATGTGCTGTGGTTGCCGGTGTTGGTGCCGGGACGCATGTGGCCGCTGCCGAAAGATACGCAGTGTTTGATTAATGTCACATTCCAACCAGATGCAGCGTCGGCTGTGGAGCTGTTGCGTTTTGTCACGACGGAACTGGTGGTGATCGTATTAAGTGCAGTTGTGCTACATAAGATTCGCTTGCGTCGAAAAGCCAAGACGGAGATCGGCATGACTACGCGGAGCATCCCAACTAGAAACAGTAATTGCTTCAAAAAAACCTGCCTCCTTTTAATTACATTTTTTAAAAACCTTTCTGTCAAGCAGTAAAACTGTTACTCTAGACTATACAAAAAGAGAAGCCAGGTATGGATTAAAATAACTGCATGCATGGCAACAGAGTCAATTTGTAAAGTGGATATTCTCATTGAACCTGACAACATCAATAACTGGATAAATTCATAAATAGTTGTATAGAAACTGATTGCTTAAGCATTTGTACTACGAGTACATTGCATATTCATATCTATATGTCTACCGTTCGTACATTGCATATACAGGGACGCAGACGTGCACACTGCACAACGGCTGGTTTTTGCTTAATTTAAGTGGTCGCTCAAGGCAATTGCAGCTTTTCTCGCACTTTTCTCAAAAGCGGCACGAAACAAGAATGATCGTTTTGCTGATTAAATTTAATGAGCCTGTGGTTAATTACTTTGATTAATTACAGATACACGAGAGAAAGACGACCCGGTAACGAAGGGCAGAGACGACCCGGTCACCGGGAACAAAAGCGGAGCGACAGTTTCCGGTAGCTCCTCCATGCCACCGCGTACAACTCAGCGCAAGCAAAGCGCACATAACCGCGTGTTAGGCTATTTAGTGGTGGCGGTTATTATCTGCTGGACACCGAACTCCGTCTACTGGTTACTGGTTGATTTCCTGCACTACTGGAATCCGACATTTTTAGCCATTCAATATTTCGCATTGTACGCTAATTCTTGGATCAGCCCGATTCTGTGCTATATCGCCCTGAGGGATTTGCGAAGAGCCGTTAACAGACTGGTGGTCTTCCCTCAATTAGCCCGCTAGATGTCGTTGCGCCCACATAACTATGCCTGAAACTAGTAAAACGACCAACAGCTTCTCCTATCCTGAAATCTGAAGCACAACAACCTCTACTCGTAGACGCGTGCGCGTGGGTACCTGTCTCACCATACCGCAGCGGAAGCGGTCTTATTTTTATACCAGTGACCTTAGTCGTGTAATCCTTTGGCTTCAGTAATTAATGCCGCTCCGAGTGCCGAAAGAGTGGAGACTGCTTGACGTCAATCCGTCGATACATATATATAATATTCTCGTTAAATACGAATTGACAAATTTCTCGCCGGGCGCTTCGTGTTTTACTCCGTTTTACTGTTTTACTCTGTTTTACTCTTTATGCTTTCTCGTTAGAGCAATTCCATGATATGCGTACACCCTTAATCTTGTGTAAGATTTCAGCACAATAAATGCGGGAGTAACTGTTCCGTTAAATGGTTACCCCTCATCGGGCTGAAGCGTAATTGTGATTTGTGACAAAATATAAAATTTAGATCAGGTTCATCGATATAGCATGCAGCATATGACGCAAAACATGTTCTCGTAAATGATCACTTCACTGCCAGAGCGTAAATGCCCACTCACTTTCCATAAAAACTGACTTGTGGAATTGGTTACATGGCTCGATTACAAGACACCTTCCCGCGTAGATTACGTCTTAATTAATATTTTATGTTGGAAAACGTAAACGATGTGGCGATTTATTTATAAGCCTTAGCAGAACTGACAGCGATGCACTTAGCGAAAGATAGCGATCCCTCTCATCAAGCGCACTTAGTTATCACCCCCTCCCGACCAAAACACTGGTGGAGGTTGTTATGACCCACAGGAAGGCCCACAACACGGCTGGTAATGGCTGAGCACAATAAGGCCGCGCTTCGTAAACAAGTGGGTCTTCTGTTCCCCGGAAGCAAGCTAATTGCAGGCCAGGGGATGTTCTGCGGGGTTAATTAGACGTGTACTGCCTGCGCCCTCTAATGCAACGGATGCAAGCATATATAAATACACGCATAGTCACGCTCAAGCCGGGCAAATTTTCCCGAGCCAAAACGTTTTGCGCATAGTTTACAGCAGTTGATACACAAAATGGCCGATAATCAAACGACCTTAATGGTTACTAATGCCACAAACCATACCCATGGGCACTCCACTCCCACTTCGGCGGTGTCTGTTTTAACCGGATTTCTCGGCTTCTCGATTGTTGCCTCAATACTCTTCAACGGCATTATTGTGCTTGTGTATATTAAAGAACAGAATCTGCGCAACAGTTTCAATTCCCTTATCGTGAACCTCTGCATTGCCGAAGTGCTTCTAGCGACCATGGGAATGCCGGGTAATTTTTTCCGAGGTTTGTACGGATATTTTCCTTTTAGCAATGCGGCATGCACGTTTTTTCTGTACGGCAACAACATTTTTGGGAGTGGTGTGCGGTACGGACACGTGCTGATCGCCTGCAACCGTTTATGGGCCGTGACCTATCCCATACATTATCGCAAGCATCATAACGTGCGGGTGACCTATATGACCATTGCGGTGGTATGGTTATGCGTCAATATACTGCATCTATCGTTGATTGTTCCGGGACGAATATGGAAGAAACCAAACGATACGCAGTGCGTCGTGAATGTGGAGTTTCAACGGAAAACCGCACTGATGGTGGAAATATTGGGTTTTACGGTCACCGAATTTATTGTGATTGCGTTAAGTGGGTTCGTGTCATTCAAGATTCACAAGCAGAATCAGATTAAAGCGGAGAAGAAGGCGGTTTCGACGGCTGGGGCGATGCCTGGTAAGACCGGTACTTTTGCACATCACCACATCTGCACTACGCTTTTTTGAAGTGCACATAATTATTAGTATTTCTACCTTGTTCGCATTTCGGACATTTTACTGGAGTAACAGACATGCCAACGAACTACTGCATTTTTATGCAGGTCATGTGCTTTCACATGCTTTAAGAGTTATGAGTATAATAATTATCGCTAGATTAATTTTCTAAAGGTTTCCTGTGAATGCATGCTGGAAATTTCTTGCCTTTGGCATCCGAAATGCAAAAACATATTATATGTACGCACGTGTCGGAAGAGTGCTAAAACATCGAATTATTCTGAGATGCGAAAACTGTAGAGGTGCTGGACATTTAAAAGTACTAAGAACCTATAGGTTTCCAAAACTTTTATTAACTCTGGCTTGCAGTTTTAATTTTGTGGCTGTTCAGATTGCTTTCTAAAGATATTTTATTTGTAGGTTACACTTCCAAACACGAGCAGTCAGTGGCGGCAAATGCCGGCTCAGTAGAAACTAATGTTACTGCTGGACCGGTTTCCCATAGTCAAGCGACAACCAGTCAGAAGAAAGGTCGGGCGAAACACGGTAGTAGTACTTCACATAATCGTGTACTGGCGTATCTCGTGGTGGCCATAATTTTCTGCTGGACCCCAAATCACGTGTACTGGTTGCTGGTGGATGCGGTAGGCTACTGGAATCAGACTTTTTTAGCGGTGCAGTTCTTTGCCGTCTATGCCAATTCTTGGATAAATCCCATTCTGTGCTATGCGGCACTCAAAGAACTGCGGAAAGCGATTAACAAAATGTTGCGCGTGGACAAATATTTTGTGCATTAATAATCATTTCTTATATTTGTACAGATACAAACTGCACAGCTATTTATAGACAGCCGTTAAGCATACTGAGGACTGATATCGTGTGACCTTGCATTGTACTCTGTATACGGTATTATGGAATTTTTTCACTGCCATTTGTCGTGCATAATAAATTTCTTATGGAGTTTGTTGTCTGTTTGATATCTGCATGCATTTTCAGTTTCCTTGAATGGATGAGCTGCAAATTAGTGAAATTACAAGTATTATTCAAACGGCAATGTTGTCTTTCGGAAACGGCATATTCATGAGATGCGCAGTAAACAAAGTCAGAAAAGATACTTTCCGAAGGCCCTCTAACTTGTTTCTCGTGCCGCACAAGAATCCTATTTCCGCCGACGCACCGACGCATTAATCATATAGAGTGGTCATTCAAGGAACTTTAATTTGTATGTCTCACTAATGAACTGGAGAAAATCAATCATCGTTGTGCATTCCGGGTGAATAGTAAATGGCATCTGGTTACCGCGACTGCACAATAACCGCACCGCATGACAGCAATTATCCGCTGTTAATTCTAAAAAAGAGGCGCAGGTTCACCACTATGCTGTCATGCATATAGTTCCGTATCGCAGAACATGCAAAATTCTACAGCAGTTAACTCTACGACACCCGCTTAGAGTAGACGTCACTGGTTTATCAGTTCACTGAAAATTTGTTAGATATTTATATCAAAAACGCAAATTGTGGAAGTATGTATACGCATTTCGCCTTACATTGAATTTTTATTCGGCAATATCCGTCTGTGCAATGACAAACCTTCGCGATACCATTACCTCTATGAATGATTTAAGGACAAGGTTAGAACGTTAGTAAAACCAGAAAAAACGTTGCTGATGAATAATTGTTAGGCTTTGTGCCTTGGGCATAACCTGCTTTGTGCCCGTATTAACTTACAGCAATTCTTTACGTGTTGCTTCTCTATATCATGCGTACTAGCACTAATGGGGTTTAACGAGCTGTGGTGTCTTGGCTAGCCTAGCATATTCGATGTTCTTCAACGGATAAGGATATGTGAGGGTGCCTGTTTACCGACTTCGCTACTCAAAAATAAATCAATCAGTCAATCCATGAAAGTGAAACTTTAGTATATTCAAGAAATACTACGTGTACAGCTAAAGACGAAAAAATAGTAACAATTACTTCTCTTAGAAGGATAAGAGGTGACATTATCGTCGGAATCCGGTGTCCAACAGGGCGACCCACTAGGCCCGCTGCTGTTCAGCCTCGCACTGCACCCACTGGTATCCTCGTTGAACACCGAACTCAACGCATGGTTCTTGGACGACGGGACCATGGGCGGAGCTCCGGCGACAGTGGCGGAATGTTTCAGCCGGATAACTGAACGCGCTCGTGCTATCGGACTGCAGGTTAATGAAGCCAAATGTGAACTGTTTGTTTTTGGTGGAACACTTGATTCGCAACGAAATGTCACAGCGGAATTCATTGACCGTTTCCCGCGATTGCGCATTTTGTCGGCGTCTACCATGTCCCTGCTTGGCGCGCCTGTTCTAGATGAAGCAATTGGGCCGCTACTCATCGAGAAAGCCAGCACCTTGAAGATGGTGTGCGAACGGCTCCAACTGCTTCCCAGCCACCAAGCATTGTTCCTACTGAAGAACTGTCTCGGCGCCCCGAAAATCATTTATATGTTGCGGTGCTGTAATGCATGGAAATATCCCGCCCTGCTGTACCAGCTGGATGAAACGATGCGCGATTGTTTCCAGAATTTGTCAAACGTACGAACCAACCACAACGACTACCCGCCTTGGCGTCAGGCAACCCTCCCGGTCAGCAGAGGTGGAATTGGCATTCGTCGGTCGGAAGAATTATCTTTACCAGCCTTCTTGGCTTCGATTCATTCCGTATCCGGATTGCTCTCTTCATTACTGCCTGACCACGGTGTTGTCGATGTTTCTGGTGCACTGGAGTCATGGAAACTGAAAGCCCGTCAGCCTGAGATTCCAGAGTTAGCATACCGGAAGTCCCAAAAGGCTTGGGACTTGCCATTATGCAACGTTTCCCTCTCCTCCCTGCTCGAGGTGTTTCAGGGTGACGAGGTAAATACAGCGCGCCTGCTTGCTCAGTCCAGACCTGAAGCCGGGATCTGGTTGAACGCCCTGCCATCCGCTCACATTGGTAACCTGCTGGGCTCAAACCCGTGGATGGTTACGGTCACCACGGGCTGTCATGTGCTTTCTCCGCCGGAAGGCACCCGCGCCACGGCGGGCTTAACAGCATCATCTGCCGAGGATGTGTGTCCGCCGGCGTGCCCGCCAAACTGGAGCCGCGTGGAACCTCTCACACTACGGAACGCCGCCCGGACGGTTGCACGACATTTGCATGGAAACGCGGGCTGTGTCTCGCATGGGACGTGACATGTGTAGACACGGTTGCGCCGTCACATGTCAAAGCAACTTCGACCACAGCGGGAGCGGCCGCTGTGCAAGCTGAGGATAAGAAATCCAGACTTTATATCTACCTAGCTGGCCGTTACCTATTCGTTCCAATTGCCTTTGAAACCATGGGCCCATGGGGACCGTCAGCAATCGCATTTATCAAAGAACTGGGGAAGAGACTTCAGCAGAAAACTGGCGAAGCCCGCTCGCATGAGTTTTTAAGACAGCGCTTGTCGATAGAGATTCAGCGGGGTAACGCGGCGTCAGTGCTTGGCACGATGGAAGGGCTGGATAAATTAAATGAGATTTTCTTGTTGTAGTCTTTGTTTCTTTCTTTGCTTTGCCCCCAAGTATGATTTGGCTGTATTATTAATAATACGTTGATGACCACATTATTATAAAATATTTTATATTTGTTAAGTGTTCATGCATGCATATTGCGCAGATTTTGCCTACAATCCCTATTAAAAGAGGTGACTTTTAATGTTTGAATCACCTCCTTTGGATTACTCCGATGTTAAATTAAGCCGGTGGTCCGTTAGTTCATCGAGGGCAATCGTAGGCGGTATACAGTTTATCTATTCCCTCCGTCATCACATCGGTCGCTTCCAGTCCACACTTTCTCACCAGCTCTTCTCTGAGTACGCCCTTTATCTTTACAGCCTTTTCTTCAATTTGGCTGTAATCAAGTAAAGACAATGGTTCAAGCTCTACCACCATGATTCCGGAACACGCCCCAGCCCTGTTAAACTTACCGACATGTCTCAGTCGCGAGCGCCTCTACGGTCTGGTTATTCAAGTTCTCCTGCTCGTGTGGCAGTTTAAAGCGAATCAAATGACCGGCATCCCGAGAATCGCAATGTTGGTGTGCGGCAAGCAAGCGCAGCGGCTCAGGTAAAAGGTCACACAGTCGTCCCATGGCCAGCCAGGTCTCACCTTGCATGGCCTCAACTGCAAACGGTGTACTACCTTGTTGGTCGCCCCACGTGCGGCATTCCGCGGTCATGTTTCGAAAACATAGTCCAGCTTCTTTTGCGTACCTAGTAGTAAGAGAAGCTGTTAATTTCCCCGATCAACGATTGTATAACAGAATACTGTGTAAAAGGGAAAGACAAGGCGGCGTGCCAGAAATTAAATATGTGCTCGTACAGCGTGGACTCAAGCCATTCCAAGCTTTAGCCCTATTAATTTTGCACATAATACCACACCACTCCTGTAACCTAAAGGATGGAGGAAACCGAATGACAAATCGTGCGGCGTTTTGCCATTACGATGTACTATCTGTTCAAGTATACATCTTTAGTAAGTTACCAGGGAAAAGAATCAGAGAAAAATCAGAAAAAAATAAAAATCATACGTTTTGGAAACTATGTATTTGAAACATACATACTACTCAATAAGTATGTGCTGTGATGAGCAACTGTTTGCAAGATTACTACTCAAGTCATAACTGAGTACGAAAGTTGTCAAGTTCAACAACACCACCCTAGAAAAAACCGACGGTTTGCGCCGCTTGTACTACTCCAGGTATCCAATGAAATGCGTGGAATCTTGAATGTTCTCACACGGTTGCGCACACTTCCGCGGGTCATATGGAAGCTAACGATAGCATAATCGGTAATCCCCGTGGTTTCCTGCCTTTTGACTGGCGAATGGAGCAAGAATAGAGGAAAGCGGTGTGAACTGCCGCTTTTCCCCTTATAAGTGAGATACAGGCTACAAAGTACTCATATAATTATAACACTAACCGGCAGTTGGTTTGGTATTTTTCACGGTACTGATTCAAGTACCCTGTGCTGACTGGCCACCCTGGAGCATGTACCAGATCAGTAACCCCCCGGTACAACATGGATAGGTTGCGACATGATTTCTGCCAAGTTGTACAGTTAACATCTGCCGATGCCGCCACCAGTAGCTGTGCTATAAGCACCAGTATGATTGCCCAGAGCATTTTCATTATGCAGTAAAATACGTTCGTCGTTCGTAGTCAATTGAGTCAAAAGTCGCTGATTGTTTTTTGCACAAGTTATTTTAAAATGCCCAGTGAAATTTCTGGCTGTTACTGTTGATCAACAAAACGATAAAAAGAACAGTCGAAGTGTAAGCGCAAATAGAAAAACGCTACCGTGAGAAGCCTTATTTATTTTATTTACAAAATAATATATGGTGTTACAAATGCCTCTCATTTAATGTGAACTGCTGGCAGTTTGAAAACTATTGATGCAGTTTACGATAAGCCCATTTTATATCAGATAGAGTTGCAAGTTAGATCGGTTTGGATTACAGTATGCTTGTGCCACAGTTGTGTGGATAGAAGACTGTTTAGATGAAAAGGTTGTACCTACTCAATACAGTGCCAGTCCAGAATGGCATATTAAAAGTTTAGGGATCGTACAGGGACAAGACGTACCAATTGTGCAATAACTTTTAATTTCAGTGTTCCGCTAGTACAGTTGACTGCTGAGCAAACGCAACCGTTGTGTATTACGGCTGCAAAATGCATAGCATCGGATCACTTCGACTGCGAACTGGCTTCACATGAGCAGTTTGAAATTAACAACTGCTAACAACCGTAAAAATCATGATTTCTTCACAAAAATGCTGCCATGCAGAAAAGTTTTCGCAGCTGGTGTAAAATTTTCAGTTTTCGAAATCCCAACACCTTTAACGTCACCGACTCACCCGTTACCGAATATACTTGTAGGTGGAATATCTCGGAAAATTTAGCTACATATTAAAGCTTCAAAACTCAAAAGTATGTCAATGATCGTTACTATTAATTGTCCGCAAAAAAGTGCGAATTACATTATGGGATACAGTGACAACAACATCTAAGCTACAGAACACGACAAAACAATAATATCACAAACAAACACACTTTTGCCAGGTAAACTATTCCTGTGCCGGTGCAACGCTAATCCAAAGTGGACATTCCCACGCGGTAAACATTTTATCCATTCCCTCCGTCACCACATCAGCCGCTTCCGATCCACACTTTTGTAACAGCTCCTCGCTGTGTTCGCCTTTAATCTTAATAGCCGTTTCTCTGACTGCGCTGTAATTAAACGTTAGATTTCACGAAAACTTCGCTTGTGACTCCACCACGTCTCAGCCCCGCTGGTACTTACCTGCATGTCGCAGTCAGGAGAGACTCACGGGTCTGGTTATGCAGCTCCGGATCCACATCGGGCAATGTGAAGCGGAACAAATGACCGGCATCCTGAACTTCGCAATGCTGTTGTGCAGCCAACAAGCGAAGGGGCTCAGGAAAGAGGTCGCACAGCCGCCCCATGGCCACTAAGCTCTCTCCTTGCATCACAACGGCTGCAAACGGTGCCCCGCCTTGTTGTTCGCTCCAGGTGCGGCATTTCATGGTTAAGTTGCGAAAACATTGTCCAGCTTCCTTTGAGTAGCTACGAATAGAAGTGACTAATTTTATATCACATTTTCACAACATACGGAATACCAGCCTGTTGAAAATTTCAGGATAACTGAAGGAACGGGAGAAATGGTTATCCGTATTCTTGTTCTGCTATCCGACTAAGAGGAGCTAAATCTTTAATCATTTACGTCACCATGTAGTAATCTGATTTGTCTTCGAGAAAACTCATCCATGGTTTTTATGTAAGAGGTGTATCCCGGCGCTGTTTAAAAACCGTTCGGCAAGACCGGGAGCGTAACTTCTGAACGCTTTTATGTACAAACTAATAAGCCCTTAGTACGACATATAATACTTTATAGAACATTATAGAATACATTATAGAATAGCTGACCGGCAATAGGTTTGATATTGTCCTCGGTGCTCATTGATATACTGTGTGATGACTGGCCACGGAGCTAAAGGTAAATCCGCAACCGACTGCATCAACATGGATAGGTTGCGACATGACTCCTGCAGAGCCGCACAGTTAACATCTTCCGATGCCGACAGCAACAGCTGTGCTGTAAGAACCAGTGTAATTGCCCAGAAAAGTACTATTTTCATGGTGCGTTCAGATACTGCCGTGGGGTGTGATTGATACCAAAAGTTCGCAGTTTGCTTTTTTTAACAGATGTTATATTTTAACGTCAAAATGATTAATAGGTTGGCTGTATCAAACCTGCAATTTTTAATGTGGATCGACCAAACGGTAAAAAAGGAACTAAGATTCGGTAGCCAAAGAGAAGCGGAACGCTCGCCTCAGATTTATAATATATTAGTAGTTCCACTTAGTGCACATGCTCGCATTTAATGTGAAAAACTGATTGGGTTTGCGATAAAATCACTCACCAGATTACGGTAGAAGAAATCTGTATCAAATTTGTCTCTGCTTGCAGTGGAAGAAGTTGTTTCGACGGAACACCTTGTACCACTCCATACAGTACCAGTTAAGATATAATGCACTAACATTCTGATGCTTCTACGAACAGATGTAAAACTTTTTGAAGTATTTACTGGTTAGTTATAACTTTACAATGTTACTCTTTGTCCGATGCCGCGCCCCATGTCATAATGTCTCCGACGGAAGTAAATGAAGATTTTCGCACGTTTTCTGTACTAATATTCTTTGTACCTAAAGTAATGTACCACTGCATAACGTGGAAAGTGAAACCCAGCCAGTCGGTTGAAAATTCTAATAAAACAACAAACAGTATGCAGCAAGAACACATCAAATTTGAATAAAAATTCCATGCATAAATCTTCAGCACCGAAATTGAACAGGAAACGCGCTTATGCACAGTACGCGTTAACTCGAACTCAAAATCTAGATTTTTGTACTGCAGTGGACGTAATGGTTTTTACTGCCTGTCATCCACTATTTCTTGAAGCTTTTCGTTTTAAGTTGTACGGAACAGATCAGCATACAGTTCATCCTAATCAGATTGATAAGTTGACCTTTTACACACTGTCAGATGTGCCGGACTCAGGGCAAGCCGCCTTGTCCTGTTGACGGAAGTTGCTCAATACCTGCCAAACCCTGTTATCTCGAGACTGCTACCGCTGTCTTGCTAGAAAAAGTACCAGCCGCAAGTGCAACCATGTGTTTGCACATTTGAGGCACTTCTTTTTGTTAAGCAATCAAAGTGCTTAAGCGGATGTAAATACAGGAAGAGAACACCCAGTTAAATATGGAGGCGCAGCTGTATCCGTGCTTTAGGAACATGCAGTTTCGACGGGGTTAATTGCCTCGTTTATCGAATATTGTCGGAATTATTATGTATTGAACGCCAGCATACGACCCCTATAGCAAGTAGTATGAAAAATCTGTAAGTAAAATTTACATGTTAACCGAATTAATTGTTTGGTTGTTGACCTTAGCGACATAGGGTACTGTATCCGAAACATGATGAGAATCATGAGATAGCAAATTAAACTAGCCCGTTCAATTTCCTGGTTTTTTCGTTGTTGATTATCCTCGTGCTTTCTGTTTCGGTATTATCGTTGGTGGGAGATGAAAAAGGATACTAAAACTTTTCCAGGAATAACGTTTTATTGTTATTTGGCAGCAAGTATTTTGTCGCGATGAGCACCTTTTCCAAGGCTTCCTAGAAAATTTATATAAAAACATGCAGAAACCCAGTTAGTAAATTGATCTCAATGATAATGTTGAACTTGATAGTGGATACCTTCCATTCCAATACCTTTCTTGGATGCTGCACCCGTGCAGAAACAATGCTTGCAACAACTATGAGTAGGTAACTATCCTTAACGCACCCTGGAACCTCTCAGGAAATTATTTCTCAGACAATTACACCTAAATCAATTGCAAACTTAATAATAACTGCACGAGCCTGACGAAAAGGGAAGCGGCTGAAAATTAATTACACTGATTAAATATCCTCATACCTGGAATGTCTAATATAAGCCCCATAGGACCACTACCCATTTTATTGCACTTCATTGCCGATGATATCGCATTTTTCGCATATTACGTCTCCACTTCCGATCTTCCCGTTATCTATCTGGTCCTTCACCAAAATATGGAGAACTACCGGTTTGTGGGCAGGCTAAACTTGGCCGCACCTTTTCTAACAAAAGACCAGCGGTGATGACTGCCGGTATCACGAGAGCAATGTCTGGATTAAATCCGACCGGATCCTTAAAATATTGATTAGATGGTCGTCTTTAATAGATAGGGCAAAACATCAGCGACCGGTTCATAACAATTTATAACCCAAACGGTATTGTAGATCGTACATTGTATAGCAGTCATAATACGTTTTAATGGTAGAGATGTCTGGTTTATTGAATTCAACCAACGCAACAAACAATTTCACTAACTTCACTACCGACAGCAAGAAATTCGAGTACAAGGAATCCTTCAATGTGCCATTGGCGTTTGAAATTTTGAACGGGTTTCTTGGCTTCTCCATTATTGCCTCCGTACTCCTCAATGGAATCATCGTCGTCACCTACTTCTACCATTCCCACCTACAAAACGGTTTCACCGCACTGATCGCCAGTTTATGCTTATCTGAAGTATTTCTTGCGGCGTTCGGTATGACGGGGATTTTTATGCGCGGCCTTTACGGATATTTCCCGTTGAGTCCAGCAGCATGCTCATTTTTCTTGTACTGTAACGATGTTTTTGGCAGCTGTGTCCGATACGGCCACATACTGATCGCTCTGAATCGGTTATGGGCGGTCACCTATCCTGCACATTACCGCCGGCATAACCAAAATCTGAAAGCGGTGTATCTAACGGTTTTTCTTGTATGGTTATTTCTTAATGCGCTCCATATGGTGGTTGTTATCCCGGGAAGAATTTGGCCGAAACCAATTGACTCATTGTGCACCAATAATGTGGAGTTCCAGAGAAAAGCGGCGTTGGCGGTGGAAATTCTTGGTATGACAATAACGGAGGTTATCGTTGTCGGTGTAAGCCTTGCGGTCTGGGCAAAACTCTGGCGACGTAGCCGCTGGAAAGTACAACGAATTGGAATTCGGCATAACAGCAATACCGGTATGCTTTAGCATTAGCCATTAATTAGGTAATATTAATTTTGTTCATCTACAGTATAAAATCTGTATTTTCTAACATGGAGTGATTTAGTTTACTTTCCGCCCATTACTTAATCTTGCCTAAAGCGCAGCCAAGTGATTCTATGCTGTACGTCCAAAGCGTACGCAGATTTGTGTGATTTACACCATTTAATGCGATCAATATGGCCTAAAATCTGTTTTCTTATTCAAGAATTTAAAAAAAGGTTTTGCAGTGTGACTGTAGTGGACGTCGGCCTTAATATTACCTCGTAATAAATTTTGGTTAGCTAATTTATTGGTCTGACGTGACACTCTGACGACAGGGGAACAGCGCTAGGGTTCAGAGCTAAAATAGCTGCTTACGTGTTTTTTTTCAGCGAACAGTACGAAGCAAGAGTCCGCACCGGATCACAACAACGACACTAATCCAGCGCAGGAACAGGACGAGGCTCAACGTGCTAGCAACACTTTGGAAAGTGAGCAGGCCCAGCCGTTGTCGGTGCCGGAGAATGGGAAGAAGACCAAGCGGCACCGGTCGCATAATCGGGCACTCCTGTATCTTGTCGTTGCCGTTATTATCTGCTGGACGCCCAATCATGTCTACTGGTTACTGGTGGATGCCGCCGGATATTGGAATACCCTGTTCATGATCGTCCAGTTCTTTATGTACTACCTCAATTCGTGGATTAATCCTTTGCTGTGCTTGGCTGCTTTGAAAGAATTTCGAAAGGCCATTAAGAAAACACTTACGTGTTCTTAGCGTTAATTAAAACCTACGTAGTACGTACAACCGCTGCTATGCAGCGCAATGTGTTCGGCCTTAAAGGGTTTCATTGTCAGTTGTAAATTGTAATATCCAATGTCGCCAAGCTTCAATAATTATTGTATTATAATTATTCTTTAACAGCATTTACATATGTAATTACGGCTTTCGCTTATACCATGGACTATAAATTTTGTATCCAAAAATTAAGCAAAATCAAACCACAACTGGTTTATGCGGTAAGAAAACACATTGCGCTGAACAGGCAACAGTGCACTATCTGTACATAGTTATACACAAATCATCATCTGCCGGTTGAAACCTTATAATTGCGGCATATGCGAGGATGTTCCACTGACTTCCACGGATATGAATTATTAAATCCATCCTTGTTAAGCCGACTTTATACTACGCCTCAGAAGCCGGTCCCCTCAGTGACGCACCTTAAATGCTCTGCCATTTAAGCAATCACCGCTGCAAAAAAGGTGACTTCCGGAAGAATTTTATACACGTTATTGCTAACTTGAATAATATTTTACTGATTGCCCGGCGTAACGAAATCGAAGATTCGAGATGAGATTTTCCCCACTCCGCAGCCTCTGTGCATTTGAATTGGGATTGCGTTTGGGCTGAGCGTTTGGGCGTTTGGGTTTGGGTTGACCTTGTTACGCCTCTTGCGTTTGTTGTTCGATCCTTTGTATATAGTAAAAATTCGCTATGTAACTGAGCTAAAGAATTTTTCATTTATTGCAACGTTTTATACTGTGCAGTCATCTCTTAATTTGAAGCAAAATTTCTTAGCATTTTACGATGACAGCCCAGTACTCTGCTATGCGCTTTACGAAACTGTGATTACTTTTTCCTAATTACCAGGCACTTCGTGTGTTCCCTCGTATTAATTGCGCTTGATCGACACATGAGCCGAATCAAACCTGTATTAATGTGATTTCTAAGCGCATCTTTACCTTAATTAGTTTCCTGTTTTGAAGGCGTCCATATCATGGATCGGGACCATACATCCTTTGGTAAAATTTAATAATTAACACATTACGATGGCTAAGTTTAATTACTGTACGATATCGTGCTACTTCTTCGACTTCAGATGCTGAACCTCTAGCCTTTAGATGCTACCATAGAGGAATGATGATGATGAGTCGACAGTATTGTTATTCCGAAATCACATTCATGCTCAAGCTCGTGACTCTGCGTACTTTGGCATTTATCCAGTTGCTACAGTGGGTGTCACTACTTGATCTTGCAGCCGTACAGTACTTAATACTTATATTCCTTTTACACCACATGACCGTACGAGCGGTTTTCGACACAAAAAGAACACCCGGTGTTCTTAATGAAAGACACATTCGAAAAAGATCAATGGTAGAAGGATAATACGTATGAAAATAAACCCTTACATCGGTACATCTCGTGCCGCTTGTTGTGCTTACGACTGAGTAGAAAACCTTAACCACAGACCACACTCACCACAGTACATCGCGAATATAATTTCAGTAATTTTCTTAAGCAGCTACATAAATTACTTCATTAAGGATCCGCCTGCAACCTCGGTGGATATTGTTACTGATATCGAATGCAATGGCGGCAAACTCTTCGATAAATTTCACAGCGACTTTCAGTAATTCAACATATTATCCTGCAAAATCAGGAAGTGTCTCCCTTGCGGGGCTGATCTCTATCGTGATTTACATTTCTGCATTTTTCATTAATTGTGGAGTTATGTTGATGGTGATGAGGGGCCAACATCAACGCGTGCCTTTCGATGCTTACATTATTGTCCTGTTGTTCAGCGATGCACTCTGTGTGGCCATCGAAGCCTCGAAGGCCCGTTGAAAATCGTGACCATGCCGTATTATTACTGGCCGATTGGCATGTCGGCGTGCACATTGCACATCTACGCAAACTATATTGCCGCCGGCATAATCGTACAATGTAGGACGAAATGGTCGCATAGCCCCATACCCAGCATTCTGTACGCATGCGGTGCAGTGCACTTGTACGAACCGGATATTTTGAACTCAGCCATACAGTGTACTGCACTGCATTCGTACTGAATGTGGAGATGTTGGGTATGCGACCATTTTGTCCTAAGCTGTATATGCCCATCTATTGATCAGCCTGACGCGTGCATGGGCGTTGTTTTGGCCGATATCTTTCCGCGACTGCCACACCATGACATTTGCAGTAGGCATTTGTGCGGCCATGGTCATCTACGTCCATATTTTTCTCTTACCCGGAGTGATCCTGGATGCCGTGTTTTACCGAATTCCAGTGGAGAAAGGCTGTTGGTTGGACACCCAGTCACAGGTGATCTGGTCCATCGTCGAATCCATCGTCATTTTCACTGTACCCAAGGTTTTTATTCCCGTTTGTTATCCGTTTCTGCTGTGGAAAACTGTGAAGAAACGCATAACATCGCAATACGTAGTACCATCGGATGCAAATGCAAATCCTGCCGCTCAGGAAGGCCAAGCCCGCAGATCGGCTCCTTACCCACGAAAAGGCCGATCGCGACCGTTCGTAGCCGTGACCTTTCTCACTCTGTGTGTCGTCATCTGTTGGTTTCCGTCGCTGACCCGGTTCGTTTCAGTAAAAAACTATATGTGCTCGAAACGTTTTCGGGTGTTCGCGGCTCGTAGAGAACACGACGGGGGCACCGTATGTTTACGATAGAGCCTGATACAGGCACTCTTTGCATATAACCGCCATCCTGGCGATTGTGCCTACGGTCTGTCGCCCACGTTAGCTTTTACCAGAAAAATAGGCTCGCTCGAAATTTCCAATTTGAAATTCATCATTACTTTTCAACTGGTGAATGGTGATCAAACTGGAAGATGTTAAGTTTTTTGTTTGGCTCTCTCGTTCTCGACGTCATCGTCAACAAATCTGAATTCTAGCAGTACAGATACTTTTCCTGCAGTTTTTGCGATATCGCAGTGAAATGCTTATGAATAGAGTTTTTCGTCCTTCTGCTGGAAGACACTGGACTCTGACTGGAGAATTCTGCAAAGTGGTAGTTCACCCTGTTGAAGTATGCGAACTTGAACTCTGTGGCAGCGCTTATCGCAGTCCAAAAACTTTGCCTGCAGCATCCGTTCCTAGTAAAAATGAATGTTCCAGCCAAATGTGACGATATCGTTCATACCCAGCCCGTCTTGTCCGCGGAAAGGGAAACGGAGAAGAGCTTTGTGCGTGCCAGATTTCCATTCACAGAGTAAGAATAGATTAGGCGATATCGCCAAAAGTTCTGTACCGTGCTAGTCATTTACGACGGCGTAAACTGAACATTTAGCGAAAGCGCCGCCTGTATTGCATTACCAAGAATTATTATTACAGTAATTTTCCTGTACGGAATGCGATTGATTTAATTTTTAATTTTAGTTGTATAGATATTTGGCGTTATTAAGCAAACTTCCTCCTTTTTCAGGATGCAGTACCCCACAGCGGTAGCTTTGAACCGTAACGCGGGGATTTCTTGAGAGCAGAGAACGGAAATTATAGAAAAGGATTGTTTCAGACAAAATCGTCGTCGTGGAGGAAGAGATTGACTGTCGTAAGTTTGCTTTACGACGCTTTTAACTTTAGAGCGAAAACAAGAATACGCGACCCTGTCTAAAACATTTGGTCATTTAAAAATTAAAAATGAATTTCGTGACGTTACGGACATGTTATGGCAAACTTTTTTCTGCAGTGAGAAATTTAAATTCGTTTAACGATTTATGGAATCTGTAACAGGATTAGACTATAAAGTACTCGTAGATTTTTAAATGTTTTGTTGTTGTTTTAGCACCTGTAACCTGTAATCACTGTGAGGAAAACGCCAACCCAAAGCTGTGTGCTGTTTGCGGCTCTCTCAAAGATCGGCGATATCGCCATGTCATGTCCACCCAGTTCTACATACAGTAAGCTTGTCTATTTCTATGTAGCAAAAGCGAGTAACCCTGCTCCTCATTTTGTCAAAGAAAATGTTTCTTGTAGTATAACTCAACCGTTGCGTTTGCCTCATCAGTAGCGGAAAGTAGCCGGATCTCATGTGGAATTTATTAAAGAAGAACACCAGTCGAAACTTCAAAATAAGTGTTCCAAAATTCGTCGAGCGAAAGGTTGCTGACGACATCGTCTGGGCAGACTGAATTTATTGACAATATTGTCTGAATTTCCCGAGGCCTGTCTAAAATCTTCTCAGAGTGTTTGTTTCCCTTTCATTTGAATATTTTTTGAACCAGATGAATTTAGCGTGATACGAAATTTTTTCAGTTGTGAATATCTTGATATTTAAGGGTACAAAGTAATAAAGCCTAAGACCCTAAGCGAGCAAGTCGCGGTCCGGTAGAAAATTACGTATACGGTCGGAAATAATAGGTAGCAACAAGTTATCAACAGAATTAGTATGTGTCCCGAACCCATTTACCACGGCTTCCTGAAACGTTACCAAGGTGCAACGCACACATCTGGGGCCACGTCGTGACCACAGCAGTACATTCTGCAGCACACCTTCGACACGTAGCCAGTAACGTCAGGAAAGCGACGATAACTCTACTAAAACTATACAAGCGCAGAACGGTAGCCTTGCACGCTGTAGAGGTTTTGCACGGCGTTCGGCGACGCTTCGAGAACGAGTGGCACACGTTGAAAAAGTGCGTGCTGTCGAACCGGGTGATATACTTCAATATGGCCATCACGATTTCGGCAGCGGCAATGGAAACATTTCGCACCGTATCCAGCACACTGTTTGCAATGCAGCCGTTGTTGGATCCCATTATTTTCTGCTTAAATTTTCGGGACCTTGGTGATCAGCTTTCGTCCTTATACAGAAAGTTGACATGCCGATCGAAGGATTGACTTACGTGAGGCGCCGCCATCTAGTCTATATGCAGCTGACTGCTTAACACAAAGAGACGTTCCCATGGTAAAAGATAGACAAATGGGACGTACGGGAAATGCACAGTGGAATGAGATCGAACAACACTACTTATAATGCACTTCAAGTTCTAGCCACAAGGACAACGTTCCCGACATTGTAAAGCAAACGATATAATACTGTAACATAATCCCTGCTAAAACAAAATTTTTGGGGTCCAAAACAAACTCGAGATTCGACAAGTGTACATAGTAGTGTGACGTACTCAAATTGTACATTGTTAAATTTACATCTTCGTTTTTGCTTATCTGCAGCGGAGCAGTACCGTTTGGCATTCTACTTCTACCATTTTAATCAACTTGATGTAACCGCAAACTGCGAGAAGTTTGCATTACATGGCTCATATGCACTATGAGCCTCGATAAACGCATTGATAATGGAAACGCATTTCTTGTTTTTGGCCCTGTAAATCAAAACCACTTCAAGGCTACACCGATAAACAACGGTCAAAATGTGCCGTTGTTGATCGAAGCATGTAATACCTTGTTAGCTAAGAGTAAGCAAGTACCATAATTATAACTTTTTTTAGTCATTTTTAAAGCAATAAGTAAGAAAATTATAAATTATATAATTTTAATTACTTCTAATATTTGCAATGGCGCGCAACGGGGAAATGCCGGCATTGTTAACAGCACGAAATCCCAAATCCAGATCCAAATGCGGCACTTGCCATATGGTGGCTTAACGAATTAGGCCATTAGTGCAAACGTTGTGTTGGCAATGGCTTGACGTAACAGTTTAATAGCCAATTTAATTGGTTGTTAACTGATAAAATCCATAAAACAAGCGCGTTGTTTGGACGAATATTTTATTGCGCCAAAATCACTTTGTGCCTCTTTAACAGCTAAAAACGGCATTTTCAAAGCGCGAACATGCAATTACATAACATCGCTTCCTGTTTTGAAGGTGTCCCTGCCCTAGTGGCAACGAACTTGTATTACGTAACAATTGAATGCAAAATACAATTACCCGTAGTAATATCGTAGTGTATGTATAATCGTAGTAATTAAATTCGCGCTGATCTGCTGCATATGAAGTGAATTAAAGAAGCACTAGCTGACCCCGCGCAAATTGCGCGGAATAAATAATGCGATGGATAAATCATAATTAAGTGAAAAAATTAAAAATCATGACTGCAGCTCTGCTAATTAAACAGTACACGTTTCATGAACCGAACATGGGATTCTTTGATGTACCTTCATGCTAGTCACATTGTCGATAACATCTACTGGAAAATATGGCTGCACCTTTGGCTGCAAAAGAAACTTAGAACTGAAACACGAAAAGTTTCTCCCGAAAGCGGGTGAATTTTCTCATTAGGTTCAGATCCATTGCTTTATTCCCGGATCTGCCAACAATCTGTTAAATTTCGTGCAGTTGCTGCACATATCCTAGCAGTTGACAACTAACAATAAGCTAAAATCCCAGTTTGACCACTAACACCACGCTTGCTTTGTTTATGTGATAACTTTTATCCCAGTTTAGCAATCATGACACTTCGACTGAATCCATGATTTGATCCCTCCACTTATACGGATCCAATTGCTGAACCGTATTGTAACACTGATCAAATGACGGATGAAGTCGAAGACAATAGAGTAGTCGACCATTTTTCTATAGCAGACCCCGCGCAAATTGCGCGTATTAAATTAATGCTTTGGTCAAATTATATCCCAGTGCAATAAGTAATTAAAACTCATAAATGCAGGTTACTATAAGACTTACCATTAGATTTTATGACCGAAGGTCCGAAGCGTAGAATTCTGTTACTAAATATTACGGTACCGAAGGCTACAGCTGACGATAATATTCTGGGGAAAATTTCTCTTTCCCTTAATTTAACTGACTACAGAGGTGACATAAGACCTGAAATGCGAACATTTTCCTCGAAAGCCGACAAATTTGCTTATTAGATTTCGACCTATTTCTTTAATTCCGGGTCAGTCACTAATCATTAAAATTCGTGCAGTTGGTGCATAGAGACTTTGTAATTTATTTTTTGGAAGAACGTGCTTCTACCTTCCTGTTTTTTGTCACTCTGCGGTCTTTCAAGCTGCAAACTAATTAACAACAATTTACTAACTCTAAATCCCAGTTTGACCACAACACCACTGCTGCCCTTTGAACTGCGCCGAGGCCTGTGCCCTTTATATCCCAGTTTAGCAATCAGTATAGAAGTACTACTACAGTAATAGTCACCATTTCTTCTACTGCTTTGTCCTCAGAACACAGTCAAACATAAGCGTTTCGTTGTGTTGCCTTCTGCTTTTGTTCTTCTGTAAAACCTGGAACTGATACCCGAAATTTCTGCGTGCTTGCTGCTCCGCGAGCTTCGCTCGCGCCGCAGCTCGGCGTCGCCTGCGGCTCCGCCTTCTAATACGTTATCGGTTATATAACAAACTAAAATAATGGTTCCGAGCTTGCTAGAAGTTCCCTGTTACTTAATAACAAAGCATTTCACCTTATTTTTAGCTTGAAGCTGTACTGTGGTGGATTTGCATTAGCAATATGCATCGGGCGGTCTCGACCCCACGCGGGAACGCAGGGCAAACAGCTTGTTGTTCTTCGATGCAAACCTTGTAGAAGCCAAGGTGCCCACTTGCCTTTCTTGAACAGCATTTTCCAAAGAAAATTAAAAAGCAGCGAACCTAATTTCGAAAAATCGGCTTTTACAAACCGTCGGCAGTTCAGCAAGAAAGGCAATCGCTCCCCCCCCCCCCCGTAAGGCAGTTTACGGTATAGCTACGGGAAAATTACCGCGGGGGTCAGTTACTTGAAAATAGAGTTGCGAAGCGTCACCGGTCGCAGAATCTTCTCGGCCATGTTTGTCCAGTTTTATTTTCTTTTTCAAGTCCCAAATTTTGGTGAGAAATGTCCAAACAGCAAGTACGGCGACGGAAAAATTCTTATGGAACGGAAAGTTCCATCTAACTGCAGCAGCGGAATTGTCAAAAAAGGTGTTAAGACAGTGGTGGGGTGGTCGGTTTAGCAGTGGTGGGAACCTGGCTTTTCCCAATGACTTTCCATGTTGAAGGTTTAGAAATTTCTCTTTCAAACTTGTCTTTATCTCCAAAAACTGATTTGTGATGGCAAATCTACACTTCAAGGGCTATCGAATGATACATAGTCATGGCAGTTTAGTTCAGTGCGTCGAGCTGACGGACTCAACAAAGATTAAGCCTTACGCGATTATTATATAGAGATATTTCGGCGAAATTTAATCACTTCTCGATGCTCCAGTTAAGCTCACTATACGGATTCTATATTTGCACATCTCTTGAGGTCATCAATGCAGTAAGTCCACACGGTGACTTGTCAGCAAAAGAGATACTAGTAATGTGCGCGCATGTAGCCGGCAAAAATGTTAACGAGTAAACGGTTAACGCATTAATATGTGTGCCGGGCGAGAATGTTAACGTTAAAATTCCCGCCGGGCCCAATGGAATAGTGCACGTTGTTAATATACATGGATTTATGGATACGATGTATTTTATGAGTACGATTTATGTATAAATTCGATTGGATACCTGTGTGTTTAGTAATGGTAATACGGTAGTTATGGTTATAGTTATTGCCGTCATATTAGTTTATACTGATTTTGATGTTCGCTTGTGAGTTTCATCAAGTAATCTCAAATGTACTCGAAGTCTCGAAGTGGGAACGCCGAAAATTGCGCATCCATAATTTCCATTATCTGCAAATGCTATGTGCAATACGCCCAGAATATAAACACTCAAATACGCACAGATCTTTACGTTGGACAGTGTGCAGTGTAAATTCGCCGAACGGACGTGTGTTTCGCTGTTTTCCGAAAAAAGATTAGTGCTCTGTATTGGGTTCGGCAACCGTGTGCGGTGCCGCGGGTCGTGTTAACTGGTAATATCGTTAACACGCCAGCCACGAACAAAATAAATTATTTCGATATTAACACGCGTGTCGGACGTTCAACAAACACATTTACAAGTCCAAAAACATTCTACTCTGTTGAAATTACTGCCCAATTTCACGTGAAATTCAAGAGCACGTTATTTGCATTCTACAGTATTCACCTTACAATTTTTAATAAAGCCTGGGCTTTCGTAATTACTTTTTAAAGAAAAGTGGTTTTAAATTATCAAAAATGGACTTATTTTGAGCCCTCTTGCTAATCAACGAACAACGATTTAAAGGAAAAATAATTTCTCACTTTATCATTAATTTAGAGGAAAAAATACACACAGCTCCTGCTAGGCTATTGGAAATTTTTTTAGGTTAGTTTAGAAAATTTTATACTTTTTTTGGTTTGATTTTATGAGATAAAAGTACCCAGCCTAGGAATCGAACCCAGGACATACTGTACAATCTTAAAGCCAGACGTACTACCACCAGGTATGCAATATGCAACTTTTGCGTTGCTACATTTTGAGTTATCTGCTAGTGCCATTTGGCTTGTACAGACGGCAGCCATTTCCGTTTGCTTATTGTAACGGCCGATTTTTGTATTTCATGTTGTACCACTATTACATGTAATACTACAGAAAATATAACAAGTAGCGTCCCTACGGTAAAAGAATTCCCCCATGGTTGACACAACACTATGCAGAAAAGCTCGTTGTGAGGAATATGTTTACACTTCCCGGCACAGGTGGTTCGAAGATCTGAAAACCCGTTAGCGATTAATTCCATATATAATGGATAGTATCAGTCGATGTCCTGCAGTGTTTAGCAGTAGTATGTATTACAAAATCTAAAGCCTTACAACCATGACCTCTTTGACAGTAATCGAGAATTTCTGGTTGAGCGTTCACAAAATAATCGGCGTGTTGCCGGTATCACTTCCAAAAAATCCAAACAAAACCCGGCAGATTTTCCGCAGGTTATCGATAACATGGGTCATTCTGATGACTCTGTTTAAGAGCTTCAATCTTTTCGCATATACCATCCCAACCATGACCGTCGGAATGACCGGTAGCGTTGACAATTTTGTTGATCGCATGGCCTTTGCACTGAGTGACATTGTTCAGTACATCGTTGGGTTGATTTGTTTATCACAATCTTCCAAACTGACAGATACTGTTAGTACAATCCTGCATTACGACGACCGCTCCACCGGTTCTGGTAAGAAGATTCTAGCCGTTCTTGCGACGGTGTTTTACACCGCAGGAGTGCTTTGCATTTACGTATACACGGTATTACTCCCAACAATCGCCGACTTAGCAAGCACTGACTCCTTCTTCCAGTTCGAAACATTTCTGAATCTGTACGGGTTGAAACGGTTCGCATTGCCAACAGTCATTCGGTATCTTTATAAAGCAATGTATCTTATTTCGTGTATCACACTGTTTTGCGTCAACGGACAGTTCGTCACTCTCTGCATCCTTACGGGTCACGCCTTTTCGGAAATGAAAAAGCGCTTTAAGCGTTTGCCCTACGAGAGATTCAGCGATGCATTCAACCAGTATAAAACGTTGGCCAACGCTCAAAGCAAAATGGACTCAGTGTTTGCCATCTTTATTCTGTGTTATTACATTCAGTTTGCGTTTTGGATTATGTGGTTCATCAACGCCACGTACAAACACCCGGGTTCGAACTATGTGCCATTAGAAAGCGCCATCATAATAATTTTAATGGAGGCCTTTATGGGAGTTGGTGTTACGTGCGGCATGTTGTATGTCCGCGAACAGGTGAGATTACTGAAATTCAGCGCAATATCGAGTGATGGTTGATGCTAAAACGTTCCATGTTTAGGCTGACATGACATATCCAGTTCGGCGCTTGCTGCAACAGGAGCAGAGTCCCTCGAGGAGAAATTTGCTGTTCCAACGACTGTACCAAATAACAAATAAACCGGTGGAATTCACAGTGTGCGGAATGGTTCGCGTCGACAGAGCCTTTGTTGGGACGGTATTTGTTGAAATTGTTTAATAAGGTTTCAAAGGATTATTACATGCGAAATAATGGAAAAGCGTTCCGCGTCGGGTATGGTTAATATCTGAGCATTCTGGGATTTTTGCAGATGTTTGGACTCCTTATCAGTTACGTCATACTCATCATGCAGACAGGAGAAAAGAAGGGCCATCCCGAGCATTTCGAATGTCACCTTACCCCGTCATATGAATACGCCAATTCGTCTCCAACACGTCATTACAGCTTCAATACGTCTTCATTTCCTCTGACAATAACCTGCACTCATCTAGTTTGACTGTGGCAGTGCAGTACACAGCACAACTATTTTGCTGACAGAATTTTAATGGGTTGAGTTGTTCGCATGGGTCGTATTTGTGATTCTTTGTCGAATGCGTTTGCACTTATTTCACTAACCTGTTAGTTTACTGTAATAAGATAACATTGTTAATGAGAAGGCGGTTAACTGGATCAAGAGAGCGGCAAAAAGCAACAATCAAAAGTATTAACACAAAACAAACCCAGTATCAAAAAGCATTTTCCAAAGAGCATCCATTGCCTAACAAGGAGAACTGCGAATTATTTATGTTACATAATTTATGTGGCAGAGCAAAGTAATTAAAGGTCACGGCACGGCTAAACCGGCCGGTATGCTAACATATGATAATATGCATTAACGGTAACGGAAAGGTAATGCGAGGCAGGGAATTGTTATTAGGAAAGAAATCAGGCAGAAGTACAAAGTGTACTGTCGGAAGTGGTACTGAATGCATGCATCCGTTAATGTCATTAGAAATAAAGAACAGCAGTATTTGTAGGCAAACAAGTAGAGAATAATGCTATCAGATAGCACGAGTGAGCATATCGCTCAAATGAATCAGTAAACAGAAGCACATCATAAAAGTGAATCAGAGCTGTCGCTCAGTTATCTATATAAAAATCATTACGTGACACTTCTCTCCGTGTGAAAAGGACTGTCCGCAGTCCATAACTAGACAAGAAAAGCAGAAAAGCCAGTCAACCAGCAATACGATAAAGCAGCTATTTTTGCGTTTAGAAATTTTTAAAACACATCCAAGAAACAACGGGTATTATTATGCAAATAATATTTATAATTGATACGGTTATAAAAAATATAGGTAATACAGCGGAATAATTTGTATTTTTATTTTCGTAACGCTTTTAGGGAAAACCCGGGTTAAACCAAATTTTCATTTTATAAATGTTTTTGGATTTAGATTCCCTGACTCATTTTTATAATAAATGCGGTGCTAACGATGATGTCATTCGGTCGCACTTGAACTTGAACTTTGATCCGCGGTCAACCAAACACCAAAACCACAGCACCACACCGTATTCACGAAATTAAACAGAAAATCCTATTTTCTGAGGCAAGATCTGTACGAAAAATTCATTTGCTCATTTCCAAGATCTTATTTCGCTGGTTTCAAACACTGTTTGTTCGCCTGTCTATAACACGCGCTTAGCGTCCACTTCTTCTCCCCGTGTTGCAATTTTTCGTACACTTGTACAGACGAGTGCATTGTTAATTTGTCTGAGTAGATTAGTAGCATGTCTTGCGGTCAAGTCGCGTACTTACGGCTCAACACCTCGTTAACCAGTGATGCGCCCAAAGCTAGAGTTGTTACGCGGCGGCTCTGTATCGACGTCATCGCCCATGACCGAAGTATTGCTACAGCGACGGGATTGCTGATCAGACACTTTTATTTTATTAAGAACTTCGTTGTTTTTTTTAGAAGATTTTTAGCGATTATACTCACCTCGACATTTAGCAAACAAACTGCTGCACCAGCATCTTCGTAGGAAATTTTAATTAATAAATTTCAAATCTTGCCCCAGAAAGTAGATCTCCAGCTAATCGCGAAAATACAATGCGTTAACCATGACCATAATGCAGGTTATTTGATCTGATCACTCACTGTTCGTTGGAAGGCGGTAATGACTGATAAAAATCGGCGACTTAAAGCTGTGGGCGAACCTAATATAACTGGGTTCGCTGCAGCGAACCTTAAAATTACTGGGTTCCCGCGGATAGAACCGGGTCTATCTCCAAGAACTTTTATTGAAATTCGAACTAAAATTTGACAATTCTCGAAGGAAATTTCCTGGCCGGTAGTTTTTGATAAATTTTCTCCAAGAACAAAGCGATCTTTTTATAATCAAAAATTTTAACACAAAAATCCGGATAATTTGAAATCTAAGTAAATACAACGCAAGAACCTGAATCAAATTGATAATTAAGCAAATATAAGAACAAAATGAATAAAATACGTTATTTTTGAAGTTTTTGGAATAAGCTCTTTTTATTGAAAATTTTGATTTATTTGCTGGCTGACTTTACATAAGCGATAAAACAAGGCTAATGCTAAGCGATTATACTGAGCTGTTTGGTTGACGATACTCCGTAGTCCAAGGGAGCCAGTTTTCCATAGCTGTACCGAAACTACGTAAACAGACGAGGTCGGAGAACACGTGTGGAATCCAAACGGTATCCGTCCATCGGGCGGATATTTACGGTTGCTGGTAATCGGTCAAACAAGGTGTCGGCTTGTTAGGGTCAAACGACAGTCGGGAAACGGAAATCGAGCGCACTGGCATTATTGCGTTGATCCAAGCCTTACTGAGCCGGTCGGCTTTCATTAGGCTTGTGGATTACAAGGCTTGTGGACTGCTTTCATTAGGCTTGTGGTGCAGGCCCACAGGAGGCTGAACACAGAACGCATTTGCCTGGAATGACACTTACAAGCGCAAACTACAAAGACGACTTCACGTCTATACTGTGCTTCCGTGAATGGATTACCGTTCTTATTTTTACGGCCTTTTGTATGGTTTCCATGAAAGCAGGTGGAGCGTTACACTTTCGGCAATATTTTGACAGCTGTTATGATTCGCAAAAACATTTTCCACGACAGAATACATTTAGTTATAAATAAAAAGTCAGAAATAAACTTTTTTTTTGTTTGGAGTCAATGTAAATCTCAGTCTGCGCAGTCCTAAAATTTACAAAGAGCCATTTTGAAGAGAAATGAAACTCAGTTTAGCACGTTGCGAGAAAATAAATACATCTGGCACAATCCGCCGTTATGATCATGCAAATTTTTTTTTTAATTTCCAACAGGAGTCATTTTTTGAACAACTTCATTTGCTAACATATTTGTCTCGAGCGTATAATTTTTATGTCAACGTATAATAACGGGCCTATGAGGGTTTAGATCTGCGGGCGGGCTGCAGTAAATGCGGAGGCTTTTCAAAAACATCGCGTTTCGCGGAACACCAATGCTGCAGAAAACACTTAACGAACAAATACAAATACCATCCTGGAAAAGAATTAACCATTCGAAAGAGTACAAATAAAAGCAATAAAATATAGTTTTTCAAACACGCAATTATCAGGAATATCGGACAATCGAAAACGCATTACTCATTGAGTTCCAAGATTAGAATCCTTTTTTTGGCTCTTTCAACCGTACATGAACCTATCTGAGTTTAAGAAAACTCTTCAGTTTCGGGCTGTCAAAATTCCAAATTAAACCATTATGCGTAGACGATATTCGCACTTTATCACTACACAGGAGATTCATTAAGATTCTGCCAACTTTTACTGCGGTCCATGGTATAGCTTCGCCGGTCTGAGTATACTCTTTTCAATTAAACGAACATTAACTTGACTCCGAGGCTTTTGCCTTTGATTAATTGTAACAATTCAATATTTTACCGGCTGGGTCACTACGCTCTCCGGACGAGTCTGTAGTTCTTCCCCTAGGTGATACTAAAGTTTTAAAAAAAACGTGCACTTTCTTTTCAAACACTAAGTCAACCTTTTTGTTAACCACGTATTCACCTGATGATTCGCTGCTATACGTCACCTACAGCGCAACGGTCTAAATCTTTTAATTAATGTTTATTTTAAATCAATGCAAATTCTAGTCTGCAGTTCTAGAGCTAACAATGATTTATTTTGTTGCATGTCAGAAACGTTAATCCAGACTCGCACTCTGGTAGTTTTCAGCTATGCGAATAAAGTATGTACATTGGGCACAACGTTCGTCCAATCTGTCACCTTGACCTACTAGTTGTGTCTATCCAGTGCCGTCGCTTTGCGGAGCCATTTATTCTCTGGCCAGTTCAACAATAAAAATTCCAAAAACACAAAAAGAAACACGTGCATTTCCTCAAAATAAAATATCAAAAACATAAAAAGCACACGTGCATTTCCTCAAAATAAATTTTCAAAAACATAAAAAGCACACGTGCATTGCTTCAGATAATTCATTCGCCGATGTGCTTCTTCCTGGATAGATAATTATTGCAGAATCTATTACGTCGCTTTTATTCCTTCCCCTCTTTGACGAAAAACTTCATACAGTAAGTTTGAAAACCAGTTGTACGTTAGGTCCGATGCGTCAATGATTTGAGCCAAACATTTTATGAAATCTAATGATAAGTGAATAAAAGTAGATAAAAGGTTACAAAGTTAAAAAGCTAAAACAAAACGGTTATTTTTTACTACATTTCAGACGGTCATAACATTCCTACAAAACGATGCACTAAACGCATATCCACATGCAGTATTAAGGCAGGACAGTAATATTTCGAAAACGGAAAAGTCTCATAAACATTTTGTTAGTGTTTCGTGAATAATCCAATACAACTTGGCATATATACAAGCATATATACAACAGCCTCATCAATATCAGCGTGGCTGTCCCGGTGCACTTGCCGAACGGGACGGTGATCTGGCTTGCGTGGCCGAATGCTCACCGCTTGCCGACTGTTGACGTGCACCACCAATGTCAGTAGTGTTACGTTTACCCTTTTTAACAGGCCTGTAATTACGGCTATTTGGGTTTAAGTAACACACGGAATAAAGGTAACCAACTTTGTGGCAGTAATTACATGCACGGATTTCGTGTTTGCGTTTGGGCTTGGACGGCGCATTAAGTTGTTTTAGAAGAGAACATCCAAAAATTTGTTAACTTTAGCAACCATTGATAACAAGACGGGAGTTTTAATAACTGTAACAGGCCCTAGTACATCGACGACCGGACTGCATGGACCAGAGTCCTTGAGGAGCTCGTGGTCCATGACGGAAACTGAATGCCGACGTGTACAAAGCTTTTCCGATGATTTCATGGCCAACCGAAATGATTCAACCAAGCTTTGACCTGCTTCTCCTGACTGGACAGTGGGAGGGTAGTTACCAGTTCTTTTGGGCTGATTCATTTCAGTAAAGCTGCAGAGTTAACAACCAAGAAAAAACGTTGAGTAATAAGGTTCGGCAAGTCTGATTAATCAGATAGATTCGAAGTTAGTTTAGGAAAGGCTAGGAACGTTGAACCAGTTTCGGTAAGGGATTGGTCACAGAAAAACGGTATTATCAAAAATGAATGCTATTATCGAATCGGTGATCAGTAAACAAGCCCAGTAATCTCTGAAATTTTCCAACAATGAGAGAAAGTGTAACTGGGTTCAGCAGTTCCCGATTTTGGGCAGGGCATAGCCCTGGCATGCAAACTATCTACTGACTCAACGAGTCCAAACAGGATAAGATCAAGGCACAAATCGATAAACAACAAAATTAAAGTATATTATTTTCCGAAAACAAAGGTCACCAAAAACATCAGAAACGAACTATTTATCTTGCTAACGAAATAATAAATTTCATAAGCAGAGAACTGGTAGTTCAATTGTCCAACAGAAATATCGTAACCGACACATGCTGTTAAGTAAAGATTATTGTAATATCGAGCTATCGCTTTTCGGAAGCACTGTTGCGGTATCGACGTAAATTTAACCCATTCAGCGTTCATCAGAAAATTCCAAACATGGAAACGTTTTTAACAACAAAACACCAAAGCGACATTAGGAACGGTAACACAGATGATCTTTCAGGTTTCAGAACAAAATCAGTAAACAGTGTTATTAGAATCAAAAACACTACTGTCCGGGACATTTAGAAAATATGCAGAGGTCAAAAGCAACAGAAACATTTTTTTGAATTCCACATCTTTGCGACAGCGGAGTGCGTTTGAAATTTCATGAAATTATCGAACGCGCAATTTAACAGAACCAATGCAGAATTATCATTCATTTCAGCAAATTAACAAACGCGCGATTTATCGGAACCAATGCAAATTTATTTTTATTGAAGAGACATTTTCAAGAACAGAACAACAGACGTAAAAATATCGATCATGTACACGCTTTTTCGAGAGACATTTTATGTAAAACACGAGCGCTGACGGAAGAATAAATTCGTCGATGATATTGCACTCGGTTTATCGTCACCAAATTTATAAAATGGCAAATGTCAAGGATACTCACGACGGAACATGGTTAACTGGTAATACAAACGATAAAATCGGAAAGCGCGCGTGAGCGCAGCTTCTGGTTATGGCTTGCAAGCGCTTGGACAATTACACTGCTCGGATGTGGCGTAGTCGGTAGTAGCAACGGCAACGGCAGCAGCAGCCGCTGTGATTGGACGACGGTATCGTCGAACTATGGCATCGTACAGGAAATGCAATAATCAAGTTATTAATAAAATGGACGGCTGAAGTAACCGACAGGTACTTCTCAGTCGTCGGACCAGTTTGTTACATAATTTATGGCAGAGCGAAGTAATTAAAGGTCATGGTACGGCTAAACCGGCCGGTAGCGTATGCTAATATATGATAATATATTATGCATTAACAGTAACGGAAAGGCAATGCGAGGCAGGGAACTGTTATTAGGAAAGAGGTCAGACATAAGTACAAAGTGTACTGTCGGAAGTGGTACTGAATGCATGCATCCGTTAATGTCATTAGAAATAAAGAACAGCAGTATTTGTAGGCAAACAAGTAGAGAATAATGCTATCAGATAGCACGAGTGAGCATATCGCTCAAATGAATCAGTAAACAGAAGCACATTATAAAAGTGAATCAGAGCTGTCGCTCAGTTATCTATATAAAAATCATTACGTGACAGTTGTTAACGAATAGTACCGTTTATTAGCTGAACGAAGGCAAACAAATCATGCATCAAATAGTGCAAGCGATTATTGCTTATACAAGTACTGCTACAGAGGATTGTCTTGCGTATTCTGGCTTTCTCAGAGTGTACTCAAGCGATCTTATGATAAAATCCGAAATAATGCAGCGCAAAAGAAATTACCGAAAAAGATTTGGGTTAGTGCTTAATGCTATGTATAGTTATTAGTTGTGTAGTACTCGCAATAATAATTCAAATCACAAGCACATTTACTGCAGATTCGGCTTACCCAGCAAGGGAGCTGCAATCACTGCCGCTGTATACACAAGTAATAGCCACTTCTGCAACCTTATGTTACGGGCAAAGGAGCAACGTTACGCGCAATTTTAACAAGTTTGGATACAAGATATTGAATCTGCTGCTTAACGCGAAACAGTTGTACTGAATTTTAAAAGCAATGTCGCTGTAATTATATTGTACAGGTATTCCACAGTATAGATCAAAGGCGCCGGTGGTTCATCAGATTGTTTAGCGTTGGCACATGCAATCTTTGCTCCGATCAAAATCTTCATATGCACTGCGAAAGCTTCGTTTAGCTGAAACAATATTTTTGCTGCGGTGTAATGGAATATGCTGTTCCAGGCACGCCGGCCTAATTTGACGGTTTTCAGCAATGCCTATCTATAACGAAAGTACAATTACAGTAAATGTCTTACATAAAAATCAGGTAGCAACGTTATGGAAAAATGAAATCGGTTCCCATGTAGTAAATGTGACCTTTGGTCGCGCGCTTTGATTTTCGCTTAATTTCAGCGTTTTATTGAGTTGAATTTCCCTCTGTTACTCGTACTGTACATACGTACTTACGGATGCAAATTTGTATCGACGTTTTCTCGTTTTTCTCCGTATACAAGGAATCGATGCAAAAACTTACAAATTATTTATTTAAATAGGTATGATCACCGTCACATGAGATGCAACGAAACAAGGCATGAATAGCATGTCATCAACGGCAAAGTAAATATGTCATCAACGGCAAAGTAAATATCATGGCATGTCATAGCATGTCATCAACGGCAAAGTAAATATCATGCATAGCATAGCATGTCATCAACGGCAAACTAAATATCATGGCATGTCATAGCATGTCATCAACGGCAAAGTAAATATCATGCATAAGCAAATCAAAAGGAAAAATTTAGTAATGCCAGAAATTACAAAGTGTAGTACGACTAACTTATTCAGGTTTTGATGGTATAAGACGGGAGTACAACATAACTTTACGACACATGCTAATTATGACGCTCCTGTTTTTACGGTAGTGCCCGTTGATCAATTAAGCTGCGTTACTGCACAGAGGTGTCTGCCATCCTTCTGAGTGGTTCTGTGTGAAGTTATTGAGAGATTACCGAAGAAAAACAAAATCCAAATAATAATTAGAAGAGCGACTACAGTATGTCCATACCGCACTTTTTTATGCGCTTATTTTCGTTCAAGCGTTTCTACTGCCCCAGCGGTATTATTATTCGTGTCTCGCCTCGCCCCTCTACGGGTGTGATTAAAAGCGATACTACGCTGTATGTACCTACGGTACACTCACAATTTAAATGGAAAGTTTTACTCGTAACCTGCATTACAAAATGCACTTGGCATCAGCCCAAATAATTTTATTCAAAGATATTGGTATAAAGCATAGCTAGAAACCTGCATCGCTTAACACTACTCGTACGGGGGCGGTCTGCGCGGCCTTCTGCCTACTTAAGAAATCCGCCAGAAATTCCAGTTTAGAGATATAGGGCTCTCCCACCCCTGAATTCCTCGAGGATTTTTAGTTCTTCGAAACTGCTTTAGCAGTTTTTGAGAGTAAGCTTTCAGAAAAGAGAAATCGGGCCGGCCTTTAAGACCCATTTCGCCGGAAGTGATTACAATATCCTCTATATTTCTTCAAGGAATTTTGCTTTTTGAAAACTTTCACAGTATAAGTTGTAAAAAAATGTTTTTTCTATCATAGTAAACAGAAATCATGTTTACAAAAAAATCGTACAGAAAACTAAGCCAGTTTTGATGCAAGCTCATTTTTCTTTGATATTCAGCGGAAAAAGTGTCCACAATTATCATGCCCGCCCGGCTGGCAGTTTGAACCGAATTCTCTGCGGGCTGCGCGAAATTAAAAATTTTCACCTTGATCATAGCGACCAGACCTGGGCAGTTATAGAAAACTGACCCACAGTTAGAGTTAAGAGTTACAGGGAGCGTGCGAGTTGCGCTAAGAGTTAAGTCATTTATGCAGGAAAACCGAGTTTCGAGTTAAACCGCGAGTTACGTTACCATAGACAATATATACTATTTTTCTCAGAGTTAAGTTAGAGTCAAGTTTTCTTCTGAGCGAGTTGCGCTAAAGAGTTAAGTTATAACTCAATAACTCGAAAATAACTCGCGTTAAGTTAAATAGTTAAAATTAACTGCCCAGGTCTGATAGCGACTCAATCTTCTTTCAATGTTTGCGATCTTCTTCGCAAAGCGCTTGGAAAACCATATGGGTTCCTATCACATGTTATAAAGTTTTTTAAAACTATATTTCCGAGGTCGACCTCTAGTTTCATGGAAATATCAGTCAGCTGCATAATTCCATCCAACCCAGCGAGCTCTTGCCATCATTATGCACTATGCAGCTGCCAGCAGTTAGGGTTTCGAACCTTGAATGTAGTGGATGTGACTAAGCAGGTATCTTTAAGTTTTTCTAGCTCTTTCATTTTATTGCAAATATTTTTTTTAGTTTGGGTCGACCCATAATTAGAGATCAGGTTTTGCTTTTGACAAAGTTATACTGGATTCAGCTGAACCAGAGCTTTTTCTGTAACATGCTGCACAGTTAATTAGAGCGCGAGCAATGCTCGAGCCTGTATAAACGATTTTGGGAGGCGTATCTACCACATTCAATTGGTTGGCCTGACAAGCCTACAGGAATATTCAGCGCAGCTAAAAACCAAAATACGATAAGTGTTAAACAAATACCACAGTTAATTGTCCATAGCATCAGATTAAGGTACAGTAGCACACAGCAAGCAGAAATACAGTACGAGGCAAGCGACAACTCTTTCCCATCGCTTTAGTAAATTTTATCACTTTCCCTGCTGCATCTTACCCGTGTGCAGGCGCTCACGTGATACTGATATCGTATCCATTGTAATCAGCGCTTACTGAGCCGGCGAAATAATCTCGCCTGCCGTGCTCTTCTCTGTATTCTTTATCAGTTTTCACAATCAACTATAGCTGCAAACCGACGTGAAACGGCTGAAATCAAGTATCACGTAAGATGCAGCAGGGAAAGTGATAAAATTTACTAAAGCGATGGGAAAGAGTTGTCGCTTGCCTCGTACCTCTGATCAAAACCCAATATCTTAATGAAGAAATGCACAAAACATCCATCACTAGTTAACGAACTATTTTTACGCTTTTTTTAGCACTTTAAATTGTAGCAGGGTGTATTATACGAATACTGAGAGCCGTTACTGCGGCGGATATTATCGATAGCCAGCGGTCGAGCGCAATCGACACTAAGGACATCCGGTATCAAGGCGTTCTGGATGAAAATCCACGGTGATTTGTAAGCACCGACGGCGTACACTTCACCTGGTTCCTTGCTGGCAGTGAGAGAAGGATTTTTTCTCAGGAAATTACGAAACCAGGCGTATTTGCAGTCACAGTGCAGCTTCCGTATTCTTTCCACATCCCTGGGCTGGAGTGGGGCTCTATCGGGGCGGCCGATTCGTTGGTATGTTTCCACTTGACTGATGCCAGTATATGCAGCAGCTTCCAACACCAACAACTGCAGGTGTTTTAAATCGGTGAACGTATACGGCTCCATATCCTCAATGGTCGACAACTCGATATAAATCATCTTGACTTGTGGCATACGGGAGAAATCTTTTTTCTGCAGTTTTAGACCCATACAGTGAAAGATACCGAAGCGATACAGATTCGGTAGCATTCCCACTTCGTACACGTTGCCGGTAATTCTGTCCGTGTAGCCCGTACAGCCTCTCATTTTGATTTCGATAACTTGGTTACGGAATGGCTCGATGACGTCGGATTTGAGAACATCCGGTGTGGGTCCGCTCATACTCTCGACGCGTTCGAAATGAATAGCCACAGGTCGGCGTGGACTGATTCGGCTGATGTTCGTGGCTACTTCGATCATTTCCGGTTGGTCCAGTCTGGAGCCGCGGCAGGTGAGCAGTAGGGAGTTCTCTCCAAATGGCCCTTTACAGTCGTTGGGCATGTCGGGACTGCACGTCTTGGATCGCCACATGTTGCCGGTATCGCGTTGCATGGCGGCGTAGCTGCGGCATTCGTCCTGTGTTATATTGTCAGTGCGGTACGGCGATTCGGTTGGCGGCGTGGATGCGGCTATCTTATCGTTGGTTGTACTGGGTTGGTTGCAGTCGGTTTCGAGTTGATCGTCCTGAGCTATAAAGGAGAAGTTCATTATAATTATTTCTGAAATGTCAGTATCAACTATCAAGTAAGGCTGAAGAAGGTACAGTACTCTGCGAAATTTCGAGATGCAGTGCAGGATTCTTAAGACTTTTGGTAAATTCATAAACTGCCAAACGGGTTTTAATAAAGCAAGCTATTTGCGGACTGAAAGGAGACATGCGTTTGAACGAGTACAAGCGAGTGAAACGACCGCAGCGCTTTACGCTTCAAAACTATTCTTTAGTTTTAAAAATGATGTGGCGACTGGCGACACTTTTTATTTGGTTCCAGATATTAGGTGGGGGTTATCTACAATCATCTTTCAAATCGCTCGTCGGTGCCTCATGTCAGCGGGCAGAATTGACCATTTCCATATATCCACATCATTCACTAACCTTTAATACGAATATGGTCTTTCTGTAACTATTTTTTGGCCTTTGAACTGATATTTCGTGAACTCGATTTATGCATTTTTTGGAATGTGCTGCCAAAATACAAAAGATGTAGTCTAGTTTTTTTCATAAAATATTTTTGCCTGTTTCACATTACAGCTGGCCGTTTACTAGAAAGCTGGTTATGCACGTATTAACCGCGAGCTAGCCGAATACTTTTGCATCTTCTCTCAATATTTTAATGTTTTGCACCACAAAGTTTGCCATCGTGCTTCGATCTAAGAAATTCGAAATAATAATTTTTCAGTTAAATGCAAAATTTAAAAAAAAAATAAATGATAAGTACGAGAACACTATTATATTATTTTTTTAAAAATAATATAATAATATAATATTCTTAAAAAAAAGTTGAATGCAATACTTTAAAAATATAACAATATATAAAAGATATTTAAAATAATATAATACTAAAAAATAATATTAAGTAAAACAATAATTAAAAAATATGATAACTATTATTTTATAGTAGAATATTCTAAAAAACGTGTTTTTTGCATAAAACGCTCAATCACAATAAAAATAGGTACTTAAAACTTCAAAACCTGAAAATGTAATCGCTCAGTGTACAGGGTGCTATGCTTACATGTACTGCTACAGAACTTTGGTAAAACCTCAGTTTGTATAAAGTACAAATTAATATTTAAGGATTTTGTATCCGGTAGGCGAGAATGGTATGGGCGTCAAAGCGTATATTGTACAAATATACTGTGTGTACATATGATATTTACCGCATTACAGAAATCGAATATTTATCGAACTAATAATAATACAAATTTAATCTTTAGTCCTAGCATCCGCTTACCAAGCAGGGGCGTTGTCATGATCGCAGCCGCTGTAAGTACGAGTAACACCCATTTCTGTTTCATTTTGGAACCGGCCGATGGCTCCAAGCAGATTCCTTCCAGTGGATGTGGTTCAGTGAATAAATGGTATATAACGGTATTTCTTGCGAGCAACTAAACCTATACAACTAACCAGTTGCCGCGTTACATTTGAAACATGGTCTATGTCTTTAACATGTCGTTATATATGGCTTTTCGGGTAGCTCCAGGGGTGCCATGACTTTTATCAGATGCCACCTACTGTATAATCTTTATTCCAATCGAAATTTTGTGGTATGTTATCACATTTTCCACGTTTTACGCCAGATAGTTGTGATATTAGTAATAGTAACGTGGTGTAGCCGATTAATATGCAGTCCCAGACGCACCGGTTTGCGTTTACTACGGTTAAACTGCAGCAGTGCCTGTGGGGGCCTAAGATGTAGAGCAATATGAGCAATCTTCTTTCCAAATCAAGTAACGATATGATCAGAAATCGGGCATTTGTTTTCTGAAAGCCAGTAATTTTCTCTCGTCTGCTTCGCATTTCCATTTGTGGCGGCAGATTTGTTGCATTTAGTTTCCGGTTGCTTTTGTTTTTACTGCAAACATTATTCAATATTTTGTCGACTTGTATTAACAGACCAAATTTATTACATTTTATCAGGCCTAAAGTTAGAACTAGAGGAAATAAAAAAATTTGAGCATGTGTGATGTGATACATTGTTTTAGGCATTTCTGTGATACCATCTCCGGAAACTCGTATCAGTTATTTTTAAAGCTATAGTCCAACGTAATTAATTTTTATATCCACTACGAGTAGTACGACAACAGCATCACTTGTGCGTTAGCATTCGCCAACAAAAATTTTGTAATAGAAATGGTATCTACTTAAAATGGTATCTTCTCTCTCTCCAGATTAAATATGAGTACAAGTATATCAATATCGAGGACAGCTTATGTTCAGCGTTCCTGAAAAATGCAGAGAATTCGCATAGACTTCTGCCGGATGCTGAGATGCGACGCACTGGGGAGTAGTGGTGCAAGGTAGATCTCACTGAAAATGTAAGCACATATAACAGCAACGCGCTTCACGGATGTACATCTCCGTACTCCGCGTTTCCCTACGGCTGGCATTCAAATTTTCCATGAATTATCCATATTCATTCAAATGAAAGCGGAATGCTTTCAGGTGATTCGTCTTTCCCACGCTCTGGAAAGGTCACTGTCACGCCGAGCGGGTTACGAGCACAGCGGCTCGATGTCCTTGCTTCTTTTGGAATCAGTAATTTGGTTCGCCCTGGCTTCGGTACCACATGCTCGCTGCTCTTCCATGCGAAAGGCGTGACTGATGGTTACTGCTGCTGTCGGCGCTATAGGAATTCAGTTAACCGGCACTGCAGTTCAGTGGTCCTGCTGGTTCCAATCAATGAGAATGCGTGGATTGGTCGAAGATAAGCGTAACAAGCTGGCCGGCGTCCACCCTTCGCCTTCGTCCCTGCGCCGGTCACCGCACCAATTACACGTATGCACGGTGGCCGCAAGACCCGAAATAGTGTCGATTAATGGACGAAGTGTTCATATAAGGCCACCTTGGCCGCATCTATTTATGTCACAAGTAACTCGTGGCTTTTGTGCGCTGATCATATTCATCGCCACCGAATGCAAGTATTCCAGACAATGTCTGTTATCGAATTATGGTTTTAGGATTTGATAACGCTGGTGGCAGTTTTCAAAAGGTCACTGATCTACTTTACAAAAATGTTTTTTCATGTTAGCCTTCATGCCCCAATATGATCGTTTGGACTATTAGGATCTATAAACTGAGAGTGTCAATGTGTCAGTTTTCGCTTACCGTTTTCGAATCTTATTATTTACTGATCTTGCGAACACAGTCAAATTTCATAATACATACGGCAACCTGGCATGTCTGCCAGGACATCTCGGCCACCAGGCAATTGGGCCACCTAACAAAAACTAAGAAACCAAAAGTAAACTCAGAAAACGACAATTGTTTGCACCACCCGGCAAAGGTACGTCCCCAAACGGACATTATTGTGTTCCTCTGCCACATGACCAAAACGGTAACCCTTTTGCCAGATTGGAACATGAAAGACTTATAGCATAGGAATCTTGATTTTCAGGTCAGTCGATGGTCTTTTTACAAACAACCAACGGCGTTACCAAATCCGACTATTCAGGCCTCATTCAGCATCACACGCTATCGTGCATAGGTGCCTTTTGTGCCGGTGATCGCGCACAGCACTGCAAAAACTAAAGCGGACAGCAACTTAATCCACGAGGGCAGAATAAGTTATGATTTTTTAACCGTTTCCAAACACTTATTCACAATCTAACGTAGATGGGGACCGGGGGCAGCGAGTGCACTTTCGTAGTTATTATGGATACATAGATATGTTTAATAATATAGGCTTTCTGGTACAACTCACAACGACGGTACAGTAGCACGTACCGATGAACCGGCCCATCAACAAAAATGAACAGCCGTTTACAGAAAACGTGGTCCAGGTTTTTCTTTGATATGCTAACTTTATTAAGAAAAAAACTGACAAACCAGCAATGATCTTGCAAAATGGTAAAATATGGTTTGGTAAAGTATTACTAGTACTTGTAACAGCACGACGTGCACGTTAAATTGCCACCAGAAATGTACGAAAAGGTTACTACTGTAATTATTTTTATAATTAAACATAAGTATGGCAGCACCGAGGACAAGTCTCCGCCTCCACCTCGCTGTCAGTGATACGAACGACACTCCTGTCCGCCAGTTGAGCGCGCAAAGCGTAGTACGGGTTCCCTGCACCACCTGGAGACCGATCCGCCGACCATTCTAAGCTTTCAACTTCGCCCGATGATGGAGAGGAAGGTAAGGCACTGTGAACAGCGGCTGGCTGTCTGCTGTCCCTTACCGCTGTGGCAGCGGAAGCCGCTTGCGAAAAACCGGTACCGGGGGCTTCCGTATAGACGGTGCGCTACCGGAGACTATCGCGCCGCACAGGTATTGGTGGCGCACGATATACCTCATCATCGATATCGGGACAGTACACAGCACCGCGCTTTGCAGACGGTACATTCGCGTGGCTCGCCGTTTCCGTGGCGCTGGCGTGAAAGTAGCTAGACGCGACACATTCGGGCTTGTTTCCGGGGTGGGTTGTAGAAAGGCTGCCGTCAGACCTCGGCGGATTCTGAGCGATGGAGTCTCTCTCTTTATTCCGAATGGAATCTATAGCGAGGTTAGCCCTAACTTCGCTATTTGATACTCGTTTCTCTTCCGCGCTAATAGAATTATTGTTGGTTAAAGCTGTGGTCGGCGCGACTCTTGCTTTGGGAACCCAATCAATCGGGACAACAGTTCGATGGTCCTGTTGGTTCCATTCGGTATGGATGCGTGGATCGGTCGATGGTTTAGTTGTTGTGGGTGCGCGCGTCAAACTGGCCGTCCGCGGTTTGCCTGACGTAACCTGTGGCGACTCCGAACCCTCCTTAGGCAAAGGGCGGTTAACGCTGGAGGATCGTGGTACGCGGATATTCTCGGTCGTAGCGGATCCGGGGGCGGCTAACGTGGATGCTGAATTCGTAGTTTCCACCGATGGCGTTGCCACGGAATTACTAACATTGGGCAGGTTATCGCGACTGACCCTGGAACGAAGAGGAACTGCGTGGGTCGCCGTCGTATTGCAGGTAACGCGATTCCGACGTATCGTCAGAGTATGCGCATGCGACGTCTCAGCGGTGGTAGTCAATGGAGCTAGTGGGGTACAGTCCGCCGGCGATCCATGGGCGTTTTCAAGGCGGTCAGCCATCATCGCGGTGACTGATCGCGTCGTCGGACGGGAAACGGACGGCGGCGATATATCAGCAGATGCGGTCGTCGGTTGAGCGGAGCCATAACACTTATTCTCGATCTTCACGCGGCTGGCAATGGCTTCCTTCGGAAACGGGGCATCAGAGATGCTGGCTAACGCACTGGGCTGAACTTTGTCACGACGGTGATCGACCATTCCATGCAGCACCACAATGGCCATAACACTCCGTGCCTGCGAAATTACCACAGCTTATAACTGGAGTACCGGAGCTGCATAATTTCACTCCAATAATATAACTGTGGCACTTCATGGATCGTACTCCTAGACGTAGACTGTCTTTTCTTGTTACCTTGTTAGTTTTGTTAATTTCCTTGTCTTACTGTATTACTTTAAGCCGTACCTGTTGATTCGGTTTCTGTAGCGTCCACGTGACAATTTCCTGCACCAGGGGGATTTTCGACGTCCCGCCCAGCATCACCAGCTCGTAGTTCCTTGCTCTGCCCTGAAAAAACTCCTCCACTTCCTTAACCAACGTCTTCAGCGTCGTATAGCAGTAACTTCCGATTAAATCCCGGAAAACTTCGCTGGTCAGATCCACGACTAAATCACACCCTTTATAGAACTGATTAACTTTTAGCGTAACTGCTCGCGTTGTCGATAGCTGAGTTTTCACCGCCTCGCAATTTAAGCGCAACCTGTGCAGATCATCCACCGCAAAGTTTACGACACCGTTTAATCGGTACAACTCGGCAAACCGCTTTAAACAGAAACGCATCAGAATTAGATCGATGATGTTGCCGCCAAAATGCTCCGTCCTCGTGGCTTCCAATGTTGACCTTTGGTAATTCGTGGAATAAATGCAGACAGTAGAAAAATTGGCGCCCATCCGCAGAATCACAATGTAACCGCGATCCCCAAGGTGAGGGAACTGTCGCAGCAAACCGTTAATCTGCGCCGTGTCTCGATCAACCAATTTGTACTGGCTGAAACCGCTGCGCAGCATTGCCTGATTCAGCGCGTTGGATATAAATTCCATCTGTTGCACGGCGATACAACATGCAGTAATATTGTACTGCTCGTCAATCTGTTCCTGGCAGGTTTCTCGCAATCCTCGCAAAAACAGCCGATTCAGCTCGATGGCGTCAGTCCACGCGCCGCTCTCGTCCAGATCCATTTGACAGGAATGTTCGGCGGTGTCGTAGTACCCTCTACCTTCTGCGCCGATCTTCATGGAGCACCCGCCGCGGGTATCCGCGCGTAATGAAAACGGCATGGCAAAATCCAGCCATTCATTATCGTCGTTAAGGTCGGTAGAGTTCAAGGTGGCGGTTACGTTATCGCGGAGAAACAGTGCCGGGGAAAAGACAATGTTCCGTGTCGTGGCATTGGAGAGCTCTTTGGCATTGTGCCCCACAAAGATTTCATCCTGGTCCGGGGAGAAGAAAAGGTAGGTGGGAAGGGCATTCTGCCCGTTGAAAGTTAACGGTTGCAGTTCACCACTGGGAAACTGAACAGCCGCTTTAATGTACGCGCTGCCATAATCCAGACATAGTAAAACGGAAACTGGTTTTCGAATTGGTGGCATCCTTGTACCAGGCTATAGTTTTGCGACTGAGAAAATCAGAGCCACCGAATGATTGAAATGTTCAATGGTAGACAAACAGCGTAGTGTGCTTAAAAGAGCATTGGACGGAATTGTGCAGCCACGGAGAAATGAATAGCAAAACCTGCTAAGCAGGCAACTAAGTTGGTGGTGCAGTACGAGATTCTCATTATTTACGAGTAATAATATGACGTACGTGCGCACTGTAACTTCAAAAATATTCTTTATCTGATAAACCGGTAAAATTTGAACAGAGAACGAGTACAGCCACAGCTGCTGCTGAATGGCTTAACGTCAGTCTGAATCATTTTGAGCAGCCGAAGTCGCGATGATGGTTATCACCGACATTCCTGAGTTATTACATTATACGTGTTCGCGCAATGGTCACGGACCATGTTACGATGCGCAGGGAGGTACTACAAACTACTGCATTAATTATACTGTAGACACTATAGATAGGATCGCTGTAATACTGACAACTTTAAGTACGCCTAGGTGCTTTTGCTTCTGTATAGTGTAGAAGTTAAGTCAGTACAGTTGAACCATACAAGAATATAGAACAAGAGGCGAAACCATTTTTTCAGTACAACTAACAGTTACACTTTTATATAACTATTAGTTACACTGAAAAATGGATTCGGCTTCTGTTCTGCCCGTTTTTTTAACAAAGCATTCGTCACTGCAATGTGCATACTTTACTTGCTCGTCAAGGTTTACGATAGCTTTTCCAAACTGGCGGTCGAAAGTCCACGCACCCATTCGCAACCTTTCCGACGCTAACAAGTTGACAACCATAAAACTTTCTTTATTCGTTGGACTGGCAAAATACATATAAAACATTTTTACACAGTTACCGTGACTCCGTGAGTTATTTTACTCACATTAGCGATCGGGTACTGTTTTAGGTTCGTGCTTTTACTCCTGGTCAAGTATCGAGCTAAAGGAACGCACACATTTCACAGTTCATACACCGAAATTAAAAGTAATAACGATCGTTCTGTAAAACAATGTTCCGCTCTGCATATGTGCACGACTACAAGCGGTTCCACATTTCGCTTTCTTTACGTTGTGCATTTTTCCGTGCCAGCATGGAACACTCAATAGTTTTGGAATTTGGTTTCTACAATACGGCACTTCTTGTGCGAAGATATCTACATGAGTACGCAAAAACGCCTGAAAACATCATTTGTGGCCAGAGGTCACTCTCTGGTGCATGGAAGGCTACTTCTGACCAGCGGTCATCTTTAGCGTCGTATTTTTCCATCGTCTTCGATATTTTGCCTCCCCGGCCTCGACCGCCAAAAATGTATATTTGGTCACCCATTACGAATGCGCTGTGACATCCCCGTGCTCGCAGTAGTGAACCTATTTGTGTCCACTGGCGTGTTTCAAAATTAAAACGATAGCATGTTTTCAAGACAAGATAACCGATAGGTCCGATGCCAGCAGCAATTCCGCCCAACAGGTAGAGCTCTCCGTGCAGAGCTATTAGCTCACACCCCACACGATTGCTACGCAGCCCCTGGGAGCGCATCCATTCGCCTGTTATCGTATCGAAACAATGTAGCTTTAGGGAACGGCTCGCTGGCCAACCTGATGACGTTGTGAGATAGATTATTCGATGGTCCAACGCGGTTCCACACACTATGTCAGCTATCCTGTTCGTTTCAAAAAGTCAGAGTTACACTAATGCATGCAGCTACGAAAAAAAGTGGTTGAAACTACTATTACGCGCATCTCACCGTTCTTTATTTTTAGGTCCAGATAAGGACTCCACGTTTCCGCCAAAAGTGTTGATTCTCTTGAATTCCACAGGTTTTGCTCGATGGTCCCAGAAATAAATCATATTGGAAATCGTTAGCGGGCGATAAAACAGAATGGACGAATCGGAAATTTACAGAGGGCGTGAGGTCTGCCTTGCAATATTCCACAAAAATGTATTAACAGTGCTGCCATCCATGTGAGAATCGGTAGTCTGGCAAATTACTCCATGATTCCTTAAGGCAATAAAAGGATACAAGAATTTACCGTGGATATCATCAGGCAGCAGACGTTTGCTTAGTGTAGTTGTCGCTGCATCAAAGAGTTGAACGGACACCAAATTTCTGTGCACCAGTGGTACGTAACAACGCATGTGCAAAGACCGATCGGGATCCGCCACCATATGAACAAAGAGGACTTTTTTCCCTGAAGTTATGTCTACACTTAACGTTTGTTCCAGTCGCCCACCGTGGTATCTCGCTGCGGATAAGTATAAGAGTAATTCACTGGCGGATATTCTTTCCTCGGTATTTACGCACAAGCAGTACTGAATGCATGATGCAAGATCTAACGGCAGCGAACTGTCTAGAAATGGCAGACCTCCGTCGATCGCCATTGTTAAGAAGCGTGTGTTTGGCATATTATGAATGTCGCACTTGCCCATTCTCTTGGATCCATACATTCTGCAGATCCATAACAAAGTTAGCTAGTTCCAGCATAATACAGCCAAGACTCCAGATATCTGTCTTTCTTCCTGGGGTGCTATTTGACACCCCAGCAAATTTTTTTACCATTTCTGGTGACATGTATTGTGTAGTGCCTCGCAGATGTGTTACATCCATCGAACAGGTAACACTGCGTTGCATTTCCACTAGATCATCCAAATCACCAATTTGTAGTTTATGCTTGTTGTTCTCAGTTTTCTTTAGAAGCACATTTTCCGGCTTGAGGTCACCGTGAATTATGTTATTCTGATGTAAGTAGTCGAGTCCGTTGGCGATTTCTATCATGTAGTGGAGGGCCAATCTGTACTCAAGCGCTTCTCCTCTCTCTTTCCTTTTTTTTATCGAAGATGCCATATCTCCATCTAAACTGATCAAAAGTTATTTCCAGAAAGAGGTTCACTATTTTTACACTAAGTAATAGTTTATTGCAAATTTATTCGCACCTCGATAATAATCCATCATAAGCTCGACGTACTCCCCTCCTGGGGCGTTAGCAAAGGTCACTTTGTGGTATGTTACCAAGTTTTCATGCCGCAAATTCAGAAGCGTTCTCAGTCTAGCTCGGCGTTTGATCCATTCGGTAGAACTAATTTGGCCAACCAAACCTGTTTTTCTTTGTAAATGGACCACTTTCACTGCAACGATCCGTTCACCAGCAAAATCACCGGGATTTATGACCTTGGCTTTGTAGACCAGCCCGTATGTTCCTCTTCCAATGCAGTCGGTGCTTTCGTACCGATACTGACAGTTACTACCGAAAGACTCGGTTTCCATGACAAATTTTCCGCAATATGCCACCGTAAAAGAACGGAGTGCTTAGTGGACAAAAGACCTCGGTGTTGTGCAATGGCTTCATCCGATGGATTGTTTGGAGAGGCTCAATACGTTCTGCAATTACAGTATAGCGTACCGTAACAGCATGCAGTCCAGTAATGTTGCCCTTAAATGCTTTCTGAACAGAACTTCGAAATCTATGGTACGGTATTAGTAATAATGTTTGGAACCTAATGTTTATCACAAATTCACCGATTTTGTGCGTAGGTGTACCTGCAGTGATGGCATGCTTCGTTCTTTCCCCGGAACAGATTAGATAAGCTACCGATTGCAGTTACCAAGAAACCCACCACAGCACCAATGGTGACTTACCACCCATTATCGCACTGGATAACATTCCGCTGTTATATTTCGTACAGATAGAAGCGCGTGATAACTGACAACCTTTAATAATCGAAGTCAATGCCAAAAAATTGGAGGAATCTATTATCCGACTAAAAAAAGTTATTAATGGAGCGCTCTTCAAAGTTCAAACAAATACAACCGATGGTCAATTGATGGTATTTCAAATATGATCGATGGTATAACTTGTATTTTCTTATGATTTTACTGTCTTCAGGGTGCTAAGCACACTTTGTTGATGCCTCAACTAATAAAAAACTTCAGTATGCGCGTAATGCAAACATTTTTTGATAGGTTAAAATATAACTTTTTTATGGCCTGTTGCCCCATAAAAAACTTATGTTTCTAGTTCTGCGGTTTGCACGTCACGCTGTAATCTTGAATCCATTCGATCGTTTGTTCATTCAGTTGCATGATCCGATAAATAAGTGCGCTGTACTTTCTTTCCAGAACGGCTCAAAAGGTTTATCGATCGCAGACAGGGAACGCCCGGACGTCATTATCTTGATCCTCTGGGAGACTGGGACCATGGTTAGCCACTGCCATTACCGGTGGTGGTGCGTGCGTTGATACGGACTGCCAGATGTCGCGGCCGATGCGGTACACAAGGCTCTTTACGTTCCATCCCATTTGGGACGTATTTCTAACGCTGCCGGTGCGGGATTATACCTCGGGGTCTCCCAGGCATGCTGTAAACGATTCGCGTTCCAGAGGATTTGGCAGCAGCTCCGGGCAATTTGCTGGTTCAATTGACGCGTACGTTGCGACCACGCCCAGCTAACCATGGCCAAAAGACCTCTTTTTCCGACAGAGACCGTCAAAATCAGAGGGAATGGGCTATCGATTATTGGCATTTGTTTTCTTTATCGGCATTTGTTTTCTCTGTGTTCACCTTCATTATAATCTACTATGTACCGCGACCGTTATATAAAAGACATACTTACGTAAAAACTATATCTGATTTGCGCGTCAAAAAATCGCGACGTTTGTGGGTTTGGTCATTCCGTTACTGTGCTTCGTACTTGTACGGATTCATCCTATTTGTTTGTTACACAAACTTCAGAATTAGGTATTTATGCAGAAAACGAATTACATTGGGATACACAGCAGTCCAAATCTCTGATCTTTCCTGGAAACTTTTCCTGGTGCATAGTGTACTTTGACTGATACTCGTACAATATTTGAATCCAGCATGACTTTAATGTCAAGGTACATACAAAATTGGGGTCAAATCGGTAGTAAGCTTCCTAAGCACACCAAGGTCCTTTCCATCAAATTTACGGTTGGTGATATTAGCAAACGACGAACGTAAGCATCGCGGCTTTCTTGTTGATTTCGGGAACGAAACGTACAGTCTCGTGTACGAGAAAATTGTACGCCGTGTTAGCTACATACCTAATTACGTATTGGAAATTAGAATACTCTATGGTATACCTACATAACTACAGTGAACTACTTCTAGAGAAGGCGAACATGTACATACAATACAAAGCCCGTATGCACACAGTACATACACAGAATCTTCATGTCTTTTAACACTGGGGCACGTCCAGGGAACATGTTAACCATAAAACCGGCGAGGTTTATCGGCTGATTATCACCAGCGGAATTAATGATCAAAACAATTTTATGGTCAACAACAACTATCCCGGTTTTATGATCCCGACCCGGCCGTGAACTTTTCTGCGCGTTATATCGTAAACCCTAATATTAAGTACTTAATCCTTAGCTGGTTTGCAGTCATATCGCATGGCAGTTCATGGGGAAACGAGAAATCCATACCCATTCTTTTCAGAAAGTACTATTTATTTAATCCAATTTACAACGGGTGCGTCAAGGCATTTTATACTCGAAACTCCGGTATTTTTTTGTGTCTTGCAAAAGTTTGTAGTGACCTGGGTACCAAAGAGTTACTTCATTTTATTCAGCTTTATATCAAGCTTTTGATATTTCTTTCAAGCTCTCGGTTCTGCTTTTCCCGTCTGTGCACACAGAATAACTCAGCTACGAAAAATGATCTCTACGTATCAGAACACTCAGGATTCACCGTTACACTGGGGGGATGGCGTTGTTATTACCTGCTATTTTGTGTTGGTTTTGGCTGTCGGGATTTGGGTAAGTATTTATTACCAGGTTACCAGTTTAAACAGCCAACAGGTTGGCGTCTGTTTGGAATCTGCATTGTGCAATACTGCTATAGATCATCCCTAAGGTACTTGTAGTATGGCGTAACTTTATAATTAATTGGTACCAGTTAACAAACTGCAGCTAGTGCTCCTGCACTTTGTAGATGTTACGAATGTTATCGTGCTAATCGTGCGCTTTTTACGAGGTCGGCGCAAAGTGTTTTGACCTGGACAACTTACTCGTATCATCATATTAAGTTTCTTAAGATTTAGACTACTGAAAATTGAACCATAGTATCTGTACAGGAAGCAATTACAAGTTTATCAAAATGACTAAAATAATACGAAATTCTGTTGATGGGCAAACTTTTTGTAGTCCTCTCGACGAACCGTCCGATCTGGATCTGTATCAGACTATTTTTTGGCTGGAAGGAGCATGAACTTTATACTGGTACCAACAATAATTTGCTGTATCAGTTAATTAAAAGCAAATTTGCATATTTTCGGTTTGAGAAAAGTGACATCGATCCTTTAGTATCCTCGTTTATAAAGAGATGTTAGTACTGTATTTGTACAACTACTGTATATGATAATGAACAAATGAATGCAGTTGGTTTACTAACAAAATAATGATAGGGTGATATGGTTTCATGCTGTGATTTTCATTCCGTTGCAAAATGCAGGTGGGAACTTCACTTTTTGCTTCCAACATCGGATCTGGTCACTTCATAGGGCTTGGTATACTGTATTACCCGTACAATTTCCGTGCCAAATTAGAATTTCAGGAAATAATAATATTATGTTGATCATGAAGTAAATGAAGATGGTGCTGAATAAAATCGATGTTTAAATTGAGGGAATTTTCAGCTGGGAGCGGCGCTGCCACAGGGATCGGGATAGCGGCCTATGAGCTTAATGTAGGAATCATCATACTCTGTCTTTCCAGCCTCTAACTTTTAAAACCCGCAGCGGCCTGTTTAATTCTTTTGAGCCGTAGCTCTATGACGGCGCACATTTGACCTTTATAGATTGGCTAGATATTGTCTGAATTGCAGACTGTTTTTATAACATTGATCTTGGGATGGATTTTTGTGCCGGTTTACATCGCTGCCGGAGTAAGTGCTTCTCATCCGCTGTATTCGCTTAATAATTCTGTGTCATTACGAGGAAAAACTTATCTTATTTACAGATTTACACTATGCCAGAGTATCTACAAAGGCGTTACGGGGGTCGACGGATTCAGATATTCTTAGCGGTGCAAACGCTATTTCTCTATGTATTTACAAAGATTTCGGTAAGTGTCGGTACAGTAGATAACTGATTCATTTTTTTAATTAGCAGTTACTGCGATTACTGAGTCAGTGGTTATAATTAACTAGCTTAACATTTACTCATTTTAGTACCTCTATCTGTTACTCGTTAGTCGCTATTACCTCTGTCAGTTACGCGTCTACGCATAAACTGTGAAATATTGAGGCTAATATTGTCATAATTACCTGTACTTCTATGGCTCGAAAGTTGCAAATTTACAGTTAAGCACGGGAAGATAAGAATTACTAAATTTTACTCATGTAAAAAGAAATGAGAGCTCGCTTACTAATCAGACTTACCGAACCTTTCCAGGCTGATTTATTTGCGGGAGCAATTTTTATTGAGCAGTCGTTGCAGTGGAATTTATATTTGAGTACAGCCATTTTGCTGTTTATTGCGGCAGTTTTTACGATTTACGGTACGTGAAATTTCTTATAACAGAATATTTTCTCCATGTCTTGCACAGTGTGCAGCAGTATACATGCATCCGTACAGGAACACGTCCGACCTCCGAACTAACTGATATCGAAGGTAGTAAAATTATTCTGCTCGTTTCAGGTGGTTTAGGCGCCGTTATATGGACCGATTTCGTGCAATGTGTGATTAGTAAGAGATAGAAAGCTTTTAATGTAATTACTTAAAACATCACGTGTATTTTAGCGTAAACTAGATGTATCTGTAGTCGTTACTTTTGGCATATAGTGTTGGCGGGAGCTTTGGCCCTTTTAATCGTTGTAATGGTGAAAGTTGGGGCTACCAGTCGCTAATCACGAAATTCCCTCTCGCCAAGCCGGCAGAAATCTGGCCTAACCGAACTGAATGCGCTCAGGTTCCTGAGAACTTCCTGCACTTACTACGCGATCCGCAGGATGCTGAAGTGCCGTGGCCGGGAATAGTGTTCGGACTCTCTATATCATCCATTTGGTAACTAAATTAAATCTTATTAGATTAGGTCACTGACAGCTAGCGATATGCGAAAACATTACGCATTGCGAACTTTTATTACTTTAATTTTGCTTTCAGTAATTAAATTTTGTGACATAACTTATTTTGCTCAGCACTCCGACAGACTTAAGGACATGTAAGCATGTACAATACTGTGAACATCTTAATTTTACTGTCATAATAGGTTCTGGTGTTCCGATCAAGTCATTGTCCAGCGTGTTTTGGCCAGCAAAAATGTTTCCCACGCCAAAGCTTCTTGTGTAATTGGCGGTTATCTGAAGCTGCTGCCGATGTTTTTCATGGTATTTCCAGGAATGGCGGCACGAGTATTATTTCCAGGTCATAGAAAACCACTTGTTTATTTTATCGCCACTAAAAGGAAAGCGGTCGTAGTAGCACATGTGCAGCATTAATGTTCTAATTTTGCATTTAGATTTCTTCTGTATAAGCCGTATAATTATAATACGGCATAAACCAAAATTAGAGCATGAATCGTTGTACACAGTTACATAGTGGTATCTGTACGCAGCATAGTTATAGGTACGGTATACTTCTGCAGTATGATCACCACAACTACATGGGAACTACAGATATTGCCCATTCAGTTAATCATGTCCTTCTAATGCAGACGACGTAGCTTGCGTAAATCCCGACATCTGTGAACGCGTGTGTGGATCCAAGTTAGGATGCACCAACATTGCTTATCCTAAGATCGTACTGGAACTGATGCCGCACGGTATTTTGCGCCGGGCATTTCTTCTTCCAACTCCATGTACAATACAGAAATTACTTTTTTAAATGCAGGTTTAAGAGGATTAATGCTGGCGGTTATGATGGCAGCATTGATGAGCTCTTTAACCTCCATTTTTAACAGCAGCTCCGCTATATTCACCATCGATATATGGAAGAGTTTTCGCAAGACCGCCTCGGAAACCGAGTTAGTTATCGTTGGAAGGCAAGCATCAACACTAAATACACATTTAATAACGAAATAATAAGAAAAATGTTAAGCAGACTTTGTGGAGTCTTCTGCGTAGCCAGTTAACAAATACACTTAAATGGGTGAAATTACTGAATACAAACGCGAGCAGACTTATTACTCGTAATCATAGCTTGTGCTTGCAGGATTATAACCGGGGTCATGATTGTGGTGTCATTTCTGTGGGTATGGTCATTCTGCAAATATTTGAATTCGTTGTCATATTAAGTTTAATTCGAATGGTGTTTAGTCTTGAATTTGTTGTGACATTAAGAGTCATGACTTACTGTTGCATTAATATTATTTTCAAATTTCCTCATTTTATCATGTTCCACGTACATATCTTTTCATAATTGGTCATTCACTAATTCTAAGTACGAGTAAATCCTAATTTTTAAGCACAACGATGTTTTCAGAAATAATGGCTTCATTAGTAAAATACTTTGCTCGCAAAATTTTGCTCATACACTATACAGATCATCAGTAGGTTTTCATAAAGAAACAAACAAGATTACTTAACTCGAACTACATACAGAGTACGCAGAAGCGCGCACGCGATCGGCGGCTACTCAAAGAGCGCGCTATAGATGGGCCTGACCAGTTTACGAAAACGTAAAGATCTCGAAGTACAGCAAAGTGACCGGAATATATTAAAACTTGACTTTGAAGTACTCATACAATGGTTTTCTTTGACAGGTGCCGGTTATAAAAGCTACGCAGAAATCTCAGCTCATCCATTACAGTCAGTCCATCACTTCCTACTTGGCACCTCCAATTGCATCCGTATACTTCCTGGGAGTCTTTACTACAAGAATTAACGAGAAAGTAATTCTATCTGTATCTGTACTTTATCGTATCTGAAACACGATAAAAAGAAACCTTATGTCAACATTTTGTAACAGGGAGCGTTCTGGGGATTGATAGTTGGACTCATAATAGGAATTGTGCGTTTTATTCTGGAGTTTTTCGTATATCCGAGTGTGCCATGTGGGGAAATCGACCGTCGTCCAAGCATAATAAGAAATATCCATTACCTGCATTTTGGAATAATACTTTTTCTGTTGTGCGTTTTCGTCATTGTTTCGATCAGCCTTCTCACCGAATCGCAGGACCCACGACCAGTACGTATGTTCAGTATTGGACTGTGCACTTGATATACATTGAAGTACTTCTATACTATCTATAATTATGTACGAAAATTACAAAATGCACTAACGCATCGTATTTAATACGATGCGTTAGTGCATCCCATAATTATGACATACTGCGCGCTTAAACAACTGAATTAGCTGTGTAAAGCTGTATTATAGAGTCATACATCCTACATATACATAGCCGATACAAATACATAATTAATATAAATTATGTATTTGTACACAAATACCAATACATAATTTATAAATTTAATTTAACTTAATTTATAATCCGTTTGTTTACAAAAACAGCGTTCGAGTAAATGATTTACCGTTTTTTTCTTATTCGATGCTTTATATTATCATTGTGCGTCACAAACCCTGTGCGCGTTACTTCGTACCTACTCGTATTGTACATATACTGCACTATTTTATTTCCAGTTTCCGAAAATCCGCAAATGTACTGTAATTTCACTGATCTCTTAATATTTTCAGCTTGCTCGCGTGACGTTTTTAACCCGGCATAATCCCATGGACAGAGGTTATGAGACTGACAATTCGGATACCAATATTGGTAAAATCGACATGGATATGGTGGAGACAGAAGGTACAACATTTCGGCTTTCCAGATGCAGTACTATGAGAGTGTACTCTGTATAATCATGAGAAGTTGACAGCGTTAACATAAACTTGTATGAATACGGTAGAAGAACCAAAAACCTGGATCCAAAAATGCGGTGTCATCTGTTGCATCACGGAGCATATTTCAACGCCACTTTCCACAGCGGAAATACAGCAACATGAGCAACGAATTACGGAATTAAACGAGAATATTGTTATGAAGCGCGCTTCAACGGTTGCGGCATTCTTTCTTATGGCAAGTTAATTAATGAAGTAAACTACTACAATTATGGTGAAAATACTGCAATTATTTCCGTGATATTTTGCCTTATTCTAGGTTTTTGGGATTTTTTGCTTTGGATACTATGCTTAATATGCTTTTGGAAAAACAGCCACCGGGAATGCCGGATCTTTGTTCGCCGAATTTTTGACCTGAGCTGTGTATCTTTCGATAATTTCTACAAAACATACTCTTATTTTATGATCAGTGAACTACTTTTGCACATCGTTTTCACCGGGAAAGCATCGATGCACTGCCTTCAAAATGTTTTGATACTGATATCACTGGTCGATATTACTGTAAGCAAACGCTACTAAAATTGCGGTAAACCTACCAAATGGTCAGTGAAGTTACGATAAATCCGAGATTTGTATTTGCAAACCGTTGTCCGTACATGGTGTTGTCGCGATTCCAAAAAGCTTTGAACTTCATTCGTTCCATGCCCTTAAAACGGCGTAGAAGTTTACAAAACACCAACACGATTAAGTGTTCATTGAATTTCATTCGCTATAAACGGTGCACGCAGAGTCTAGGCTCGATAACAAAACTTCCTGTTTTTTTATACAACAAAATAATTCTAAACAGATTGTGTTGAGCAATGAGCATATAGTTGTATTAAAATGAAACACTATTAATAGCAAAGTTGTACGTCACGGGTACACAAAATTGATCATCACGCGTGCAACCGTCGTGTCCGATTTCGAGATCGCCAGTCGTAAACTGACCGTAAGCGCGCTAACTGTTGCTTTTTGTTGCAAGACAAACGTCGACCAGGTTGGAGAACGAAACAACGGCAACGATATACGGAGTCTGTTAACGATGTGCGCGGTACTACTGCATCCCGAACTGGTGCCGGCTGGCAGTGACAGACGTGGCTAAGTCCTTCTTGAACTGCGCATAACCAGAGGGCCCAGTGCCATAGTGAATTCCGAGACGGATCTGCGGTCCACACGTGTGCACCTCCGGTAGTCGGGGCTCCTCCGAGTCTTGGAAGACAATCTGCATCAACGCAAAGCCAATAGTGAATTATACAAAGCGGTGCAGAGCGTTTTCAATTTCTTTAGTTTTTATAGTTAGCGTGTTAGCAGAATCACATATGCTGCCAAAGTTCGCCCAAAGCCGGTTGTAGTACAGTTATTCTACAGTAACTCACTTCAATTTTCTTCGGCAACGGTATCCGTGTAAAACCTGTAATGAAGGTCATCAGGGCTCGTCGCTCGTCGACAGTAGCCGTCTGGATGTATTTAACAAAATGCGTGACGGCGATCTGCTCTTTGTCGCGGTATTCGTCGGAGTGTCGCGGCAGGCTCAGCTCGCGGAGAATGTCGTCGGCGCTGGTGACGATGCGGCACAGCGATTCCATTAAACTTTGCAGTATGGCTGGATCGCGGATAACCTAAGCATAATAATGGGCAACTGGCACGAATCGCAACTTCGAAATTCAATCGTTTCTGTAGTGTGTTTGTAAAGATATACAGAACACTGCAACACCTGGCATTATGTGTTAAAGTACCTCCAAAAAATTATCCTGGTTGAAGCCCTCGCGAATAAGAAGAATATTTCCCCGGCGGCGCGTGTACAGTTCGTATTTGACGATTTCCTTTTTCAGATCTTCCTTGTTTTTATCCTTCCATATGGAAGCCTGTTAATATGATTTATATTTCAAATTTTTCCACGAACCCATACTACATACTTTACGTCAAATAGAAAGAAGAAAGAGAGAACGGGAAAGCGGTCGCTAGTTACCTGCAAATCATGATGCTCCATCCATGCAAACAGATCGGGAATGGCCGCCGGAAATTCCCGGTGGCGGTTGACTGATCAACAGCCACCAGCAGGTCCGCCACGGTGGCGTTAACCAGAGCGGCATGCTCAGGGTCAACGGGCACGTCGACCATGTAGTAGAACATGGAGCTATCCAACCAACTGGGCCAGGCGTAGCCGTGGACTATGGAAGCGAAGAGGAACTTGCCGATGGATCGCAGCACCCAGTCTTCCACCGGTTGGCTGGTGACGGTCTTAAAGGGTTCGCCTTCGAAAACGCGGACACCCGCGTGCCGGAAGTCTTTGGCCTGGTCCCAGGCGGCCTGGGTAACGTCACGAGAGACGCCACCGCGGTCAATTCCTCTGCAAGGTAACAAAAATTAAATGAATGTTTCAGGTACAAAGTTTATACAATTGATGCTGTTTGTTGTAAGAAACAAAATACATAATTAAAAATTATAAGGTTAGATCTGTTTATAAATTTGTTAACAAACCAAATTTATGAGCATAGTTTTTGATAAAGATTTGCTTGATTTGTTCGAGCCAGGTATTCTTTTGTTGTTTCATGTTTTTATAAAAATGGTTTCTTTGACTATTACTGTCCCGGTCAGCGCAAAAACCGGCAAGTGTAAGCTTACTGTTGGTAATTGATTTTAAGAACGGAAGCCAGTGCGTCGCGGCCGGCATGATGGAAATGCCGGAGGAGCCCATCGAAAGCCTTATCGATACTGGACAACTGCAGCTCCGGTCGGTCAGCTCGGCGGGCCACAAAACGGTTAATAAATTCCGTGACGGGTGCCGGGAGGGTGCTGCTGACCTGGGGAAAGTTGAACTCTTCCTCCAAACATCCCGCCAAAAACCGCAAAAATCCTCCTAAAGACCATAAAAAAATACAGTGCACATACACGTCCGGCGATATGCCTACTGGTAAGATCTATGTACTTACTCATAAAAACCTCGCTAAGCTCCTCTTCCGAATCCGGATCTTCATTTTCCTGCAACTCCACAAGATTAAATCGAATGATACAACGAAGGAACGATTTCGATAAATTGTGGACGAACCTGATTTTCTTGGCTCTGCCGGTCATCATCGGCGTTGGGATCCTCATCGGCTTCCTCCTCTACAAGAAAACGCATATCAAACAACGAGACAGCGACCAAATTTTTGTACAGAATTAGGGTATATAATTTTCGAATTCGACGATATTTTGTTGCAAGTGATCGAAAGAATTACTTACCAGATGAATCATCGCTATCGCTGTCAGGACGCTCATCCGGCACCCCTTGGCGGTTGACCTGCACGTCAGCAGAGCGTCCAGTGCGCCGGTCGACGGCAGTGACATGGACGATTCCTGAACGGTCATACTCAAAGGTCACATCGATTTGTGGCTCGCCGGCCGGTCCGCGTTTGTAATCCCCAAAGCGAAACTTCCCCAGCAATCGGTTTTCCCGCACCTTGTTCCCTTCACCTTCGTAGATCGGGATATTAACGTACCAGACATGGTCGCGCTCGGTAGTGAACTCCCGGGTTTCCCGGGCCGGGATGCGGGTGTTCTGGGGAATCAGCACCGCCATGAAACCTCCCGCCACTTCCGTGCCAAGTGAGAAGGGAGTAACGTCGCTAAACTGGATGCCGGTGTTGGCATTTCCGGTGGCGTCATTCAATAACTGGTGCGCCAGGACGGCGGCTCCGTAGGCAATGGCTTCGTCGGCATTGATATCCTTATTGATTTTCTGGTCCGAGAAATATACCGATAGTTGCTCTCGGATACGCGGAATGCGAGAACACCCGCCGACCAAAACTACCTGGTCGATGTCGCTTTTCTCCAGGTCCGCGCGGCGTAGGGCTTCCTCGACCGGCTCCAGGGTCTTCGTAAACAGGTCCTCACACAATTCATCGAATTTTCTTTTGGTAATGATTTCCCGAAGGTGGTGCTCGCCGTGGAATGCGTCCAGAACCACCACCGCTTTCGAGTTCTCATTGACGAGACCCTTCTTGGCCTCCTCCACTCGCAAGCGCAGACGGGCGACGCTGGGACTCTTGCGATCGATTGTCACGCTATTCTTACTTTCAAACTCGGAGACGCAGTATTCCAGTAGGCGTTCGTCGAAGTCCTCCCCTCCCAGGTTGGAGTCGCCGGAGGTCGACAGGACGTTGAAGTTCCGACCGTTTTCAATTCGTAGGATGGAGACGTCCAGGGTCCCACCGCCCAGGTCGAATACCAGAATTGTCTGGGACTGGTTCAGCTTATCCAGCCCGTAGGCGACAGCCGCCGCTGTCGGTTCGTTGACCACTGCCAAAACCTTCAGCCCCGCCTTTACCCCGGCTGCCACGGTAGCCCGCCGCTGGGCGTCATTGAAATTCGCCGGCACCGTGATGACCGCGTGCAGGACGATATTGTCGGCACCGTTGCCCAGGTAATCTTCGGCAATGGCCTTCATCTTCTCCAGGACGAAGGCGCTGATGTCCTCCGGTGTGTAACGGCTGACGACGGTCCGTGTTTCGTTGTTGACATGTTGGATATCCGTGATCTCCACCTCCGGGAGGCCGTTGGACGACGCGAGGACTTTGAAGGGCCATTTGGAGCGGTACTGCTGGACTTCCGGTTCGTCGGTGCGTCGTCCGATGATGCGTTTAATGGCAAAGACGGTGTTAGCCGGGCGGAGATAGCTGTTGTTACGGGCTTCGATTCCCACCGTGTGTTGACCCTCCTCGAAAGCCACGCAGCTGGGTGTGACGCGCTGACCGTGCTCGTTGGCGATCACCTCCAAGGCTTCATTCTGACGACGCACGGCGACGCAGGAAAACGTCGTGCCAAGGTCGATACCGATGGTAAACTGGCTGTTCATTGTCGCTTTGGTGGTGCACCCTGTGCAATTAGACTTGGTGCACCCTGTGCAATCAAGCCCAAAAAAATATATCAAAAACAGGAACTGCTAAATTACCGTAATTACTGTAAGTTACACACTGTACTAGCTGAAACTAAAGTAGCAAACGCTCACTGGCCGTTCTCCAAAAATCGTAATTCAAACAAATTCAAACATTGACGGAGTTACCGGTATGTGGGAAGACTGGTATAAAATTAAGTACAGGCAAAACTGTAGAAGCTCCTATGCGGTGCTAACTGCAGGTGTAATAGCACATTCAAGTAATTAATTCTCAGACTGTTGTCAGAACACACTTCTCAAATAATTGTAATCGGACTGACCTGTGCTCTTCAGCCGAAGGAGCGAGTGAGTACAGATTGTACAGTATGATGATAACACGCTGAATAATTGTGTCTAATCGGTGACTCATGGTGCATTTCCTGTTTGGTAAATACCGGTACGTGTTAAACAGAGAGCACTCATGTATCCTTTATGACTACATGTACTCATATTATAATATCTAGAGCCTTCTGGCAGAAAAACTGGGAACGGCAGAAATGTGTACTTGTTGGGTGATATTATTGCAGTACTGTGGCTGTTACTTGTTACTGGTTACTATTATAGATAGTATCCTCAGTCAAGCAAACTGCGTCAACGACATACAATCAACTGGGTCGAAGAATTCCTCTGATAACGTCGTATTATTGAATCACACAGCAACTATCGTCATTCACTAGTACTTGGCTGATCCGATTGCCGCAAAGACAAAACTTAGTTGACTTTGTTTCCAGTTGAAAGTTGTTTCCAGTTGCTTGAAGTTCTTAAAACTGTTCCGTATTGTACTGCTGCCGAATGCCGATCGTCGAGCCAAGATAGCCTGTGCGCCGTACCGGCTGAAAGTCCAACAGTTATCGTGTTGCCTTGTTGACATTTCTATCTCCATTATAATTTGTGATAACTAGTTAGCTACCTTCAGCATCAACAGTGTTAACTTTCATTACGATACTTGATCAATACAGTGTTCTAATTTTAGGCAAGATAGCAAAACGCACACAAAGCCTGTAGTAGTATTTTCCCACCCTAATGGCGCTAAGGCAAGGAGTTCCGGTTACCCTGTACCTGGACTTCGGTACCGCGTACATCAAAGCCGCTATCCAGTGTCCCGATGGCGAAGTGAAACCGTTGTCGTTTAACGGCCAAAATGCCTTGCCCGCGTACCTCTTCCTGTCCTCCGAGCCGGGCGAGAATTTCGTGGGACTGAACGCCCGGGAACTGTCTAACACCAGCACCCGAAATATCGTGTTGTACCCGGCGCTCTTCCTGCGCAAAGATGCCATACCGACGGCGTGCGACAGCTACAACAGCAGTCCATGGGTGGACTTTGCCATGCCCTTCACGACGTACGTCCAAGCCAGCGGCCTGTGTTCCCTGTTAGTGGGCGCCACCGGATACCTCGACTACGACACCGCCACCGACAAAAGTAACCGGGTCCTGGACGGAACCGGTGCTTGGATCAACGCTGTCAAAGTAAACCGCGCGTTCTTAAATAAACTACGGGAAATCTGCCAGGAACAGGATGACCAGTACAGCATCGTCAACTGCGTCATCGCCGTACACGAGCTGTCTTCCGTGGACGGCTGGCTACGGCAGGCACTGCACACTAGTGTTTTTGAGGATTATCATCTGAAAGAACGCAGTACCGCTCAAATTACCGGCCTGCTGCGACAGTTCCCGAGTCTGCGCAAACGCTCGCAGATTTTGGTTCTTCGCATGGGCGCGGCGTTCTCTACGCTTTGCGTCTATACCACGCAACCGGAACCGGTGTTGCTAGCGTCGTGGACGGAGACTTTTGGCGGGAACAACATTGATGTCATTCTGGTGCAGTATTGTTTGAAGAAATTCGTTGAACTCTACCGCTTGAACGGCAATGTACAGTTCTCCGTGGATAACCTGCACCGGCTACGCCTGAATTGTGAAGCGGTGAAGATTCAGCTGTCCACCACGAAAGCGGTGACCCTGCGGGTGAATCAGTTCTTCCAGGGAGGCGATCTGGTGGTAGAGATGACCAGTGAGATCTTTCGGGATTTGGTAGGCGGGGATTGCTATAAGGCGCTGAAGACGTTGGTGGGCGAAGTGGACCGGTTTTTCAGCGGGCAAAAACGAGATTTTGAGCTGGTACTCGTGGGTGGAACGTCCAAGATTCCGCTAGTGCAGGATATCGTAACATGGACGCTTCAGAAACCAAACCAACAGGTACACATATTTTACGTTAGTTGTACTGTAATATCAAACCGATATTTTTTCGCTGCGGCGGCCTGAAGCGTTAACAACGTTAAATCACATACAGGTACGCAGCGTCATGGATGGTCTGGTCATCAGCGGCCTAACGCGCCTACCGCCGCCGGCTAAAGCATTGGCAAAGCCTGCGAGTAGTGCTCCTCGTCCTTCGACCACGCAGCACTTATCTAACCGAAGGCCAATCGAACCCGCTACCACGCACCAGACCCTGTATAATACCGCCCCAAGCGCATCATATACGTTCTTCGACCCGAACCCATTTCGGGCGCTTTCTTCTGGCCAGACAGCGCCGCAATCTGGAAGCGAATCGTACAGCAGCGGCAGTGTGCAGACCGCACCGGCCACTACAATGGCCCCTTTACCAAATTCACGCTTGGCGCCGTTTCCCAGTGTGGTGGAGACTTCGCACTCAATGACAGGTCGCAAACAAATCAGTGCTGAAAATGTGGAAGCCACACTAGTATCTAGAGGCGGCGTTCAGACCGGCTCCTCATCAGGAAGCCGCACCGCATCTCCACACCGTTCCGACGAAGCTCAACCATCCACCAGCAACTTCAGTATATCCGGCGAAAATAAAGCGCGTTTGCACTCGGCAACTCCGCTACCGGATGTCGTCAATGCAGAGTTCGCGCGAAATACAGCGGGGACGTCGCGTTCCGCCAGTGAAAGCCCAACCATCCGGAAAACCGAACAAACCACACCACCGCCAACCGCTCGGTTCGGTGGGCTGCGAAGCGTGACAAACGTGGAGAGCAACCGCACAGTTATCACGATGCAACCGGAAACTGAAATCCACACGGCACTGATCGTCAAGGACAACTCTGTTCCCACCAACAATGACGTTAACACATGGCCGCCTGCTATCGTGACTCCGAGAACACCAAATTCCGTCTCTACCCCTGCCAAGGAAGAGGTTTGCACTGAGATCAGACATCAGCGCTCTGAGATCCCGGCGACAGAGTTCCTTAATACCCGAGAGCCGATTGACTCCGGAGCATTGCAGCATGACCTTTCGCTGCATGAACACGGAACTGAACGACAGAAGAACGGATTATCGGCTTCACAAAATTCCGCACCGGCACCTAGCGAGAAGAACGCCCTGCCGCCGGCACCGCTCCCGCCGGTTCGTCGGGAAAGTGTCCAAACTGGAAATTCGTCGAAGAATACCGCTCTGATCCACCAAGCGGTTCCCATTTCAAAAATGGTTCTTACGATGCAGAGCGCCGTCATCCACCAGCCAAATTACAGTAATTATAGTGGCGGCACCGCCCCACGTGTCACGGACGTCAGATATCCGTGCGGTGAGGTCGAAGCGCCGCTTTCCGACGACGAATTTAGCCTTACTTCGGAAGATGAAGAAGAGAAAGATGGTACGATGTGTCCCAATTGCTACGGAACGCTTGTTTAGCGCTAAATCGCTCTTTCAAAGACATATATGTATATATACACTTTCTGACAGAAAATTTAGTATAGTTATTACTAACCGATTCCCAAACGAATAATAAGCATGCTTAAAAATTCCACCAGAACTGGTGCCCTTAATTGTTTCTTGCTCACCATGTATTTGCGTTTTTTTTACTGCATGATTACCAACAAACAAATAATAAGCAAACAAACAAACAAACAAACGAATAACAAGCATGCGTAAAAATTCCACACGAATATCCTAAATTTCAACACGTTTCTGAGCAAGCATGCAGCGCGCGATAGCCCTGGATTAGCCCTGCAACTCTTTATTCGCTTTGCGTACAGTAAGGTCATGAAGGTGTTTCAAACCGCATGGCAACCTTTAATCATTTTGACTTTTTTGTAATATTTTATCAAAATGAAAACATAAGACGTCCGGTTACGTCGATCATGTGCAAGTGCTCAGGTGAACCATGACAGTTACTGCTACTTATTTAACATGGTTATGCACGTTACAATGCCGTAATGGCTTTATAAGCATGAAAAACGTGATCGAAACGGAAATCCTCCGCGTAGCGCCAACGCTCCATTCGTGGTTGTGACCTCTTCGTATTTTTCGCTGTGCGCCATAGTCATGCCGCTGAGCGTCAGCGTGTCCATGACACTGCGCGCTCGATAATGCGGCCGCCGCATCATCCACGTCACCATCTCGTGTATTAACGGGATCTTACTAGTCCCGCCCAGCAGGACCACTTCGTACCGCACCGTCTTCCGTAGCTCACGGATATAATTCAACACTCGGTCGGTCACTCGGCGCAGTAGTTGATAGCACGCACTACCCACAATCTCCCGAAATTTCTCCACCGTAAACTCCACCACCAAATCACACCCGGCATGGAACTGCCGAACCTGCAGGGTGACCGCCCGGGCGGTGGACAACTGGATCTTTACTTGCTCAGATTTCAGGCGTAGGCGATGCAGGCTTTCGGTGCAATAATTTTGACCGCGTATTTCGTATAGTTTTTCAAATTCTTGAATCGCGTGGTTCATTAACAAAACATCGATATCGTTGCCGCCAAAGATCTCTTCCGGTCGGACGATAGTGACCTTGTGTTGACGGTTTCCGAGTTCGCAGACGCTGAGGCTGGTAAACGCCGCTCCCATGCGGATGACCACCAAATGCGTGCGATCACGTTGCAGTTCGGGAAAATTTGTCAGCAATCCGTACATTTGCATTTGCTGCCGCTCTTTGAATGCCACCCGTTGAAATCCAGTCAGCGAAAACGCCGGCAGTAGTTTGCTCTTTAGCAGCGGTATATTGTGAGCCGTTATCACGCAGTCTGTAATCACTACATTGTCGCCGATTTCATCGCAACAGAGATTTCGCAGCTCAGCCAGAAATTTCCCCAGTAATTCCGTGACGGTAGCGGACCCGTTTCCAAACTGCATGGATATACAGTTATTATTGTGTTTAATGAGAAACGGTAAACGGTATCGGTTAACCCAGGACGGATTAGCTTCCGGGCGGAGGAAGAGCGTTGGATAGAAGGCAACATTATGGAGGCTGGTGCTGGAGAGCTCTTTAGCGTCCTCACCAATGAACGTTTCGGATTGGCTGCCGCTGGAGAGTAATGACAAATAAGTCGGGAGACATTGGTGTCCCTTGGGTTCCAAATATTTTACCGTGCCATTGGAGAGTTTTGCGGCCGCTCGTACGTACGCCGTGCCCAGGTCGATGTATAATGTAGCACTAGCAATAGGCGCGCCGGGCGCAGTGGAAGCCATAATCTATCAACTTCTACAATAAATTTAGCTATTTATTATCTACATAAAGTAGCGATACTTCCCGAAGAACTAACTTATTCGAGTTTCTCTATTGATATGATGCTGCATCGACAGTTGAGGAAACGTACCAAACCTTCTGATATAGTTCTGAATCATTCTAATCTTATCGTAAACATATGCCCTTCCATTCCACAGAGATTACGTGTTCGTGCGAAAGTTACCGGCAAAACCATCCGGATGGATAAACCGTCACGCGTCTTTTCCTGAAACCGTCCGTCAGTCAAAAAAAATGTACAGTACATCGCAGGTCTTACCCGCTCAGCTTTTTTTCACTTTTGATACTGTAAAGAAGTTTTGTAGAGAAGTTTTGACACTGTAAAGATCCGGAGTGTCGCCCGCACGGTTCTGTCGGAGTGCGTTTTAAGAGCAGAAGCATTTTTAGCGAACGGTTTACCTCCCTGAACAGTTCTGTCGGTTACGACGGTCGTGTTGTCCATAAATTCGTATTGCTGAATAATGAAAATATTTTTAAAGTGATTCAAGTCAACCGTAAAACTCAGTTAAAGGTGTCGGTAAATGTAATTAGCGGATTTTATAGTACTCTGTAGTTAAGAGCATTTACTGCATGAACTCGAGCATGAAAAAATCGTCAGTCAGTCGGTAACGAGTGAGAAAGCGAGCATGCATGAAAGCAAACAATTTCATTATTTCTACGGTTCTAAACCGACATCGTCAACATATTCGAAGCTCTCATCAGAATCACTCCGCTGGAGTTTCGCGCACTGCTTCACCGCCACCGCACGTCCCGAAACGCTATCCCGGGCAGTCACATCCAGTACCCCGGATTTGTTGCAGCGGAACGTCAATTCGGCTGCCGGGCAGACAAAGCGCCACGTTCCCAGCGGTATAATCTGGGAAATATTATACTCGGCCTCGACTATCGGTATTACAGTGCTGCCTTGGTTCTCGGTAATGAATATCTCCGTTACGGAAGCCGGAAGCGCAGTGCCCCTGGAAATTAGTGTCCGAGTCGGTCCCTCGGGAGATTTCAGATAGATGGTATTGCTTAGTCGGTCTTCAATGGAAATCTCCAGGGCTAATTCGGCAATCTGTTTAGCCCATAACGCCGTTCCAATAGCCACTGCTTCTTCCGGATTAACATCTCGGCTGATCGGAACACCGGGAAGACGCTCCTGGATCAACTCCCGTATTCGCCCCATACGCGAACCACCGCCGCATAGCACGACAACGTCCACGTCAAAATCGGCGTCCCTGAGAATCTCATGAATCGGCTTCATAGCTGCTATAAAGAGGACACCGCACAAACGGTCCAGGTCGTTCTTCGTCAAGGTGACACTGAGGTCTTTATCGCGGTAGAATCTCGGTACTACGATATGGCTACGGGATCCCGCGTTAACTAGACTATGTTTAGCATCCTTGACCTTAAGCCGCAAACGTGCCTTTAGCTTCCCTATATTTTCCAGTTCGTCGAAGTTATGTTGACGCTGGAACTGAGAGAGCACGTGGTCGATTAAGCAGGCATCAATGTCCTCACCACCAATCAGCGCACTTTCGGCACCGAGTATTTTAAATTCTCGACCTTCGGTTACGGCGACCAGGGCCGCCTCGACACAACCGCCTCCAAAATCATAAACCAGGACTTTCTGGGTCTCGTTTTTTCGGAAACCATAAGCCAGCGCCGCGGCGGTCGGCGCGTTGATTAAACCGAGAACGTCAAACCCGGCGGCGAACCCGGCTTCCATCGTCGCGCGCCTCTCCCGCACCCCAAAATGTGCCGGAACACTTAAAACCGCTTTAATCCTAGGACCGGTTGCATCCACGTTAAAATGCGTCTCCGCAGACTTTCGGAGGTGCTCCAGGATTATGGTAACCACCTGTTGCGGGGTGTAGCTGCCGTGATGGATATGGAAGGCGTCGTCATCCGTCTCCTCGTTAAAGATTTCAATCTGCGGGTATCCATCGCTGTAGATGATCGACCATGGACCACGGTCCAGTAGCTCTTTGACGCGGGGATGCTCGAGCGCGCGGCCGATGCAGTGTTTCATGCCGTAGACGGTGCTGGCGGGGTCGTGGAAGGCGCTAGACAGTGCCGGCTTCCCGACGGTGGTGGTGTCGCTGTCGAAGAGGACGACGCTGGGTGTCACGTAGTCGCCGTGTTCGTTGGGGATGACGTGCGGGTGGCCGTTAACAATTGTGGCCATGCAGCAGGTGCTCTCGCCCACGTCGATGCCCACCACAGGAATTTGTGGAAGATCCTCCATTCTGGGTGCTGCAGTAGTCCGCCATCAGTTGTATCCGTAACTTTGGAATACTATGAACAACAACTACTTATGGTTAGTTACGGTTTGTCATTCGCCTTAATTATTCCAAAGTTACGGATATTTAAACGATACCATTTAAACGATACCAGCTTATTTGTGTGTTATGCCGAAAAACAATACCGGAATTTGCCGGTTTATCGCTGCACGATAACACACAAATAGCGCAAGTTTTGAACCATGTACGAAAGTTTTAATGGTGTATAAAAACATTTAAACGATACCAGCTTACCACGCGATGACAGAGTGTTGTTCCTGGTGGATGGGAGACTTCCGTAAAGTGGTGCTATTTAATCAAAAACTCCGGATAAAACCAATCTGCAGATACAAAAACCCAGACGTTTTCACTGAATTGATTTTACGCTTTACATAAGGTGAATTGATGCGTACTATCATAATATTACTAAACTACCGACTACAGTATTTAGAAATATCATGGTACTATATATAGATATGCACTCAATAGTCTGCAAAGACTAATAACTTGAAAGAATTAAAGAAGTTGATACAGAATTGCTTATTTACTTATTACTGTACAGTATAATTCATAGGTAAAGAAGTTTGAGATGCTTACAGATTACATTGCGCTTTCATCGTTTCATCCAAACGCGTAGCGCTTCTTCTATAGAATAATCAGAAAATAAAGAAGACTTGTTAGAAGTACAAGGTACTTGAAGGCGCATCGTAAAGTAAATGACTTTGACTCAACGTCCAATGTTCTCAGACTGAGATAAGATTACGTGTTTCGGTCTTTTGCAAAATTTAATAATTTCAGTTAACGTACGAAGCTTCAGCTGTGCAAATACAGTAGAAACGTTAACTGCACCCAGCTGGTAGTGCTTGCAAACAAAGCACATACCATAATGCGTGGTATCTCGTTTAATCAGAAAGTGCTTCCGGTGACTAACAAGTGCAACAAGCTGAAACCGTTTAATGCTGCTTGACAAATTGACATCAAGTTCGCTGCTCGAAAATTCTTTGGCAGGGGCACGACGATGATATCATCATGACGCACATTACGTGAGGACTTAGAATCATTTAGCTTTCTGATTTATTTCTGCTGTAACGGTAAACACGGTGACGGTAGACCCTTCAGCATCGTACAGGCGCAGAATTTCTCCAACTGCGGAAAAGATTTCTCCATGTGCAGTGTGGAAGCCATTAATCGATAGAGGTGAGGACGTACTAATCCAATTTAATTTATACTGGTTATACATACTACAAGAATAGTACAAGTACAAGAACCAGCTTTGCCTGTTTCTTGAGTTTTGCTTTCTATTTGTTTCGTATTTTCCTAACATGATTAATAATACCGAATAATATTATACGCTTCACGGATACACGCGGCGCGACTGATGAGGAACTGCCAATGTTTTTGTAGTTTTAGGATACCGTCCAACCCATGGCACTCTCCCCGCCCGCAGTGGGCATCGACCTGGGCACCACCTACTCCTGCGTGGCCGTCCACCGCCCCGGCGGCCGAATCGACGTGATTGCCAACGAGCACGGTCTGCGCACCACGCCCAGCTGTGTGGCCTTCGAGGAGGGCCAGCGCATCGTGGGGAAGGAGGCCCGCGATAACAGCTACCTCCGGCCCACCCACACCGTCTTCGCCATCAAACGCATCATCGGCCGGAAGTACGACGACCCGGAAGTCCAGTCGTACCAGTCCAAATGGCCGTTTCCTCTCGTCCGGTCGGACACCGGGCTCCCGGAGGTGGAGATGACGGAAACCGAGCACGTCAACGCCGAATCACGGACCACCACCAAGCGGTTTAAACCGGAGGAGATCAGTGCGCTGGTTCTGGGGAAGATGAAGAGTATCGCCGATGATTTCCTGAATACGCAGGAGGTCCGTTTGAAGGCTGTTATCACGGTACCAGCCAACTTTAACGACGCGCAACGAAGGGCGACCAAGACCGCCGGGGAGAAAGCCGGTCTGGAAGTATTGGCGGTGGTCAATGAGCCGACGGCCGCCGCCGTAGCCTACGGATTGGACAAGATCCGGGAGACCCAAACCATCCTCGTGTTCGACCTGGGCGGGGGGACGTTGGACGTGTCCATCCTCCGTATCGAGAACGGCCGGAAGTTTGAAGTCCTCTCGACCTGCGGTAACCTCAACCTGGGAGGCGAGGATTTTGATCAGCGCCTCTTAGAACACTGCATCGGGGAGTTTGAGGCGAAACACAACGTGACCGTCGACCGGGCGGGCCAGGGTGTGGCCCGGTTGAGGCTGAAGGTGGAGGAGATTAAAAAGAGTCTGACAAGCGCGCGCGCCAAGCATATTCTGAGTGTGGACGCGTTCCACGGAGATAAGCACCTGATATCGACAATATCAACTGCCAAATTTGACGAGCTGTGCGCCGACTTATTCGCCAAGACCTTGGAGCCCGTCCAGGAAGCGCTGCAACGCGCCAATCTCGACCGCACCGACATTAACCAGATCGTCCTGGTCGGTGGATGCTCGCGGATCCTGAAAATCCGCGAGATCCTTGCTGACTTCTTCCCGGGACAGCCGATCAACCGTGACATCAATGCCGACGAAGCCATTGCCTGTGGTGCGGCAAACCTGGCGTACCAGCTGGCCAACGAGAATGCACCGGTGGTGGAGGACGACATCCGGATTCAGTTCAGCGATGTGACACCGTTCTCGCTGGGCACGGAGATTGCCGGTGGGTACATGGTCACCCTGATCGCGCAGAACACCAAGATCCCGGCCAAGGAGACGCGGGACTTCACCACCGAGCAGGAGGGACAGTGGTGGGTGGATATTCCCATCTACGAGGGCGAGGCGAGGGTGGCCCGGGAGAACCGGCTGCTGGGGAAGTTCCGGTTTAGGAAGTTTCGGAGGGGACGCGCCGGTGGGCCACAGATCGCGGTGACCTTTGAGTATGATCGCTCGGGGATCGTCCACGTGACGGCGATGGATAAGAGCACCGGGCTATCGGCGGCGGTGCAGGTTAATCGCAATGAGTCGGGTGACGGTGGATCCGAAGAAGCGGTGAGCGAGGAGGAGGAGGCGGGGGTAGAAGCGGAGGATTTTAGAGATTTGTTTATGCAGATGATGTTGGAACATAACAGAATGCGCAGGAGAGAAGATTCTTAGCAGAGATTCTTATGCAATATACGTAATTACTGATCGACGTTAATCCCGATTCTTCTCTGATCGTTTCGGAACCCAAACTTGTTTTGTTCACTATTGATTAGTTTGTTCTCAATAAAAATAAAAAGTAAAATTGTGTTTACTGTATAGCAATTTTCGAAAATCTGGAAATTGGAATTATGTGGTAAAAAGTTGTATTTTGGGATTGGACACGTTGACAGTTGCTAAAGTGCGGATTGTATAAATCTCTTGGACTCGATAAAATACGATTGTTGAAAATACGAAACTACAGATATGGACTACGACGACTAATCTTGCACGACTAATCTTACGAGCGAGTATATACTGGTAATAATACCGAACTTCTTGATTATGTCAGCAATGTGTGCATCTGGATTTGTTCCACCATGAACATTCATTACTTTTGTGAATAAATGTTTGCTTCGTAACAAATACAAAATACAATAAACAAAGAAGATTTAATTAAATGAAAATTAACAAAATTGGATGCCTTTATCTCGTGTTAAACTGCAGGGCTGCCTCTTTTACTGAATAAAACAGAATAAAAATTGTATAGGAAAATGAAATTTACGCGTGTTAGGTATGTAAAATTAATGATGGTAAGCAGTTTACTGTACGAATCTTCCTGGCGCCGGCGATAGCACAGTAAATTTGCCGGCCAGCCGCTTGTGATTCAATGACGAAAAATTAACTGCTTGACTGGGCAAGCGGCAGCGATCAACGCGATAATGACCTTCGGTATGTGCTCGATTCACTGCTACAGAAAAGCAGATGAAAATCGACTTCCTGTCTGGCTCGCCATGAAAAGCTGTTTCATATAATAAAACCAAGCTATCCGCAAAAATACACTTCCTTTCGCATACCCCCGTGGAACTTTGCAAATCGCATTTTTTGCACTGATTATGGAGACCGCTCGACTTGTAACCGTGGTGCTGGGTATAGCGGGATTGGTACTGCATTCCACAGCACAAGACAGCCCGTATCAACCGCCGCACCGGCAGTGCACCTACAACAACGCCACCCGCATCCAGAAATGCTCCGACGCCCACTTCATCATCCCGGATGAGTTTGACCTTAACAAAATCCACCACCAGGCCACCGGGCTGGAGATCGCTTCCAGCCGTTCCGACGCCGGAAAGAGCGAGATCCGCGTCCGCGGTCGAATCGTCACCCTACCCATCCTGCCGTTCCTGCACCGTGTGGCACTGCGTGGTTTCCGGCTGGCCAGCGGCGGCCGTCTGCCCATCCAGCAGATGTTCTACAGCAACAGAGAGCGCATCCGCCGCTTACTTATCCAATCCAGTGAGATCGGCTATCTGGATAAGGATTTCTTGAAGGGCTTTAAGGCGCTGGAGATGTTGTGGCTGGATGAGAACGATATCAGCAGCGTGGATAAGGGTACGTTTAAGGAGTGCTGCTACCAGCTGAAGATCGTCAATCTCAACCGGAATCGACTGGAAGTGTTTAGTTGGGATGCATTCCAGTATATCGCTCCGTATGTGCAGGTATGAGATCACCTAATGCAACGAAGCAAACGGAATTTGAAATGATTCTGCGTAATCCATCAGTTGCTCTGAGAATACAAAAGTACAAGAAAATAGTTAAAAATAATTTTTTTTATGAGAAAGTCCATGCAGAGAACTGGTTTTATGCTGCCTGTCACGTCGGTAGTCGGCTTCTGTACTGAATACTAAATCGATGCTGCTGTAAACACCTCAGCTCGAATTTCTGGTACAGGATACTCTGACCAGTGCTTCGAGGAAGTTTTATTCTGGCTGTGTGACTTGGCAGGTTTCAATGCGAATTTTCACAAAGTTCGATCGTTTAATTACGAAATCTGAGTTCACCAATTTTGGGATCGGAACGTGTGCTGTAAGGTGATCAAAACACATGTGATTATGTGTTTACAAGAATCAGTAAACCATCGGACCGCAGACCAATTAGGCTGCGGTCCGATGATTTACGTGCGGAACAATCTAAACGGTTAGTAAACTTTTAGTGTATTAGCAGTTTAGATTATTCTGAGTGTAAATAAGAAAGAACCGGAAATAAAGTCAGATTAAGAACTAATAGCCAGCTAGCTAGCTTCCGATTAATCTATCTGTACAAGTCATGCCTTGCTAATGACACAGCATCCCTTTTAATAATAATAATGAAACGTGATCCATAGGAGATATATCTGAGAAAACAGCTACCTGATCCCACTCAACAAACCTCCAGCTTGTCCATCCTGGAGCACAATTCCAGCTTCGTACTGCGCTCGGTGGTCATTGTGGACATGGCGGAGAACGCCTTGAAGGGCCTATCGGCCGAAGTGCTGGCGTCGCTAAACCTGACCACACTGCGCATCTTCAACCTGAAGCACAATCCCTTTTGTGTCGGTTACACGACGTGTTCATGCTGTGAGATTAAGCCGCTAACCAACTGGATGCAGGATGTCGTCAGAGTCAAAGATAAAGGTCAACATGGTTTCACTCTCGACTTCCATTGTGGCGGTGCGGGGATGCACAATACTTGGTCCTTCGACAGTACGGATTCCAAACCCGTGGCGCTGCCTGGAATTATTGACAAATGTGAGCCGGTAACGAGACTGTTGGTAGACCAGTCAATTGTGCTTAGTACTTACATTTTGCAAGCCTTACTGTTACAGTTATTAGTTTTATTAGAGCAATAAATAAACGTGCAACAGCTGCCAAGGACGAGTGCGCATCACATCGGCAGCACTGGATTCGAGCAAAACCATTGTTTGCGCAACAGACTCGTACATTAAAACGAAGATCTTGTATTCTGTGCAGTGTTCTGTACTGTATTCTTATGCAGTGTGTTCTGTACAGTGCATCGGTGGTTAACAGTCATACATATTAGCAAATGTTCCGAAATCTGAGAATCTCCCAGTCACTTGATACGGCTCGTTGAATCATTACAGGTGAATTAATACAAAGACCCTCCGACACACCTAGTATTCCGCGCCAGAAGAGCCCGACCGTGCAGGACGTCGTGGCGTGCGGCGACCTGGAACCAATTCGCAGTCGCTGCAGGAAGAGCAACATAACCACACCGCCCAACATGGACGAATACGAGACCATCCAGGCGGTGTTTGATGCCGACACCTCGCTGGACTGCCGCAATCTGATGCACGACGCCCACAGCCTAGCGCTGCACATGGCTGGCAGCACTCCCAACACCACTGACCGTCTAGGCTCCGAGGACGTGGTGGTCAGCTGCCGGCGTGGGGTGGTTAGCGTCAGTAATAGTAATCCGGAATACACTCTGGCTAAACGGCTGGTCTTCAACAGCGAACACAGCCTGGTGTGTTCCGGGAAACTGCATGAATTTCTGGAGAAGATCGACGAGTATTACGGTATCCAGAACGACCCGGAGCCAGTACAGCGCCTGTTGGTGGTAGCCAATTTTACTAACCGCGAAGAGCAATGTTCAGACGCGCCACCCATCCGGTTCCGCTGTGCTGCCGGGAATATTACGCTGCTGACGGGGCGGGCGCGACCGTTTGACCTCAGCAACGCGGTGAAGATGGAGTACACCGCGGATAATGCATTCAAGTGCCGAGAGCATTTGAAGAACATTCACAAATGGCTGGTGGATACTCATAAACCGGCAGGAAATAATGAACACACCAACGGCGACACCGTGGTGGCGGTATGCCGACAGGGAAAGGTCACGCTGTCAGATGTGAATTTTGAATTTTCCCCGGCGGTTAAACTGACGTATTATACGCATCCGAATCCCACTTGCCGAAAGATTTTTGTTGATTTCTTGAAATATGTGGACGGACTGAACGCACCGAAGTAGGTGTCGCCACTACCATTATGGCATAAACACTCATAAATACTTTTCCCAGTTTGCGTTAGCGGGAGTGTATCTCATCTCGAAATCCGGGCAATTTTTGTTGCAGTCGTGTCTATGGCGAAAAAAGACTTTAATGAATGTTACCGCTGAACGATAAAGGGTCATTGTGTAGGTATAGTGCAGTACTGTACAAGTTCTCGTACTGTTTCACATTTCGTTTTTGAACTGCGGCCACTGTCAGCCAAGGTTCTGCCAATTTTCCTTCCCACGACGTTCAGATATCAGCAGCATGCAGTTTCACCGAGTGATTAATCACACTCATGCCACAATTATTGATCATCGTAATAAAAGTTCAATAAAATTAATCATTTTGCGCTATTTAGAAAACACATTGTACTGAAGAGAAAAATTTAGTGTTCTGGGCGATAAGTTTTGGAAAGTGCTCCGGGCACCACCTTTCATCACCCTTCAGACTCCCGACACCACTATATGCACCACTTTTTGTCTCGATCACCATTTTTGAGACGCCACTCATTATAATAAAATACCGTTTGTCTCAGGATGCCACCTTACAGTTGCAAAATGTACTGAATGTACTCTATACTTCGAATACACGTGGCTGCAGCTAAAGTACTTAATAAAATTGTACTTACAAATTTCAGCAAAAATCTGCACTTAACATTACTTGGAAAACTATTTCTAGTTGTTGATTTGCCGCGTAAATATTGCAAAGGGGAAGATAGTAAGTACTATACACATTGCAAAAGGGAAGATAGGTGCACATACGAAAACCGGTAAAAGTATAACACCGGAAGGCAATCAAACCAACACAGCGGTACTCTGTACATAAATTAAAGAAACCTTAAAGTACAGTTAACTTCTAAGCTGGATATCGTATTAGTTATTACGCGATACAAGAGGTACTGGACCAATCGGGAGAGCCGGTGCACCTCGACGAATTCAGGTGGGTCGTTTCCTGATTGGAACGGTTTTAAATAAGTGGCATGTTTCCGAGAATCTTGGGACTGGCGCCAACGGATAACCTACAAAGCACAACACGTGAAAAACCAAAATCGTTAAAAATACGAATATTACAGCAAAACTGCTGGCAAAGACGGTGTTGAAATCCATTTTGCGTTCAACGTTAACTGGTTAATATCAGACTTACCATAATAAGCTTTTTATTAAGGATGTCGTTCGGATCGCGCTCTTCAATCGCCATGGATACAACACTTGTTTGCTGGTCAAACAGCAGTGGACAGCGTTGTTCGGTCAAGTCCCAACAATCGGTGACAGTCAAACAGCGATCCCTGCTCATACGTCCAAACGGTATGCGGAAGATGATACGAATACCTCCGTACATAAAAAACGGAGGAATCACGCACATAAAGTTCTTAACGATCAACGTGCCACAAATCCCCGCTAGAGAGTCGTACATGTTGCACAGATCACTGATGGAATCCACGGAATTCCACTCGTGTAGCGAACAGTTAATGTTCAAAACTAGATTCCTGGGAAATTTCTCCGCTCCGCCTTGCATGATCTCGCGAAGAAACCGTCCATCACACAGAGGCCACTTATGCAGTCCAGATAACTCTTTGGAATTATCGGTGATCGGCGAGCCAACAATGGCCACGGCGCGATTGCTGCAACAGCGATGTGCACAAGCCACAGCCACAAACACTTTGCCGGCGCAAGGTACACGTGGACGCCGTGAAATACCTTCGGATAGAAACTCGATGTGCAGCAGATTCTTGACGGCGGCCGATGTAAGTATGGCGTTGCAGCCGGAACAGACCATCCGTAGCCGGCACTGATCCACGGTGTGCAGGTACTGAAAGGCCTCCGTTAGGATTACCACCGGCGAGAATCGGAGTGCACTTTCATCATCAGTGACCGGCTCAGGCCACGGCCATAGTGCAGCTTCCACCGCTGAAAAAGTGAAGGCACCGCTACAGCCCCACTCTGCCTTCCGGCGTTTTGTCGTGGTCAAAGATGCGTCCCGGCATTCTCGCTTCTTTCCCTTAGTGGAAAATGCGTTCTCGCCAGGAACAGGCCGGAGCACGGTCTTACTCTGCAATGGAAATTTCGTCTAAGCCGAGTAAACAACGTTATTTCGAGAATTTCTCACGTATAACTGCCGCATTTTCTTCACGAAAATATACTCCACCAGCTCTGGAACTTCACAGTCCAACAAAATTCTCGTAGAAGGGTGTCTAATCCTATCCTGTGCAACGATTGCTTTGACGTTTCCGTCAGGAAGATGGATGGCAACCCAGGCGAATTGCCGTTGCTGCCAGTCAAAAACAAGCGCTGTGGCCGGCTGCCACTTCCAAGGCTCGGTTGGACGCTGCTGCAGCATCAACACTTCAACCGGATCACTGATTTCTGCACCGGTACAAAGGACAAGTTAGTTTTGATCAGTTTACCTTCCCTTTTCCGTGTTCTGCGTTGACATTGTGCACAGGGTGCTGTGCACTGTTGATGGTTATTATTTAATTCCCATGTTAATGATATCAGCATAAGCAAAGAAGCGAAACTATGACTTTGGCATGTGATTGGCACGCATGAAGCAAAAAGTCTACAACCTTGTTCCACCTGAAACACCTTTTAGGTCCTTCAAACCGTTGTTAGATAGCGTAATATGTATGAAGCATGTAATATGTATTCTACTATGAAGCAACGTTAGAAATATGGAACGAATAGAAAAAGTTATTGCCGTGTTTTTGTTATAAAAACAAGCTTACCTTGATCGTGATAGAACGAAACACGTACCGGAATATCGCACTCATAAAAGTCAACGCTGGATAAGAAGACCTGGTCCGAACGAATCCACTCGCTCCGCTTGCCTGAACACCGAAAATCAACGAGTACTCCGCTTGCGGAACGGGCGACTGCTTTGCCACAATGAAGTGCCCCATCTTCTCCAAGAACTTCCACAACGGTGGAATCCTCCGGGTACGGGACGGATTCGCCAGAAAATCGAGAGAAGGCAACCTACAAAATAAAAATTAATAACAGTACAGTTACATACAATTGTGAATTTAATTCAAACGTCTGCGATGCCTAAATCTCTCGCCTTTGAGCTACAAACAGCATGAGAATGACAGAAAATAAACCAACTAACCATAAAAACTTACACTTGAATGATTAATAAAGATGAATTATGTATGTCGCTACTATAGGAAGTACGGAAATCCCGAAAATAAGATTACACGTTCACAACGCTGGAGATTCGGCAATATTTTGCAAAGAAATTTAAAGCTGATTGGCAAGCTTACTTGTGCGTTGGATGGTGCTGGTTTCCAGCTTCTCGCGGACATCGGCCAACTCCACGTTCATTTTGCTGATTTCAGCCTTCAGGGCGATATTCGTTTCCCGTAGCGCGTCGAGCTCTTTCACTGCGCGCATCGACTTCACGATAACTCTTCGCACATTAACGCCGGTCTGCAGGATATCCCCGGCACACCGTTCATCGATGGGCAGATGGCATTGCAGCGCGGTCATCAGCAGCAATTCAATTTCCGTCAGTTTGCGCCGCATAACAGCGGTTCCTTCTTGGCCGTTCTTAATCAGTTGTTCGGGTTGGGTCCTGCGTTCGCGGTGAGTCACGTGCAATGAGGAGAGTTCCGCTTCGAGAGCTGCGATACGGGAGTGCAAAGAGGTCTTGAATGCGGATTTATCAGCTTCCAACGGCACACAAAAAATAACCATAACCAATATTTCATTGGGTGCTTTTTGATGTGGAACGAGATTATCTACCTAAATTAATTTTAAGCCTTAGCAATGGAATATGTTATGCCAGAATCTCGAAAACCAAAGCCTCTTTTCCTTTGAACAAACCTGCTGGTGTGTCGTCTGTTCGCGCACCATCTCCTTCTCGGCAGACTGAACGCGCTGCTTGAACTAAATGTTAATGATGAGAGGGACGATCTGCACGTGGGAAACAGTTTCGTGACCTTTGCAGCTCTTGGGACAGCTCTTGCAGATTACGAAAAGAAAATTTTCGCATTTTTCCAAAAACACCACTTTCACAGCAGCTGACGAAGGCGCCAAAGATCTGCAATACAAGTACGTACATTTTTAGAATAAAAATGCACGCATACAGTGGACGCCGCAAATGTGGTTAGACCGATAGCTGAAAGCATGTATCGGCAATCGGTGATTTGGTGTAACCACATTTATGGCGTATGTTGTACATTTTCTCAAGTAAAATTCCACGCAGACGTTTTCTCAAATAAAATTGCACGCATACATTTTTTGAATGAAAATGCACGCCTACATTCAAGCACACATTTTTTACAATAAAAATGCACGCATTCATTTTTAAGACAAAAGTGGACGCTCAGAGTTTTTAAATAAAAATTCATACATTTATTAAATGGATCTGCATGCAAATACTTTCTAAAATAAAAGTGCCCGGGAGGTGCTCCGGCTACCACGGCTCCTCCATGCCGGATAAGCGGCTGACCTTAACATGCAAGACAGTTCAAACCAGAGAAAGGGAACTGATTGTGGCCTTTTCGCCTTAGCATACGATCTGCTAAACGGAAGTGATCCTGAAAGAGGTTCCTTTTCAGGGAAAACGATGAAGAAATGGAAAATAACTTCCTTTGAAGCCAAGTGGATCCAGAAGCTCCACCACCGCCCAGGTAAAGCAGTTGAGTGAGCGTCCAAAAGATGTCGTTTCAGTTACAGGAATGGAAGCAGAAGAGCGGCACATAAAAGAGGAGCTAGACCTCGACATAATTTAATCTGTCGTAATTTAATCTGTCATAATTTGTCGCCTGTCATAACCTTAATCTAGAAAATTTGCAAATAGTGGTTTCCGGAGATACCAGTGGTGAGTGCATTTCTCGTGGTGATGTAACGAGATTTCGGTGGTGTAAGCTTAAAAATAAAAAAATTATTAGATAGTAGTGTCGGCAGCCTGGTTGTGACGAAACATGGCGTCGGGAAATTTTATGGTGAAAGGTGGTGTCCGTAACCTTCACCATAGGTTTTTTCCCTTGTTAATGTACATACCAGCATTTAATAGCGCAATGCCCCAGAAAATCTACATTTCTGATAAGACGACATTTCTGTTTACCAGAAAATCTATTTTTCCGATTTCCAGTTTCCCTGAATTTCCAGGTATCAGTAATGTAACCTCGATACTGTACGTCCCTGAGGGAATTACTCACTGCTGATTTGCTCTACAGCCTACATGTGGTAGGGAGAGGGAAGAATGACATTTTTCTGTAGA